CTGTTGCCTCTTAAACAAACAGACCTTGCTTAGGCTTTTCACTGTGTGTAAGAACTTGTCAGAATAGATGTACCCTGCTGCGGCTGCTGCTCTTTTCACCCCACAGCCTGCAAGGACCGAACAGAGCTCCACTGTGCCTCGGCGGGCATTGAAATTCCCCCGCCGTTTGTACAGTGAATTCCATTTCCTTGCCTTTTGATTCATACTTTTTTTCTTTCTCTTTTTCTTTGCTGTGAAGTACCTTTTTGTCCCCTGTTTGAACTTCGGTGAGGAATCGTTCTGCAAATGGAGGTCAGGGCCGGACTAAATGGGCGATGTGAAAGACTTCAAACTGAGGGGAAGCTATAAAGAATAATAGCATGCACTGGCCAAGGAAAGACATTAACTAAAGTCTCTTTAAACGATGGTGGCTACACAAGTCAAGACTCAAGCTGGCTGTTTATATAGGTGCACAAAAATGTACGGATAATCTCTGAATGGTCTAAAGGGATTTATATCTGTACAACTTTCTGATAAGACATGTATCTTTACATTTTGAAAACAGGGGTGGCAAAGAACCATCCTTTTTTTTTTCTCTTGAATAGAAATCCAGACACTAAAAAGACCATTACAGGAAGAGAAACTAAGAAAGAAGAAGTAATTATTATCATGTTTGGGAGACTATCAAACCCCCATCTTGTTGTAATTTGATGTGCATGGTTAAGAAACTATCTTTTCTACATGTTACATGTATATAAGATAGGGGTGCAGAATAATGCAATGAGAAATTCTAATAGTGTTTCAAGAAGCACCAAATGATGGAAAACCCCATAATGGAAAACCTGGCCCAACTCATTCCTGGCTCATGTAGAACTGTGTAATAAGTGGATTAAAGTCATAGCAGCCTTGCACACGGCTTAAATTGACTGACAGTTGAGAGCGCTGTAGTTATTTGTCAAGATGTTCACGGCCTACCGTAACTCGATTTTTGTGATTGATCAGAAGTTAGGTTGAGTCAGCATTTCTAACATCCCAACCATGGCCGTTGAGCTTGAAAAATACTCACAAACTGATGTGACTATGAAAGTTTTTTTTATTTTATTTTTGTTTTTACTGTTAAAATGTCTCTTTGGCTTTGAGACAGTCTCAAGTGGCCACTTAAGGAACTGCAAATGTTGTACTCCCACTGCGGCTTTATTTCAAACACCAGAGGTCCCTGCTGACGTCAAATGGAATGTTGCAAAAGTAAAAAATATATAATTTTTTTTTTTTAATTTAAAGAAAGATCTGAGGAAGTGCCAGTTTTTAGGAGAAATCTTGAATGTAAACACTACCCCTCCCTCCCAACCAGTTTTCCCCTCAGCTCCTCCCTCTTCGCTCCAGCAAGCCCCGCCTATAAAAAGACGCTCTTGCTCACTCGTATCGTTCCAATTAAATTCAGATATAATGCAGATAAATACTTCAGATAATTACAAATGGGGCCCAGTCGATGTGAAAATAAAAAGCATTGGCGCTACTGTAGATGCCAACAGACTACCAGCAAACACAATGTTTGCAGGACTTCTACAACTAGCGTGAAGTGACATAGTCCAGAACCCGAGGTAAACAGTTTAGCATAGCTACAACACACAGCAGGTCCTGTTTGACGAGAAACACTTTTGTTACACTTGGCTTACTTTGTTAAAGCGATTTAGCTGTCCAGCAGAAAGGTTACAGGGTCCATAAGATCCCGAAGCATTCCCCATCATAGTTGACCCGGCTTCTTAGCTCTTGTCCGGTCTACCTCTTTTTTAAGCACCCTTTATTCTGCCAGAGTCTCCGGTATTAAGTTCGTTTTCTTGTTTGTGTTGACAGATTCAGACAATTTTCTGTACTTTCTGGTTGGTTTCTACTGTCCGATACTGTAGCACGCTAACTTTGTTTGAGCTCCTGAAGGACACAGGGGAGCAGCGTCCGCCTCACAACTAATCAGGTTGGGTAGGCGGGGAATGGCTTTGTTGACAGTCCCAAAGAGTGAAGTGCTCTGAAATTTTAAAACGTTGACTACATAGAAAAAACAAAGCAATATTGTTATACTACTAAATGTCATCAGTTACTGATAGCTATTGCCTGATATTAAAGGCTTTTTTGTATATACACCACAAAAAAGATGCTTCTTTAATGGATTCCTGTCTACCCCATCTTTAAGGACCACTTTGGATTTTTTTGTGTTGGAGTAAAAGCAGGGAAATCAAAAATGTTGCCACAATACTCCCTTGCTCACCCTTTGCTGGGTAAAAGACAGTGTCCTTTGAGGACAAGAAGCCCCTGTGATACATAAAAGTGTGATTCTATATTTGTAATATTTTTATCTTCAAAAACTTCCCTTTTGTTTGGCCAGAACAACCAACCTCTTGTTCGTCCATCAACTTACACACTTTGATGACTGCTCACTGAATACAAAAATACAGAAATCCAGCTGTTGCTACTTTGTTAATGTGTGCTACTGCAGAATTATGGCAGATATATGTAGATATAAAAGGCTCATTCCAAATTAGCTAAAAATCTCTTTTTTATATTTAGGTGACTATACTCAAATTTAAACGTACAGATGAATGTTATACTAAATTTCTACTGAGTCTATTCTGCTAAATGTGACAGAATATCACACATTGTTCCTTTAACTAAAGTATAGATACTATAAAACTCTACCAAAGTACAATAACAAAGTGCTTGGACGTAGTTACTTCTGCCTCTTAATTAAAAACTTTAATTACTAATGGAACTTCTCTATTAGCATTAATCCTTGCTTGTAAGTCTGATGGCTGTTGATCAATACAGAATCAGCTAATTAGTGGAAAAGGAAGCGAGGGTCAATGTGCAGCGCTGAACCGGACACTTCTTTCTTACTGCTGCACCCTACAGCTCGACCGCTCAATGTCTCTATACCCAATCGAAAGGTGTCCACGTCGTCCTCAGGGAGGGGGTCAGCTCAGAACAGTGTGTTCTCATTGCAGTCAGGTTCATCTATACTGTATGCGGGGTGTGGATTAGGGGATGAAAGAATGCCACTAGCTGTGAAATTGCCTGATTTTTATCGGGGGATGTTGGGGAGCAGCTGTGCACAATCCTCTGCCCTAATCCTGCGGCCGGAGAGAGAGGACGCAGCAAGCAGGGGAGGTGTGGGTACGAGTGTTATCCCTTCTCTGTGTCTGTTACATGCTAAAGTGCATAATGGAGGAGCTCTGAATGGTTGTGTTTATGCACGCTCCTGCAGCAGACAAGTTATCCCTGATAAGTTATCCCGCTGTCTGTGCTCTCATGGGTGTTTTTGCAGCAGCGTGGAACCAGCAGTGTCACTTGGATGCAGAGGAGGGTTCAGCAGATGACTAGTTTAGAGCTGTGTCATAACAATATCATTGATGCATTGACTGTATAATCCTGTCACTCCACTTTCTGACCAAGCATGCTGCTGGAATAGAGAGGAAAAGGGAGAGCCAAGTGGGAAGTTTGTCAAGATAGAAGCTCAGCCATTCTGTATCAAAGTATACGTATATTAAATTCCCTGGAAAGTAAACGGTTCATGTCATGGAAGGAACCATAGACAATGATAATGAAACTTTGCATTTAGCTTGGATCAATATTTTCTGAAAGAAGGTTCAATGAATGATGCTGGTTAAGTCTCACAGCTCCCATAGACGGCACCTGCTTTTACCTTCTATATAAAATGATCGAGAGGAAATTGCTATTATGCTTTAAAGATGGGAAAGCAGCGAATATAAATCAGTCTGACCAATTTTAATGTGATTTATATTTTTTTATTTTCATGTATTTTTCTGATAATACAGTTTTATCCAATACAAACAATGAGTTGCTTTAGCCTACACATTCAGAAGATGCAAGTTTGTGATCTGTCATAGCATACATAGTTGCATCAAGCTCATGAGGTGATGAAAATGGTGTCACCTGTGTGGATGTTTTTTACTCAGTAAGAAGGAGATAACACAATTTTGTTGGGCAAGATATATTGTAGGCATTCCTAGAGAAGAAAAAGGTCACATGTAAAGTTATCATTGCAAAAAAGTTATGATGAATAAATAAAAAAACAGCAGTTGTTGCTATTAGCACTGAAAAGTGACTACAGGGTTCCTACACAGTTGGATTTTTCATACCCTACTTTTTAGAATTATTTTTGGAAATACCAACTTTTCTATTTTTAGAAAACAGTATTTCAGAACTGTGGTAATAGTCTGGAAACATAAATACTTTTCCATACTTTATTTTTCATTTACCATACTTTTTAAGACTTAGAAACTGATCAAACTACTTCCATACTTTTCCATACTTGTGTAGGAACCCTGTGACTAGTGTCATGGAGCTGATTCAAGACATTTAAAACTGCATAAAGTTTATCAGAGATAACAAAAACTTTACAGTCCTTCATGGTTGACCTTATTTTAAGGTGGAAGACTGAGAGTTTCGCCAGTTTATCTTGTATTTGAAACAGCATTTTGATTTGATTTTGATCCCTGCATGTCCTGTTTGCTATGATCATACATTCACAGTCTGATTGACAACAACTTCACTGACATATATGATATTGATAACTGACATATGGATTTGGGTATGTTTAGTTTGACATAGTTACATACACAGGTTTGCGGTAAGAGAAATAAATGACAGGCAACGAGTCAAAACTGTTATTTTTTTTAATAATTGTAATTTCAGTTAGAATTGGAAGTGTAGTAAATCAACGTAGGCTTTGATAAGCACTCAAACTTCACTTTTCTAACCTCCAGGTGTGCATAAACAAAATACTTAAAATTCAAAATTGTACAAAAAGTATCTTAGAAGTTATTGGTAATGGCTGTTAACAGCAGATTATTAAAGTATTATCAACCCAAAAAAATATGGTAATTCAATCATGTCATATTAAGAATTAAATGTTCTAACTTTTATTGGAAAAAAAACTTTGTTTTTACAGTAATTTACTGTATATTGCTGTTTCTACACATGTTCAATTGTGTGACACATGCCTCTGTAGCGCTCTTTTCGGTCATCTTTCTGCCACTGCATTGTGAATCACTCCTCATGGCAGTGCTCGGATATTTGCATACATGAAGAATCAAGGCCTATCTCTGTAGCCACGCCTGACGCATAGACTGAAATGTACCCAGCAGGTGACAGGCAAACATATGCCTCAAATGCCATGGGGTCCTGAAGCCGGATCATCTCCAAAGGCTAACTGGCAGGTCTTAGTAGGGACGGCATTAGTACATATTATTCACAAAGAGCATGATTGAACAGAAAAATGTGCCCGGCGTGTACCCAGCTGCTTTGTTGGCACACGGCTCAGCCTCTGCCCGGGTTTCAAGACTGGGCTCGGATTTAGCCGTGCATTCACTGAATTCCCCATGCAGCTCTTATTCATTCATTCAGGCGAAGGCCGGGCTGAACCAACAGACTGGTATCTGTGTGTGTATGAGGAAGAGCGAGTGCATTTGTGCCAATTCCTGAATAGTTTTGTATATCACAGCAAATTCAGAATTTTGACAAGTATATAAAGGAAATCTCTGTAATTCAGATTTCAGTCGCTGTCGTTTCAAAATACCTGAAAACTCAAAAATACATCACAGTAAAGCCGATTTTCACACATAGATTCCTGCACTGAAAATTATCAAACTTTAACTCCTATGAACATTTTTACATCGCTTCATAGATCTACTTTGTGACTGTTTTTCTGAGCAACATTTTATTCAAATTGTGCATCATTTACAGAATAATTTCTGCACATTTTGGCAAATCAAATCCAATCTTTAACTCCATTTGTCTCTCCTGTTTGCATTCAGGCACAGCAGGAATCACTTCCCTGATGTTCTCACCTGCTGTATGAGCGTTTTTACTCTCCGTTTACATACATAAATATATATGGATACATTTTTTTCCCATAGCACGTCTCCCAGCCATTAGGAGGTCAGCAGGTGCTTCTGGGCTCACCAGATGTCTGTGGTTGCGCCTAATGGTGGGCATGATGGACATATTTAGCGATAGGGCGCCCTCTAGAGGCAAGAGCTTGGAAGTATATTCAAGCCTCTATTTGCAGGGAGATGAGTTCATCTCTCTCTTTGAAAACAGGCTCATATAAACCTGCTATGGTTGAATGTAAATAATTTCTATTTTTATTTTTATTTTTTTTTACTGTGTTAAAGATTTATGACTAAAATGCCTCAAATTAGATTTTTTTTTTTTCAAAGCTGTGGAGGATACTGTATTTTTTGTATTCAAAAAGGTAGTTTTTCACAATCTTGAACACATAAACATTTTTGTTAAAGATTTTACAAATTATATCATTACAAATCATATCATATCATATATCATTGCAGAAGTGTTGTGTCTTGGCAGATTATCAAGCCTGTTGAGACAGAAAAAAAGTGACACAATCATCCGGATGCAAAAATTCTCAGCTGAAACGATCAATTCAAAGTGAAACAGATCTGAAAATCATTCTGAGTCTCACCTTCATCTCTTGTCAGCTTTGGAAAAGAAACTTGCCTGCAAAACATTCAGAAAGAAACTGTCACAGGTGAGGCCTCCCTGCTTTTATACTATTACATTATTTCCTTTGTATTGTAGAGTTTCCCTCACAGTTAGGTTGTAGAAGTGGAAGTGGGATAACTGTCTATCAAAATGTAAAATGTAGAGATGTCAGTGTTTTAAAATCATTCTTATAAATGCAAAATAAATGTCTTTTTTTACTTTTTGATATGCACTGTTGTTAACTTCTTCAATGTCGTTTCATCCACGGGCTGGTGGTGATTCACACTCTGCAGAAAGGTGATCTGCTAAACTCAGGGATACTTCTCCTCACTGATTCCAGTCTGATTAACTGTGTTAGCTCCAACTTAAGCTATAATGGTGGTATTTGAATTCCATTAAACACAAAGTGTACAATACTATTTCACCTGTGAAAGGAGCCATCTGTTGTTGTTTTTTTTTTAAAGTTAAATGTGCAATTCAAAAGCACTGAAGAGTCATTATTTTCCATCATGGCAGCAGAAGGAAGATGCTGGCTTAACTACAGAGTGCCACTCAGGACGATATAGCATGCTGTTGTTGATTTAGTACCTCAATCACATCGCATTGAATTAGTTAACACTGTTAGTGTTACATATTAGATTAATTTAAGTGTTAATTGTGATTTTTTTTTCTCTCCAGATTGTTTAAATGTGAGGCTAAGTGGTAAAAAATGGCCGTGTCTCAATGTATGAATGTGGTGTAAATGTGACAAGTGACGTAAAAGTGCTTTTTGTGGACAGAAGATGAAAATGTTATTAGGGATAGAAAGAACAATCTAAAAATATACTTGGATCATCTCACTGCATTACAACATTACAACCACACAGTTCTCTAAACTCTTCTTGAATACATTTATAAAAAGTTATGTATGGCGTAAAGTCTACCCACATGCTGTCCTCTAAGTGGCTTGCTGTAAAAATCCGACTCCACCGGTTGGCTCCCTCTTCGACCTCCATTCACCGCAACACCTGGAGAGAAATTACCCAGCATGCACATGCTTTACAGTGAAACCATTAAGGGAAATAAAATAAAAGGCTTACATTTGGTGCAGTTGAAGCTTGCTAGATGAAAACATGGCAGTGGGGATGTGATTAAGCAACACTTCCCTGGGGATTAATTCCCCACTGCTGCAACCAGGAGTGGAGAAACTACAAAGGCATGCAAACACAGGTTTCCTCTGTGCACACTGAGATAAGTTTTTATAGACTCACTTGGCGTTTGATGGATGATGTTGATTTTATCTGTGAGGAGAGAGGAATTTCAAAGACAGTTACTGTATACACTATAATGTAGTCATTTTGTGAGGCTGCTACTTGTTACTCGAGTCCCTGGAAAAGAAAAAAAAAGCTCTGTGGAGCTTCTCTGTGATGGCAGCAGAGTTTAACCTGCATGTCAAGGATGGAGAGTATTTACCGTAGACACTGTTATTATCCCCTCTGTTGGTGATGGTGCTGGCTCTCAGCTGACTCGACTTCTCCTGCAGAGATAAAGATCAGACTTTTAGTCCAAAGTGAGCATTAAATACTTCATTTCTTTTAACCCTCCCCTCGTGTTTGGGTCTGCACCGATCTGTTTTTGATTTTAAATGCTTAAAAAAAAACACTTAAATTGGCTTTTTGCATCAAGACTCTTTGACTTTGTCAGGAAACTCTATTTCAACAAAATAGAAATAAAAAATATATATTGACTAAATTATAAAATGCTCTTATTAAAATTATGGCACTTGTGGTGTTCGGGTCGCTTTTGACTCACCTAGATCAATATCTAATGATTAGAGCAAAAACTGAAATCACAAGTGCACTGGCAGGCGCCACACTGACACTCAGATCCTCTTCCGATCATGTGAGCTTTAGGAAATTCTCATGTAACTATGTCTTCCCTGCACAAAAAACAACATTGGGCATGTCCAGACATGTGAGATCAATTCAGTATAGATGTCTGTGTGAGGGGCATACTGACAAAGAAAGGCCCAGAGACCCTCTACACAAACTATTATCAATATTTTCATGGATAATGAAGCCTAACAAGGTAATCTAGAGATGAGAATCAAATTGGATGATAGAGAATTGTTTTTAGTGTAATTTACAGCTGATTTTAGACACGGGTCAAAACCAACCATTAACATAGTGGGTGCGTAGTAAAAGCTAACACAGGAGGAAGGTTAAATTATTTATTTCTTTTTTATCCTTATTGCAACATTAACTAATGCCTTTCGGAAACCTTATCTATCACAAAAGTCGTAATGAGATGAATATTCCTTATCCCTTTAATGCTTTTGTATCATATGTGATACATACTTTTATGATACTTCTATCAAATCAATATGATCGACAAATTACTAAAAAAAACACCTGGATACAGTCCGATAAAAGATAAAAATGTCCTCTCATGTGTTATCAGTTTCCAAGAACATCTAATGCATCAAACCAGATAAATAAATATATTTGTTACATTTTATGTACCTTTTGATTTTTTTTGGTTTTCAGTGGTAAGTCAAACAAACATTTCAGCTCCAAAAAAAAATTTGATTTTCTGGCCATGATTTGTGGTTTCAGGCATTAAAGGTCTAAAGACACATTTTCCTTTTGTACTTTGATGAATGGCCCTCTAGTTTTTTTGTACCATCCACTAAAATGTATCTCATGTCTCATCCTCTATATACGGTTATTCTTAAAGTCTGAATAACCCTACACTATTTAAAGAAAGAAGTAAAAACATGTTCAAAAGAGTGATACAAGTTTTACATGTACAGGACTGACTCCATGTATTTTATCGATGTTTCCTATGCTCTGCTTTTTTTTTCTTCAACTCTGTCTTTGACTTTGAGTTATGCTATCTGTTTCAAATATACCCCGGTTTTTAGTTGTACTTTTGAGTGCATTGTTTAACATCCTTTACGACTCATAACTTTTAAAATGCGCTTTCCCAGCTGCATTTTTACCAGTCAGCAGAACGGCACAGGTGTTACTAATAACATTAACAATGAAGCAGCTAAATGGAATTCAGCCATCATCAGTTTTATGACTTACACCTGTGTGTTTTTTCTACTGCGATGTTTCAACTCATGCTTTTTTTTTTAATTAAAAAAACATCCTCAGACAGCTGGAAGCTCGGAGCTTTAGAGAAATGAATAATCATGTCAGTCTCCTGTCATGGCGTCTGCACACTTTTACTCTGATTTTGCACCTTTACTTCCTCGTCACAGCCACATGGCTGTTCTTGCAACCACTGTAACCCCCTCCACATCCAGCAGGTGTCCTCAGATCATCCTCCATTTCTCTGCTGCCTTTTAGCTGATCTCTTCATATCCTGCATGCAGAGGCCTTAGTTTACCTATTCGCATGAAGTGATCTAGCACTCACTAGAACTAAGATCTTAAAAACGACTCAAAACGCTCCATAAGGTTTGTAGCACCTTATTTTTGTTTGTTTGTATTTAAAAGCAATTGAAATGGGTTAAGAATAGCATTAATTATTAAAAAGCAATTAAATGAAGCTTTGAAATTGGGTATGCTTTCCTGCTCCTGTCAAAAAGAGTTGTTTTTCATGCTCTATTTTCAGAGGACTACATATTGGAAAAGCATCAGCAACAGATGCTTCAATTTCATGAGAATACGAATAAAGTCCTGTATGTCTCTTTATTCCTAGCCCACTGTGTGAGATCATAGTCCGTGATAGCTCTACCTTCTGTGCACTATCTATCCCCTTCTGGCCCCTCTGCAGGTCACTGGAGCGCTCCAGGTTCCCGTTCAGGGACACTGAACCTGCCTTCACCCTCTGCTGGAACTCAATGAGCTGCTGGAGCCCGTTCCTCGGGTTCGGCACAAAGGTGTCATATGTAGAGGAGAGGCTGTCTTCTCGTCCGCGTGCTGCAGAAACAACAACAGGTAAATGCATTTGAGTAGATTTAGATTTAAACTTGCTGAAGAAAGAAGTGACTAAAGTAACAGTAGTTTTGTCACTTTGTGTGGCCAAAAGTACAAAAAACAGAAAAAAATCTCTGTATCACTATCCGTGATCGAGAGGTCTGCTCTTATTCTTTCTCACACTTGTATTTTTCTAATCTTCCTGGCGCCCACATGTGTCTGAATCTCTCACCTGCTCATTTTACTGCTCATTTTACTGTTTGTCTGCTCATTACTGCTGCCATCACAAAATCCCCCACAGTGATCACTACAATTTAATTAATTTCCCCAAAACTATCTATTAAAATTCACATTAACTAATACAACACAGTAGGATATTTCAACAGGTAATCACGAGGGAGAAAAAAATTAACTGGCACAATAAAAGCCCTGCTGTTCCGAATAAAAATATTACAATCTGCAGATCTCACTGTGATGATAGTATCTCTGCACAGAATGGGGATTAAAAGCTGGCTGTAGGAGGGAGCTCCAGCAGATATAAATGGAAACTTCCAACTGGTCCTCACTTTTTGTACTTTTGCTCTAAAATTAATGAATGGAACTTTCTTTTATAGTATAAATAATTAGCTACAAGTAATGACAGTGATATCCTTATTTATTTAATATGCAGATGACCTCATGACCTACGAGTTAAAACATATACTACTTTCCATGGCTAGAACCTTTCTTACAGGAATTTATTATTATACATACATGTAGAAGTAAAAAGCATGTATAAATTTTAAAAACTACATTTTAAGATTTGCAAGTTTCCACCTTCTTCCACTGGACAAAAGTGAAGCCAAAATACCCAAACTAAAAGCAATGAGAAATTACTCGGATATCCTGGTTTTCATACGTTCAATGACTCTTATGTTTGCGTTCATCTTCTTTGAACTAGCTAAACTTGGCTTGCATCGACTGAGCACAAAATAGCATAAAATTGTGATACATCGGTTATTAGATATCTGCATCAGCGAAATCCAATCAGTTTCAGGCGAGGGACTCTGAATTGATTTTGTGTTTTTTTTTTTTTTTTTTTTTTTTTTTAGTAATATGTTGATCATATTGATTTGATAGAAGTATTATAAAATTACGTATTAAATATGATATAAAAGCCACTAAAGTGTTGGACCCACATTAATGTTTGATCCAACTCCCATCTGATTACAAGGAGGAAGTGGGCTTAATGGCTTTATGACTTATTCTGCAGTCAATCAGTCAATTTTGGTTTCACTTTTGGAGAGCGGTCATGTTGCCTACCATTTATGCAGTCGATGATACAGATTAAAATGAGAAACATCATGACTCTCACCTTGTTTGGTGGGAAGTGAATACAGATCAGCCTCGCTCTGTGGTGTCTTCTTCTGCTGGAACACTAAACACAGTGTTCACAGATAATATAAACTTTTTAGACAATGTAAATGCTCAGCAAGTACAGCATTATTCTTGCTAAATAATATTATATATAATAGAGTAGAAGCGCCTGCATGTCACCAATTCATCCACAAGATGGTGCTACACCATAAACGTACAACCAGTTTACTTTGAACCTTAAAAAAAATCTTTTTTTTTTCCTGTTGGAAAAAAAAGAAAACCCCTCACGTAATAATAATGTAAATATATTATTAAAATAAGAAGAATGCAGATTGTTTTTCCAGACTTGCGTCCGTGTTTCTCTCAGAGGAAAACACACACAGAGTCAGTCCTGGATTGAATTAGCTGCTCTGAATGATGCTTTTGGTTTGGAAGTGAGCTGTCAGAATGAAAGGCTACACTGTTTAGCTGTCGGAGGCGGTGAATCTGCGGCTATGTGACCAACGCTGGATTAGAATTCAACATCCACACCCTGCAAGATAATCCCGCCTCTGACTTCTTCATCCATGACAGCGTCTCTCTTTTCCACTTCATGTTCAAACAACCTTTTTCTCCCGCTATAACACAAATCGGGCTTTATTCAGATGAAATAATGAGTGGAGCACTGCTGCAGATGTGTCACATGACTGTAGCTATTACTCAGGAGTGTGTACATTGCTCTCGGTGCCTGTGCTGGATTGAATTTCTTTCACATTTTCAGTATTTCAGTCTCATGGAGCTTGAGATAACAAAAAGAAAACTCCTCATTATGTCCACTTTGTGCAGTGGTCTCCAATAACTGGCTCCTCTCCTAATCCTCCAGCAAGCCTCATCTCTCTCACATCTCTCTCACTGCTGCAGTGGGAGTGAGGAGCAACAAATAGGAAAAAAAAAAAAAAGAAGGTGATCCTTGTGTGGTTTGAAGCTCCACTGTCTCAATAGATGGAAACCTCAAAATCCCTCTGCTTCTTTCTCTCGTGCGCTCTGGGGACAAGGACGATGGAAAACATGTGTAATGACTTATTCTGGCTGACTTGGCCTTGGTTTTGGCCGAGATTGGTTGCAGATGGCAGCCCGGTAGTTCCCTCTCTGGTTGGGAGAGCTGCGGAGAGTTCAGTGGTGCACTCAATTTCTGTTTTGCTTTGTAAGTCCCATTGGACGGAGAGCTGGCTCACTGGATATGAGGGAGCTCGATAAAATGCTGCATTGTAGAGAGAGGGAGCCTGTTGCGCTGTCTTAATCATAATGTGTGTTTTGAATGCACAAGTGTAAAATGATCAGTGCTAATAGTTATATAGTGGATGCATGTTTGCATTAGCGGTGGAAAAGAGAAGTTGCAGCCCCTTTTAATGATTTATAAGCCTTAATAATACCAGTCACTTTTGGATGTTTCATCTTCATGAAATATTCATGCTGCTGAAATTGAACAGTTAGGGGCTGTGGGCTCTTGATGCAGGCAAATGGCTCTTTTCTCTCCCTCTCCTTGCTTTTGTTTGTTTTGCAGCATGGCGTGGCCGTGTTCTTGTGGTTTATGGGATCAAAACAAACTGCATGGCAGAAAAAAAAAAAAAAGAAAAAGAAAGAAAGAAAGAAAAAAGCCTCTCCTGCTCTATTCAGCAGCACTCCACTCCAAAATGGCAATGCACATTCCAGGCACTTCCTCCCTCCCACATGATCTCCCCAACTCCCCTTCACATACTGTGCATAACTTTGTGTTGTTTCTAATCCTGATCAGCTCCATCATGACTGCAGTTTGGAGAATCAGGGGCATCAAAGAGAAAGAGGAGTTTTTGAGGTACCTTTAGTGATGTAAGGGGTTGTGTCCTCCTTCACCTGGGTGCTCTCGGGACGAGGAGTGGGCGCTGGTGGGCGATTGGCTATGACAACAGCTTTTGTTGAGTTTAGGATGGTGTCATATTCATCGTTCACCCCGAGCGGTGCGTATATATCCTCCTCCTCCTCCTCCTCCTCTTCTTCTTTTTTCTCCTCCCCTCCTCCTCCTTGCTCGGTCTTTACATCTATCATAGAGGGAGTTCCTAAAGCAGAAAATGTTTACTGCTCCACAGCTCATAAGTCATGATGAAGTTTTGTCATTTCACAGCTAATCGGAAGCAGCGCCACATGGTGCTCGCATCAGCTCGGGGAAAAATATTCAGTGATCGGAAATGAACAGCAAACTGGTTTAATAATGGAAAATAAAAACAATTCCATTACCGGCTTCTCTCTGTCCCACTCCCACTTCCCATCAGTCCTTTCACTCACCTGCGGTGCACATCATTTCATACACGCTGGCATCACCATTGTCCTCGGCTGGGTTTAACATATTCTGGAAGAGGAGAGCATGACGAGATACATTTAATGCCTTTTCAAAAGCATAAAGACACCTCCCAAGAGAAGCAATGTACATTTGAAGAGAAATGTCTTCTCTGTGTGGAGTTTTTTTTATCTGGATATGAGAAAAAACTGAGATTAATTCTGATTAATTCTAAACCTACAAAAGCAAACAAGACCCTCAGGGACAAGACTGATAATTTCTCAATAGTTGTTATTAACGCCTGAAACCTCTGCTGCAGGGTAGTTGTTAGACAGGAGCGCTTACAGAACCCTGCAAAAAAATTTATGCAATGTGAGAATCAGGGTGAGATTTTAAGGAGCTAACATGACTAAATCATTTTGTTTTACTTTAGCCTTTTACACCTACGTCTCTTTTCACACAGGCCTCCATCTTGCGCCGCCATGTTTCTACTGTAGCACAGACTGGACCAACTGGTACCATACTCGTCTTTTTGTTCAGTTGGGTTGCTGCTGAAAATGCACCAGCTGGAGGATGAATAATAAGAATAAACTGATTGTTGTGCATGAAAGACTTTGTACTGACAGATAGTTTTGATAGTGAAAACTTGATGGAGAATCATATTTATGCATCAGAGAAGCTCCAGCTAAGGGGTTAGCAAGGGAGCGCTGACGAGGGATGGGTGATAAAGGCTTAAAAAATGTATCACGATAAGTTTTCCATTCTGCCGATTATGATAAAAGTAACGATAAAAAAATATAAAAATTCCAATTTATGTTTTTGACTCATTCTGTCTTGAGGACACCGGTTGGCAAGGTCAAATAAGATACTTAAGCACAAGTTTAAAGGGATATTCCGGTGTAAAATTACACACTGTAAGTTAGACATCCCCTCGAGAGATGAATGTTGCCGACCGCTTGTTTCTGTATACCAACTTTAGTAACGACCGCACGATAGCAATACACAGCGGTCTATGTATCCATGCACAAACCTCAACCAAAACGCCACTCTATAGCTACAAATAATGCTCAAAGCAGCACCTAACTTCATCAACAGTACATATAGGGTCCCAGCCATAGTACTAGCCACCAAACATCTTTTTAGCTTTGCCTGATTTCTTTAGCAAAGAGACTAAACACAACTCACCTACTCTCTTCCAGCGGCCGCTTGTTTGTAGCGAGACCTCGGGCCAGTCCATTACGGACTACAGCGGGGTGACACAGCTCAAGGAAGAACATTTATGATCATTTCTTCATGGAAATGCAATCAGACTGAGACGCTAAGGCAGAAGAACTACCGCGTCTACAGTGCAAAATGATTAATATATTGATTATTACTTCAAGGACATGATAAGTAATGATTCATCTCTTGAGCTGGTGTCTAACTCGGTGTTACGGTGTCTTTGACCCTAAATTAATTTTATCCCTTTATGTGGTAGGTAATGGAGAAAACTGATGACATCAAACAAGACTCAAATGTGAAAACATTTTCAACATTTGTTGAAAACTCTTACAGCACAGAGTGAGCAGATCCACTGTCCAATGTCAGGCATACCTGACTGCGCTCATCTAAACCCTAATCTTGAAGGAAATCCCTCATGTGGATCCTCGTTCAGTAACGAGCTGCTCAGAGATGTCTTCTTCATTACCTTCGGCCATGTTTGTTTGTTATTCTGATCTATGTGGGCTATGGCTGTGAGTCTGTCGCTTGCGCTTACGTCATTAACTTGCATTTTTCGCGTTTATCGTAAGACGGCAAATATTTATCATGAAGGAATTTTCGGACGATAAATCGTGAATGATAATTTATCGCCAATCCCTATTGCTGACCTCGAAATATTCCCGAACACTGTAGTTTCTAGACACTGTACCCTTAAGTCCTGGCTTCCCTACATAAAAAACATATATTTTTTATTTTAGCTAAGCCCTTAATCTCATTTGTACACATTCAAAATTTTCGTTATTTTTCTTTTGCATTAAAAACTGGTTTTAAGGATAGTTTTTTATTCTATGTATATTTTATATTTTTTTAATCAGTACACACAATTTTTTGAGTCACTTCTTGGCTCCCTACATCCTTCTTGTTGTCACATGTTCCCACCTGTACTGAATCCACAAATCCACAAAGCACTTAGGCACACCACAGGCTGACATCTTCCACTTCGTCAGGCTTTAATTTTCAATGTTTTCATGTCAGATTTGACAAGTATCCACATTATTAATTGCCACTGTATCTGTTCCGACTTCGCTGGAGGGAAAGCAGTTTCAGAGCTCTAACAGGCATCAAAGAGGTGTGCTGTAACCCTGCTTACAGGCTAACAGAGAGCAGCTTTCCCTCTGACAGCAAAGCTGCTGCGGAGTCGGCCCTATTTGCTAATAGCATGCTGAGGGACAGACAGGGGTATGATCAGGGTAATTATGAAATCAGACAATCTTCCCCTTTCAGTCCAAACATATCATTTAGTGAGCAATTCAAGACCCTCAGCTTGATATCTAGACTGCATCCGCAATTAGATCGAGACAGGGTTGTTAGTTTTCTGCCTCATTTCAACTTCTGATCAAGATGTGAGGAGTTGCTGAATATAATTTTGATGTTTGATATGGTGAGATGTTGCTCTGATTTCATCTGGCCAGAGTGTATTTTAAACCAAAAAAAAAACAACAAAAAAACATAAAAGTGAGGACTGGGACTGTATTTTAAATACAGCATTCAAAGAAAATGATGCATTCTTAAGCGAAAAGCACAAATTTAAGTAAAAAATATAAATCTATCCAGAATATATGAGATCTATCTCTTTGATAAGACTATCCTCCATAGAACTCACCACGCTCTATGTGCAGTTTCCAAGCAACACAGCTACTCATGACTCAATTACAATATTACACTGTTCCTGGATCTGCAAATTACTTATTGGCTGCTATGAATCCATTACTAAACAGTAGAGGTTCCTTACAGGCCCAACAGGTAGAAAAGACGGGTTAATTACCACCACAGCTTGAACATTGATGTATAATAGTTGGATGCGGAGCTTAAGCCCAGTGTGGTATTTTCAGAGGTAAGTTCTGGACAGGGAAGAGTATTTATTTACTAACCGCAAATGCTAAATCATTTCTACAGATGTCTGAAACTCTAGGCGCCTCGGGCGATCCAGACAAATGCAGTTTCACTGCTGCAATCTGAGCAGCAGTGCTGCAGACTAAACAGCAGGCATGATTGTGTTAGAGGGGGAACAAATCTCAAGCAAATCTACTGAAGGATAAAGAGTGAAAGTCTGTTTTCAGCAGCTGAAATAGTCCGTCCACAGGCTGGCTAGACTCCGCTCTCAGTGTCAGCATGCTGACTGTATTTTTTGACATAGTGGTCACAGGGTGAGAATGTCTGACGCCTGGCAGATTGTTTAGGGTAACACTGAAGCCATCACTTAAGTGCAGACTGGAATAAAACCTGTCTAATTTTTCTTTCTGCATGAGTAAATACAAAGTGGCCAGCCTAGCAGACAAAGAAACACTTCACAGGTCTGTTAGACCAGTGGCTCTCAGCCGGTCTCACTCTGGGACCCACATTTTCCCATAGTCCTGAAGTCGCGACCTACTTTTATAGAATTCAAACAAAGCAAATGTATTTTTTATTAAAAAAAAAAAAAAACCTTTAAAGACTCTAATCTTTAACATAAATCCACTTGTTTTATTGAGTAAAGTGCATTTCAGAGCACATGAAGGAGACAGCATGAGGACGACAACTACTGAAGTTGCATCTACAGAAAATATCAAATATCTAATAAATGTCGCATTAAATATTTACTTTTTTGACCAGCTGTTCGTGACCCGTCCAAAAGCCGTCTGCGACCCACTTGTGGGTCGGGACCCACCAGTTGAGAACCACTGTGTTAGACTAACTCTGTAAAATGATATCTTCAGAAGTGTTACAGACCCAAACATGCAGCCCTTAAATCAGGCCTTTATGCTAAGAAAAAAGGAGTCATTCTAGCAGGTTCAAGCTAAATAGTCATGCCAGTATGCTCATCATGCTGATGTTTAAACTTGACATGCTAATGTTAAAACAGAGACTATGAATGATGAGTCGAGTTAGTCTCTTTGTTTTAAAAGTGTACCCAGTAAGGAAGTGTCGTACACCTATGTTGCTAACCAGTTGATTGGTTGGTCTGTGAATTGGGATGATTAATTGCATTTTGAAATAACTGGCATCACATCCACATTGGTGCTAATATTGCTGATATCACTATTATCTTATCTAAATGATGGCACTTTTTTTCCCCATCCGGAATGCCGACACATCAAATCTAAAAACAGCTACCGGGTAATGTTAGTGGTATAGATTCACAAATTATTTCATATTGCTTCTGACATAAAGATATTTTGCTGAAATCTAATTTCTGTTTCATAGATTAAAGCTCCAGTGTCTTATCGCTGAAGGTCTTTTTTCTCCTGTATGTCACACAAAGGCATCAATATGAATTTTAGTCAATTTCAAAAACATAACAAAACTCCTTACAGGAGCTTTAAATAAAAACCAGACCAAAACATGTTTCTGTTCTGAAGATAATATATATTAGATTGTAATGTACATAAAAATGGAATGATGAGTGACTTTATTATTATCATTTTCATCCCTGATTCTTGCCAACAATGTTTCCCATCAGTGGCATTGACATTGGCGGTTTACCAACTAATAATCACAAGTCAAAACTCACTGAGGACTAAAACTATCACAGCATTCATCACCTGATTTATACTGTATGTACTTCCCCCCACTGTAGACATGAATTCATACATGCCTGGAGTTGAAAAACTTTAGACTCTGACCTACTTTCAGCGCCTGCTCTATTCCATAATCTCCTTTTCACGATCAGTACAAAGCTTTTAATGAGACAGATATGATTGGAAATCAAAAGTTTGACTTGAACCACACATTAGGAGAGTGATAAGCAAAAACTAAATTAATAAATATGCTGACATGAGTGTAAATCCTACTCCAAACAATACCAAACAAATTAGACACCACCTTAATACCATAGTGTTGCAGCACATCTATTAAAACACAACCTAACAGGTTTAGAGGCAAACAGTTTAGTTAATCAAATAAATTAAAGTAATTGTTTAAACAACATTGCAGAAGATCAAGGCACATACAAGTACAACCAACCATTAACACAAAGACACACACAGCTACTATATTCTTAAAATTAGATTTCGGTGTGACTTTTTAATGCAGACTGTAGATGTTTGGGCCTATAAGGACCCACAGAACCAGCACCTCTGGGGCCGATTAGACCAACAACTCAGCTATTTGCAGCTAAACATCAAGAGCACATTTCCATCTTTCTTCTGTTTCTAGATCAGCCAGAAATTAGTTGGAATCAACATTTCCAATATGGCATCCATCATCATTTGGTTTCATAATGCCTCATGCCTCATAAGAAAGATGGTCTCAGACTACATCCATGTTTCATACAGTCTGTGGCTGAAGAGAATCATGATAGTATGAAACCAGAGTAGAAAATCACCTCCATTTTCAACTGATTTATAAGTCTGCCAAAATCCATCATTGCCGGTAAAAAATAAAAAAAAAAGTAAGAGCCCAAAAGTCAGTGGGGTGGATTTTGTCAAAAAAAAAAAAACTTTTCTGGTGGAGCAGGTACACCACAGACTCAGGCTACAGTCTTTGCTGCACTGGTCCTGAGATCAATTACTGATCCTGACATTTAGGGCCATTCCTCTTCTCTACCAATACTTGTTACTTTGAACATTTCCCATCAGTAAAGAGGCAAAGAGTTCCCCAACGTAAAAACAAGAAAGAAAGAAAGAAAGAAAGAAAGAAAGATGGGACGGAGAACAAAGAGAAGAGAAAAATATAAACTAAAAGAAAAGAAAAAAGAGAAAGAAAGTCAGTATGAAAAAGAAAGATAGCATGGAAAGAATAGAGAAAGCCAGAAGGCAAAACAAAATGAACAAAAAGAAAACAGAAAGACAGAAACACAAAAGAGAAAGAAAGGAGGAAAGAGAAGAAAAATACAAACAGAAAAAAGGAATAAAAGAGAAAGAAAGAAAGAAGACAGAAAAAGACAAAATGAACAAATGAAAAACATTAACACAAAAAAGAAAGAGAGAGAGAGAAAGAAAGAAAGAAAGAAAGAAAGAAAGAAAAGAGAAAGAGAGAGCGAGAAAGGAAGAAAGATGAGACAAATAGACAGAGAAAGAAAAGAAGAGAAAAAATAATCTCAGAGAAAAGAAATAAAAGAGAAAGTCAGTATGAAAAAGAAAATAGCAATGTAGTATAGAGAAAAGACAGAAGACAAAACAAAAAGAACACATGGAAAGAAAGAAAAACAAAAACACAAAAGAAAGAAAGAACGATAGAAAGGAGGAAAGAGGAGAAAAATACAAACAAAAAAGGAATGAAAGAGAAAGAGACAGAAATAAAGACAAAATTAACACATGAAAAACATTAAGACAATGAAAGAAAGAAAGAAAGAAAGAAAGATGAGTCAAATAGAGATAGAAAAGAAGAGAAAAAATATAAACTTAAAGAAAAGAAAAAAGAGAAAGATAGCAAAAAAAGAATAGAGAAAAGACAGGGTAAAACAAAATTAAAAAATGGAAAACAGAAAGAAAGAGAAAGAAAGAAAGATACAAATGAAAAAAGAAAATAAAGAGAAAGAAATACAGAAATACAGAAATACAGAAAGACAAAATTAACAAATGAAAAACTGAAAGACAAAGAAAGAAAAAGAAAGAACAGGTTACAGAATAACATGATTCACTAGAATAGGCCTGGGCTGAAGACTTCATCTGCAGGTGGCCAAGATTATAAAATAAAATTGATGGTTATCCATCCATTTGTGTTACATTGAGACTAGATATCTGAAAAAGAGGTTAACTTCACTTCCCCTTAAGTGACTTTGCTTAAAATGACTCACAGAGCTTAAGCTTGGATCAAATTTTACCCATCCTTTGTGATGCCAGCTGTAGCCTTAGGAATGAGAACAGTTTCTTTGTGACAAGGGAGCATGGCCGTATCATTCAAATAATAATCAAATCAGAGGAGTTTGCTGATTACGATGTTGTAGTCACAGCTTCATGCAAACAGAACATGCAAAATAAGGGCTGAGGAGTGAGTGAAGCCCTGGACGACAGTACAGGAAGCCACTAATTTGGTTCTGCTGTACACAAAGAGAGCATGCAGTGCATAAATAGTTCTTCGTAGTCTTTGGAGGATTGTACGCTTTCACACTAATTTGCATTTACATCATGAGGGCGCACAAAGACACTTGGTTGCAAAGAAGTCACTGAGTGCCAAATGTGTGGCCCAGTATGAGGAGAAAATAATTAAATAAGAATAATGTGATTGTGTCTGTAATCACTCTGAGCAGGCAGGATATTGCAGCGTTAGGACGTAAACATAACAGCAGAGTATTTTCTATATTTGTATTCTTGTTATACTCTTCCTAAATAATTCAGTCTTCCCCTCTGGAGCAGTTCACAGCTAATTAACAAAGAAGTGCGGTGCCAGGGCAAACGAGTGGATCTGACGCAGGCCCAGTGAGTGATTCAGCCTCTGTATGAAGCAGGGGACCGATCCATCTAGGATTTATTGACAGAGTGCTGCTACTCTGACGCCCAAATCACTGATGCATCATGGGTTGATTAATTGGAGGTAGGGGGGGAAATGCTGCAGATGAGTTAATGAAAATGCCAAGTGAAAAAAAGGGCAAGAACAAAACCCTATGCCACAATGCTGACTCTTACACGTCCTCTGAGCGCCACACAAAGAGCAGTGTGTCTATAGTTTGAGCTGTCAACTTGAGTTTTAATTACCCTTCCAGAAAAACCACACAGAAATGTCAGAGTCAGATGTGTCTGATGTGTTACAACTACAGGCTTGTAGATGTCCCTGTGGGGAGACCTCTGCTTGACTTGGCTGCTCCTCTGTCTGCTCATGCTCTCACAGTGAGCACTTTGACTCACTAGAGCGATCTGATCAAACCTTACTCCATCTGTAGTCACTCTCAATTAGCGCTGTTGCTAGGGGGGGATTAATACATTTGCAACAGCTGTTGGAGAATCTAAATTTCCCCAGAGGAGGGAATTCTCTATATGTCAGTCCAGGCCATCAGAGGAAGTGAAATGTTGTCAGTATGTAAGAGAAGATGGCAGATAAGAGTCAAGGTTTCCACATGAATGGATGAGTGGTGAACTATTATCTGTTACAAACAGATGTAATATACAAAATTCTACAGCTGATAATGATAAGAGCTTTAAATGATCGGTGCTCCCAAAGGAAGACAATCAATGATCAGTCTGTGTCTGAACAGATCAGTTCCAGTCGTGCTTTGGTTGTAGATGCGTAAATCCATCTCTAATTGTTTTGCCACAACCCTGATACAATTTAGAGGCTTAAAATCTTGTTTGGGCCCAATAAATTTATTTATCTTCTGTGTGTTTGAGCACTTTTTGGGTGGCTTCTCACTCTATTCTGTTGTCTTTATACCTGATAATTATGACATTTTACAGATACACATTGCACTTGATGTGTATAGTCAGGCGAGTCAAGATTCTCCTCTGAATATTTCATTATCTTGCGTTGTATATTTGCGTCGTTCCCGGGGTGTAAGGACCTTAATGCTATGAAAGAAAAAATACTTGAGGAAACATATCCTAACTGATGAGGTTGATTTGCAGCAGGTTAGCAACATTACTGAGTAAAAAAGGTGTTCTGAAGCAACTGTTTGCACTATCATTGTGCATGGGGTTCTGAGCCCTCTGTGCCTTCATCACTGTTGCAGGGTTTCGTTCGATTTCTGGGATCTGTAATAATAGCTCTGCATTCTCATATTCAATTAAAGCTAGTAAGCAACATTTTCTCATGCTTGAAATTAACAAATTTTGATCATTGCCTGTCACTAACAATATTTTATTCAAATATTTCCATGGCTTAATGCATTGAGTGAAAAAAAAAAAGGTTTTATATGTTAGCTTTTGCCAATCAAAGTATAGACACCAATGGTTTCTCTGGCGAAAGAAACTCTCAGGCAGCAGAAGCAACTACAGCAAAGATCAAAGCGGTAGAGCAGGCTTCTAGCTGTCACAAAAACACCAGACTGACAAAACTTACATAAAAGCTAAACAAACTTATGTAAACACAGTTGTGTTTATCTAACTGAGGTACATTTTTGCATAAAACAAACATATAGAGTATTGCAAATATGGGCCCAGGCAAAGATGATTGTTTCTTTCATTGTGCTTGTCTGTGTAGTTAACTATTCGCAAAGTATTCGCAATGTGCCTGACATCTTGGCTACACCACTGGGCGCATCAAATCTTTTCCATAATGATAATGTCCTCACTGCTTAATGAAATTAGTATTGGAAAAAAACACTATAATGCGAGTGTCCTCCAGGTTTGTCAGATAAATGAGTGTGCATGCATGCAGAGGAGCTATTAAACGTGTTGCTCTTGTGTCCCTGTATCTACCCTGTAAGATAGGGGCTTCAGAGGGAAGGGGCTCTTCATATTTACATGAGAAAATGGCAGCCATTACGCAAGAAAGTCTTGACATTAGCGGATGCGCTAATTGTCTGAATGTATGCAGACGACCCAGCGCTGTGAGCCATTGTGCATGCATGAACAAACACAGCCTTTCTAGTCTCTGTGGGGGTGTTCCATTAGAAACCTTGCAGGCCAAACACATTCAGGATGAGAGGGGAGGCTGCGACACTCGCTGGATGAAAAGACACTGGTTAGGAGAGGAGCGAGGTCACCCCTGATATACGGGTCGCTCTCACCGCTCTCCACCTTTTTCATCCTCTCCATTTTGTTCATAATTGATAAAGCACCACTCACTCAGAGCCCTAACGCTGTCCTGGTGTTTGTTATAGCATTCCTGAGTGCTGAACTAGTTCCCCCGGCTGTGAAATCTCACAAGCAAAGGTGCATTGTGTTGTTTTTTTCTCCATCTGTCAGTGGAAAACTGTAAACTATAGAATTCTTTAAAAAAAACTTACATCCAGGCAGACAAATAATGTCATTAGGGTTGTGTTGATTAGCTCACAAATCACCAAACATGAGAAGCTGTCATCAGATATTGGCAATTTGAAGAATGTCTTCATCGTGTGAGGGTCAATGACGCTGAAGAGTGTTTTCTGCTGTGATAAATGAATACCAACTGGAGCAAGATATTGAAAGCCAATAAAACCAAAGACTGGATTGGCTGTGAGTTGCAAATAGCCCATGAGGAAGTAGTTACCAGTGTTTCCTTCAATAAGACATGCAGCTCTGTATGGCCATGACTCTTGGCGATCTCAGCTGGAGTCTGTCCCTGGCGGTTGGCTGTGTGCAGGGCTCGCTCGGCGCCCGGACACTGCAGGAGGAGGCTGGAGACACTCTTGAGGCCGAACTGGGCAGCAAAGTGGAGGAGTGATGGCCCGTCTGCGTGGTGGAGCTCTAAAAGGGACATTTGGGAAATCTGATTAGGTTGGGGGAACATAGCATTAAAAAGTGACTCTGCAGCAATGCCTGAAAATGAACAGCATTACGCTCCTCAGCTGTGATAACACCACGGAAATGGCTTTCTCTGCAGGGGGATAACTTGAGGTTGAGGTGCTGCAATCTAACACAATCAGGAGAGTTGAAGAAAAGCACCTTGGAGGCGCTTATTGACTTGTTTATCATGGAGACATTTCCCTGTGCCCTTTGTAGCAGAGTTAAGGATCAATCTCAGGGGCTGATGAAGCCATCAATCTGCAACATAATGAGCTCAGCAATAATGGAAGGTTTTCTTTTTCATGTTGGATAATGTGCATCATGCAACAGGAACTCCCTCCAACTGTGAGAAGTCTGCTCAGTCCAGACACATGCTCAGAGGGAAATAAACGGACGGACCTGCTACAACGATGACCTCACTTTTTATATGTGAGGAACAGAGGCGATCTAACTTTGATGGAAAGTTTTACGACAGGATTACAAACATATTTTACCTTTTTCTGGTGTGTTTCGACACTGAAGACCCTGGAAGCCTCCAGTGGGCATCTTCTCTAGTAGCATAGTAGACAACTTCTGATCCAGCCCCTCTACAGACGACTCCTGAAGAGCCTGAAATTCAAAGAAAAGACAGCTTTCAAACACTCAAGAGGTTGAAATGATTTATTAAAGGGAGACTATAAAGAAAACCAATTTCAGGAAATTAAGAATTAATTTAAAACCTGACTAACAAACAAAAGCACCCTCTTAAAACAGCGAAAATGCTTTGATTTCCGTTTGAAATACAAACTCTAGATGCACAGTTAAGACACCCGTTTGAATTTCAAGCCAGCTGACTCTTTAAGTTTGAAATACACTTGGCAAATTCTTCTTTTGGCAACACTCGAGTTTGCCTCTTCAGCAAAAGAGACCTAATCCAATCAAGTGTTCATGGCTGAGAGAAGGCTGCCATCTCCAAAGTTCCAGAGAGGAGGCTGTAAACAGTGGCGCACATAAACATTAGATGTGTGCTGACTCAATTCATTCTGTTTCTCCACCTCCTTCAAATGGCTCTAAGTGGATCGATTATAGGCAGTGTTTTTGTGTGGCCATTGACTAATTTCTATAACTGAGTTACATAAAAATGAGTCACTAAGTAATTCAGAGCTCCTCAGTGGACTCCCTTTTATTGAGAAACAAGAGAAAAGCTTGTCTCTTTAACGTGCTTTGTACTTTACTAAACCAATTATGGATGGAGTTATTTTAATATGCGTACAAAAGTTAAATCTTCTGAGATCTTTTTCCCTTTTAGAAGTGGGGTTGCACAAGGTACTTGTCAATAGTGAGTGTATTAGCTGCAGGAGGTGTGGCTCAACTCGCCCACTTTGTTGAGAAAGCAAAGTAGACTACCTCTTAATTTAGCTAATTCTAAGGAACTCCAACCAAAACACCAATCTTGGTGTAAGTGCACACTCTATTTTGGAACTGCAGTGCTTTACTGTCCCGTAAGAACGCTCATCCATTTTTGCGCTATTTTCAGATGTGGCTCATGGGTGACCTTTAATCTGCAGTGCACCGATCAGCTGTTTAGGGACGCAGGCCTTGAAGACAAAAATACAACAAACTTAAGAATGAGTGGTGACATGCTGTTAACCATGGACACATATAGACACCTTTACAGGCCAGAGGAACAAGATTCAATGATGGAAAGAAAAACAGGAAGAAAAACTGCAAACTGGAGAGCAGGAGAGATCCCAAGTTACCTGGTGGTTCAGATGTGTAAATTGTGAGTCCTTGCCCACAAACCAAGAGAACTACCCACTACATGAGTGGAACTACAACAGTATTTTATACCTTTCTTAATAAAAGGATACCAGTGGATTACATACAGCTGCAGTCTGCATCACTCATATGCGCTTAATATACACAATGTTAGCTGCTGGAGGGGAAGACAAAGACAAATCAGGAGGCTGGGGGTCCAATTCCAGGTCCACATGCCAAAGTATCCATTGCTTCTATCATAATACTCTGCTGGTTTCTCAACAAAGGGGGCCAAGATGATCAGGAACCCCTGTGGCTATTAACAAGTACCCAAAGAAAATGAACTATTCCTTTAATGTGACATTGACCTCTCATTGCAGAGTTTAGCCCTTATAAAAAAAATAAGTTTGGAAATGTCAATGAAAAGCTTTTGCAAAAGTTAAGCCACATTTCTAGCTCATGTCATGATTATGATTCAATTCAAAAAATAAATTAACTTCCTGTTGCTTCCTATTAAGAGGCCCTTTGTTTTGGATTGCACCATCCAAACTAATGGATGAAAGAGTGACTGTTCTGAATCCAAACATGTGACATGCTCACTGTTTGTTTCTGGCATGGGTCCAGTCTGATAAACACTATTTTTTTTTTTCATCACCAGGCTCCTAATTTTAAATTTCCTGATAAACGTGTAACTCTAGCTCACCTGTCTTTCACAGTCAGGACAGCACCCTATTGATAGCTCACATTCATGTTTATCAGGTTGTGTAGTGGCTTAACACGCACATCAAAAAGGACATAATATAACTTCTAAACATCAAAACGGCAGGCTTGTTGAGCAAAGCACCAAAAGCTTGAATATTTTAAGGTGATATTTTTGCACACAGGGTTTACTTGACACATAAAATCCACAGGGTCTGCTGCCTTTGACAGAAGGCTGGTTATTTCCTCCATGGTAGTGTAGTACTGCAGATGTGCCCTGCTCAGTGGTGCTCCGTTGCTGTATACTGTGACTTCTACCTTTCCTGCTGGAAAATCTGCAATAGAAGAAAATTAACAGATTAAATATCTCAATGGTTTGTTGTGATGCTAATGCTACATTCACGCTTTGGTAGTATGTTATTCACCTGGTGCATTGATGCACAGTATGTGCTCGTTCCAGCGGGCAGGCTTCACTCTCACTGTCTGATTCTCACCACTGAACTCAACCTCAGCATCGCTGCCAGCCGCCTCGTTTTTCAAAAGAATGAACACTTCCATGGAGCTCTGCCAAGAATTCAGTAAAGTGAACTGCAGTGTAATCAATGCTGTGGATGCTTTATGGAAAAAAGAAATGGCTTACTACTGACTAGATGAGTCTCTCACCCTGCATGAAACCCTGGAGGGAACCACCATTATGCTGGATCTGGCACTGTGGGCTCCAGTCGACTGCACTTGTTCTGCATTTTGCTCTGATCTTGATAGTTTACGTGTCACAGGGTTGTCATTTGCTGATGCTGACATGCCTACAACAGATGGGACAGACTATATTTTGTATGCATATCAGACACCATAAACTATCCCTCTATTTCTATTAGCCATAATGATAGTAAAACACAAACAGTCATTTTCCTTTTCTTCCCTTGAGGGTGAATCATACTGACTTTGTGATTCCCCTGACTTTGATTTTCAGCAGCTCATCTCCACAATTGTTTTAAAAAATGCAGTTAAATCTGGTACAGATATTCAAGTCTTTTGCAGGATGTTGAAGAATTACTTGGTGATCCCTCAGTTTTACTGCTTCAACCATTATTTGGTCAAAATGTCAAAACATTTTCACCCACATTCTTTCTGTTTAGTGTGCTAATATTAGCATCCCAACAATAATCACAGGTGAGTTTGTTCAATAAGACAAATGCTAGTACATAAAACCTTGTTTGATATTGTATAACTTAAAAAGTAATCGTACGCACGTTATAGCCTCCTATCATTACGAGTTTTGTTTTTCATTATTTTACAAATGTTGGGCTGCAAACTGAAGAAAGTTGGTGAATAAACATTGTAAAAAAATGTCTGCAGGTTAAAATCATACACTGTATATACTATGGACAACTTGGCCCCGCCTTCCACCAGTATACGGGTTTGAAGCCAAAAAGCTCTCGGTATTTCCAAGTTTTTTCTCCACTTTCAGAGACCAACATTGCGCAGTAGAGTTGTCGGTGGGAGAGTCGCCAAGACATTGGCTGTGATGATGCTCAGCTCAGACAGCGTATCCCCCGGGTGAGCTACGCAATCTTTGTACACCCATAGGCTGCATCAAGTGTCAATCATAGAAAACATAAACCCCCTGATAACTTAGAGTAATTAAGCTGTACAGAAAAAAGGGGACTTGAGCACAAACCAGTCTTACAATAACTACATGTCAACATCGCAAGCAGGTGGGAGAAAAATTTTCTATTCTGTGTAATAAATTTCTAAAGTTTGTCCACAGCTCCATAGGGATTGCTGGAGGAGGCGGGACTTATGACATATACTGCAGCCCGTCACCAGAGGGTGCTGTTCTCGTGGTAGCTTCATCCAGTGAGGAGGCAGACGGTGTCCATTCTATATACAGTCTATGGTTAAAATAGTTATTTTAGAAAAGGCTGATCAAGTCCATGGTTGGGTGACCTTGTTTGGGAACTTACTTAAGTACACATAAGTTCAAGCATTTCTTTACCATTTCAAATAACAAATTAGAATACAGAATGATTTTTGTTACAGTACTTACAGCTTACATTACTAAAGGCTTGTAATATAGCATAGCTTTGGCTTATCAGCAACTGTATGTCAGTAAAAACTAATGTTTTAAAAAAAGAGTTTTTATTTCTGTTACATAAGTGGTTGCTCACTTAGCCATCAAGTGCACTTTCTTCCCCTCTGAACAAAGAAACTCATCAAACACCCACATGTCTGTTGCATGAGCTAACAAACAAACAGCTCCATCCTGTATGAATAGGGAAGGGTACTTCTAGTTTAAAATATAACTGTTTGTGGGATCCTGGCCTGAACCACTTCACTGTATCAGTGCAATGAAGCAATGCAGAGTGCACTTGAATTTGCATGGCTGGCAATGAATTGTCAGCGGCAGCCAAAGAGGAAAGACTGCTCTGCATTTGCATGAGATGTTGTTCCTGCACACACACCTGTTTAAATACAAGCCCCCCTCCTCCGCTTTATGATCTTATACAAATAGAGCAATTAGGAAAAACAGGGAAGGAGGCAGGGAGGATAATTAGTGGAGCAGATGAGGACATGCTACATATATTACCGCTTTGTTAAAGATGCTGCTGCTAAAAAGTATTGGACATCAATCATAAATTCACATTTTTCTCCCAGAAAAAAAAAATCGGTAAACAAGTTTCCAAGCTGCTGCTCAGGAATACTCACAAATAATGAGTATTGTTTTCTCCACACACTCATGGTGAAGGAACAGCAAGGCCATGCGACACTTTTCCTGAAGGAAGTGTTTGCAGAAGAGGATTTTTGTCCTGGGTTTTGAAGGCTAGTGTACAAATTGTGGCTAGATTTCAGTGCTTTTCCCTGTCATGCATTTGAACATGTGTCGTAGGTGTTAAATTGGCTGAGACTGATTGATCATTTTTTCTTCAGTTGAAAGAATATCAATCAATCAGTGCCATACAACAATAAAAATACTGCTTTTAGCACAAGTCATGAGGATTGTACTATTATAATAACTATATTAAAGTTTTGAAAGTTTTTTTAATGCAAACTATTGCTAGGATTAACATTAAGTTGAATGTATGAAAAATGTCATTAAGTTCATAAAGATATGACTATTTGAAGGCCTCCTTTGAGGTCCTTAAGCAAACTTTTTTGACCATTAATGAAATCATAGTTAAAGGTTTGTCAACAGGTGGTTTGGGGTCCAAAAAAAGGACAACATATAGTCATTTTGTTGCTAATGACATACCTTTCTTCACTATGTCAGTGACAGCAGACAGGTACTCGTGAGCATCTTGTTCACTGGAGATCTGCAGACACTCGTCTCCGTTCAGCGGCACCATCTCCAGCAGCGGGGTCAGACTCTCCACGCCGCAAAGCAGCACCACCACGTGAGTTGCAGGACTCAAAACACGGGCCAGGAAGAAGCGCCGCATCTGACACAGACCCTCCAGCATGCCTTTGGAAAGAATTAGGAGCTTGCAGGTGTACTGGGCCAAGGTGAGGAAATCTTCCCGCCAGCTGGACGCAGTAGCAATGTCATAGCAGCAGATCCCTGCCTCTGAGACTGTACCGGTGAAGACTGAGTGCAGGTAGGTGGCCCATTGCTCTGCCTCTGTCTCATAGATGATTAACAGCTCCTTAGCTGCAAGTGATTGGCATCTTTTATTGACATATGGGCATCTTAGTATTTATAATACCATGAAAAAACTCCTATTATTAACATCTTAAGCACACATTTAGGTTATACTAGATATACCTGTAGCAGAAAGGAGGCTTGAATCTTATATCAACACAACTAACCATTTCTAGTTGAACCAAATGTAATGATTAATTAAAGAATAAATACAAACGGACAGCTCACCTGTCTGGCTCATGGCTGCAGTGCTGTTGGTCTACAGGTCTCACTCTACAGTGACATGTAAAACAGTACTACTATTGTCAGGAGGAGCTCAGATAAGAGGGAGTTTCCTGCTACACTTAACTGGAAAAAGAAATTAGACTTTCTGAGCTAACGTTAGCCTGGCTATCTGCTCTGATGATAGAGAACAAGCTTGAAAGTGCTTTTTGTCTGAGAAAAATATCAATCCATCAACACTTCATTTGTTGGCGACAATTTCAAGCAACTTAGTCAGTGGAATTAATTTGAAATCTGGCAGTATGAAAGTGATTTTGTGATGTTTTCCATCAGGAATCAATCACTCATGTTCAGCTTTTGAGTGCAGATGTTACTTGTAATGGCACACTCAAACCTTGGACAGGGAGTGGGTTTTTATAAATGTCTTGCCATGTAAAATAAAATCATAAAAAGTTGAGCTCTAGATAATGTTCAGTCACTGTAGAGGGCAGCATGGTGAGACAAAAACAACACTGAGTATGATGAGGATCCATTGTCAGATTTTGAAGTGAAAACTTTATGTTATAACTTATCTTCTAGTTACATATGCAACTTTCTTTTATAATAAAAACAAACACCACAGCACAGGCAACTGAAAATGAAAATGAAAATGAACGACTAGAACAACAAGTAACAAAAATCATTTTATAATAAGCCGCCTAAAATAAGAGCGAGTGGGTGTTTATATGAACACAAACAGCACATAATAAACACAAAGGTCATTGTGAAGCAGATAACAGGTGACCAGAAAGTCGTAGACTCAACTGGAGTTTAATTAAGTCTGCAGAGGTGTGGATGCAAAGCAGGGCACTAGAACCTGAGGCGTGTTGAAACTAATGATGTGCTGTGAATGTCTCTACTACAGGCGGACATTAAAAGCCTGGGATGTTCTGACCTTCTGGCACCGTCCCTCATTGAGGCAAATAAAAAAAACTCAGGGCTTCATTAACTGCCCCCACCTGCCAAACAACTGACTCATACCACACCACTGTCTCACTAATAGCAGTTTGCCACCATTTATTCCCTTTGTGCGGCCCCGGGGTGACTGAAAAGCTCAACTATTGAGAAAATGAGCAGGTGAACAATGAGTTCTCCTTCATGTAGATTGCGAATGCCATGTACTCTGTGACTCACCGTATATTGTTCTGTTCTCATGCATGAAGAGCCATAAACTTCACTTGTTCATTTCTGTGTGTCACTCAGATGAACCCTGAAAAAGAACCTCAAAGTATACTCTGCACCTGTAGTGGCTTCTCTTCTTTTGCATTTGCACATTTGTGAAAAGAAAAATAACATACCTTATGTTGTTGATGAAGCGATTACCGAAACTGAAGTTGTAAAATGGGTTGATGGAGGAAGAATGGACTCATTGAACCATACTGGTTCATCTTCATGGTAGCAGGAATAGTTTTGTATTTGTTGAAGAGATCTGAATAGAAATGTGAATTTGATTGTTTGGACATTGACACTTTTCCCTGCAGGTGGCACCAGAGAAAAATACTCAACCAAAATGGCTTATCTTCATGGGAGCAAGAATATCCATTGCTTTTGTGAACTCAGTAAGAAACATGCTTTATTTCCCTACTTACCTACTGCCAACATCTCTTGCGCTTAAGATGAGAGAAACCACAGAGCTTCGTAACAGTGCGCAGTTTAAAAAACAGCATCTGGAATAGTGTGGGAGTACAGGAGAGGCCATGGCATGGATAGTTAGCACATCTGGTAAGACACTATTAATGCTGAACAATATATAGGGGAGAGTGGAGTAAGATGAGATGTATCTGCATATATGTTGTGATGTTGTGATCAAGATGTTTTGCATCCCTGCAAACCAACAGAATGAATGTAAACATAAACTGTCTTGATAATATAGCATGCCAAAAAAAAGTGGTCTCCTATGGTCAACTTACCCCGTGTATGGGGTAAGCCCTCCCTCACCTTCTCTCTCCCTAAATTACAGTCACTTCTTCGCATTCATGTGAATCTTTTATCTATTATACACTATTCAACTGGTACAATAATAATAATAATAATAATTGCATATAACAGCTAAAAAGCTGTTTTGTAAAGAGACATTTTAACATTAGAATGTCTTTAAGTGATTCAGAACATTCACAGCTGTATTTTTGAAAAGAAAAAGTAACACATTTCAACAATCTGAACTGAAACTCTGATCCTCTTATCAGACTTCTTTACTTTCTCAGTTGAGCCACTGGTCCTTAGTCCTCTAAGCTAAAATGGTGGACTTCTATGCTGGGTTTTTGACCTCATGTTGTAGCTCATAGATTTTTTTGTAAATAAATGTCTTACCCCTTCCCCCATGTGCTTCTAATCTTCACAGACTCCATGAATTGATGCCCATCTCCTAAATATTTGGTCACATGATCAATTTCTTTTACCATTTCCAAGCAACAGGGGGTGGCTCAACTTACCCCACTCTCCCCTATACAGATTTTGTAGCAACATATATGCTGCCAAAGCTACAAACTGGTCTTTACTCAATGTTGTTCAAAGAAAAGCACTTTTTGGAGACATGTTACAGGGCTTTAAATTGATCATCTGTGTATTTTACATTAAGATTTATCAAATCTGTAGGCCTAAAAATGTTTGGTTTGGTGTCTTTGGTCTGTTCTCAGTTAAATTTAGAGTTTAGGTGATTTTAAAACCATCAAGGTGTTTGATCAACACTTTAGACAGCATCTCAACTGTTTTGAAATTAGGGTTTTAAGATTTCTGTGACCATTTTCCCGCATACATACACATGCATTACATTTCTGCATGGATTTATGAGGAACTGAGAGTTCAGCGGTTCATTAACTTTCTTTTTCATATCAAGAAAATGAATCATGTTATTCATACCAGTTCTTCATACTAGGCCAGATTGACACCGAAGCAGCCCTTTGATAAAAGTGAATGTACGACGAGAGTAGCAGCCTGTCGCTCTCCACCAATAGGAAGAGTTCTTTTGTCTTTGGGGCGGGTCCTCGTTGTCAGCAGGTTAGACTGCGCACTGCGCTCAGACAACTTGATACAGAGTAACAGTAAATCAGACAGAGCAGCTCCTCCAGCTCCAGCAGTGAAATTGTAACCCTGTTGCAAGTATTTTTGGCCGCAGATAGGACCGAGTGAGATCATTGCGGTCTCTTTCTTCGGATAGACTCAAGAGTTGTTCGGCAAGAGCAACGCAGGGACCGTTTTCAGTCTCATTTCTGCTATATCTCAATATTATATCACACTGGAAATGTCCGAAAACAAGCCGAATGATGAACCGAAGTTATCTACGACGGACAGGGTGGTGAAATGTAAGTGTATTTTATTTTAATGCCCGACTGTAACCAGACGTGAGCTCGGCTCTTACTCTGGGCAGCAGACTTGAAGGAAGCGCAGTCGTTGCAGCAGCAGCAGCAGCAGCAACAGCAGGGAGCTGTAAATGTTGTCGAAATTTGTTTGCTGGCTATGGAGGAAGAAGGGTGTTAGCCGAGCTATGACAGCAGCTGTAAACTAGGAAGTGAGGGTAACTCCACTTCGTAGACCCGAGCGAGAATTTTTCGAGGGTTTTCTCTTATTCTCCCAGCGGGGCGTGATATAGCCGCCTGTCTATATGTGCACTGTTTTCATTAGCAACGATCATTTTGTGTGCACAATGCTTTACAATATGCATGCAGATATTGCACAACCAATGCAACCCGAGAGCGATTTTCCCTCATTTTGCATGCATCACCAAGCATACTTCACCAAGGCTTCATTTTTTTTTACACCATTGCATAATACTACTTGATGTCGCCTATGTTTTGTAATCTAACATTTGGTTCATCGTGTGCTCTTTGCCATATGGGTTGGCTCTTCCTGCCTACTGTGTTAACAGGTCTGACATTCCACCTTTGCAGTCTACCATAAGAACGCAATAAAGATCATAATCGAGACGACCTACCCCTTGAACAAGGACTAGGAGCAAATGTAGCCTGCCCAGTTTTATGTCAGTTGACATTTCACGTTGACTTGAAGGTATTGCTCCAGTTTAGTTGCAGTAGAAAAAGCTTTACGCCAGTCTAGGTGAAGTCTCTCATGTTGGGAGACCTTTTCACAGCACATATATTCCAGCACTAGTTGCAACCATTATCCTCTGCATCCCACTAAGGAATTGTTGAGTAATTTTATTCAGGATTAGATGCAGGGGTTCAATCGGTTGAAATGATTAGATCATGGGTGACGATTAAACATTAGGATTTAGTAGGGAAAAGGCAGCGCTACAGTGTTCAAAAGAGCATGACTGGGATCGTTTACTGTATTAAAGGCAAGCCCGAGGTCCGGCTTGTTAAGCTCTATGGCAAACATAGTTCCACTCCAGTGCTTCCTTGGGCTTAGCTTGTACCATTTGACAAACGATTAACCAAATGATAACTGGAATAATTTCTTTTTCTGCAGAGGTAAACACTTGTGAAGGGGCCACATTCTGCTCCGAAGCAGGGTTGAATGTTAAAAGAGAGCCACACCATGTCATGGGTGCTTGTGTGATGAATTTTTCAAGAGATCATCCCCCTACAGTCTCCTCCAACTTGAAGGGTAATGAAAAATAGATATGACAAGTATGGGTTTTTGAAGAGATTTAACAATATCACTAGGGGGACTTGGCCGGTTGCGGCATGTGGATCTGAAACTAGGGATGCCATCATATTACACGTCTCAATCCTGCATTTTCACTAGTATCCTCCTTGACTGCTAAGTGACGGTCTGCTGTGGTCTTAATCAGGTTAAAACGTATTGATTAGTCATTAGCGAGGCGTGCGTAAGAGAATCTGAGAGCCTGGTTTCTAGGGCTCGCTCCTAAACCCGATGTGGAGATCAACAAAGTAATTGAACCCATTATTCATTCATCAAGTTTCAAGAAGTCAGTGTTTTGGTAATGCATCAGTATTATGACAACATGGACACTGGCTGTGTACAAAGCACCACTCCAAAATAACTGCAGGCTATAGGTGTGAAGTAATTTGTTTTCAGCCACCTAGTTTGCCCTGCTACGAGGTGTCAGTCCAACTTATCATAAGTGCTTTGCGTCCACCTGTTTTCAAAATGCATTATCATAATGCTCCTGAATGCTGCTGCCGCATAGTAATTACTCATAGGAGTTTAATCAGCTGAGGCAGGAGAAGTTGCATAATTTTCATCGTGTTTTTATCCCTGACAGAAAGAAACTGGAATAAATGAGCAATTTCCAGTATGCGGACGTTAACTTTAATGAACTCCATCAGTTGTGTGTTAGTCAGCTGTGTGTTTTATTGTTGAATCATGCCCATTGACAGACTGTTGCAGCTGCTGTGTGTTGATCTAGAAAGCACTACCTGGTTATACAGGATTTCATTGAGCATGAAGATGTGATCTAAATCAGTGGTTCTCAACTGGTCTCACTCTGGGACCCACATTTTCCCATTCTCCTTAAGTCACGACCCACTTTTATAGAATTCAAACCAAGCAAATTAATTTTTTTATAAAAGAAAACCTTCAAATACCCTAATCTTTAACATAAATCCACCTGTTTCATTGAGTAAAGTGCATTTCAGAGCACATAAAGGGGACATCATGAGGATTTTGCATTAAATATTTACTTTTTGACCAGCTGTTCGTGACCCATCCAGATCCACCAGTTGAAATCCACTGATCTAAATGGTTATACTGATTTGTTTTGTGAGATTTTGTGGTAGGTTGTTTTTGCTTCTTAATGGCCGCATCTAAAAAAAACTGTTTTGTGTGATTGATCAGCCTGTCAAATGGTTTATGGTCCTTGAAATGTCAGGAGAAAGCTTCAAAATTCACTGCGGCGCAAGGTACACCCCATCCCAAGGTAAAAATAATTAAATTTAATAGGTCAATCAATATTTAATCACATAAAAGAACAAAATTACATTTCTTTTGACTCATTAACAGCATTGTTTTCCACCCCAATCAGCTATTGTTATGCACATCTTATTAAGCAAGTGCATTAAAAAACCATATGGAGTGTTTGCAGCTTCTGTAGTGTTAGAAAATGGATTTAGTGTGAAAAACTAGCCCAGGAAATGAATGTAGTGGCAAAATCTTTCTCCGTAGTTGTATACTGAATGATATCTTGCACTAGAGCTACCCTCAGTTAGATCTAAAATAAATAAACAGCTGTTAATGTGGTCGTCATGGTGCAATCATGACGACAGTCGTGCTCCAAAGCAAAGCGAGCTCAGTAATGGTGTTTTTCCGTCACCAGCTCAGAAGCAGGGCCTCCAAGCCCCCGATGCGGCCCGGGTCCTTCTCTATGAGTGGGGATGGATAACATCTGACATTTGACTTTTGAGGAGAGGCCCCCGTGCTCAGACATGCGTAGGTTGGAGATGGCGGTGGTGACAGCGGCGCAATGCCAGCCACTGATCCCAGCTGGATAGCGGAGTCATTTATAGAACAGAACATTAAGTAATGCCTCATACTTGATCCTTGCCTTACATGTGATCACCTGCATACATTTCTGCCTCATGGTCGTCGTCTGACATGCGTGCCATTGTGGTGTGTGTCTATTTTATCAGGCGCGTGCACTGGCTAATACAGAGACATAAAAATTACCATTAATCAGAATCTGTCCTTAGGGTGTTGTTATGTTCAGTAATATTTCCTCATTAGCATGCAATAACCATTAGCTTTTTTGCATGAGAATACAATTACAAAGGGAAATTTTTGTGATTTAATGACTGCCGAGGTGGTTTGTGGTTTAAATCTTGTTATTTGTAAAGTCAAAGCTTCTTAGAAAAACTGACGGGTTATGATTGAGTCAGAAGTCCCTTAGAGTCTCGAGATTTTGGCGTATCAAACTATTAGTTCTTACACCAATCTGAAGTTTGGTTTTTGTTTCCTTCAGGCATTGTCACAAATAATTTTGTTTGACTGCAAGTCCTACAGAGCCAGATCTATCTCCAAACTTAATGTTAGCATCTTGTCAGCACCTAAGGGTGATTTTTTTTCAAAAGATTATAAATCGGCAGCAAAGACAAAAACACTGAACATATGTCTCTTGCAGTTCACCTTTGGGCCTCCTTCAATAACCCAAATCCTGTCATGGTCAGCACATGGGGTCTCTTTTTTTCTTTTTTCTTTGTGTGGAAAAATTATGTTGACAATCACAGTAAGAGAAAATGTGCCATGTAAAAAGCAGTATTTTAGTTGTTTTTCCAGCCTTGTGTACACACTCTTCATCCAGTGAGTCAGGCTTTTTGATGATAAACCAGCAGACACTTGAACTGATGCTCAGTACTTACTCTTCATGTCATCTGAACAAGCTTTCCAGCTGCAGTACGACAGACCAAAGAGCAACATTGACTCCACCTTCTCATATCTGTTTTTTTTTAAACTCCCTCTGTCAGACGCTCAGTTTTAAAGGTTTATGCTTGTTACTCTGTGGAAAAGAGATACAACGCTTTAGATAACTGATAAATATTTTCATTTATTTTTGGATCAATTATCTTTGGTCGTTGCAATGGAATTCCACTAACTGCCTCTTTCTGTTGGCGTACAAAGACGCCGTATATTGCAGCAGAATCGGGGAGCTTTTCCGCCACTTGAGTCAGTATCTTCAAAGAGATGGAAAAGAAAGCAAAATGATCATGTGTTTAGTATGACTACAGAAAAAATTATCCCACATATGAACCACTCTTTGTGTCGTAAAACCTCATTTGAAATGAACAAATACTTCCCCACAATTATTTTCATGATAACTCCTGATGCTCAAAGATTAGAGAGGTTATCATGCCTTTTCACTGGGCTTATTTATCTCCCATTCATCTGCTATGACCACAAAAAATAAATAATGAACAGTGTTATTGACAGAATGTTATTATTAGCTAGGGTGACCATATTCTGACGTCCTAAAAGGAGGACACAACTACGCAGGAATGGAGTCACAGAGTCGCACAAAGTTAATTTTGAGAGTTTTTCGGGTTGGATCGAGTGTCTTCTGACTCAGTAAATCCACTGACACAAAATCGAAACTTAACATACAAAACCGCATACATTTAAAGGATTTTATAGACTTTCACGGACAAACCCAGACAGCCACCAAAAAAGACGACTTGAACGTATAAAAGGGGATGTATGGTCACCCTACATTAGCTACAGGGCTTCAGTTACAGCAATACGGATTTAAAAAAAAAAAAATACAAAGCTAGTAACATCACAGATGAAAGTATAACGAGTATGTGGCTGACAGCTGTCTCTGTGATTAAGAGCACCTGTAATTAATTAAGCCTCTGATTGGCCAGGTGGTTGACCTGTGAGCAATAAGCGCTTGATCCGCAGCACTGAAGTTGGTACTCGAACAGCAAACTGTCAATACAAACCCCATTCAAGTTGAAATATCTTCAGAAATCATGACGACAAGTATGATTAATAGTGCAGCCTCATGCCATTATCTAAAGCACTTCATATAGTAGTTTGCTGAATGGCCAAGCTTTTATCAGATGGATTTAATAGATGTCAGGCTCCAATAATGCACTTTTAAGATTTGAATAAAGTGCAAGGCTACAGCTTGAACTTATCACAACATGAAAATGTTCCCCCTAATGTAACCCATTGCCTTCAGGGGTGTTGAATTTCCGCATTTCTGCAGCTTTGCATGTGCAGAAACAGGGTCCAGCCACCTCATCCTCTGCGCTATTGACAGCGGTCCACTAACGCAGCTCAACCGGGAAATGTCACATTCAGCAGAAAGAGCAAGAAAATAACCAAACGTGATCAAAGCCCGTCATGTTTCTGCTCGCCTCATCTACTGAAGATTCATATGGCGCTTTTTGATAACACGTGACATCATGGCACAGTAGGGAGGGAAGACCTGTGCTACCTCTGTTGTGATGCGATGCTCAGATACGCAGTCTGTGGTACTCTCAACCTGAGTAAGTGCACCTTTACCGCTCATTAGATTAGAGAGGAATTAGGCTCTGTTGTGGATTTAGGGCACAGCAAAGCGGCGGATTTGGACAGATTAAGCTCCATATAGGGGGATAAAGACGGCTCTGCTCAGATGTTGTAATCTGACTCCATGCATTAGCTGCTGCTCTTGCCAATTCATGTGAACAAATGGACGTTAGGTCTTGATAAAGGAATAGGGGGAGAATAACTGTTTACCTACCTTAGCATTATGAGATTGTTGCTGAGCTTATGAGCACAGTTTGTGGATTTGTGAACCTTTGCCCTCACTGTGGATACATTTGATCTTTCATAGTTTGGTAGCTTGGATTGAGTTGAACTGTGACTTTGTACCATAAAAGCTCTTTAAAAGGTGACGCCCATTCTTCACACTTCCCTTTTCAAACACCAAAAGACCCATTTTGTCCGGACCAAATAGAAAAATTCTGCTCTTTATCGCCTGTGTCCTCAGCACACATCTGAAAGCCATAGATCATAACGTTGCTCTATTGTATTTGGTAAAAAATCAGCCACCATACAAACACGCCCTCAGCGTTTCCCATTTCATGGCTGGCAGACACAAACACATGGTCCCTTTGTCAGCCGCAGCGGCGTACAAAAGCCATTTTGGAACAGAGACAGGAGTTGTGTGTCATCAGATCACTCTCTGAGGCTGGTCGCAGCACACTCCCAAATCAATCAATACACTGTCTACAACACATGTAGCTACATATTGGGCAGGCTGTACAGCGAGTATGGGGGAGGAGAGGCTAACCCAGTGAACTGGGAGCAACTGGGTTGCTGGGTTACATTAGAGGCCAGTAGAGTAGTAAATCTGCTTTCTCACCTCAGGACGTGCTCAGAGGGAGGGCTGAGTGGACAGGCAGCAGAGGAAGGGGATTTTTGGGAGCAGAGTGTTCACACTTACGCACATATGCACTAAATACACAATATGGGTCAGTTTTAATGAATTTAATTAAAGATGCAGACTTTTTAAAAATACTTCAGATATAAAAAAAAAACAAACAAAAAAACATCTGTCATTGGAGCGAAGCCAAATACTGTTTTGCAAATATGTGAGCAACTGTTTGTCATGCTCTGCAAATAGACGGCTTAATAGAGACACAATCCAATCAACAACTCAAGTGATTTGACTCAGGATATTGCGTCTATTTCAGCATCATTATTTGACACCATTAAGTACAATCAAGCTTCATATCCTTTCATCCTTTCTGCTTTCCTTGTAACGTTTTTACTGTATATTTTTACCATCATGTTGCTGGGTAAATTACACAAACATACTGGTTAAGACACTTACGCAACAACAGCAAGAAAACATTTGGCTTAACATAGGATTAGAGTAAACATTGACTAGCTTTTTTTGCTTATAGTGCCTAACATTAGCAGAGCTAGCACCACCAGCCTTCTGTTGTTCTTGCAAGTTAATATCTGCATGTCTGAGTTTTGTAGATCAAAATATTACCAATCCCTACTGTGCTGCTGATGCTACCTGGGCTTGTTTACATCTGGGTTGTTGAGCATTTTAGCATTGTGGCTCTAACTGGCAAGTGACAGGTGGTTATAACAGCATGCAGGGCCTAAAATAGAAAATACATTAATAGTTTGTTTAACCTACTTTCGAATCTAGAGCGAGAGGAACAATGTTAAGTCATGGTTACCTAAATGAGAGCTTACCTAACAATGCTTGTTAGCGACTTGAGATTAATGCACTCAATCTAGCATTTTTAAATTTGCTAGTTAGCCAACTGACCACAGATAAAGCCAGGGAAGTCGGCCTGTTGAAATACCCCCTCAACTTTAGAGAAGATTTCTCCTTTTTTGGGGGGGATTTTATAGTGTGGTCATTTTCTGACACATCTTGTTCTGTTACAGTTAGAACGTAGACTGTATATTGTATGGACACTGTGGCTCCGCCCCTCCTAATTATACGAATTCAGTGCCAAACGGCACAAACCAGTCTTACAATAACTACATGGTAACATAGCAACTGGTTGGAAAAAATCTACATTCCGTCTAATTAATTTCGACATGGAATTTCCACAGCTCCATTTATTTTTCTGGTGGAGGCGGGGTTTATAACCTATACTGCAGCCAGTCACCAGAGGGTGCTGTTCTTGCGGTGGCTTGGCAGATGATGTACATTTTACATACAGTCTATAGCAAGAAACCGAAAAGAGTAAGGATATGAAACTTGAAGGATCTCATAGTTGCTCTATTCATCTACATAGCTGTTTTAAGAAATACATCGTCAGCTCTGTTAATTTTTGCTTTATAACACCCAGTAAGATAATAAATGCATCATAGTTTTCACCATTATGATGAATTATTCCTTCTCATTGTAGATTGATACAATAAAATCTGCATAATTAATAATAGGAGCATCTGTGGTAGGTAATTCACAATCCTTGCACCCCTTGCTTTCTCATCAGCCAAAGAATCACAGCCCGTTCATATTTTAAATTGCCACAATATTTACCCAACCCCAGCCCACAGGTATGCACACACACACACACACACCTAAAACCGCATCCTAAATGTGAAACCATTTTAGCACCACTGAATAATGCTTTATACCTTCAAAATAAAAGCTTTCCACAGGAGCGTTTATAACTGGGACAAACCTCCTCTGCGTGAACACACAGTACTCTGGCTGTCATACTTGTCTTCATTAAAAAGAGAAGGATCTCGCTGTTAAAAGCATACCTATATGCTAAATGGGAGGCTTTGTCTTGGTGGATTGAGACAAGCCCCTGCATGCTGCTGTGTGACAGATGCAAACACAGACACACACTCTCCTGTGTTGTTCCAGGCGGTCGTTTGTATTTAAATATGGGTGAAATGAGTAAAGCCATCTGCGGGCTGCCTGTAAACGGCAGATTAGTAAGCAGGGAAAAGTCACCGCAGGGGGAGGGATGTTGTAACTCTTGTGTTGGCTCATTGCCTCGGTGCATATTAAGGGGGGGTTGACATGGGCAGGGTGCTCAGTATCTCATGGTAACAGTCTAGTCGAGATTGCCTCTTCCCTGCTATCATGTAGGCATCGGTACTTGTTGACACCCACACACACACACACACACACACACACACACACATACACACACACACACATTGAGGCTGATGCTAATGCAACCTGTTCCTATGAAGAACTGATGAATATGCAGATTTTTATTCATTTTCAGTGCTTGAGCTTGTTTTTCAGGGAACATGCAAGAAACGTACAACCTGTACGCTGTATCCAACATGGAGAGATAAAGTCAAGCCTAAGCCTTCAGGGAGTTAGTTATTATGAACTTATTGTGCTGCTTCATGTCAGCACATCCCAAACGCTGATAGTGAAACGGGTGTACAATAGCTCCAGAAAAAAAAAGTTCTTGCAAGACGATCTTATAATGATACATTCTGATATCTAATGAACTAAAGAGTACAAATTTTGGCCTTGCAATTTGAGTGGGCAGTGCACCCCATGTGCTGTGGCTGTAGTCCTTGTTGTAGCAGTTGCTGGTTTGCTGCATGTCATTCCCCACTCTCTACTCCCACATTTCCTGTCTCTCTTTGGGCATCTTATCTCTCTTAGACATAAAAACAGCGTTCCAAAACAGCGTTAAAAGAAGATACATTTAAAAATATGTGAACTTTTTTTTTATATGAGCTAATATGACTATTCCTAAACCAGTTACAGTCTTAACCACTAACTACAGATGGCTCGATTACAGCCCGCTCTCATTCATGACATGTGAACGCTGATGCAACTCTCTTGCAACATGCTGTGTGTAACATGCAGGAATGCATTTCCAACTGATTGTCAATAGAGTGGGCAGTAAGTATCAAACATTATCCAGTTGTCTTCTTTTAATTATCTTGCTGCCAACTTTTCTTCAGCCCCTGTGAGGTCGTGACGCAGTGAGGGAAACTGTATCCATAATTGTATCACACAAGTCAGGCAGCTGTAGCAGTATTTTGTCCCTTCCCCACACTTGAGTGTCTCGTATGTATTTCTAAAATATCAAAGATTTATGCAAGGATTTTATTTTTTTGCTGGATCAGGTCAATGATTTGGTAAAATGCAGAATTTGAGGTAAGATATGTTTAGATGTTGCCATAGTCAACACGGTCTAAGGTCCACCAAGAGATTTAAAGTAGGGATGCACCGATCCACATTTTTTCGCATCTGATCCGATCTTGATTCCTGAATTTGGACATCTGCTGATACCGATAATATTCTGATACCAGAGCTCTGTTAACTTTACCATCATTGCCAGTAGATTCTTGCCAGTAGACTGACTGGCAAGAATCGCTTGTACAGTCATTTCAGCAGACAAAGTTAAAGCAAAGTCATGACTCATGGATTGGGAGTTTTCGCTGGTAAGATCGGGATCGTCCGATCCATGAATTACATTGGTATTGAAACCCGATACTGGATCAGATCGGCCCCATCCCTAATTTAAGGCGCTTCATTCTTCCATCTGACGCTCATGATCACTTGTCCAGTCATTTCAGCAGACAAAATTAAAGCAACGGCGTGACTTATGGATTGGGAGTTTTCGCTGGTTAGATCGGAAATGTCCGATCAAGGAACTACGTCGGTATCGGAACCCGATACTGAATCAGATTAGCCACATCCCTAATTTAAAGCGCTCCATTCTTCCATCTGAAGCTTTATGAAGATACAGGTTTCCTTTTCCAGCAGGACCAGTACTTGCCCACAGCGCCAAAACTACCAGAAACTAGTTTGCTGACCATGGTATCACTGTGCTTGACTGCCAAGCCATCAGAGAATCTTAGGGGTTAAGTGTCAAGAAAAAGGTAAAAGACACCAAAACCAACAATAGAGAACTATTAAATCAACCTGGGCAGAGCCACAGAGGGATTGCCTCCATGCTACGTCGCACTGATGGAGTAATTCAAGCAAAAGGATCTCCAACCAAGTACTGAGTGCATCAGTGAACATAATTTTACCAAGGGTTGACATATCTGTATGTATACTTCCTTTTTGGGTTGGTATTTTTTATATTCTAAGGTTTTGAGGGTAGTAGATCTTTGATTGTCATGAGCTTTAAACTCCAAATAGGAATTCTTGAATCTAGAATATTTGGAAGTTTTGCTATTTCACAAAAGTATGTGAAAAGAAGCTAAATTTTTGAGCTGCGCCTGTAGAGTATAATAATAGAGTATAATGAACTGTAATGCCTGTACTTTGATATCTCTTTGCCTGTTCTTTTTCAGCATGCATCTGCAGAATCACTGTTCTCATGCGACCGTCAGAGCAGAGCAGAGCAGGACTATTCTCAGGGTTTGAACTCGTCTTTAGGTTGTAGCACAACATTCCACTGCAGGTTTAGTCTGGCGGGAGTTTGGTTTGGATGATTACTGGAGCATTAGGCACACACAGCAGCATCAGCCAACATGGCATCTGTGCAGTGCGTTCAGTCAAGCTGCCTGCAGATTTCTGGCCAGTTGCAGGCTCCAGGCCTTGAAATGCAGTTTGACATTTTTCGGGGCATTTTCAGCAGGGGTAGCTCTTGACTATAAACCAGGAGACCTTTTTGAAGTGAAGTTATGTGTGGGAGTCACAGTGAATGTCATGTGTACTCAGCTTTGCCAGTCATTTGCTGCACTATGAGAGAATGCAGTGGAGAGTTAACCCCACTCCCTCACCGTCTTGTTTACCACGGCTGGAGAAATGGATCTACTGCAGGCAGATTTTATCAGACGAGTTGGAAGATCATGTTCCGTTCACAGTTCTTTTTTTAATTAATAGACCAATCAATACTTTTAATCTAGTGTTATGGATATACTTTATTAAAGGGTGCAAGAATAAGAGCCTGACTGCGGTGCTCTTCTCAGGTTCTGCATGAGGCCTTTAAGCAGGACGGACTGTTTTATTCTTTCTCCATTAAGCAAATGAACAAAAATTAGCTTAATCGAGGGAAGCCCTTATTACACAAGGGTAACTAGAGACGCATATGCCTCGTTGTTTTCTCCATCAATTCACAGTTTATCCGTCTGCATGCAAAGTCAACCCCCGAGGGGACTTTTCTTTTTCTTTCAGGTGTTGTTAGCCAGCTAGCTAAAGCGTCCAGTGTGCGGACGAGGGATCAACTCCAGCTATACAAATACAGCTGGAGGTGAGTCGAGGCCCCAAGGTTTATTTACACGTGTTAATTATAGACCACCTGGCTGAAAAAGAACCCTCTTATTCCACGTGGCGAAAATTGGTGTCTGCTTATCTAAGTCTACCATGCTGGGGTAGGGGTGGGGGTGAGGGGGGGATCTTCCATTGGATGTCAGCTTGTTCTATAATTGACCTGACAGGATGTTGTTATGTGAGATTGGCAGTTGTGTGACAAGACAAGATGACAACTCACTTCCTTCTGCGCATCATGTTTTTTATTTATCTTATTTTTTCAGACTTCAAGAAATCAGAACTTCAATTTCTTCTTTGAGTTTCATGAGCTTATTTCTAAAAGGTGAATTCTGCATGAATTCCTTCCCACACACACACACACAGCTTAAACCTCCCCACATATCTCTAAAAATGTGTCACCAGACAACCAGGCAAACAAGGGTTAAGTTTGCCCTGGAGCTGATGATGGCAGGCCTCTCAGTCACTCTCGCCCACGTGGAGAGAAGAGGGCGGAGGACGGCTGACTGGCCCACTCACTCAAAACACACTGTGCAGAGGCTAAGCAGAGCCAGAGTCGTGACTGAGGTGTGTGTGTGTGTGTGTGTAAGTGTATATGTTTGTGTGTGGAAGTAAGGGGTAGAAAAACTGTAGAGGTGTATTTGTTAGCATGCCCCTCGCTGTTGAATCAGGCTCCAGGATCAACTCAAAAAGGACTCCAGGTGAAATTTCATTACAGCCTGTTGGCCCTCAGCAGTGAATTTTCCCTGGGAATTGTCTGCAAGGTCAATTTATCTTTTTAAAGTTAGATTTAATTTACACCAGTGTTTGTCCAGCAGCACATGATAAAGCGGACAGACGCTGTAGGCTAGACTCAGAGCTGGCCTCCACTGTTGCCCAGGCCAAGACGAGCACGGTCGCACCGCCGTGTGAACTGATCTCCCATCAGTCAGAGCTCGCTGTGCGCCTCCCTTAGCCAGATTGCGGAGAGGTTAGTGTGTCCCATGGCTCTCATTGATTTTGTGCCTGTCCAAACACCGCCAGGGAGCCATACATTACCATGACCAATCATTTGAGCTCTAATGCCGCCCTGCTCCCCCATCGGACCATTAGGAGGAGTAGATTGAGGGCTCCAGGACTCCTACTGTATCTTTTAGCTGTCAACTTGGCCTGCTGCTTATTAACGGCATTTTGCTGCGTTTATAGCATGCAGAGGGCGATCCTGTATTTCAAGGACTTTTATTGATGCAGTGAGCTGTCACTGTTGTGCATGTCCATACTTGTATGTGCTCATATTTGTCAGACGTTTGAAGAATGTCAAACTTAAGGAGCGTCCCGTTCCTCTGATGTAATTTTTGTTTGTGTAAAACTCAGTAAAAACAGAGTTGTAGGACTGTTGGAGACGTGTTGTTACAACAAGCTAATCTTGAGGCTGTTTGAACTCTTGAGCCCAAAATGTGGGCCCATTGTTAGTAATTAAAGCCGTTGTCACACCCCAGTTCTGCACTCACACACACACACACACACTAGCTGTCAAGCTCTTTGGCAGCTTGTGCGTTGTTTTGCTATATCATGCAGGCCTTTAATATTGGCCCAGCCCCTGCAGGAAACTGGCCAGGTTGATGAGTGACACAGACACTCACTGGCACACACTCAGAGCTGTGAACACAAGTTTGGGTATGTCCCCGTCCATGACACACTGTCTCAAGAAGACTAAAGAGTACACTGTCTCTGACGGCGTTTCTTCCCAGACTTCCACGGTTACTTTAGTCTGCTCTGCTTTCGTCTCTGTCCTGTAAAAATGGGAGACATACTCCACCAGGCAGAGTATTTTCTCTCTCACTGGCTTGACTATTTTCTGTCTGTGTGTCATGTTTCCCAGCCACCCTCCCACAGCAGATTTCTTGTCTTCTCCTGCTAAGTTTCAAATGTGGTTCTACCATCCTTGACAACAACATGTCCTCTCGTTCGCCATCTGCCATTCATTCCACATTTCTTTTTATGACCATTTTGCGCACTTGCTTGCTCACACTGCTGCTCAACTGTGTCAGACCCATGTCGTAAGACCAAAACACCCATAATGCTTCAGGCCCGTCTCCCTGTATAGAACGTAATCTGATCCCCCTGGAGGAATGTGGCAGGCCTCGGGGACGGCCAAATCGAGGTACAAATCAGCCGGTCTGCAGGCAGATAGTGTATCTCGAAGAGATTTTAAGCCAGCAGCATTTGGCAGAGTGAAATCAATTTAACATTCTTCCTCCTCCAGACCGAATTCAGATTCTTTTTTCTCTCTTTCAGACTCTTTATGAAAGTGAAGTTGGCAGACAATAGATGTAAGCTGCGTAAAACAGTCGCTGTCTGTTTTGCAGCCAGCAGTTAAGAGGGCAGGGACTTCTCCTCAGACTAGCAGATGGTGTATACAGTACAGAGCTATGCGGTACCACAGTATTAGACTGCAGCACTGCATGCAACGTCTTCATAAAGCCAATTTTCTTCTATGAAGGGAGATAAAGAGTGTTTTGGATCAGAAATCTGCCATGATACATTACAGCATATGTTTCTCTGTCTCCTGTTTGGGTTTAGGAAGGGAAATGGTTGTAAAAATTTAGCTACTTTGGATTCAATACAGCTGTTCAGTACATCATGTCCTGGTTGTTCAGTCTTTGAAGGTGTATTTATTACTTTCCCTTTTTATGTAGGGTAGTTAAGCTCAAATTTGTCCCAGTTCTGCGGTCAAATGTGATAGACAGAGGCCCATTTTTTAAAGAAACAACCAGCAAATAAAGTAAAGAGTGTTCTCAATAAATGTTGTTAAATCATAGATCAGATTTATCACTAAATACTTGAACAGAAGTTCAGAGTTCTCAAGTTGAGACGATACATCCTGTTCAGTGAGGGTGGGAATCATGGGTGGCCCCACGGTATGATATTATCACAATACTTGGGCTACAATACGATATTATCACGATACTTGGGCCACAATACAATAATATCACGATACTTGGGCCACAATACTATCACGATACTTGGGCTACAATACAATATCATCATGATACTTGGGCCACGATACAATATTATAGACATTTAGAACATTTTGCAATATAGTGAATATTGTGATATGATATATTCCTATTTATCCAATTTTTTCAACTGTTGAGCTAATTTAGCATTTGTCTTTCCTTTATCTTTGTACTAAATTTCTCTTGCTTTATGATGTCACCTTTGCCAACCTCACTGGACAAATAGTTATTATTATTACAAATAGTTGTTATTTATTTTTCCATTATCATAGATTTGACTTCATATTACCAATTTATTTGACACATCAATACTTGGTAAATGAGACGATACGATATATCACCAGACAAAATATCGCAATGCTATGCTGTATCGATTTTATCTCCCACCCCTACTATCAGGTAAATGACGCTTTTATTCCTTTCCTGTTTGAACAACACAATGATGCTAAATAGTTTTCATCTTTTTAGGAACGTCAATGAAAATGTTAAGTGTAGAGGTGAAATAGGTCACAGTTGGTCAGGGTTCCATTAGGACCACATCCCATGGATGGATCAATAGAAAATTTGTTGTTAACACATTATGCAATAGATATAACTTATTTTAAGTGTTTCTCAAACTTACTGGTCTCTGCTCCAAACTAGTACAAGCATGAGAAAGACGCATGGCTGTTTGCATGCTCATTAGGGTTTCAGAGTTCGAAAAGGTATAATAAGCAAAACGATTAAAACAAGAACAATAATTCTATTTTGCTGCTCTGAGAAGGATGGTCGTCATTTCATTCTCTTAAGAAATGGATCGCAGTTGGTCCATCTCCATTCGGACCATCACATGCAGTTCAATAGACGAAGCAATAAAATGGACAGATTTGCTGCTTTCTGATATGAACACATATTACACCATGTTGGGCCTCTCTTCTTCCTCACTGTTGTTCAGAGACAAAGCGTCACTTCACTCACACAAACACAGCAGTCACAGTGAGAGTGTGAACAGTAATTATGCATGGTAAGAATCCCAAAATTTGAGTAGGTTGGAAATACTAGGACATTTTCACTATTAACACAGCAATATGTCAATGGGAATACTTGACCTATGACTTCTGGATAGAGCAGGTGCACTGACATTAAACAGACACACACGATGACTGGCGGTGGAAGCAATTCCTGATTTGAGTTAAGTGGTTCACCTGTTTAGCAAAGTTAAATGTCACGTAAAAGCAGTATTGTCTAAAAGTGTTATTGGAAAGCTGAGATTCATGGAGATGCATTGTGATTTACTGTCTTTTGACATGCACAGTTAGAGTCATAACATCAGCCAATATAACTCACAGAAACCAGCTTCATTTCCCTTAATACAGCTGCCATCTTTGTTGGATTATGAATTGGTTGGAGAAATTCATTAAACCCTTTGTTTTGTTTTTTTACACTTTGGATGGATCGGTCTACCAACCAGATGGTAAGAAAAGGCTCCAGAAGAGCAGCAAGCGATTTCAACAACCTCCTAAAATTCTTACAGATAATGGTTGATTTATTTTTTTTGGAAAAATAAATTGCACGCTAAGCTGCGGGACTCAAATGTAATGGCGAGAAGAAAAATGAGAAGCACAGACTGTGTGGCTTTGCAGGGGAACAAACCAAGAAGGAATGTTTGGAGGAGAATGTTGAAAAGCTGAGCCGCTGTGTCTGTTCTGTGCTCGTACATAGATATGGATGTACAGTGAAGGGGGCCTTTGACCACGGGAGGAGAGAAGTGTCAGGGAGTCAAGCCTCCCTTCGGGCAGTCAAGCTGTCAAGTGTCCCTTTCTGAGTCCTGAACATACTCACTGACCTGATCCTCAAGGATACATGACCTTTGTAGCCAGCTTGTTTGGCGTGTAGGGATCAGGGCCACGACTGCTTGACCTGCAGCACCCAGAGTTCTCTAAAGGCCTTGGTCCTTGCTTATGCTTCTCGTATTTGATTGGACGCTGACGGCAGAGATGGCTTTTGTATGTGATGCTTTAACTGCCTTTAATCTGGAGGCTGCTAGTAAAGCCTGCACAGATGGTGCCTTCAGCATAATACTCCACTAGTGAATTTTTTTGAAAGTGCTTTCTCTGCAATATGGAGGTCAGGCTGGTGGCAGAAAGGCATGATTTACTTTACAGTCACTTTTAGCCCAGAAGGGTTGCATAATAGCAGCTACTTCAGGGGTTCCGTCACAGCTTCTTCTGATATATAGAGCTTCTCGAGGGGGCTTGGCATGGCTAGACGAAAAGTGAGTGTGCGCACGGTTGGTGAGAAGTTATATCCTTTGCTGACTCAGAATTCCTTTGGTCTTTAGAGAAGTAACTCCTTTGTTGCCCTCCCTTCCTCTTATCACGGCCTTGTGCTGTTTTCTGCTTTTCATTCTTGGCAGTCAGGTGCCCCTGCTGGCAGGAGAACCCACCACGCCTGCGCTGTCATGGCCTAGATACAGATAGTGCGTGAGAGGTGGGTGTGGGCAAGGGGAGAAAAGGAAGCAATGGCAAAAGGAAGGGGACTCTAAGGGACCTTGTTGTCTTGGCAAGGGCAGGGAGGAGGTGGCTGGCTGTGCCGTCCCATTGCCTCACCACCTGTCCCCTAAAAAATCACAGTCAGCCTGCCAGAGAAACTCAACCAGGGATCACAAAGTCATGATGCCAGAAAGATGCTTGTTGCAGTATCAGATGCATATTACTTCTTTTGAACCTTTATTCTTAAACTCCGTCTTGGAATCAGATACTTAAGCTCAACGTACTTTTATTTTTGTCTTACACACATAGATTTTGTTCGCAGTTGTGTCCCTTACTTGTCCTTTTGACTCGGCATGAAGGAATGCCTTTTCACATATGTGATGGGCTATTCTTGTGTATGTGTGGGAGGGTTTGCCCTGGTCCACAGATCAATGCGATATCACAAGGCAGTATTCACTTTTAAGTCCAGCAGGAAACTTCCACAGCTGGGAGGGGCGGTGGTGTGGATGGCAGAGTGGGATGGTGGGGTTAATTAATGATGAGGAATGTAATCTACGGTTCAGCGTTTTATTTGGGTCAAGTCTTGTATTCCCTGTTTACCAAGTGAGCCTGCAAATATAGACCAGCCTCATCCCCTCTGTATGCGTCTAGTAATTGCATTCTAGAAATGCCGACGTTTCTGCTGCCAATGAGCCCTCCTTGGGAGGTGCGATCACGCCTGTTGAGGCGTATTATCTCAGAGGCAAGCTGTGAATGAGTGCAGAAAACACTGAAGTCAGGCCGAGTTTCTGGAACGTAACATTTGTCTTTTGGTTTACATTACCATATTGTTAAGAATTGGCTAATACAATGCTAGGAGTCATGTAATCATCACTTCTCTAAATTACAACTTTCGCCAGGATTTCACCTCTTTCAGAAGTCACTTCATGGCACATTTTTTATAACATGTAAGGTTTTCAGAGAGCCAAATTCCCTCCCTTCGTTTACATGAGGGTTTACATATTTTAATAGGGAATAGATGGCATGCCTTGAAATAGTTGACCGTAATGGGCAGTGAAAAAGCAAAGAAAAAGATTCAGACATTATATTTTGGAAGTATCACATAAGTGCTGTCATTCAAGACATCAGAAGCCCTGTACTTCAGCTATAGGAAAATAATGGTCATTTTGCTAGTATTACTGCTTTATTCCAGTTACCTCGTAAGTTGGATGTCGGAGCTGGGATGACATTACACCTGAGTTGACGGCGTTCCAGATAACTAGACAGAAAACTAAGATGGACGCCTACAGTTAGCCGTTGTTAGCTGTTGTTTACAATTGTCAGCTGTCGTTAGCCATTGTCAGTTGTTGTTAGCGATACCAGTTGTAAACAACACAGACACAGTATTTTACTCTTACAAACACCATAGCACTGTGTTTACAGTTAGACGTTGGGCAGTACAACATATACCAGTTATTTAATTTCACCAAAAACAAAACAGAAGTGCTAATAAATAACTTGACTTTCAGAGTCAGAAGTCCAACTTCAGGGGTGCATTCCAGATGAATTTCCGACTCAGAGCTCTGAAATTCCAACTTCTGAGTACAACTGGAACGCAGCATAAGTACAACAGCACAGCTAAGATTGCAATACTGCTCTCATATGCCAACTCAAGTGGGATACACAGTGGTAAACAGTCATCTTTAAAAGGAGATTGATATTTTTGGGAGCTTTCAATTCATATTTTTGTGCACCAAACTCAACTTGACTTAAATTGGTCTTTGCAAACATTCTAATGAAAAAAATTGCAGATTATAGTTAAGTTTTGGATCATGTTCACTATCATGATTGTGAATGGAGCTGACAGTTTTATGATCAGTCAACATCTTAAAAAACCTCTGTAAAAGTTCCTACAAACTTGTTCATCTCTGTGTAAGTATGGCGCAGTATTTTTCGACTTTCCTCTCATGAGTCTTTTGGGTTTGTGACCTGAGCTCAGCTCCACACAGCGAACCTCTATCACATCCAGACACTCGTCCACATGTCACTACTCACTCACAGAACAAGCCACCAACAAGCACGCTTTGTTAAGTGGCTGCCTGCGTACTGGTGAAGCCCTCCAGGGTTAGTGGGGACATATGTTCTCAATAGACCTGTGTTGTCTGTTCTTCCCTCATACAAGCGCTAGTTGACAGCATGATGGAGAGAGGTTTAGGACTCACACAAAGGTGGTTGTGTGCACGTGCAGGGCCAGGTTTTTTGTCCAAACACGCCCCACCAATCCCCCTCTGCTGCCTGACCTTTTCTGTTTACCATGTGAGGAAAATGTTGAAATAGTTGCCTTGAAGTCCTGGGGAGGGATGCCATCATTGTGTCAAAGAACAGACACATGATAGCGGAGACCTTTGGGTGTGGGGAGGCTTTTCATTTATAACAAACAATGAATATCAATTTAAGGGTCAGTCTGACAGGAGTCACAGAGTTCTATTAAATGATATGACAGGAATGGATTTTTTCAGGGTTTTCTATTCTATAGCAATCTTCTTTTTGTTTTAGCTTATAAAAGGCAAGAGTTTATTTGTTGAGTCTTTTGAATGGATGCCCAGGATACAAAATCTTGGTGAACATAATCCTCAATTTGGTAATTTGGCTGATAAAATCAAGAATCTCCTCTCGGAAACCTTTGGCCTTCTTATATTCCCGTTCCCGCAGTAACAAAGTTTTCCTTTAAAGCATTTGCCTGGCTTTTTAGGATTAAAGTGATATAGTTGTTCAATTATATTCTTATATTTCAATTGTCCTGTAAAAGCTTAAGAGGAGTATTAATTGTAGTCTAGTCTCTTCTGATGTAAGAGGTGTGGCTGTATTAGCATGCTTTCTTACATACATTGCTGTTAATTGATTATCCAGCATGCCTGCAAATGTCTTGGATGCCTATTGTACCAAATAAAGCTTGAAAATACTTTCTGAAGTCTTAAAAAAAAGGAATTGGGTGATGGCAAGAGAATTAACTCAAACAAGTCGAGCAATTTTGGTATCGTATTCATTTTTAAGTTATTAATGTGGCCAATTAAGGAAATTAGCATTAAAGTCCATCTATTAAGAGATTCTATTACAGATTCCACAATGGGATTGTAATTAGTGGGAACCAGATCATTAATTTCAGGTGTAATTTTAATTCCCAAATTGAATCCTTCCTTGGGGGCTGAAATGGAATTTGTATTCGCGGTTGTGACCTCATCTGTTCATTTAGAAACAGTTATAATGGTTTGTTTATTTGATTTTTCACTTTGTATCCTGGTAATTCTGCAAAACTGTTCAGAAATCAAGTCTTACAGGAATGGCATTGAACACTCATGTTTTTTTTATGAAAGAAAAGAACAACATCATCGGCGTAAAGCATTAGGCTCTATAATGTTTCGGCTTACCAACTGAAGCCTCTGGTATGGACAGAGACTCTCTGATTGCTCATGCAAATGTAACCATGACTACAACGCACAACAAGAGAGAGAACAGTGATGTTTTTTTGTTGTTTTTTTTCTAGTGTAAGGTTGTTAAATGTTTTGCATTTTCACTTCATCGTGATGTTTCTTGACTGTGTGTGTGTTTTCTCGTTCCCGGCCTCTAAGATGACAAGCGGAGCAATTAACTTGTAGCATCTAAGTTGTGATTGTCATGCTAGCGGGGCTTTAGGCGTACTTGTTAGAACCGGGGATTATACAGTTAGATGTGGTTGTGTAACTGCTTGGCTGCCACAGGTTCTGATTGTGTCAATGGTTTTCATACAGCAGAGCATGCACCCATAGCACCCTGTCTTCCAGATCCTTTCAGCCTCCTCCATTGTTCCGTCTCCGCTATGCTCTAAAGCTGATTACAGCGCCTTCTCTAATGAAAGCTAATCCTGTGTCATGGCATTGTAGAGACGGAGGAGGGGGGCAGGCCTCAGCACGGCAAAGCTAGCAGGGAATGTCTTCTTCAGGGCCTGTCAGAGTGGCTTTCAGAGGAAATGCCAGTGTGTGTTAAGGTCTTTGCAATCCTGGAAGTCTGCAAGGTATTTTATTTTTATTTTTAGAGAGATTGAGCATTTTTGGTTTACACCCTAGCCACAGTTCTTCCCAAACCTGTAACAGCCTGTAATAATGTCCTTTAACAAGCCATCCATCATCACTTCTTACTATTTTGTACAAACACTAAAATAATATAGACAAATCGGGGCTTGGAGTTTGCAGTTTATTACATCACTGGTGTCTTTGACCTTGTTGTACCTTACCTGCCGAAAGCATAGCAACTTTATACAATAGATTACTGCATCATCACTGCCATGCTATTTTGTGTAAATTCAGTTGAATTTTCTGCAGTCTTTATACATTATCGACCATTATCGAACACCTTCAATTTAAGATTTGCAAGCTCATGGCATGAAAGCTGTATGAAATTATATTTTGTAATGGCCTGCGGCAGCTATGGCTGTACAAACATTTGCATGCCATGTGAATGAATATCACTTATTGCTAAAATAACAGATTTAAAAAAACAAACAAACATCGATCTGTCTTGTCTTGAAGGATACAAAATCTGGTTGATAATGGACAGAGACACCAGTCCAGCACATGGGGTGGTTTTTCAGCATTTTAGTTCTTTGGATTTTGATTAATTAAAATGTGTAGACGAGGACCTAATCAATTTTATTGCTGTGAGAAGAAATGAGCTTTTCAATGTGTCTTTATTACAAGATGAATTCAATCTGGTGTTAGCTAACTGCTAACAATTGACCAGAGGGTTGTTTGACAATGACGACATGGATGGACTGTCAGTTAACTCAAAGTTAGGCCCGGCAAATACAGAGGAATCTGACCAGATTTTTGATTCATTGGAAATCAGATTAGGGTGCAAGAATCTGACGTGGCATGTTCAGCTACTCTGGACTGGTTGGATGAATTTCTGGCATGTTAGAAATTTTGATCCGGGCCTTTATTTCCTGAGTGGCACCAAAGTACCATGGCAGCATAATGTGTATAATGTGCATAAATTATAAACTTTGATTGTGTTTTGATACAGAATCAAACAGAGCGTGCTCAGTGAGGACAGCTACTCTTTTCCCCATCACGCTCATCTTTATTTATTTTTACTCTTGATACATTTTTATCTTATTGACTGATGTTACACTCTCCACTGGCCCATGCACCACCCCCGCTCTGGCTCCAAATCCATTGAAGCTGTTGCCAGCTGTGATCCCCATCCCTTGTGACCTCTCACTCTGCCATTGATTGGGCCGCTACATTGATGACTTGCTACACGCCCAAACTCAGCTAAAAAAAAAAAAAAAGCAGGGACGTCCCTCTGAATATACCCATCTACTCCCCTTAAACCACACATCTGCAGCCTACCTCAATCTATCCATCTTTACGTCCGTGCAACCATTCCTCTGTTCACCCACGCCAGCCTCCCACGCTGCAGCCCTCACCTCACTAATTAATCAGAGACTTAGCCAGAGTGCTGTCTGAGCAGCAGTGCATTTTGATCACCTGCTGCTGCTAACGCTTTCCACATTTCTCATCTCGAATCCGTTGAGCCAGCAGCAGGATTAACGTTTGCCTGTCACTCACTCTCACACTGCTGTCGCCCGGACCTCTCAAACACAGCTATGGGCTATTTTCTGTCAGCGCTCGATGGTCTTTGATAACCCTGACAGCCATGCCAGCATGAACGCACGTCTTATGTGTATTGTTGGCTTGTTTAGTATACAACCTGTCTGTCTCAATAATGAGAACCCCTAGATAGCTGTCAATGACAGGAGCATGTGTGCAGACAGCCATGCATGCTGTTGCAGCGAACAGCTGTCGGATGCACTGTCACACTCCTTTGATTCGTGTTCATCACATTCTTCTCATTCGTTGTTTTGAAAGCATGTAACAGTGAGATGTGTATCGTAAGGCTTCTGCTGATATTTTCCAGCATCAGATCAAATCGGTGCAGAACGTAACATGCTGCTGGCGACTCATTTTTAAAGCCAATATTTTGATGGATGGGAGATTAAGACTGAAACTCTACAGCTCTGTTTCCTTGGCAACGCCTTTTACACACTTTTATCTAATATCTCTCCTGTTTGTTGATGTGATGTTAAAGCTTATATCACTCCAGTAGATGATGGTGGTCAGCATTTCTTTAGTGCGCAGGAATAGTCGACCTGTAGAAGTTCATCAAAGCTATAGTATACGAAGAGTCGTGATTCCGTGATGCTGAAGATTCATAAATCTGGGATATAAGGGATTAAACACTAAATATAATGTAGATGTTTCTCGTCTTGCTGGACCTCATGGATCATTAGAACCTCCTTTTTTGCTTCTACAGTAAATTGAACTGGCTCGCTAGTAATTTGAGGGAATGAATTGAGTAATAGGAGGACATAGTTTTATAATTTTAGGGCATGAATTATGAATTACAGGGAGCAAATTAAGTAGTACAAGTTATTGTACTATTGCAAATTATTAATTCCAGATAAGGAGCCATTTTTGTGCACAGATGATTAAATATGTTATCCTTTATACCTGCTGGGCTCAGCCGTATTACTTGTCTTCACAGCAGAGTATCTTTGATGCAGGTCCCCTGAGTCTTTGTTGACAGTTCTCCTCCGTCTCCTCTTAAGCATTTTTATTTCCTCTCTTTCTTTCTTTTTTTTTCTCCATCTTTTATTTTTTTTCCCTCTCTTTGTGTCTGTCTGTAACTGGGGAGATGAGTGTTGTTGGCTCCACTCATCTTCCTGTGTCGACCACAGAAGTAACCACTCCATTTCCATACTGCGCACAGATATATTAGGCTGACTCAAAAGCACTGAGCTTCAAAGCTAAGCTCCGCTAAGCGTTTTCATTCAGGGCCGGCTTCCATCCCTGCTAATGCATGGTAAAGAGGTTCACGCCAATTTCTGAGTGACCTTTTCACCGCTGGACCTAAAGCCTGCGGGTTTTTTGAATCTCTAGGCCATCCTCGTTGTCCAGATGGTAGGCATTACTGTATATGTTCTATAGGTTGATTTCCATTTTAATACATTTTCATATACGATGACGTAATATTGGAAAACAGAAGTAGCTCTCCTCCTCGCTGCAAATACCAGGTGTAGCAGTTCAGCCGTGCTGCTGGATTATTTCCCTGGTTGAATCCAGCCTTTGGGCCTTGTGAAATCTGTTATAATTTTCTTCATAACCCTTTCCTCTCCCCAAATTCTATATTTTCCCTTTTATTTTTTCTGAAGCACATCTAGTTAGGATTATGCACAAAGTTTCAGCAGTCCTTAAGGAAAGGATTCAAAATTTAAAGCTCCTCTGAGGAGTTTTTAGCTGGTAATAAATCAGACTGAAATTTATTCAGATGTGTCTGTATGGTCTTAAAAAGCAACATTTTCATCAGGGCGAAGATTGATTATTTCTGGGGGGTAATTTTATATGCCTGAAAAGCTCTTATTACACCGTGTCAGACAAAGAGATTCATGGCCCACTGCAGGAACAGCCTCTTTAAAGTTTTACCACTCCAAAGACATATCGGAAGTTGCAAGTAAAACATCTAAAATAGAGAAAAAATGGTTTTATTTATTATTTAAAAAAAAAAAAAAAAACGGGCTACAGAAGTAGATCAGCAAAACTGACAAAACCCTGATTCTTTTCAGCTTCAGTGACTCTTGTTAGTTTGGATATTGCTGTTCCCTTAATAAAGCTGTTGCTTTCCAATTACTGTTTTTCCACTCCATGTTGACAAGCTGACAGTTTGTAACTGACATGCAAAACTGACTGTGCAATAATCTGACTAGCTGTGTAAATGTGCCTTGCCTACGGTGTGGCAAACTCAAGGGTATTTGGAGACTTACAATTCCCTTTTCCATCGTCAAATCTGTGTTTCCTAAAAAGTGGAAATCTTAGGGCCATATGTTAACGCTTGCTTTTGCAGAATTATTGAATTAAAGTGCGTTTAAGCATTTCTTATCTGTACATTTTTTTATTATTATTATTATTAATAGACTAACTCTCCAATTAAAACCAATTTCTGGAATTCATTCATTGAAGTTTTATTCACAAATGCACTAAACCATCTGCATGTGTGAATGCAAATTAAAGAAAATTTCCAGCCTGACTCAGCCTTGGATTTTTTTTTCTAGTTAAGACAAGGTCAAGGGGAGGTTATGAATGAGCGCAGCAGAAAACATTTGGGAAAATTCACAGGAAGCGAAGGGGAGGGGGTGGAGACATACACTACAGGCCCAAAGTTTGGAAGCAAAGCCATTACAGGCCGAACAGTTGGGAGTAACTTCAAGTTTTTGTTCACAACATTTTTTCAAAAATCCAGCATGAGTTTTATGTATTTTGGGATGCTTTTACTCCATGATCAGATGTTGCTTTCATGGAAATGCACCATTTTACTCCATTTACCTTTAGATATACATTGATGTTAACGGACCATTGCTATGTCAGCAAAAGATAATAAGGGCTTAGTTTTAGGGTTGAAAATATTTGTAAGAGTCACAACTTCAGTGCAAAAAAAAAAACAAATCACAGTTGGATTATTCACTTCAACTTTTTGGCTTTTGAGAGTCTGCATACAAAAATCCTAATAAATCTCAACTGTGTTCAGACTACCGCAGAAATGGCTAGAAAGAAGCAACTGAGTAAAGAAACAAAAGTACAGATTTGTAGATCGAGGAAAGAAGGATACACAGAAAGAGAAATTGCAAAACGCCTAAAGGTGTTTAACAAATGAGTCCACTACACTCTGAAGAGACTAGAGGAACCTGGAAGTTATGATGATAGAAAAAGACCTGGACGAAAGAGAGTTACTACAAAAGCAGAGGATAAACATAGCATTGTCACCAGTAAGAGAGATCGGTGAAAGACAGCACCACAAATAAGGGAGGAAATCAACATGACAAGGTCGAAACCCATATCTCTGACAACAGTGAAAAGACGTTTGAGAAAGGCTGGTCTGAAGGGTTGTGTATCTGCAAGAAAACACTACTTCGTCCACAGAACAAGAAAAAGAAATATGAGTGGGCAAAAGCTCATGAGTCTTTTTGTATGTACCACTGATGCAAATGCAAAACAGCGAAGACTTCATGTTGTTGGGGATTTGTGTGAACATGCAACTTTGGAGGATGTCAAGAGTGCATGTGTAAAAAAGTTAAATATTTTCATAGAACTATTGCTTTATTCTGATATTTTAAATTGTTTAGGGAGTGTATTTTTAAAGCACTTTCTCTAGTCTTCTGACCACCCCCGTTTCACAGGCATAGACTGTATGTACTATGGACAACTTGGTTTCGCCTTCCGCCCTCTCTCGGTAAGCTCTTGGTAATTCCGCGTTTTCTCTCCATTTCCCGAAACCAACATTGCGCAGTAGCGTTGTACGCAATCCACTACTTGCGCAGTAGCATTATGTGCATTCAGCGGGAGAGTCGCCAACAGTTGCTGTGATGACTTGGCTTGTCTCAAACAGCGCATCGCCCCGGTGAGCTACGCAATCGTTGTACGCCCGTAGGCTGTATCAAGTGTCAATCATAGAAAACATGAACCCCCTAATAACTTTTAAAAACAGAGCTGTACAGAAAAAAGGACTTAAGCACAAACCAGTCTTACAGTAACTACATGTCAACATCGCAAACAGAGGGGAGAAACTTTTATTTTTTGTGTAATTAATCTCTAAAGTTTGTCCGTAGGGATTGCTGGAGGAGGCGGGATTTATGACATATACTGCAGTCCGTCACCAGAGGGTGCTGTTTTCACAGTGGATTCACCCAGCATGAAGGCAGACGGCGTCCATTTTATAGAGTCTATGGAGATGATCAACTCTACCACTAAGTCATGGCTGCTATCATTGACAGTAGATTCTCACAACATTGGAACAATATTTCCACACTAACAATCATTTGTAGATAAAGCTGGCAGCCATATTTCCCAGAGAGTGTTGAAATACTTCATAATATGATACATCCTTCAGTTGTGGACCCGAGGACATCATTGTGTAACTGAAATTTATCTTCCACTAATTGTATCTATGGAATGCATTATATCATGACTGACTTATGAATTATTGATTGACAGCGTTATAGCTCTCAAGATGGCATAGAGAAGGAGGCGGAGTCGTGGAAAAAGAGAGATGCCAATTTTAGTTCTGACATAAAGACATCTCGCTCATGTATCCAGAGTGTGTGGTAGACCATATTGCAATTATTGCCTTGTGGATATAATGCATTGTATGGTTCAGCTGCAGCTCTTTGTTGTCAGCAAAGATGGTCACATCTCCTGCATTATGCATGTCAGGTAATCAGATTCGAATGGACTCTGTGCTAGTGTAATAATGAAGCGATGAAACTGCCGTCAGATGACATTTGAAGTCGAGGTGCTTTCGGATGTACAGTGTGTTCCTTTGTTTCCTCCCGCCTACAGAAGCCTGTGCATTCTGCTCATCCTGGACTCCTAAACATATCTCCATCTAATTGAATGTCGTTATGTAATTTAATTAACAGACCCTGGCTATCAGTGGAGTGACTTGCACCCTCTTGGTGCACTATTCAACACTTGGCAGTCTTCCTCCGTGCATATAGCACACACAGCGGATGCATCATCACTAAAAGGCTTCCAACTAGGAAAAGTCTTGAGTGTGATTGAATTTTTTTCTTCCAATTCTGCAGTCGATAGCAGATTTATCTTATGCATACAGTGCAACTTCCTTCTGCTTTTATTGTGGAAAATATTCTCCGATCTTAAGTCATTCTTTTTGAATGTATGCTTCCTACAGGTGAAAAATGCTCCAGCGTGCAATTAACAGCTAGAGAGAACTAAAAATGCAATAAAATGAGATGCAAAATGTGCATAAAAGTGTAAAGAGACAAAAAGAACGATATGGCCTCAAATCAATATCACAGTATATTGAGCAGATCACCTTGATAAGGATAAATGGACCATAACTACTCCACAAGCTGCTCACCCCCTCCCACATTAATCTACTTCAGCCGCTACAACTTTTGAACCGTCCTCCATCTCCTCACCTGTCTTTCCCTCTTTGTTACGGACTGGATGGGGTGGAGTCACATTTCTGACATAGGACAGCGTCTTAAAGGGACACGAGACCGTAGCCTACCTACACACATCCAAAACCAACTTTTATTTATTTGACATCAAATGTATTGACATGGGCAACATGGCGTCAGTTATTGTCGTAAATTTCGGTATCAGTAAATTTATGGTTTATCGCCCAGCCCTATTCTGCAGTAAAATCTGAGTTATCTCGAAACTCAAGATGAAAAGAAAACTATTGCTGTTAGTTTTTTGACTGTAGGTGATCATTGAGTGTTATCCAGTCACTCAATCAGTATCTCATGAAGTTATTGTCATTTTACTAGTTAGTTTTATTGGTTAAAAATGCTGGAAATGTTCAGTTCAGTGAATCTGCAGTTTGAAGGCCTGTTTAAAAGCTTTAAATACGGAGTAACTGAATATCATCTGCAACTACAGCACAGTGTGACACACAGGACTGGTTACTTAAAGGAACATGAGACCATACCCTTACTACACACATCCAAAACCAACTTTTATTTATTTAGTTTTTTTGACACTGAATTAATGATATGGGCAAAATGATGTTGGTTATTGTCGTAAATTTTGGTATCGGTAAATTCTTGGTTTATCGCCCAGTCCTACTGCGCACTGTAGAGGGGTTGAAAGGGCCTTTAGACAGGTCAGCGCTAAGAGGTTTGATCTGTCATTTTGTTCTTACCTGACCAAGGAATTGATGCACTGTATGATTAGTTAGTGAGTTTCCACTTGATTAATTGCACAAACATCTTGTGTTTGTCGCCAGCCACGTGTCTTGCCTGAGGATAAAAAGCACAATTGGATCGCTGTAATGACCACTTTTTTTTTTTTTTTTTGGGGGGTTATTAAGGAAGCAGAGTTTAAGATCAGTATCTTGCTCTGCCTTTGCATAATAACATCTGAACATGCAGTCAAATTACCTCTGGTATTCTATGCTTTGTATGAACCGACCTTTGTTGCACCCGCGCATAGTTTTGAAGTCTTTGTTCTGCCTCAGCTCCCTGTCGATCCTGCTGAGATTTCCACTGGTCATGCTGAGTCTTAAAGAAAAAAAAAAAAACTGGTGTGGTGGCTTGTCTGCTAAACGTAGGCAGTGACAACCCGAGTCTTGCCCACGCTGCATCATGCACCGTCACCGCATTATGTTTACACTTTTTGCTTTCCTGGCTCTGAGAATACAAGAATTGATCTGAAGTCGTTGCTTTTCTTGCCAAGCTGTCTCCTGGTCTCCTGGTCTCCTGTACCTGTACGGTTTTGAAGAAATTCATTTGATTCATCAGCAACCCACTCATTGGCCGCGGTCCCAACCCGGCTCAGGCTATGCTGACTTCAAACTGAGTCAAGTCAAGTCAATTTCATTTATATTGGGCCAAAAATCATAACAAAAGTCATCTGGGGGCACTTTTCATATGGAGAAGGTCTAGACCGTAGTTAGGTAGTTATTAACAGAGAGCTCACTTTCAATAAGCGTCTGGGGAAGATAGGGTCAATATCTGCTATAGGTCTCACAGTGTAGTGGATGAAAATATACTGGCGCTATAGCTGTCTGCTGTGGTGCTCATTAGATATTGATTGTATGTCCATATTGTGAGAGTTGAGCTGTATAATATCAATAAAAGCACTTTTTTATGCTGTTAAGAAGTAGAGCCCTATTTTGAGTTTTTGAATTCCACAAATCTTGACTGGATTTCACATGTTGTAACTGAACTGCTGTTTGTTTTGTACCTACAATGTAAGGTGCAGTTTACACCGCGTTCACATTCAGTCACTCACACAACCGTCAAGGCCGGGAAGAAAGGTAATCCGCAGCAATCGGAGACGTCATTACTGACAGTTCAGGCCAAAAAAATCATGCTCGCACTCTGTGTTCTCTGCTAAATGAATCCAGCAGTTTGCTCGTGGAGCTCTGCAACAGTCTGTCTCACTTTCTCCAATTAAGCTGATCTGTCCAGCACCATATGAGTGCACATCTCCCGCTGTCTCGTTCCTCAGAGGGATCACATTAGCTCTGAACTACACCAACCTGAACATTTCAAGCTGCCTGTCCCCCCGCTGTTTCCTCAGCGGTTGCAGATGCGCCGCGCCCGGTGGTGCAGATTTGTGGAGAACAACACCTGAAAGTCTGATGTCTTCAGGAGTTCATTTTGTGCTCTCAAAAGTCACGTGAACAAAGCGTTCTTTTCTCCACCAAGACAGAAATTGGTAAACGTTGCTATAAACGTTGCTGACCAATGCGAGGCAGCATTAAATAATCTTTAAAATTTATTTAGCGTGCCCTCCAGACATCCAGAGGATTAGCTACCTCTTAGTCTTTAAACCTAATGGCTGATGGATGGCTTTAATTTGTATGTTGGAAATTACAATGCTAATCTGAGACAAATTACCAGGCAAAGTTAAATCACACTCCAGACTTTTTTTCCTCTTCATGCTCCCTGGCCCTCTCTCACTCTCTCTCATCATTTCTCTCTCTCTCTCTCTCTCTCGCTTGATTCGAGGCTGCAGTGCAATTTTGCCATTACATAACAGAGGGGAATGGAGAAATGGTAAGACTAATGAAGGCAAAAGCAGGCAGCTAATGGAGACCGTGTTTTTGAGTCACACTTGGGTTTCAGGCAGATCGCCTTGGGTCAGTTTGTGCTCCTGCAGTTATGAGGCTGCGTATGAAAGGCTGGATGCACAGGGTTATTTGCAACAATCCGCCATTACTGTGCGGGTATGCTCTGATACTGTTGCTTGGCAGAAAAATGGAGGAGAGTTTGCAGTTTTATCCTGCTTTGACAGCAGAGAATATTTAATTACTGCAAAGACGGCATGTTGACCTCCCCTTTTTATCATCTTGTTCAAAATCAAAATGTTTTTTTTTTTACTCTTTACATATTTTTTTTTTAACCCATGTTGTGCTTGGGATTTTGTGGGCCTCTTTCTTGGAGCGTAGAACATACTATTACTATGTGCTATGCTATGCTCTGGCAGGGGTGGGTGTTACTCTAGCTAATAAGAGGGCTGTTAGAAATTCCATAAGAGGAAAGTTCACAGTGTTTCCATCGTCACGACTCTATAGGAAATGAAAGGGTGATGTGCTGAAAGGTTGCCAGTCTGCCAACAACCACAGATTGAGCTGTGGTTATTCCCTTTAAAGAAAAATGTTATTCTTCAGTGTTTGAATTTTAGGATATGTCATGTTTTGTCACTTCTAATGGAGGTGGCTCAGTCGACATTCACGCCTTCCTACTGCTAAAACTGCAAGACTGTGGGAGCATCAATCTGTAAAAAGGCTTAACATTAAATGCAATGCTTGGGTTTTACTTCTTTATTGTGGTTCTATTATGTTTCGATTGACATTTGATTGGACACAGCCTCAGTGACATCACCCATTTGATTCTAAAGTGTACGTTTGAAGGTTTTCAGCAGCAGACGCCATGTTAAAGACAGTAAACCAGCCTAACTTTTGATTGACTTAACAGTGCAAGTGCAAGAACAGCTACAGCGCCCACTTGTCAGTCAAGTTAAACTCATAATAACCGTCATATCTTTGAAACAAATGCATTTTAGAGAATTTGCTCTATTCAGTGTATGCAAAGAAAGAAATTAGCTTTTTAAGCTAAAACCGTTTTTTAATGTGGCGTTCAATGCCAACACCGCGCCATCTTAAGAGGTGCGCAGTAAGATTGGATATGTTGGTAGCGTTTTTAGCTTAACCTCTGCAAAATCTGACGAGGACACCTTCTGTTTACAAAACAAAAACAAAAGAAACGTGTCCAGACTTCAGTCTTGATAATCTCTTTTTTATATTGCTTCTCTCTCTGCTATACCCATTAATGGCAGCATATATTGTGCATTATATACAACATAATATAATAGCAGTAAAAATACAGTGAAAATAAACAGTTGAAAAAATAGTGTAAATCGCAATATATTGTTTCGCATTACTTACTGTATTGCAAAATGTTAAAAATCGCAATAATACCATATTGTGGTGCAAGTATCATGATGGTATTGTATCATGGCCCAAGTATCGTGATAATATCATAATGTGGCCCAAATATTATAATAATATCGTATTGTGGCCAAGGTATCGTGATCATATCGTATCATGGGGCCACTAGTGATTTTCACCCCTATAGAGGAGTGTTAACTTTTATCGTGAAACTGTCAGATTTTTAACAGTGCTATATATTTCCATTTCAGCAATGCACACTAAATATATTTTAACTATGCAATACTCACTCTTAATTATGTAATAGCATTATGATTGTCCACTAAGCAATTTACATGATCTACCATATGACATGTACTGTTATGTACAACATTCCTAATCAGCTGTAGTTAATTCTTTACTGCCACAGTGTAAGATGTGTTTTTACTTTGCAATATATGTATATTTAGCATACAATTTACATGATTTTTTATGCAATAGGCATTCTTTCTAGTACAGTATACTGTATATTTCTCATCCTGCCTTATCTCCTGTGCAATATAAGTAATCTTTTGTGCATTCATTATCTCCTGTGAAGTCAGGTCTGTATAAAGTCAACAAAATGATTTTTGCACTAGAAAGAGTTTACTTGGCTTAGAAAGTTTTTTCAAGTCGGGGCATTAATGAATAAAGTTTGAGAACCGCAAGTCTTTTGGGTGGCTCTCTGCCTAACTAATTATAAAAGGATGTATGTTTTCTGCGGACATAGCTGAAAACAATTTGGTTAAGTTTTCTAAAACTTGTATTCGAGGACAGCTTGGTTGTGGTAGACTGCCATGGGAGTTCACCTGTCAGCGCAGTAATGTTTAATTGGCAAACAAAGTGGGAGAATAAAAGCACTGTAGTGTAGGCTTCAATATCCTAGTATCGGATGGCCTGAAGAGATAACTGAAATCAATACAACTCATAGATACAGCGTCTTTTTTGCTCTTCAGGATCTATTCTGGCTGTCATATTTAGCGCACAGACCCACCAGCTTGTCAAGGTGGAAAAAAACCCTCCCAAAACAAGTTGGGAGCTGTTCATACGCTTGCTCACGCTGTAGGTCTCCAACCTCACAGAGTCGCAATTTGGAGTCAAAAGCCTTAAGGCCCCGGACTCGAGCTAGAGTTGCACAGCAGGTGCTCAGAGGAGGCCAACCTGGGGCCCTTTGTAATTCTATCTCAGATGGGGAACTCTCAATGCCCCAGATACTCAGTGACAAAATAAACTGAGTGTCTAGAGAGCGTCACTTGATTTGCTTTCTTTTAGCGCAGTGATCTCAAGTGTCACTTGTTGCTAACAAACGGCAGAAAATAGTTGTAGAGGTTATCAAGGAAGAAGAAGGAACCCAGTTATGTCCCAAAGATGTGATAACGATAACGATAAATGGATGATAACAACTCCACAAGCTGCTCACCCCCTCTAACATTAACTTCATCTACTTAAGCAGCTGCTACAACTTTTGAACCATCCCCCATCTCCTCACCTGTCTTACCCTCTTTGTTATGGACTGGATGGGGCGGAGTCAGCGTCTTAAATGGGCATGAGACCATAGCCTACATACACACATCCAAAACCAACTTTTATTTATTTATTATAAGACACAGAGTATACTGATTTGGGCAAAATTACGGTGGTTATTGTCGTAAATTTCGGTATCAGTAAATTTTCGGTTTGTCGCCCAGCCCTACTCTGCAGTAAAATCTGAGTTTTTCAAAACTCAAGATAAAAAAAATTAAAAAAATTGGTGTTGTTTTTTTGACTTTAGGTGATAGTTTGAAGGCCTGTTTGAAAGCTTTAAATACTGAGTAACTGAATATCATCTGCAACTACAGCACAGTGTGACACACATAAGGTGCAGGTCTGGTTACTGGTGATGTCACCTTTGGGAAGGATTGATGCGCGCGCACACACACACACACACACACACACACACACACACACAGGGACCAAGTCATCAGTATTCACTCCTGGCTTATTACATAAGTCACTCTTGTATGCTATGTGCAAAGTCTGCAAGTGGACGTTAATTAAAAGCTTTTATTTTTTAAACGTCGGACAGCTGCTGAATTGAGAAGTCCACAGGATGTCGTCTTTAATTATGTCCTTTTTGTGCCCTGCTGTCAGTTTAAAATCCACTCATTAGGGGGCTATGAAAAGAAAATTTTAACACACTGGGCTTTTTTTTCTTTTTTTTAAGTGGAGGCTGCTAAAGGTACTTTTTTAATGATGTTTCATTTTAACGCACTAAGTTCCTCTTTCCTGTTTGATGTCAGCTGCTAAAGTGGCGGTGACATGAGGTCCATTTTAAAGAATTGCTTTGTGGGGTGCTGTTCTCTTGTACAAGAACAGGCTTTTTATGCAAAGTCTGTCTCAGGACTCATTGGTCCATGCATAGAAAATGTGCTCCATCTCTTTTTAATGCGGTGATAAGATTGGAAAGTTGGGTGTTTTAAATGAAAATAAATGCAAACAGGATTCAGGCTTTTGAATGCATCTGTTGTATCCCAAATTGCACATTGAACTGCTGTGAAAAGCTACCCTTATTAGGCCTCTAATTATGGAAATTGACAGTAACAGAGATTTGTTGTGGATTTGGTTAGTCTAATTCCCATGATGCCTTCAAGACTAAGGGCAAAAAAAACAGGATTTTACTGTGAAATAATTGTGACCAACAATTAAGCTAACATCAAACTTAAAAAAAATGACTTAATCAAAAATAAGTCATGTTTTGATATTCATACTACGTATAAAACTCGGCAAGATAATCTCGTCATGCAGATTTGTACTAATATTTATGGCTTTGTATTAATAAAGCAACACATTTGTCTCAGTTTTCTGCTTCATTTCTAAACTGCAATCATTTCTGCTTCGAATACTGCCAAGCAAACTAGAAACTGTGAGGGTCTGCTATAAATATTGATAATTGAATGAGTTGCAGATCATTGCAGCAATTTGATAAATTATCTCAGCGGGTAAGCTCTGAGCATGAGAGGGAAGAGTTACTCTTTCTCCTACATGAGCCAACCCCCTGGAAGGAAGTAAGTACCTGCTATTCCCACAGTTCAACGATATGGAACTAACAGCATTTCCTCAGAACCTTGTGTTTTTTGTTTATTTATTTATTTTTTTGTCAGAGAAAGGTGTACGAAAGCGTTTTAAATTTAAAAGAATAACAGCTCTAATGATGGTCTTTGTTTACTCTTGCAGCTGTCCCGTTCCCTCCCAGTCACCGGCTGACGGCTAAAGAGGTGTTCGACACAGACGGGAAGCCCAAAGTGGACGTGCTGAAAGCTCACCTAACCAAGGAGGGCCGCGTGGAGGAAACGGTGGCACTGAGGCTCATAGGAGAGGGCGCCGCTATCCTGCGTGCAGAGAAGAACCTGCTGGACATTGAGGCCCCAGTGACAGGTCAGGAGTCAGATATGACACCATGTGTTAGTTGGCGTAGTTTAGATAAACTAGCTTTTTTATTTAAAGGGATATCCCGGCGTAACAGTAATTAAGGGTCAAACACACTGTAACACAGAGTTAGACAACCCCTCGAGAGATGAATGTTGCTGACCGCTTTCTTCCCTAGTTTTACCAACTTTAGTAATGACCGCAGGATAGCAATACACAGCAGTTTACATCTCCACGCACAAACCTCAACCAAAATGCCACTCTATAGCCGCAAATAATGCTCAGAACAGCACCTAACTTTATCAAAGTTAAAAATGATTGATGCTGCTTTCGATTTACCTTGGAAGTCAGAAGTCCAAACTGGGAATGATGTCACACCCTAGTTACCAGCGTTTCAGTTACCAAGTCGAAAAAAAGCAAAATTGGAGGTGGAAACAAGATGGCTACATCTAAGGAAGTTATTTTAGCACTTGCCTTGTCCTTGCTTATATTCGGACAAGGAAAGCACTAAAATAACTTTCATGTAGCCGTCTTGTTTCTGCCTCCGATTTTACTTTTTTCTGACTTGGTAATTGAAACGCTGGTAACTCGGGTGTGATGTCATTCCCAGCTCGGACTCCGGACCTCCAAGATTACTTGAACGCAGCATTAATCATTTTTAACTGGAAAAATTTCTTTGTGCTTTAGGCTGATGTTGTACAGGCTTACAAAATAAGGTAATCAGAGACAAATGGACACAAGATTTAACTGTAGAAATGTCTGGCGAAAAGTTAAAAATAAAGTCTAGTTGCAGCCTTTTGGGGTCGTATACAGAAAGATCTCTCCAAAGACACCAGTACTTATTCTGGTAACTAATGTTATCTCAGCAGATATTTGTCAGAGACCTTTTTTCTCTGACTGAAGGAGTGTCAATGATAATAAAAAGCCCAGCTTATGTACAGTATGCAAAAACATGCATCTGTCTTGTTCTTATGGATGACTATTTCATCCCTTGCATGTCAGCGACAAAGCCACAACCAGCTTCTGCGGTGGCGTCATTCATGTTTGGTCATTAGCATTCATGGCTCAGTGCCAAAGCCCTGATTTATCCCAGTTTAAAACACATTTCTTTAGGTGTTATACAATTTTGATCGACTCCAGGTCATACTAGACGTGAATGTCTGTCTAGTGCAATAAAAAAGTGCAATAGATCTCTTTTCATTATGAACACTAATGTTTTTTTTTTTCTGAGTGGGAATCATTTCGACTCATATGTGTTGCCTAGCTTCTCGGCTGTTTTGTATTCATCCTCCCTTGCTATAGTTTTTGGGTCGCACTTCTTATAAATTTAAAATATCAGAACTAAAGGACTCCTTAACAACTCTAAAAAGTAAGTGTTTGTTCATACCTCGGTAAATAAAAGATGACAAAGCTCTCTGAGAGAGTGCTTACATGCAGGCATGGCAAGACTGGAGAATTATCCTTAACTCTTGGCGGTCTTATTTTTCCCACCTTGTTTGTCACCGTGTTTTTCTAAAGGCAGTCATTATCGTGACTGTCAGTGGAATTGACAACTTGCAGATACACAAAGGTGTGAGATTTCGTGTTGGATCTGAAACGCTCACTCTGCTGTCTTCCAAGACAGAGCTGCAATGTTTCAGCCGTGTGACAAATTAATTTCCTTAATTAAGTGAGTCATACTGTCCCCAGGTTACATGCTGGCCATGAAGCTAGCTGTGTGGCTGTGTATTTAACATTTCTGAAAAAAACAGATTTGGTTCATCCAATTTGTGAATATTAACAAGCTGAATTACACTCAGTTGGCCGCTTCTTGCTGTTTTAATACTCAGCTGATGATGAAAAGACAAGATAATTAGACTAATTCTTCCCTTTTTTATTACAGGTGCTAAGCATTAAGGTAAAGCTATTAAAAAAAAAAAACAGTGAAAGATGGAACATTTTCTGCCTTTTGTTTGCAGATGCTAATTTTTACAGCTGAGCACTTATTCTATGTGCAAAGCGCCCCGGAGCTGAAGTCGAGCTCATTCATGGCTGCGTCTGTGAGGGAACACTCTGTAGCGGGGAGGCTCACTGATGCATATGCACAGATCCAGAGCAGCCATTGTTGTCTTTCTTCCTGGTCAAGTGCCCTGTTCCTCCATTAGACTTTCTGATGAGGCGTCTTTGATGTTTGTGTAATCAGAGGCAGAGACCTTCTCAAAGCATCTATGGCAACGCATCATTTCTACTGATACGTCCTCGTATTATGGCGCTGAGTGGCCGGCTGGCGTTACTTAAATTCATGAATGCACGCTCCTTTTTCAAGCAGAAGTGCGGGTCTTGTAGGCTTACGCAGGCAATTATAATAAGAGAATAACTTGTTTTGTTATTGAAGAGATTGAAGCCGAGAAAAAAAACAAAAAACGATGCAAACAGCCTGGGCAGTCATGAGCTTTATTTGCTGCCTGACTTTGTGTTTGCAGGCACACAACCAGGGGATTAAGTGTAATCCAGTTAAACACAGGTAGATTTTTGGTTATTTAGCCGTGTTTACACAAAACTGGCTCCGCTGAAGGTGTTTGAGTGATTCTCGCGCGTGACAAAGAACCCAGCGGATGCAGCGGAGATGGATCAAATCTGCACACATAGCTGCACACGAGACAGCCCAAACAAATTACAATCTAACTCAGACTCGATCTCGCCAAAATTGTATTGACTCTCCGGTTTAAAGCAAACAGGGCTAAATAAGTTCATTCCTGCAGAGAAGCAGTGAGCTGTTTGTCAAACTTAAACACAAATGCACAATAAGGAAAAGCTGTGATCTTTCTTAGAAACTGCCCTCCTGCTGCGCTAAAGCAAAATTAGAAAAAAAAAAAGAAAATCTCTTAAAGTGACAGTCTTTATTTTTTTTTACAGAGCTAATTATTACTCCCCTCAAAATGTGCCCAAAGCGGTTTAAGATATAATGATGCGTAGGAGAGAGATCTAATGTCTGATAATGATTTGAGACGGAGTCAGAGAGGTAAAAAATGTTGCTGGAAATGTTTAGGATTTCCTGCCCGGACTAGATCACAATCTGGTTTTTCTTGTGTGTAAACATGCTCCATCGGTGACCTTTCCTCGTGGTCACGTTGTCTTAGAAATTCTGAGAAGCGCTGTCACAATTCGGCATGGCTCAGTTTTAGGTTTTATCGCGTTTGAATGGTGACTCTGCTTGTAAACATCCTCTCTTTGCGGGGTTACATAGAAACAGTGGGCAGCTCCTGGTCTGCGTGCAAGCCGTGGATCCCGAGGAGCTGTGTATGTGTGTGTGTGTGTCTGTGTGGCAATGAAGCACATCTTTCCCTCCCACTCAACACCCCTGTCCCTTCTCCCACTCACTAACCCTCTTCAACAAGGATTTCTCTGTTGTGCGTGCCCGTGATCCTGCTGTGTCTGCCTCTCATGCGTGCCCCTGGACTCACACACCAACATTTCTTTGTTTCTCCCAGCAACTCCTCTCCTTCTCTGTCTGCCATGTTTTTTTTTCTACCCGTCTGTGTCATCCCTTTCTCCCCCCCTTGTTAGCACACCTCCGATTTCCAACATGGCACCTTGTCAGCAAATCAGTAAGTAAATATTTATCATAGATGTAAAGCGCCACGACGCGTCAGCTATCTGTCTCTTTCTTTCTTCTTGTCCCAGTCACACAGTCACTTCCTGGTTGGGCCAGATGGCAGGTGGGGTTTTCATGGAGGGAGGGGGTGTGTGTGTATGTGTGTGAGACAAATGGAGCAGGCTTAGGCCACTGAGTACAAGCTGCTCCCATGGCCTTCACACAAGTCTCGCATCAGTAGAGCTCCTACAGTTGCATCACCAGGCAACAGCGAGACTTTACACCGTTCATACATCTATTTGAAGTGCAGGGGCTCGACCTCGACTAAGACTGGACTCTAACGTACAAAAATACAATAGTGCAAGTTGACTTAACATGTAGAATGTGAAATATGAAGTCTGTTTCGCTGCTGCATTTCAAATAGTCAACCTTTTTTAGGTGAAACTGTGATGTTTTCTCAGCCAGGAAATGATAAGACCTTGAATGTGGAATTTCTTGTGTAAATCTTTTAAAGGTCTCTCCAGAACCTTGATTTGAAAGGCAGTTTTATAAGTTCATTATGAAGTGTGTTTGCTCTGCGCAGCATTCAGGGCCATTAAACCTTTCCACTAGGTTGTTATGCAACAGTCTTACAATGAGTAGGCAGATAAATTGGACGCGGCAATATCAGAAAAAAAAAAAAGATGACAAGAAAATTTCCTCTGAAAAGCTCTCGTTCAGTAACCGTGTAGTTAGGCTCTTTTTGAAAATCAAATTAGAGGAAGTAATTTTCCTTTTTATGTATTCTGACCTTTTCCTAAAAGGTGTGAGCTTTTCTAGTTCCAAATTAAAAAGATAATCCACAGCTCTCCGGTAAAGCCTACGCTATAATCAGTTTGTCTTGTTATTCTTTTTTTTAAGGGATGGCCAGTGAAAAAAAGGTCACGGGTAGCTTGATCAGGATGTGGCGCTGCACACTCACCGATATGCATGAGAGTTTCGTTCATTTTGCGGTGGTTTCATGGAGCTTGGCTCTGATCAGTATCCACACACTGCTTTAATGGTGTATTTCTCAGTGGTTTAGTTTCATGGTTATCATGAGGATGTGTGGGATTAGTCAACTGAACACTTAAATATTGTCACTCTTGCTTGTTTGCCCTGGAATTACTACTGGGTTGAACTAATTACCGTAATGCCCCAAATATGAGACAGATGTTTTCTCATAATACATCTGAAAAAGTGGGATTGTCTCAGAACAAGTCAAATCTTATGCAATGTTATGGTTGTGCATATAATATTGGCTCTAAAATAGAACAATACAGTATGGTGACTTGCTGTAAAATCTACTCATTTCGTGAGACAGTCAACTTTCAGGGCAGAATCAATCTGTTTCTATGACATCTGATGGCTTTTCTGTCCCATAGAGAAGATTCAGACATTATCCTTATCTAATTTCTCAAAATCAAAAGTTAACTCATGGATTTATCCAATTTAACTTATTGCAGTAACAGTAGCTCTTTTTCTGTGCCCACACAATGGAAATGATAATGGTTGTTTTGTAGGTGCCTAATTTACACGTAGTCTTTTTTTTTTATTATTTCATTTAACTGTGAAAGTTTTATTTCAAGATATAAAACATTTTATTTATAAACTGTAAAACACTGGCTGACCGATATTCTCAAGGAGTAATTTACTATTATCTTCAATTAGAATTTCTGTCTGTGTAAAAACAAGCTTTGGTTTTCAAAAATTAATCTCCTGAATGTTTGTGTTGATAAAGATTAATTATATTTGTGAATGCAATGCTAATAGATGTTTTGACTAAGCTGTAAGATGTAGCCTAATGGGTATGCAGTGTGTCTATGCACATAAATATAGTAGTTGTGAAAAAAAGAAGACCTGGTTTTGCAAATATATCCCCTATACTTCTTTTTAAAGCTCAATTTACACAGTCTGCAACTTATCACCATTAAAAAAATCAAGTAGTTTCCTCATGTTATTGTTATTACCACCTGTAAAGGATCAGAAGGAGATGAGCTGGAAACCACTGGTATGGAAATTCACATGTCGTGTTTATGTCGTGTCAAACCCCACCAGCAGGGGGCTTTCGCACTTAAATGTCGTAAAGCTAAATGCTCTGTATCTGAATGTAAATGAAAACAAATGAGCTTTTAATTTATTTATGCATTTTTGTTTGTTTATCTTTAGACTAGACAGCTAGTAGCAGTTTAATTTCCATTTTAAGGACTTGAAAATTAAAGATTGAAGAACATCCCAGATTAGCGACTATGATCCATGTGTGAGCCGTCCTCCTGCTGTTGAATGTCGATCAACAGCAGCTTGTTATTGTTGTTGTTTAACAGCTTATGATGATAATCTAGCCCTCTAAATCTTTTGTAGGGGAGTTTGTGCAATTACATGAAGCAAAATATTTCGTCAAACTTAAAAGCTTTTCTATAATGCTTTTGTTACTTTCCAGGAGATTTGATATTAACCACAAAAGACATCCTATAAAGCCGTACAAGTAAAGTAATCCAACAGGAGAACAGCACAGAGCTCGTAGAGACACAGTGTTAAAGCTTGTGAATGAGTCATCAATAACCCCTTGCTTGGCTTTCAAGGGTCACAATTCAAAACCAATGGCTTTTACCAGCACTGTGATTTAACGTCAAGTCAAAGTCAGACACCGCCGCTTTTACTGCTGCCGCTGCACAAGCGAGAGCAGCTTTTAAAACATCACATACAGTTTGATGGTCATGACAGATTGCAAGCTCCACCTCCGCTTTTGCATAAATGCACCCTCTGCAGGATGTACGCTTGCACAGAGAGTCAGTGCCATCATAAAACCAGGAGGGGATTGTTATCAACCCGTCTCGATCAAAACATGATCTGGCACAGTCTGCCTCACCGTGCATTTCTCTCGCTCAATGAGCCCGGCCTTTGGAGTGGCCTGTGTAGGTTCTGAAGCCAGGTTGTGTAATGCCCACCACCCACTCGATAGCTGCTGCCCGCTGATATGCTGCTACTCAGGGAGATCACTTTAGCGCACAAGCTGGAGATGGCCAGAACGAATTGTTTCTCACTCCAGATAATGTACTCCCACCTGCTCTTCTTATGTGGGTTTCACTTCTCACCTCGTTTTTGTGTGTTGTGTGACAAGAGGGAGGGAAGCAAAGCACGTCTGTAGGTGTGCTGGAGAAGAGGGATGGGTGGATTGTGCTTTCACTGAGATGAAGCTGAGCCCTGAGTTGGAGGAAAGGATTGTTCTGTATTTAATATGCATCCACTGGCAAACATTCGCATTTTTGACGAAAAGTCGACTAAAAATTCTCAGCAACCAGAGATTAAACTCTCACCGTCGTCTCGTCACCCTGCTGTTTCCACTGCCAGCATGTGACGGCTTTCCAAAAGGTCAGCTGCAGGTGCAGTCCTCCCACACATAGTGTGTTTGACAGGCGCTTCAGGTGAAATCGCAGCCACTTACTCGCTCGCTGGACTCACTCCTGCAGAGCTGGCCTCTAAAAACATTAAAGTATGGTTAATTCCCCCGTGAACACTGTGAGGCATAAAAAGCCCACTACTGCGGTACCAATACAGCCGCTCCATAGATTTTCACAGTAATTGCCCTCTTGGTGGTCATCTTGACAGATAGTATTGTGCTCCACCGTTCAATGATACCGTTTGTAGAAAAACTGCTTCACACAGGAGATACTTGCCTCGTTGTGTCCATGTGTTTGCTTCTACACTCTTGATACATTGCATTGTTGCCATGGGTGATACTCCCATAAGGTCCTTTATCAGGTCAGCAGCAGCTTGGATTTGCTTTGTTTTTTTTCTCAGTGATAGAAGCTGCCTTTGCTAAAAGAAGGTCTCCATAGTGATGACGAGGCTTAGCATCATAGACCCTGCTGGATCAAGTCAAATGAGTCGCTTGGGCTGCCCAGTTGTGTTGTCCTTCCTGTATTTTTTAAGAATCCGCAGCATTGATGCATTAAATACAATGCGCTTTAAGCCTGGTGCAGCAAATTGGACTGATGTCAACAGCCAACAGGGAATTTTTTTGGAGTCACTGTGGACCTATGGATGAAACTAAATCATTAAAGCCGTTTTCTTTTTTCCTTTATCTCAGACATGTAATCTTTTTCATGTACCTTGACATGTTTCGGCAGAATCTTCCACCTTCCTTAGAAGTGTCACTTGGTGGCAGGTACATAAATCATTAAAGGTAGCTACACTAAGTGTAAGACTCTGGGTCAAAGAGAAGCCTCAAGTTGGCATGTCATGACAAGTCATATGCCGGACTATGGTGGGCAATTATAGTTTCACGTGTGCAGGATTTTATTTAGATAATAAATCTAAAAGTCCAGATCATAAAATACATTTTACCACATTCATTTGTCTCTCAAATCAAGACACTGGGAAGAGTTACCATACATTGTTTAAATGGACTTCAAACTGTGTTAAACTGCAAGTGAAGAAAGTTTCAACATTTGATTGAAATTCACATGAATTCAGATAAATTAATGAAATCCACTGATTTGTTACCATTTCAGAAATAAACTGTTTAATTAACTGCCCTTATTTAGTGGAATAATAACACCAGAAGTATCCAATATTTGCACGCTGTCCCTCTTAATAAAGAGAAAGTTAAAAAGTCACCATCAGTCACTGTACATTTTGGTTTTGGACAAATGTAGGTTCTTCATCAAAGTGTTAGACAAATTTATCTCCCTGTAGTTAAAACTTTTTTTAAGCTGTAACACTAGAACCAATGGAAAGTCAATCCACTCAATCATGTAAAAATATTAATTATTACTGAAAAATGTACATTCAACAAAATCAGGTCAACAATGCTGCTCTAAGGATGACTTGTGTTACCCAACCAATTGCGACAATTGGACTAGACTTTATCATTTGAACACAAAACAGTCAAGACTGAACATTAAAACCAACCAATCAAACCAGCAGATTTTAATCACTTTGTATTTATTAAAATGATAGACTTGTTTTGACCTGAAATGTAAAACACAGGTTCAATGGTGTGTAGAAATCAGTTGATGATATATGTCCAACACATCAATATCTGCAGTGTTGTCTTTAAATTGCACAGAGTGACACATTGTCAGTACACAAGGATATGAATTTAAAGAATAGCTTCTAATTCAAGTATTATTTTTGACAGTTTGGTTCCAAATTTCAATAAATCCATTTTTAGGAACCTCACAACCAGTTGAAAGCAAGCCATCACTACATGTTTGTAGTGCCTGTTTGATTGTATCAGGGGAGTAAAGACATCTCTAGAAATTGGACACAAATAATAAAACTCCTTTTTGAAGTTGGTCCCCACAGTGGGTTTAAACAGCTACACAGTGTGGGTTTAATAAAAGACAAATGGTGGAGCGGAGGTTTACGATACAGTCAAGGAGAGCTGATTCTCCGAGCTGTCTCTCGAGGCTCGTAACTTGAGATAATTGCTCTCCAACGCTGTCCTCCAGCTCCCACTAATTGGGTATCTGCGAAAGTCTTTTTTTCACAGGCTCTGATTGTAATTCTTCCTGCTACATACAGTTCATAAAGCAACAAACATCATCATGGGAAAAAAGTCCATGTCCTTTCTGACTTAGATTGCAATCCATTCATTCAGCTCTTAATTACTTAATTAGCTAATTGCTGAGATAATAAATGAATTGCAGCACTTTGACACCAGAAACAGATGCCGTATGAATAGTTGTAACTGTGGTATTTTTGATCTGATACTGTGGATTGGTGAGATTTCAGATGGCCTTTAAAACTGGCGGCCTGTCATGAAGATGATGAATCCACTTAGTGTTTAGAGTTAGCTAATTAACTGTTAAGGTTGTGTAGATTTTCTTCTGTATTATTGAAATAAGTAGTTCTCAGCTAGTACTACCAACCTTTCCAAATTTACATTAATCAGTTCATTTTCATCCATCCATCCAATATAAGTAACAACTAATTAAGGCCTAATTAGGCTGCTTGATAGGGGTTGGAAAAAAATGGATACAGCATAGTATTGCAATATTTTGTCTGGTGATACATCGTATCGATTTTTCAAATTAATTGCTAATATGAAGTCAAATCTATGATAACGAAAAAAATAAAATCAACCATTTGTCCAGTGAGGTTGGCAGAGGTGACATCATAGAGCAGGAGAAAGTTAATACAACAAATATATGTGGTTTGCAAGATGTGCTACGTGGAAATAAAACACAGTGTAAATAAGACAAACGTAAAGGAAAGCCAAATGCTAAATTCGCTTAACAGTTGAAAAAATTGTATTAATTGCAATATATTGTATCGCAATACTCACTGTATTGCAAAATGTTAAAAATCGCAATAATATCGTATCGTGATAATATCCTATCGTGATAATATCGTATCGTGGGGCCACAAGTGATTCAGCTAATGATTGGTAGTCCGGGTTACTGACTCATGCTAGGATAGTGTGAAGTATTTGTGCAGACATATGTGTGTAGTAATTGTCAATTTTTGCCCCTGTAAATCAGTTCTTCTTTGGACACTAACATACATGGTTAAAAATTTGAGTGCAAAACTAGGGGTGGCCAATCAAAGGTGAAGGCCACCCTGGGCTACCCACCTGGACACACCCCTGTTAACCAACCTGGTTAACACCGGTGTGTTTAAATAGCTGCACCGCTGCAGAAGAAGCTCCTCTGAAGAACTTGTGTTGTTTGAGTGGGGTTTTCCTCACACATGTCTTAAGTAATGTGTTTCTCCCAGTTAAAAGAGAAAAAATCATCCTGCTATTTTTAAAATTCAAATATATCACTCATCAAGACTCTTTGTTGTAGGAAATGTTCAAAAATGCAGTTTTGGCAGTTTGCAGTTCATGACTTTGCTCAACACATACCCTGAGGCATCAGTTTCAGACATCAAAAAATAGCTATGAAGCAACAGTCAATCTTGTCTCTAATGTCTGGGATTTTTTTATTTTTTATTTTTTATATGAAGGCACTGATACTAGATTCAGTCTGTTTCATAGACAGCTTAAAACTTGTTTCCAGCACCTAACTGCAAAATGTTGTTTGAAGGTCACTATCAAGTTGAACCTAGTCTTTAATAAGCTAGCTTCTCCTCAGGGAAATACACAATGCCAGAATTGTCTGTGGTTATTTCTAACCAAAATCTGCTATCATCTATTTCTGCCTCCAAGATTTCACTCACATGTCTGCATGTGTGGTGTGTACCAGTGTACTTAAGACTATATATAGAAACAAAGAAACAGTCTTTAATCACCATTAGCCCTTTAGAAATCAGAAGTCTTATGAGTGCTGTTACTTTTTGTAACAGTGATTTTCTGCAGACTCGAATTTTGAAGGGAATTCATTAATTATTCATTATTTCTACATTCAAATCGCTGTGAATCTCTGGCAGACCCAAAAGTAAGGAGCACACAAAGAACTTAAGGGCCACAATGAAAATTGATCAAACGTTTGTCTTATTGGTCGACATAAGTACTATTATTTGCAATCAATTTTAGGTCTTGTGGTCACATGACATGGAAGCTATTGAAGAAAATGTTCAAAATTTGCCTTTGAATTTAACACAAAACATTTATGAGGACAAATTAGGGAAATAAAGGGGTGTGTCTTATTCGTCGACGTAAGTATTATTATTTGAAATCAATTTTAGGATGAAGAGGCCGAGTAGATTTAACCGTGCTATTGCTATTACCAGTTATGGAGAATGAGAAAACACTGGTAGATCCTCAGTGAATGTCCGACAGATATCCAACCTAAAACTAACTTCACTGCGGTATTTACATGAAAAAACATTCGTTGCCTCAGCAAATTAAAAAAAAAAATACTATGCGCATGTGGGCCCCTAAATACATTTTACAATTTGCTCACATGTATTTTTAGTCGCAAATGCGAGTGAAATGGTCGCAAAGTTGAGCCCTGCAGGTAACGTGATTTTGGCTAAAAACTTAATAATAACAATTTAAAGACAACTGATAAAACTTCAAATAGTGAAAAAACAAACAAAAAAAAAAGCGATTGGAATGGGACTTTAAACCTCTCATCCCGTAGAATCTAGCAGCAGGAATATGAGTTCACTTATTTTCTAAGCTATGGTGAAAATGATTATGTGTATGATGGAAGCTCCCAGACTGGCTCTATACTCAAAACATGTATCCAGCTTTGGGAAATGCCAACAAAGCGGTTTATTAATAATAAATGATGTAAGCAACACTTTGAAGCAACCTTTAAAGTATTTACAAAGTGACAATATGCTTTAAAATTGGACTTCCCTCACATGGATCCTGTCAGCCAATGAATGCTAAGCAGCAAATCTCCTCTGACCTTTGCCCCCTCCCGGTCTCCCTGGAGAGTCATACAGTAAAGGGTCACATTTTGTGATGGGAAACCAATCCATGTTGAGTGATTTGCGGTTCCTGAATTCTGATGGGAAAGGGGGATTCGACCCAGAATTCTCCCCTGACGCTGTTTAACAGCTGGCTGCTGTGTTGTTAGTATTTTCCCTGGACTGATATGACACTAGATTGAAACAAGTCAAGCAACAGAGTGAATTTAACAGTGCTGACAGTGCTGGGAATCCTGGGAATTCAAGTGGAGAAACAGACTGTCAGTAGTATTAGGATGAAGTGCACATACTCTCGGCAATTATCTGTTTGTAATTGCTACGACAAGCCGGATTTGCATCAGAGCTAACAGGGCATGTTTAGAGAGGGATACAACCGAGAGCTGTTTGGTGGTCTCAGCCAATGAACTTTTAGTGTGTTTGGCACTGATAGGGCCGTTCAAATTAAGTCTTACTAGCCAGTTGAAACACCTCAAGGTCCATAAAGAGGCTGAAAGAGGATGTAGTGGAAAAACAAGGCATAAAAAAGCAGATAGTTTGAGTTCTTCTTTATTGTATCAGCAGAGTATTAAAGTGTGATTTTATCATTGAGAAATACCATTGTTTGCCCCCCTCATTGTTTTACTGTTTTCTGTTCATTTGTTTACTCAATTTTCAGTCTTAAGCATGGGCTGGAGAGCTGACAAGGATCAGTTGTCCATCCGTAACAATAAGCCACAAATGAACAGCTTAAATGAATTAGTCCGACATGTTTAATACAATAACGCGCGCTTATCGGTGAAGTGTGGTTTTCTTCGAGTTGGAGATGCATGTGTAACATCCTCTCTGGTCCTGTATTCAAGGTTTACCGGGATGTCATACTTGACATCTAATGGACAATATGGAAATAAGCAAACACTGATCCTCTCAGAGTGTTTTGAAGGTATTCATCTGATCCTTCTCTGTTATATAAAAATAGCTGTTTCACTGATGTGTGTGTGTGTTTTTTCTTCCTCTTTCTGCCTTGCTGCAGTGTGTGGAGACATCCATGGGCAGTTCTTTGACCTGATGAAGCTGTTTGAAGTAGGAGGATCACCAGCATCCACACGCTACCTTTTCCTGGGGGACTACGTTGACAGAGGGTATTTCAGTATTGAAGTGAGTGTCCGTGTGTTTTTTTCCGATTTATTTATTTATTTATTTAGTCCTCGCGAAGGGGCCTAATCAAGTGTGACACGCGCCATGTGCCAAACAGAAGCTGCGTTTATTAATAGCTTTTCTTTGAGCGTAGATCAAATCAGGCTGCTGATATTGGAGCAGTAATAGGCTTTTGTAATAACTTCAAATGTAGCCCGGATAGCAAATGTCACGATGTAGCTTAGGGTTATGTAGAGAGAGATTTTTAATATGAGGCAAAATACGTTTTTAATCTAGGACCTTGGTTGGAATTTACTTATATATATATCTATATATTTCCTGCCATCTCATCGTCTGGAACATTATACTTGTATTAATAAAACATATTTTAATGGAGTGTGCTTCGCTGTCTGCTGATGGCTCCTCTGAAGGTTTGTCATCTCTTCCAGTGAGCCTGAAATGTGCCACAAAACGTAGCGCATAAATGTTTCATTAAAAGGCAGAACCGCCTGTATTATTCCACTCTGTGAAATTGACAAAGTCTGCCTTGATGGTTTGTGTTTGGAGAGTGTTTTTTTTTTTTTCTTCTTCTTTTTTTTTCATTATTTTTTTCCAGGATGACACGCTAACCATTCCCCAATGCTTTTTTGTGTTCTTCTTTGTTTCAGTGTGTGCTGTACTTGTGGGCCTTAAAGATCCTTTACCCCAAAACACTGTTTTTGCTGCGTGGGAATCATGAATGTAGACATTTAACAGAGTATTTCACATTTAAGCAGGAATGTAAGTAATGCTTCGGCACTTCATTTTCTTACCTTTGATCTAAATTGAGTCTAAGCAGTCTGGTTTGTGGATCCCTGCACAGAGCCAGTTATTCTTACGAAAAGCTGTTTATTATGCCACCAACCTCAAACGCTCACTTAGAAGTGCCCTCTGGCCTGCTGCTGGATCCAGTCAGATTTTTTTCACTCCTCTTGATATTTACACATGTCAGAACTATTTCTGTTGGACTCAGACAGAGTTGTGTGGAAAAAAAAACACAAAAGCCCTGTGAAATTGTGCTGCTTTCAAAATGTGTTTGGGAAGTTTTCTGGCTCTCTTTACAGCCTTTTCCGTCTTAGTCTAGCACACTGCCCCAATGTATGAAAGCTGTGGTGTTTGACTTGGCCTGCTCTGCTTTTCCCTGCCCTGTTTCCCCCCATGACAGGTAGAATTAAGTATTCAGAGAGGGTGTATGACGCATGTATGGACGCCTTCGACTGCCTTCCCCTGGCTGCACTTATGAACCAGCAGTTCCTGTGTGTACACGGAGGACTGTCTCCAGAAATCACAAATCTTGACGACATCAGGAAAGTATGTGTCTGATTTGAGAGCGTTTTCTCTTTAATTTCATACAGCAGCTTATGTGTGTGTGTGCGCCTGTGTGTTTATGTAACAGCAGGTGTCCAATGATAGCTATAAAAACACCGAGCATTTGCCGAAAATTCGAGCTTCCTGTCTGCTTCATGTGTTTTCTGCAGTCATTCAAAGTTAATGAGGAAAGAACGGTGCTCGTTTTAGCGTGATGTGCTGCGAAAATAACAGCCGTAGTTGGGAATGCATGAAGCGGTTCTCCTAGATCCGTCTCAAAATACTGCTCAGGACTTGGACACGAGGGATTGCAAAGCACCGGGTCTGGTCCTCGCTCTGATTAAAAAATGTTGAAGAGTTGGATCCTGCTTTCAAACTAATTCAATAACTCCAAATGGATTTTGTGGCTGCAATCAGAGGGCATGCATAATAGAATCTGCTCTATTGAAGTGTCCATCATGCTACTCGTCCAGTAATCCACGCGCTTTTGTTCAAGAAGGAGCTATACTTGGCTGAAAGCAAAGTCATTTATGTTCATCGCTCCTGAAAAATAGCTGCTCGAGCTTTTCATACGACATGAAAAAAAAAATAAAACCCTTCAAAGAATCGAAAAGATGAACACTTTCCTTGACATCTACACCGTATATCTTTTCATCCATGAATATTTAAAACCCCGTCAGTGTAAATGTAAGCTGGTGTAACAGTTTCATTCCAATCATGGCAGCCTCAAACCTCTGACGTTACACAGAAGAAGCACTTTTTTTTCTGCAATCGCACATGAGCTGTAAGTGCATTTTTTCCACTCAAACAGGCTGACAAGAGTGCTACTTCTCCTTCCACTTCCACAGCTAGACAGATTCAAAGAGCCTCCAGCGTACGGACCAATGTGCGATCTTCTGTGGTCTGACCCCCTGGAGGACTTTGGGAACGAGAAGAGCCAAGAGCATTTCACACACAACACAGTGCGAGGCTGTTCCTACTTCTACAGGTGAGTATTTTGTCTCCTACGATTGGATGAATGTGAGTTTTTTTTGAGACGCTCTTTGAAAGCTTCTTTTATCTGCTTCTTCCATCAAATGCTGCTGACCTCATATTGAGACAACATGCGTAAAAGTGGGGGTAAGAAAGTAACGGTAAAAAGTAGCTTTAGCTGTTTTGACTAGATTTTTCAGACCTTCATTCTCCAAAAGATATGAAGGCTGGTAGTTTCTCGCTAATCACAAACAAATGTTTTAAAGGAATAATGGAACAGTTTGTTGATAAATTTAGAAACGCTCCTGCCAAATTTCCATGTCTCATCCCTTCATTCTCTCAGCCCCTGCTATTTCTCCACTCTGACTTAGGAGATCAAGTGTTGTTAGAACATAGCGTGCTTTAAAGTAGTCCAAAAGTCTCCTCCTTAGCCCGCCGTCAGTATTTATGTAACCCTCATTGCCTTCGATTGAGCTGAGTAACTGAACAAACGGAGGAAGTGCTCGGAGCAGGCAGCTCTCACTGTCACAAAATGTAATGAAGTGGCACATTACCGCCAGGCACAGTCCTGTCTCTGAGAGCGTTCGGCGCTCCCCGCGCTCATTACGGCCTAAGCGACGCTTGCTCGGCCCTGGTGCGCCTGGGGCAAGCCAGCAGAAATAGTCAGAAATGTCCTGAGCCTCCTGATGTGCGTTTTCTGTTTTTAATAACAGGTGTTTAATAACTACTGACTTAATAGTGTTCTAATGGCTGTGCTTAGAAATAAACCCCCAGCAGTGCCGTTGTGTGGATGTTTTCTCAATCATATTTACATACCTGAATGTTTGTGAGCTTTTACACCGCAGATTGATGTTTTAATCTGTGTTAGAAGGATGTTTAAGGGGAGAGAGTGAACAGAAAAGCTTGTAATGTAGCCTCATTAATACCTCAAAGAGCGAATTGACTGTCATGTTTGTACCACGCCAACATCCTGCTTAACCTTCTGTCATTTGGTCCAAATTCCTTCAGAGTCTTGTTTTCATCAGTGTCCTCATGTCGTCTGCCCAGGGGATGCTGGCTAATTGGCATCACACTGGCATTCAGGATTTATGAGACGGTTTAAGCCAGACTGAGAGCGAGCCGTTCCTTTACACCCCTCCCTTTAAAAAACATCAGCTTCTTTGTTGCTTCTGTCTTGCAGCGACCAATAATTTCCCCCAGCGCCGCGGGCACGCTCGTAACACTTTTACAAACACAAGTCAGGCATGAAATTGCACATGTTTTGAATAGAGTTGCTTTCATTTTCACCCTTAGTCAGCACTTCGGTTGATTCTGCCCGGAGTGATATCTGTCTTTTAAGGCTGTAATCAACCAAAGAAATTCCTGTTCGACTAGAACCCGACCAAGACGGAGGGGCAGGGGGGACTCTGACGCGGCATGGTGGGGTGAAAAATATTCTGATTCCAGCACAAGAAAGCAATGCTGAAACGAAATGATAAGTAATCGGCAAACCACCAGACGTCGATTAACATGGACGCTCTCCGATCTTCTTGTCTCCAGTGGGTTGGGCGAATCCAAAATGGTGAAAACAAGGGGGGTGTTTTGAGACAAGATGTTACCTGTAAACATAGACTGTATATAGAGTGGACAATGTCTGCCTCCTCGCTGGGTGAAGCCACTCGGAGAACAGCACCCTCTGGTGACGGGCTGCAGTTTAGGTCATAAATTCCGCCTCTGCCAGTAAAGATTATGAAGCTGTGGACAAACTTTAGAAATTTATTACACAGAATATAATTTTTTCTCCTCCCTGCTTGCGATGTTTACATTTTTAAAAATTATTGGGGGTTCATGTTTTCTACAATTGACACTTGATACAGGATATTGGCGTACAAGGATTGTGTATCTCAGTGGTCCCCAACTTTTTTTATCCCAGGGACCAGTTTCATGCTGGAAACTTTTTCCAAGGACCGGGTAGGGGCGCGGAGGTTCCAGTAACAAAAACCTTAATCAGTACATACTATGTAATCTGGATACAACAATTACATTTTAGATCAGGCACTTTTTATTTCACTTTAACATCAACTCACCATAATGCAGAATCAACCCTTTCTATCTCCAGTGAACTCTGTTTCTGGCTCATTTTTGCAAGGGCTAGCTTGTGTTGCTGATGCAGAAAAATGACGAGTTTAGAGTCAAGTGCGAAAGTGAGGCAATGGCGAAAGTGGTGGTCTTTCAAAATAAGATACTAGGAGGACGGATGAAAAGAAAAAAAAATATTTAATCATCGTTATTTCTTTTGGTGGTTGGGGACCTCTGGCGTAGCTCACCTAGGGGATACGCTGTTTGAGCCGAGCATCATCACAACGACTCTCGGGCAAATGTGCACAATGCTACTGTGCAGGTGATGAAGTGCGTACAACGCTACAGCGCAATGTTGGTTTCAGGAAGTGAAGAAAAAACGCGGAATTACTGAGAGCTTTTTGGCTTCAAATCCGTATACTGGTGGAAGGCTGAACCAAGTTGTCCATAGTATATACAGTCTATACCTGTGAAATGGAGGTGCTCTGAAAACATCCCCATTAGCACTTTGCATGTTCCTCCCGAAATTAACCATAGACTGTAAATTAACGCGGAAAAAAATGACTCAGCACGTCTCGACCAATAAGTCGACCAGTCTTCTAGGACTTCACAGCCCTACTGTCTTTCATCCCTTAAATCCAAATTATTGGTATTGACTTGACAAGCTTAATTTTTGAACATGCAAAACCGAGATGGAGTCATTTCTTCCACCACTCTTCAAGTTGCTCATTAACATCTCTGCCCTCTGGTCGGACAGATGGGAGACGCTCTAAAACTTGAAAATGCAAAATTGCCCGAAAAACAAACTAGGCCAAAATATATCTCCGGCTCCATATGGCATGTGTCTGAATCTGCTGCAGGAAATCAAATGAGAACTAAAACATCTATTCCTCATTTATACCCCCGTCTAGAAAAACATTGCATTTTTAATTCCCTTTCGGCAACTGCTCACATCCCTCCCAGCAGATGTTTGTTGTGACTGTCAGGGACGCATGTGTTCTCGTGTGGATGCCAAAGCAGGGTTCTTAATGAACCTCACCCGGCTTCTTCAATTTCACTCTCCCATGATAGCTTTTCACACAACTTGGATTTAAGATAATTTAGCTCTGCACCAAGCATAGCCTCTGATAAGCCCGCATACAGAAACAAGCCAAGTTAATTTGCTTATATAAGACTTTATTACAAGCCTGCCCCCAAGCACTTTACATTTAGAGAAGCAATAAAGCTGCCATACCAGTGTTCTGTGTATCAATCTTGACCCGAACTCCAAATCAGCTTGGCGCAGTCATCCTGAAACCTCACCAGGAGTTGAGTTTTTATTATAGAGAAAAAGAAGCGTGGCTAAAGAGTCTCAAAAACAGCTGGTTTTGTTGTAAAGGGGGAAAAAAAAAACGAGTGGATTTTTCCTGAAATGTCACAGGCCAAAATGCAAGTTTGGTTTTGATTGCTGCGTGTGGGTGTTGTTTTATTGTTGTGCTCTGATTTCTGCGGGGGCGTTGAGCTTACATTACAGAACCTGATTCCATACTATAACCTGTATTTTATATAAGCATGATGTACTTTTTTTATTGAACTGTTCTTTTTGTGCTTTCTGTCTGTTTTTTTTTAACTCTAATTGCACTGTTATTGTCTACTGAATGACCTGCATCATTCAAGGCTGGGACACAACCTAGAATTTCCTCTTTATTGCTGGAAAAGCAGGAGAGCTTAATGCTGATTTGAAAAAAAATATACTTTTATTTACCCCCTTTTATTGGTGGAAAAATCCTCCTGCGTTTAGACAGATTCAAACGTGTCGATTATTCATTGTTGGCTGTCACTCATTTTGTACACCACAAATCCTCATGTCTACATAGCGTGTTTTATGTTTTAAAGGCAATACCTTTTAAATAGAAAGACGTTATCTTCATAAAAAGGCATTTCCTCGTGGCTTGTATTTCTTCGTTTTTTTTTTTTTATTGTGAGCAAAAGTTACTTCCAGTAAAAGCTGCCGGTGCTGAAGAGTTAAAGGTCGAGTCTAGAAACCTGACACCGCACTGTAGTTTGATATTTGGCAGTGAGAGGTTTTGGTCTCTTTGCTCGCAGACTGAATAGATCAGCATGAGCATAAAACATACTCGAACACTCCCCAGAGATCACTTTTTTTCCCCCTTCGAAGGAGCAGTCTGTTGTGAATCATGTGTCATACTTGACATTTTTTTGAGTTTCATTCTAAAAACACAAAAAAAAATCCACCCGTTGAGAAGGATCACACCTACTCCTCTTATGGTATGAAAGCCTGTTTAAAAGCTGAGCATATTATGGGTTATTATTTAGAGAATGAGTCATTGGATCTTTGCTCACAAAAAACGTCGGCTTTTTAGACATTGAAGCGCCTGTTTTACATTTCAGGCATAGTTTGGAAAGAATAAGAGGGCCTCCCTTCGCAGTCAAACTTTTTTAACAGCTACAGTTTGTTTTAGTACAAATTTAGCTCAAACTCAATATTGTAGATCCGCTGTTTCCCTGAACTCAATCAATAATACCCATGACTTATTTAGTTATTTCTATTGATCGCTCTTCTTGATTTTTACTGAGGTTTTTCTCAATGTATGACGAAACCAAATGTTTGTCTCTTTCATTCAACAGCTACCCTGCAGTCTGTGACTTTCTACAACACAATAACTTATTATCTATCATCCGGGCCCATGAAGCGCAGGATGCTGGGTGAGTGTTGTGGCATTTCGTCTTCTCCCATCACACTGTCACACGGCACAGTGATTCAGACCCAGGATGTTTGATGAAAAGCCCACCCCCCCCCCACTGGTGCACCCTGGGCTTTACTCGAGCCTGTCTGGAGAGCGGGTTCAGTGCAGTCTGAACTTTGAGGGAAGTCGGGTTAATCCAGGAAATGAAAATGAATCCAGCATGGGGAGTTAGTCGGGCCAGATGTGATGTGACAAACTTGATTTGCGCAGATAGTGTCAAGAAGCGGAAAGATTGGAATCAGAGTGAAAACTTTGTCACTTCATGTTGTTTACTTCACTTTCAAACAAATTTAGTGCTCTAAAACTACTAAACCGTCTGGTTTTCATCAGAAACAGACAGAGATTTCTGTGTTTTTTCCCCCCCAAAGGCGCCGAAAGCTTCTTTGAAACCCTATTTTTTTTTAAAAACAGACAGGTGGGTGGATTTGTCAGGCTGATTACCAAAGGGAGGTTAAACAGGTGGGATGCACAGCGCTCAGTTGTTTACCGTTGCACTCCCACTGCGCTGTCACAGGGGACACCTCGAGGTGGCTGCACCGAGCTGCTTAAAACCACACATGTAATAACGTTGCAGAGTTTCATCTGCGGTTCCTCTCACTTTTTTCTAATCTCTGCAAATAGTTCCTACAAGGTGTGGTGCAGCAAGTAAATCTTCGGAGCCAGAACTGTTTACCCAAAACTCTGTTTCACTCGGAGCATCCAAACCACCAAACACTGCGAGATCACAGTCGCTTAATTTGAATGCCGAGTTGGTTCAGCGGGATGACTCTTGAGGGAATGTTTCACCTGTAACACGGGGATTCACTCTCCTGAGGCCACGCTGAGGCACCCCCCCTTTGCTGATGAATCAGCTCACAGGACAAACACGCAGCTATCGTGAAAACAACAGGCCGTAAAAACTGTCACTGCTAATCATATCCCCAGGGCCAACAGCAATGATTAATGTGTGAATGAAATGTTGTAATGTTTACTAATGCTTACATCTCCTTTTGGATACCTACCAGATACCGCATGTACAGAAAGAGTCAGACCACTGGCTTCCCATCTCTTATCACCATCTTCTCAGCACCCAACTACCTAGATGTCTACAACAACAAAGGTAAGAGATACGGTTTCATACATGATTTAATAGCAGCATCTCCAAAACGCTCTCTGTTCTAATAAACCTCAAAAGTAATCAATAGACCCATGAATGGCTTTGTCTCATTGCAGTGATGGGCACTCTAATAGAAAGCGGTTTAAATGATGGCATTAATACCTACAGTCAGCCTTTCCTGCAATCAAAGCAAACAGACAATATCCCCATTGAGTTCTCCTCCTCTTACACCTAAGAGAAATGTCTTGGACATCCACTGCTCAGACTCTTCTAAAATGTCACTGGCTGACTTCAGCTCCTCGCCATTTTGTACTAAATAAAACACATAAATACCATGTTGTTGATCTTTTTACAAAGTTTCGACCAGCACTCTATAATTGGGTTACTCTTTGAAAGATGGGAATCAACTCAAAAAAACAAAACAGAAAATAAATAATAATTTAAAAAAAGACAATAAGCCGACAGAAGCTTAAGACTGGAGATTTCATTCTGAGTAGGATTTGTAGAATCAGCTTAAATAACATTATACATCATGCATTTTTGGGGAGCCTTACTGTTGTGTTTTCGGAAATATTAAAATATTGCATCATGGAGCTTTAAATGCTCTGAACAAATATGAATAATGCATAGCTTTACAAAGATGAGGAGCGAATATTTGGCTTATGCACATGAGCTCAAAGCTCCTGAAAAATGTCCCAGTGTTCTGTGGACGGGTGTAATGTTGAAGCACAAGATGGTGAAATATTCAGCCTGACTTTGCCCAGACTTTTTCCAAGTAAAATAGTCAAGGTTAGCTGATGTGAGAACGCAGCAGTAACTGTTCAGGTAGAATTACCACTTCATAATGAGAAGGGGTGATTAATGCTGCATTCCAGTTGTACTCGGAAGTTGGGATTTCAGAGCTCTGAATCGGAAATTAAACTGGAACGCCCCCCTGAAGTTATAATCCAAGATGGCAGCGCAGTGCATCAACAGTAAAGAGTAACAGTGAAAGCTCTTGTAATGTATTATTTATTTGCACTTCTGTTTTGTTTTTGTGTAATTAAATAAGTGGTTTATGTTGTACTGCCCAACGTCTCACTGTGAACACGTTGCTATGGTGTTTATAGAGTAAAACATTGTGTTGTGCGTTGTTTACAACCGGTGCAGCTAACAACAACTGACAGCGACTAACAGTAGGCATCTATCTTAGTTTTCCGATTTGTTTACTGGAACGCCGTCAACTCGGGTGTAGCATCATTCCCAGCTCTGACATCAGACTTCTAAGGTAACTGGAACAGCATAAGTTTAACCATGTTATCACCACAAACCTTGAAAAGCAATGTGTTGCAGGTTGAATGAAACACTCAAGGTTGAAAAATAAGAATTTTGACAGTGATGATGTCTGCGCATCCATATCATTGAAACAAGTGCAAAAACTCTCATCATAAGCTAATAGAGGGTGTCATTTGTACGTCCCCTATAATGTCACACCCTCTGTACGAATGTCTCAGAGGTGTGATAGGAGCACTATGTGGTCCCATTGCTTTGTCAACTCCATGTCAGAAGAGGTGTCGCAGTGCAGAAGTGAAAGGGATCAGTGTGAACTAGAGGAGCAGACAGGGTGGGACAGCCCTATGTGTGTGTGTAATTGTGTGCACATCACTATTACGTCCTTGCAAGTACAAAGGTGTGATTACGCGCTGTTTCTGACTCGAAATGTTAAAAAAGGTGATAAGTAGTGATTTCTCCACCAACATTTCCTGAACATTACTCAGCAGCTTCACTACCTCCTTATTTGACAGGGAAAACTTAGCTCTGTGGCAGATATGCGGAAGAGTAACTTTGGAAAGTTGGTGACAGGCACGTGAAACAGGATAATACCTGGAAAACAACACTGGATAAGATTAATTTTCAAGCCTAGTTCAAATAGAAATATTCTTAAAAACAGTAAATAAATCCCAAACAGAGAGTCCACTGTGAGGTTTTATTCAAATGTATGGGTACTGAGAGGTTATTCATGAGTCCCAAACTGAACTTCCACTGTGCATGCTCTTCACTGCTCAGATCTATAAAACATAATATTTTGGTTATAGCTTTGAACTTGTTTCATGGCTGGTTTCAGCCTCTGTGACACCGTCTTCAGTTTGGGTCAGTTCACGGATGGAGCCGGTGTGATATGAAATGGCCCGGTGCCGGTTCACTTGGCACCTAGTGGCACCCTATGCGGCGCTGTGGTGCCCACGCAGCAAGATAGGCTTGCCTTTGTGCTGTGAGTCAGCACTTTTTCCCCGGAGAACAGACAGTATCTGACTTGGCTGTGGGGGCATGTTTGGATGGGGGCGGCAATGGGCAAACCACAGGAAATGGAAATGGGAAGGAAAGAGCGATGGTGCTTGTGCACGCTGTTTTGTAATTCCTCTCGTGATGAAATGCCATAACAGATCTCTGTACCGCAGTGCTGCTGGTGTGAAAGTATTACACCAGGGAGCTTTTGCTGCTCTTTTTCTTTTCAGGTGTGTTTCCTTGATCTCAGATATTAGGTCGCTTCTTCTCATTTTTTTCCCCCATGAGCTGCTTCCTTCCTTCCTTCCTGCACAATAAGGACAATCAAAAAAACCAGCATGGCAGCTTGCATGTCTGGTGTGTTGTTTATTATTAGGACCCCATTTGTGCCATGCCAACTAATCTTCCCAGGGCTCACAGTCAAAACAACACAATACAAACAAACATGCAAACAAAGTGATGTCAAGCGCCTGTTGTTTTTTTTTTGTGTTTTTTTTTAAGTGTTGGCAACCAATCGCCCGGCCGGCAAGTCATTTGCGCCTCATGAGCTCGATATGGAACAGTGGAAGTATCTAAAATGATTCGGTGTAAGCTGAAACTGGCTGACCTTCTGTTGATAAAGTACCTCTGAGAGCGGGAGTGGTTATCAGAAAGAAAAGATTACTCTGTTTGTTTTTGGACCAGACTTCATTTAGGGACGCAGATGTATCTTACAACACCGAACTGCATGTTCTTTATTCCTCCCATCGTTCACCGTCGGCCTGAAAATAAGACAAACTCTCCTTTTACTTCGACTGAATCCATTATAAGACAGATCTTTGGCTTCAAATACACAAAAAAAACAAGCAAATAAACATCCCTGGAGCGAAAGGTCTTGCCAGAGATTTTATGTAAAGCTTTTAAAACTTAACAAGTTGTGGTTATGTAATTGCTTGGTTCCGCAGTATCAATGGTTGACTTGACTTGACTTGATGTATTTCCCCCCTCAGCTCCACAGCTCCATGCACAGCTAACCAATACGGCCCTATCAGTCCTGTTGATGCTCTTCTAATCAGTCATGTGGGTGGGGTTCACTGGGAGAACCAAAGCCTCTGTAATGAATTGGTCTGCTCTTTGCTTTTTTGCTGCTGCTGGGAGCCCACTGTGCATGTTGTGTGATTGATGGCCAATCGAGTGGGCACATAAATCTTAAAGGGGAGGGAGGGAGGAGGCATCAGCAGGTCCCATCAATACAGCACTGGGAGCTAGCCAGATTAACCAATGAGACCTCTCCAGTGTAGGGGGGGAAAGAAAGTAGACAGAAGCACACTTCCCCGTCAGAAAGGAGGAGGCGGAGGATATCTACGAGGTACCAGAAAACTCCTCCACTAGAAGTAAATTAGACTCGCAGCTGAGTCAGGATAATCAACGAGAATGATGCGCGAGATGTGATTCTGAAAAGATGAAAAAAATCCAGCCTTAAGATGCCATCCATCACTCCTTTTTCCTCACAAGTCAAACTGTTGGCTTTGCACTAAGTGTCAGGCGCTGCCCAGCTGTCCATCAACACTCTGACCCCCTTGCACCCTTTGCACCCCTGAGCTGACAGTGGAGCTGCGTTAAATGAAAACACAGCAGCGGTGATTTAGCACTTTTGAGCGCTCGCAGTGGAGAGAGAGATGCAGATGGAGATGAAAAGGAGGAGAGGTGTAGCTGGCGGTTGCACACTTCAGAGATTGCTCGCGGTTTTGTATTAATGGAACGTTTTCTGCTGCATCAGTATTGACTGCGACTGAATCCTAACGGTTGCAGTGCTTGGATGGAATAAAAGCTAAATGACAGGTAGCTGCCAACGCTTTTGACGCTGATTTTTTATTACACCCTGGAGACAGTGAGGGATGGTGTGGTTAGATCCATCTCACACCTGTTAAACCTTATATAACCACATTAATGTCTCGTTCTCTTCTCCCGATGACGACGTGGAAACAGAAATGCTCCGATCAAGTGGAAAGAAAAATGTGCTCTCACCAGGAGAATAGGACAGGTTATCACTCTGGTTCATTTTCAGGTCAAACCGGACGTGGTTCACTCTTTGTTCACCATTTCCTGCCTGTGATCATGTGATTAGAGTAGAGGGGAAACGCAGTGGTATGATTGGCTCCTGGCCCCGCCACTGGAATAAATAGCAGGATAGAAGCTAGGACAGCGATGACGCCAACACAGCAGGGAATTCACCCCCCCCTCCTCTCGTCATGAGCGCAAGCAAGAAGCGTTTCCCCGGCTGCAGATGCCCACCCATCTGTTATCACGCTGGTCATGACTGGGTTTCCCTTCAATTTTCTGTAAACGTGATTGAATTCAAAAACTTTTCAGGCTGCATCAAACAAGATCAATGAGCTGTGTAATCATATGTTGGAAGACTAAATCAACTGAGATCCAAACCTCACAACAGAAATCTGGAGAGATAGTTGATCATTATGATGATTTTCTTTCGATTTGATTTCTTTTTATTGAAGGCAAACAAGATTTCATCTTTGATCGTATTTCTCAAAAAGAAACTTCTCCAAATACTTTGTTTGAAGATGTGTTTATTAGGGGTGCACTGACTTATGTGATACAAATGCCAAAAGGCTAAAACATACAGGATCCATGTTGACGGCGTAACGTCAGCGTCGCGTATAGGTTGCCATTTTAATCAATGCAGCATTGCATACGTATCAGATCCGTCACAGCCCTGTATCAGAAGTGTATAGAGCGCCGCTCTGCTAAAGATTCGCGCCAACTCTGTTTTTGCTGTGCCACGCTTCCAAGGCACACCAGTCACCTCAGAGAAGATTGTTCTTGACAGGATATCAAGCATGAAAACCGTGCATGTCATCCGGTATTTCAAAATAAAACACCTTATGTGGACTCCCGACTGTGTATCAGTTCATGTAGATGAGAAAAACTTCCTGGTTATGGATTTATCAGTAACACAGAACAATCCGATGGTCAATCCCTGATCCATGTGGACCCCAAACGGACTTATAACTGCTAACTTTGTCTGAAGGTAACTGCACAGCATAAAGGAACATAGTTTACTTTATTAAACACAAGTAAACCTGCAAAAACTGAAACTTTAATACCTTATCACGTTGCTTTTTCACATTTAGTAGAGGCTCAACCGTCACTGAACAATATCCAAATTAGCAGGTAATAGACCACAGAAAGGCAAAACAACCTGTTGTGAGCATGTTGGTTCCTCTATACTAGGGCTTGACCGATTTATCGGTGAACCGATTAAACCGGCCAATTTTAGCCCGTTTGAGACTAATCAGTAATCAGCCAAAACTCGCCGAATTTCGCTGATATTTTCAGAAATAAAATGCAGAGAATAAGATTCGGTTTCACTTCGAAAATTTTCCGCCATTTGAAAACTTTTGAAAAATTTGAACTTATCCTGTAGATGGCGCAGTGACCTCATGACGATCTTCATCCACTAACTACCTCACAGCACAGCAGAGTGACGGATCTGAAGCAGGCAGCTCAATACACAATAAGTCAACAAGTTTCAGTTCAACCCACTTCACGATGTTCCCCGCTGTGCTGGTCTCGGTCACGCCGAGTTAACGGTGAAGCTCCATGTAATATGCAAGCTAAAGTTAGAGTTAGCCACCTGCTATTAGCCTTGCTACACTGTTAGCCGTGCCAGTAACGGTAGAATAAACAACAGTACACATTACTTGATCGAGCCACTTCTCTTAATGAGGCAGCTGCATGTCTCTGCATGAGTAACGTGAGTTACGTCACGGAGGCACCGATCGGGGGGTGGAAAAGGACATACACTTTTGTGGACAGAATATTACAGCATTCATCCAAGTCCCTGAAGTGGGTGATCTGAAGTGGCGTGCAACTCCTGTCCAAACAGCGTACAGTTAAATATGATGACAGGGTTATGTCAGAGCTCCAGATGTTTGTGGTGAACTTGATCATGTTGCATATTTGAACTTTGCTGCAAAATTTTGGCACAGATTTTAGCTAGCATTCTTAAAAAAAGATCATATTGCTGCCTTTGCATGATATCAAAAAACAGGTAAGACGATTAGCAACAAGATTGAAGTTTACATATCCAGATTTTTTAATGCCTGAAACCAGAATGAGGGGGTAGGTGTCAGGCTTGCAGCAGGAGCTTTAAGTAATATGTGCTTTACAATGCCGCCACCACCTCTAAGAACATTGACTCTGCAGATATTGAATAATAAGTCATCAAGCAGTCCTCCTAAAAAGACTCAAATATGAGGTTGAAAGGTTCACAGACAGTTGAATGATCTTCACATTTTTTGTTTGTTTTAGAAAATGTGATTTGGGCTTATAAACAAATTCCTAAAAAGAAGCCCTCTTTTACTAAAAAGACCATAAAATACAGTCGAATGTTCGAGGCGAAGGAAAAAGTTAACCTTGTGTCAAGATTTTTATTCAAGCTATTCATGTCTAAAATAGCAGCCGGCCCTCAAGGTCTTTCTTAATCCAAAATATTTCAAAATAAAAGCTTCTCACATTTTGTAAAGAAGACCAGAGAATGCATATAAAGCTGGGGAAAAATGATGAGTGGACTTGGAGTTCCAGTTTCTTATTGAAAATTATATAAAATCTTATGTGAGATAGATATTGTTTCTAAGTAATTTGTTATTATGAAAAGCCTCCTTCATGCAGGAAGAGACCATGAGATGCACTTTAAAGGTCCTGGAAGCTTGTAAGTGGACACTTAGTGAAGTTTTTCAGAACAAATTAGTTGAAGGCAAAAAAACTATTTCCATTTAGTGACAAGGACAAAAGCTGAGGATGGTTGTTTCCCTCAGAGAAAGGATGTGGGAGAACCTTGGGCTACTCTTTATAAAACTGAATTTCAAACGTCCTGTTTTCAGTCGATGTCAGGCGGACTGAACCGTCATTTGTCATACATGAACAGGTGTTTTGTCCTCACTCTATCCTTGAGTGATCAGGGCTGACGTTAATGGCTGTCGGGCGCTGCTGCCGACGTTCTCATTAATTTCTTAACCGACAGTGAATGAGAAACTATTCAAGCATTGTCCCACTGTACAAGAACATTCAGTCCCAACCATCCAGCAGTCTGACATCTAATGGAAGTCGAGGGCTGCATGTAATGGGCTGAGGAGGTCTAAACGGCTGAAATGGAATACTAATCCACTGGAACTTGATACAAGAGGCCTCAGAGACAGATATGCAGTCAGCGTTAAGCAACAGGGCAGGACAGTGGGAATCTCCCCCCTGATCCTTCGAGCAGATTTAACAACCCTAGTTACCGGGGAAACCAGTTCAAGGCACTCCCTTATAAATAATTAATAAGTGGGCGTCTCCTCACGATATCTGTGTTACCGTGGCAGCAGGCTTGGCCTCATCTACCCTATTGAGCAGCACCAGATCTGCAGAGACATCTAGTGGCTGTCATGCGGAGTTAGATTTAACAGAGCAGTTTATTACAGATCTCGCAGCTGGCCACCCCAAGAGCTGTGCCCTCCTGCTGCATGAGGAATAAGTTTGCATAAAATCATGCATTCATACAGTAGTAATGTGTGTTCTCGTATTAGGGAAGCAAAATGCCGCTCTTGAAACTCTTATCTGCATGTTAAATGGAACACTCAAAAGAAGAAAGTAGGCCTTGACCCTCTCGCACCCAGAACACAGCGATCCTGTTTTGTTTTGTTTCGCACAGGGGAGGTTGTCGGGTGTCTCTGTTCCTTTAAAGGGAATCTGATTTGAAGGAGCGACAGCAGGGGAGCTGACCTTCTCCCCCGCTCTGCCTTTTTCCCTCCGGGCCTCCGTGGCTGCATTCAATCAAGTGCCTCGACCATGTTTATGCAGTATGTGATGTTTATGCAAAGCCTGCCCACGCGTGCGACTGCTTTCATGCACACCCACACACACGCATTAACACCCACAACCCTGTCTGAGCGGAGTGTGTCAGAGCTATGCGGTGCTTTTCCTAGTGGACTAGGTAGCAGTGTTTTGCTGATATTGATAACAACACCACGGTTATCATACTGTTTGGGATAAGGAGGTGACAGCGGTGGAATCCAACGTTTTGCAACACTTTCAGAGACCACTTTGACAGCGTAGTTACTGCACCATATGCATTTCCATGCCTCATCGGTTACGCACCCACATCCAATCACTAAGGCAAACCCCAGACCAGCGGGATGTCTTCTGACCTCATTTGTGTTACAACCGAGGTTAGAGCTGCTTGGGATGCCAGGTTTGATGACTTGCTATTCCTGACCCCTGCGAAAGGCCGAGGCAGGAAAGTCCCCCCATGGCGACCCAGCCTCGGTGTCCGCTTACCCAAGATCTGGGCCACCAGACTGGGGTATGAGAGGGTCTGGGGCATCTATATACAGCATGGATATATTTATGTTTGGCAGCTCTTATGTGTTCCTCAGCACCCGTACTGTCCCTTCATCATGGTGCGCGCAGCAGTCGGTGTTTGAGAGTTGGTTTCTATGTCAGTGGACACACACAAAGCTTTTGTGCATTCAGTTGAAAATATCAAATACTGTAAAGGCCTCCTGAGGATTTTTTCTGTGTGCACTGAAATGACTGATAAGGTTTGTATAAACCAAGCCACATTTGTTATTCTGCCTACACACCTACTCCTCTATATGCACAACAACACAACACCCACTACACTCTCCTCCTCTACATGATTAATAAAACTGCTTGAATAATTTACAGAGGGTTATGCACCAGACTTCTTTCACGGATTTCCTGCAGTTTTGCTGTCATACTGAGGGGTGGGCGTCCAATGAGATGAAACCATTGACTGTATATAAATATGGATGATGCACCTCCGTCTCCCACAGATATGAAGCCAAAATACTGTTGACATAATGCGTATTTGGGGGCAGAGTCTGTGTGGCAGGGATATCAACATTCCTCTCCCCCTGCTAACCAGGACACATTTTTAACTTCGCAATAAAATGAAAAAGGTTCCTGAGAGCATCAACAGATACAGCAAACTAAGAAAGAGGATTAGGGCCACATGAAGAGGAAAAAAAAATTACAGAAAGAAGATTGAAGTCTTGATTTCGAGATGAAAAATTCAAATTTTGGGATTAAGAAAATAGAAATTATGTCAAAAATAGTCAAAATTTGAGATTAAAAATTCAAATTTCGAGATTAATATCAAAATTTTGAGATAACAAAATGTCATGAATAATGTCAAGATTTCGGGATTTGAAAAATTAAAATTTTGAGATTAAAATTGAAATATTCACGTAAATTCAATATTTGTCATCTTGAAATTTGGATTTTTTTCAGTCTGACTTTCTTAAATTCCGACTTGAATCTAAAAATGTCAACTTCAATCTCAAAAAGGAAATTAAAATCAATTTCCCTCCTGTAATTACTTTTTTCTCTTTTTGTAGCCCTAATCCTCTGTCTTAGTAAACACTTAAAGTTGAAATATTCTTGAAAATTAGATTTTTGTAATCTTGAAATTCCAATTTTTTTATTTCAACTTTTTAAAATTCTATTTTCAATCTAAAAATTTCAACTTCAATCTTGAAATGGAAATAAAAAAAACCTGCCTCCTGTAATTATTTTTTTTTCTTTTTGTGGGGCTAATCCTCTGTTGTAGCAAACACTCAAAGTTGAAATATTCTTGTAAATACGATTTTTGTAATCTTGGAATTTTAAAATTTTTCATTTCGACTTCTTAAAATTCCGACTTTAATCTCAAAATCCATCTTGAAATGGAAATGAATGAAAAAATCCCTATTGTAATTATTTTTTCTTCTCTTGTGGCCCTAAACCTTTTCTTTATAGCAAACACTCAAAGACTAACTTTATGTCGCATCTTCTTTTCCAACCCTTCTTTTCTTTCTTTCTTTATCCAGTGTTCACTGCACTGTTGGAGCCAAACATATCAACAGAGTTTGAGAGTTGTTATTCCTCTTCTTGCTGGCATCAAATAGCAAATAAAAGTACACCTCTGAGAAAAATTAACACTCAAACTTAATCCAGCATAATAAGAACTAGCTAAAATAACAGAAAACATGTTTGAGAACCGTTGATTTTGGGTCATTTCTCATCTTTAATTTTGACCCATATCCCATCTGTTTACATGGAGAAGATGTTTTTTGACACGTCAGTTATTTAGGGGGTTTGGTAACACTTAAGATCCTTGGTATTGTTTGATCTCAATACACTTGTTGATCTAGTTGATGTAGTTCAGCACAACAACAATCCATCTGTTGGAATATTCAGTTGTTTCTCATGGTTTCATGTCAGATCACCGCAAACCGATCATCATCCTGTAATCGTCGCTATCATTACCTTAGCTTCCTGCCTCTGGCTCCTCTCTCCTTCCCTGCTCTCCTGAAATTGATGGTTTTCTGTTAACTAATGGAAATTGCCAGGCTGCATGGAGCCCAAATGCTGAGCCATGTGTTTCTGCGATGACAGACATGTTTCACCCAGTGGAGGCGGTAATCAATGCGCAGAGGAAATGTTCCAGAGAGGAGGGAAAGGGACATTGATTTTTTTTTCTCCCCCTCAAATCCTGGCTACCTTTGTTTGATACTTGCACAGTTTTTCAAGCATTTTTAAAAAATCTGCATTTTCCTCAGCCCTCCTGTCAGAGTGAGAGATTGACAGATCCTGATGTTGATTCACCACCTTGTGTAGGTAGTTTCGCCAGATTTCTGTACAGAGAGTCATAAATCAGAGGTTGACTGACAGAATCTTGTGTAATCTTGTCCGCAGTTCAGTCCTGGCGTGTTTGTGACTGCGCTTTGGCCACTTTTATTATCACAATTGTTTTACAGCCAAATAGAGATCTGAAGCAACTGGCAGTTTTTTTTTTGTCACAAGTCTGCACAACACCTGGAGCGAATGAATCATCGAAGAGGAGATGAAAACAACAAAAGAACCCACAGTGAAACTCTAAGCTTTAATAAGCAAGAATAGCAGCGAATATTAAGAAGTAAACTTATCTACAATCTGACCACTCTTGATTCTCTTCTTTGATATGTCCCCTGTGGGCTACATTATATTTCCATCCATCAGCCCATCACTCATTCTTGTGTTTTGGTACTTAAGACTAAGTACTTTGTGGGTAACTCTTCTCAGGTTGATGGCTTGCTGGACCGCTGGTGCCGGCTGCTGAAGCTTCACAGTATTCCTAAGTGGTGGTTGGGAACAGGGTGGAGGCCGGTAATGGACCTGGACCTCGATCAGATTGGATATTTTTCCAATCTGCCAAAGTATGAAGAAGAAAGAAAATGAAAACGATGTGTTGTACCGCTCAGTTCTTATTGTTTTTCCTAAACTTAGGTGGTTTGTTGGACATAAGCAAAGAGCAGCGTTTTATTTGCTGTAACATCGGTACTTACCTCAAAGCTCTGGGATTTAATGTGCAATAACAGTGAAAGCGAAATCCCTCCTTCAGTGGGAATTATGGATGTTGACAGACAAATCACTGAAACTGAAGTTTTCTGCAAGGGGTTTGCACCATTATTCATCGTGTGTGTCCAGAGATCAGAGAGAAAACAAGTTTATTTCATCAAACCTTACACATTCAGGCATGTTTTGACAAACACCTGCCTCTGTATTTTTTTCCTCCCAGCGGCGGTGCTGAAGTACGAGAACAACGTGATGAATATCCGACAGTTCAACTGCTCACCTCACCCTTATTGGCTGCCCAACTTCATGGATGTTTTCACTTGGTCTCTGCCGTTTGTCGGAGAAAAGGGTGAGTATTTACACACGGTCAGATCACTGAGTTTCCTGAGTCAGTAATAAAAATGATGACCCTCCCTTGAGAAACATGGCAGTCACACACCCAGACCCTGCAAACATGATCAGATGATAAATGAGATTGACGTGTTGGTTTTATGGGCCTGTTTACTGAGTTTTGCATTCTCTCACTGCAGTAAAGATTATTCAGGCATTTAGGTCTGTCAAGTTCAGTGACCCCCTCCTCTTATGAGGGTGACACATCTGTGTCAGTTAATCACACATAACTATCAGTGACGCACTCAGTCCAGGAAGGCCTTTTTGGGCGTGACCCGTCCACACGGGGGCAATTCCTCGTAGTGTCGCAAGATTACTGATGGACACAACTCACAGGGTGTGTGTGTGTGTGTGTGTGGAGGGGTCGTGGGTGCACTTTTGTGTGTCTAAATATTGTGTGGGAACACTTGCCTAGTTGAATATGGACAGATTTGAAGATCCCCTATAGTGTAGATTTGGTGCCCAGTAAAAATATTGACTTTTTTATTTTATTTTATTTTTTGCATTTCCTTTTTCTTATACTGCAAAAACATCCCTACTAGAAAGAAGCAAAGAATTGTTATATTCAATCAAATATTTTTGTAACAAGCAAAAAAATCTGCCAATGGGGTAAGCTTTTTTGCTTGACAAGAATTCTCAAAATAAGAACAAATTTCTTGGCCCTGACAGACTCAAATGAAACTTAAAACTAGACAGAAAATCTTGTATTAATCTATTTTTTTCTACAGCAAGCAATGAAAAATGAAGATGAAGTTACTTAAAATTAGAATTTTAGTCTCTTGAATAAATAAACTTCAAAAAAATACACCTTAATCTCGGATTATTAATGAGCATGACAGCAGTTCAAATAAGACATCATTTCTTAAAACAGCATAGCAAATATAAGTGATGTTGTCTTAAATAAGATATCAAAACATTCGCATTAAATATATATTTTGCATGTGGAAAGCAAGCATGTACATACATAGGCACATGATTTTCTTTTTTTTTTCATTTTACAACAAAATTTAACAAATGAAATGAACTAACAACAGAAAACATCCAGCCCCAGACCCACCCAGAACATATTGTACACTTATCTCATGGAGTTTTAGTAAAATTTTAAGTGGAGTCAGAGGTTTAATCTCCCTGAAATAGACTAAATTATTCAACAATAAATACAAGTCCCTTCATATTACTCTAGTAATATGTATTTAAGCAACTGGGCAACCTTTGAATGCAGTTGACTGCACCAGATCCTTTATATTGAGGGGATGAATAAATGTAATGCACTTTTTAAGATTTAGGGCCTGTTACTCACTTCAATATAAAACAATACATCAGAAATTATTTGACCAACATTAAAGTGTTTATTTCTATCAAAATAGTCAAGATTAAACCAAATGTTACTGGATGTTTCATCACAAAATCAAAGCCTCTTAATGGCTGAATATAAGCAGTGCACAAGTATTTTGTTTCATCAAGTTGATCTTATTTCTTCGCAGTGACTGAGATGCTTGTGAACGTGTTGAGCATCTGCTCCAACGATGAGCTGACGACTGATGAGGAGCTGGATGGTAAGAGTTTCTCACTGCAGTTCGCCTCTGCTCCACTAGAGGGGGTCCCCTAATAATAGGAGATCCCAATCCAAACGTATGCAAAGTTGTCTGCACTGAGGCTGTCTACCCTGATTTAGGAACAGTCGGTTAAAACATGTTCATTTAACACTTTGCAGACTCAGATCAATAAGTCATCTGTGTTTTCTTTTAAAGGTTTCAAAAATACCTCCTATAGATGTCCAGGTTTTCTCTAACCCCCTGAAAAAATCAGAAACAGGAAAATCCAAATATCTCAGTTTTATAGGCATGTTGAAATGATGCGACAGCGATGGGTGTGGATGTTTAGTTTTTCTTCACAGCTCTGTAGTGCACATCCTCCGGACAGCTGTTAGTCACACAGGATTTATGATTTTTATCATCACATGATAGTACCAAGTTCAAGTGTTCTGCCTGATCTCGGGTCAGAGCTTATCAGCAATGAGATGACCAGTTTCCGCTCAGACCGCCCCACCCCTTACTTGCCAAACAGGAAATGATCTCACCGCCCCCCTCCCTCCTACTTCTCTCCTTCTCTTTGTGTTTACTGACGCACACGGTCTAAAGTCTGTAAACAGGGGTGGAGTGTCAGGATATCAACAGATTCTTTCTTTTCACAGATATAAATGTTGCTGACATAGATTTGAGTTTGAGAGTAAACAAACGTGATATATGAAAAGGGAGAGCACAAAAAAGAAAAAGACTCAGGCTCCAAATACTCAGATAGAGTTTCAGTTCTAGTGAAAAGAAACTTGGACTCTCAGGAGTGCCAGTTTAGGATGATATAGTCTTATAATTCCAGATTAAAGCTCCTGTGTGCAATTTTCAGATGATCTTGAAACAGGCTGAAATTGATACCATTACATTTAGGGGACCTTTAAAAGCAAACAAAACTGTCCGTGTGGGAATATTTATTATTTCTTCATAATTATTTTAATGTCTGCAGTAGCTGCTGGAGGGTAGGTGTCTATCAAATATCATTTGTTTACATTCTTGATGGAAGAAACTTACAGTAAGGGATTGGATTAGAATTGGATTTTTCATCAGACAGCACGATCTTTGCATGAGACTCGAGGAATTGGAGGTGCCAAACAATCGTTTCTCAGAGGAGCTTTAATTTAATCTCACTGTGATGTTAATTAATCTGGATTTGGAGGAGTGGCCGATCAAATAACAGTTAAAAAAATGCTTTGCACCAATCAGACAGAGGCACAGATCTTTCACTTTTTAAGTAACCTGATTTCCTCTAACGCCTCTTCATTCTACACGTTCTCATCCACTCAGTGCTTTTCTCACATCTCTTTGCCTTACCATCATTTTTTCTTTTTCATACTTATTTTTCTAATCATTCACTTTGTTGACATTTGGATTGCTCTGTACCTCGTCTGTCTCAGCTACGATCACATCATTTATAATCCTTTTGGTTGCCTTTACACTTCATCTGCTGTAGTTTCCATGGTTTCCAATATATGTGATGTTGGTTTTTCTGTCCTCAAATTCACAGATTTCACTCTCTCTCTCTCTCTCATGCTCTGTTTTCGTAACTACCTTGGTTTACTTCATCTAATTCCTTTTTTTTCTGTTTTCCAGAGTTTTATTTTGAAGGCATCACTTTTCTTTTCACTTGTTGCTTTCTCGCTTCTTACTTCACCGCTCGCCCCCTTTCTGCCGCCTCATCTTTCATCCTTCAGCCATCCACTCATCAGCCTGTCTTTCTCTCTCTCTCTCTCTCTCTCTCTCTCTGTCTTCTCTTCTGGGGGTGTTACATGAGAAGGACAGCTAATATATCCCCCCAAAAAAGGTACAAATACCAGCTGCACGGGTGTGTGCAGAGGTAGATAGACTTTTGCTTGCTCTCTGGGTTTCAGTCTGTCAACTAACACCTCTGTTTAAAACATTTTTTTAACAACACTAATATGGCTTTTGACTTCTTTCTATTTGTTTTTCATGAAGCTATGTCAGCCAAACTGAAAGGTCATTTTTAGGTATACCCTGCACACATTGAAATAACCAGTGGTTCAATGTAGAGTACATTCCTGTGGAGTAAAATGCTTGAAAAGATGGTGTAATTGACCAAGAATGAGAGGAAATCTCTCTGTAGACACCAGACTGTCAGCTCCGTCCTTCCCCCGGCCTTTCATCACACATCAGCTTCATTTCCATCCTTCATTCTCACGCATTTTCCAAGCTGGCTCTCTGGGGCCCTGAAACCGTTATCCCGCACAAGGGTCCCCTTAAACAAAGTTTTGTTTTCCAGTGCTGGAAAAATCCTGTTAAATCTCTGCAACCCAAACACAGAGGAGGGAAATACATACAGTGTTCTCACCAACATGCTGGAAAGACATGTTTGGACAATTACCAGTCCACTTAGAGATGATGTAACACGGTTTTAAAAGTACTACATGGGGGAAAAAGTATGTAGGAGTCCGAGGGACTTTTATATTGGTACAATACAAAGAGGCAGCATGAATGCACTGAATGCTCAGAGTTACTCAGTTGTCGTGACGTGTGGGTGGATTTAAACTATTTTGCTTGATCTGAAGCTCAGGCTTTAATAACAACATTGTGTTTGCATTGTGTTGATCTGAAGCACTTCCTGATGTAACTACTGATCCAAAAGACCCGGCCTTTCTCAGTACGTACATTACAGTTTATTAGACCTAAAGGATAGAGGCATGTAGTGATTGAAACAGAGAAAAGCACAGACGGTGTAGGTCACTTTAAACTTCAACAGGGACATGGTGTGGTTTACATGACTCACAGTTTGAATGACTCTCTGACCTTTGACCCTCACAGGTGCCACAGCTTCTGCCCGCAAAGAGGTCATCCGCAACAAGATCCGTGCCATTGGCAAGATGGCCAGGGTATTTTCTGTGCTGAGGTATGCAAACATGAAAAAAAATCTCGCTTTTGTTCATGTTTCACCGTTACGCTGTTACTTACAATACTTGATCACAACAAAAGACTGAATGAAGTACTTAAAGAAGAGGATTAGGGCCACATGAAGAGAAAAAAATTATTACAGGAAAAAGATTAAAGTCGAAATTTTGAGATTAAAAAATTAAAACTATGTCAATAAAGTCAAAATTTTGAGATTACCAATACTGAGATTACCAATATTGAGATTAAAAATTGAAATTTCAAGATTCAGGTCAAAATTACAAGATTAAAAATTTATTATGTCAATAAAGTCAAAATTTTTAGATAAAAAATTAAATTTCGAGATTAAAGTCGAAATTTGAGATTAAAGTGGATATGAATTAAATTGAAGTTTTGTGAATTCAATCGAAATTTCGAGATTAAAGTCAAAATTACGCCATTGAAGTTGACGCAAGTAAAGACGGCGAGGTCCGCCAAGCTGGGCATAGGGTGCGGTAGGGGGAGGTGTCTTCTGTCGCCATCGTGTGGCATTGCTGTCTTCAGCCATCTCTTGATCTCTTTGACTACTTGACGAAAATTGTAATACGCCTCGCTGGTGGCGGATTTAAAGGCGAGGAGAGGAGCTTATGTTATTGGTCAATAAAGGCCTCAGCTGTGTTAAACCTATTACACGCCTTCTCTCCTCCCTCCATACGACTTAAGCTGCTGGGAGGAGCCGAGTTAGGGAGGGGGATACTTACGCCAGGTTGCGCCGCTCACCAAAATACCGGCACAAAATAGAGCCCTTGATTTATTGTCTTTGCACCATTTTTGATTAAATGCAGGATTTTATTTTGCACAGCGTTCAAATATTTATTGAATCAGAATGGTATATATTTCTAAATGATGTGTGTGTTTGTGTTGTTACCTCAGAGAGGAGAGTGAGAGCGTGTTGACGCTGAAGGGACTGACCCCGACAGGCATGTTACCAAGCGGAGTGCTGTCCGGTGGCAAAGAGAAGCTGCAGAATGGTAAGACTGTCACAAAGTACCCCGAAACCCCCGCTGTGGCCCCCAGACTGGATTCTCACACACATAATTTGCCCTTACGCAGCGATACCCTGAGAAAAGTGCTAGTTCAGCGTTCAGGGTAAACTCTATACATAGACTCCTTCCTTTTTCCCCTCAGTGATGGTCCTTGAATTGAAAACTGCTGCCTCAAAGTAAAACTTGGGAGCGCAGTTGGATGTGTTTGGCAGCTCTAGCAAGTGGTTAAATACTTCTAGATGATAACAGCTGCACTTAGTAGCTTTTTTTATAACTGTAATCTGTGCCAGTTTAGTCAAGTCTCTCTGGATAGATGACTGCTATACCTCATGTTATTTTTCCAAAACATAGTCTCATCCTTCCAGGCAATGCCAGATACAGTTAGCAGGTCTCCTTTGTCCCTTGTCTTCTCTAATGTCTCCCGCCTGATGTCTCACATTAATACCCTGTCTCCCTGCCCCTGTCTCTCTCTGTATTCCACTGGTTTTATCTCAAATATTACCTGTATCTTTTTCTTTCTCCTTTCTCCCTAGAAACTGCAGGTATTATCGGTTGTGCAAGTATTCTGTTGTATTTTTTTTTTTCCTTTTTCGTTTTTGTGACACAAATTTAGAGTTCAGTTCACCTCCCTTCGTTGAATTCCAAACACTCCCTAAAATAAGTCTGACAAGCCACCGCAGCGAGGATGTTAAGATTTTCTGGAAACGCCTTTACAAACACTTGAAATGTACTTGGACTCCTGACAGAAATGGTCGCTTTATTGTCCATTCGAGCACTTGCTGTGGATCTCAGCGGCGCTCTGTCAGAATAGACTCTTGGTCCTCTGCGATTCAAAGGATGAATTGGAATTGACACAACCAAGTGTGAATGGAAGGGGTCAAAGCTGCCGATTGCCCTTCCATTCACGAAATACAGAAGAAATCCAGAAACTTCCCTCTTCTTTCACAAGTTCTCTTCCAAAATCAGCCATAGCACTTAATATATCAATGGTGTGCTTCAGCTCATCTGTCACCTTGAGAAGTGTACATAAAAGACAGACAAGCTCGGCTTTCTTATGCCGTTTTAATGAAAAGAAAGTATGTGTAACATTTGCTAATGGCAAACACTTTGAATGACACACTGAACATGCTACTCTGTTTGATAAAGAGGTGGTTTTTAGCATGCAGAAGTATCACAATCCATGTCATGAAGTCAGCTGTCATAACACAGGTTTATAAAGAGATTTCCTGTAAAACGTCGCTTACATTAACCTTTAAAGATTCAGCTCATACTAAACTTCGCAAGACTCAAGACAACATGCGGGTAAAATCAAAACGAATTCAGATTAATTTAGACAACTACCATTGGTTATAAATTTTGACTTTTTGGATAACAGCAGTATTAGCGAGGAAAAGTGGAGCTTGAACTCGTCACATGTCCTCAGATCTAGCTGGATTTTCACTCTTATCTTTTCTGTTGATCGTTTTCTATGTTCAAAATCATTGATTGGCCTTTTCGTAAGTATGGTCACTTGAGTATGATTTGGGTTTTATTTTAAAGATGGAGATTTTTTTTAATCTTATTACAACAATATGGCAGTTTACTTTGAAAAAGACAATTACCTTACATTTTTGACAGACTTTAGCCTCAGTCTGCGTAGATTTTCAGCCTAGTCAATCTAATTAAAGCTCCTGAGAGGATTTTTTTTTCTGATCATAAAATCGGCTAAAAATAATGCTATACTATTAATATTATATGACACTTAAAAGTAAATGATCCGATCTCCCACAACTTTGCCATGTAGTTATATAAATGCGTGTAAATAAGGTGTCAGACAAGTATGGAGAAAATATTGAATTAAATTGTACATTTGTCCCTTAAAACGTGGCAAGATGTGACTTCTTACTTAAAAAACGAACAGAACGAGTAAAGTCGTGAAAGGAATAACTTTTTCCAAAGGGGGGTGCTAAAATGGCTGGTTAGCTTCAGGACAAAGTAGGGCTGGGCGATATGGCCTCAAATCAGTATCACTATATATTAAGCAGTTCACCTTGATAATGATAAATGGACGGTAACTACTCCACAAGCTGCTCACCCCCTCCCACATTAACTTTGTCTACTTCAGCCGCTAAAATTTTTGAACTGTCCTCCATCTCCTCACCTGTCTTTCCATCTTTGTGATGGACTGGATGGGGTGGAGTCACGTTTCTGACATAGGACAGCATCTTAAAGTGGACATGAGACCATAGCCTACTTACACACATCCAAAACAAACTGTATTTATATTTTTGACACTGAGTATACCGATATGGGCAAAATGATGTCGGTTATTGTCATAAATTTCGGTATCAGTAAATTTTCGGTTTATCACCCAGCCCTAGGACAAAACTCCTTGATTATAAGTGAATGGGATACTTTTTTATATACTTAGTCTACTAGTTTGTGTTGAAACGACAAGGGTGCTTTTGAGTTTTTTCATTGTGAGGCAGAAAAAAACACATGTCAAGAACATGTGATTAACTATGAAATAAGGGGGCAACATCACAAACTCATCATGAACTATATTTGTGAGGCTTTGAGGTTTTAATGAACTGCTTGAAATGTTGACCAGCTGACCACCTGCATGACATGAATGCTACCAAGTGTAAACATAAATTTATTATGAAGTTATTCCAGGCTGTTTAGGAGTACAAGAGAACTTCAGTGAAGGTAGAGTGATGTTCAGAGATTCCTGTTTCAACATTGGTAGAATCACATTGCTCACTGCCTCCACGCAGACAACACTGTGCTCCTGCCACGATGTTGACTCCATGAAACCATCCTGTTTTACAGTTCAGCAGTCTCGTGCCTTTTTCGTAACCTTTTTCGCATCATCATAACAATGTGCTACGTAGTCTGTCGTACTGTTTAGCACTTACTTTGCCATCACCTTCTGCCTCATCCCTGTCTTTGTGTAGAGCAGATTTACCCAGTTGTTTTTGTTTGTTGATTTTTTTGAACTGAAGGATGACGGTTAAAAAAAATAAAATAAAATTGGTAAGTGGTTCAACATCCCAAAGGTTTTCTCCCCACCCTCACAGAAAACAAACGTAAGCTAGCACTTTTGATATTTGATATCAAAAGCTGTTTACTGAAGTTCCAGATTCTGCCTCATGCTGCACACTACACAACTGCATCATATGTCCTATGAAAAGCAGTCAGTCGCATTTTAACCTTTTCCCTGTTTTCATTCTTTCGACCCTCTCCCTCTATGTATGTGTGTACTTGCGCGACAATAAGGACGTAATCTACTTCCAGCTTTCTTTGTTATTTGCTGTGTTGGTTTGCAGTGTTGGTCTCTGCAGTATCCATTATCTCTATCACCACATTGTCAGACTTTGTCAGACGTTTTCAAAGTACTTTAAAGATGCAGTCCTCTCCATGAGGTCGTTCGCTGCCACAAACATTTGTCACCTTCCCTTTACAGACCTGGAACTCATCAAAAAGCTAAGGCTCATCTCTCTCCTCCCTCTCCCCCCTCCTCTCCCTCCTCTTCCTCTTTTCCTCCCCTTTTTTTGCTAACATCCATGTGTCCTCTGTCATGAAATGTGGAGTTGAAGTTAACCTTTGTTGTCGGCATTGGCTGTCTTTGCTGCTCATTGACTTGTTCCTGGGACAAAATGAACTCCTCTGCTCACTTCTCTCATTCGTTTTGCAACCCCCCTCTTCTTCTCTTCAGCTACTATTGAAGCTATTGAGGCTGACGAAGGTAAATGGGTCTGGCTGCCCTCTTCTGTTGCTTTTCATGGCAATAGACAGGGGGGTCCGCTGGGTTTTCATCCATCTCGCTGGTGCTTGAATAGAGTGTGTTGGGTGTTTGGGCTAACAAAATGTGGCTTAGTATTAATAGAGCAAAAGAAGTAAGTAATTAGGAAATCCTGTGGTCACGTGTTTTAAAGGGGAATGGATTTCATAGCACAGATTTCAAAATCACAGCAATCACACTGTGATTTTGAGTGAGTGCAAAGCAAACACCTGATGTCATGGTAATATCAACAGTATATTCACCTTTTTTAGACAATCTTTAATGCTACTGTATTAGTATATCACATTTTACTGGCTGTATTGCTTTTTCTATTTTAGACATCAGCTATGTCTTTTTCCATGGAGATTACCATCAAGGTTCAGGGTGAAGATTGCACTTAAGAAAATGCAAAATCACACTCACACCATGTAGGAGGTGCGAATACAAAGCCATCATAAGGTCATCTAACACCTATATTCAGCTCTTACCAGATACCAGAGGCACAAGCTTGAAAAAACATAATGTATTCTCTGGAGTTAAGCTGGTAGAAAACTCATATACTGGTTAAAATTAGCTCATAGTTAGAATTTGAAACGGCGTGTGCTTAGCCAGGACGTTAAAAAAGAACAGCGTCAAAAAAATGCAGAAATGAAGGTTAAAGGACAAATTATGTCTAGATTTAGAGGAAGGGTTGAAATTACAGAGATGAGGAACATATCACTATAATTTTTTGACACAAAGGAAGCAGTCTGCCTTTGACTTCCCTTGTTTGATGTAATTGTGTCTTGTGTGGCTGTAGCTGGATGGAAACATTTAGTTTCTCACCCAGAGATGCCAGGGTAAACCTGGGTGGCCAATGGGTGGCCTTCCATTGGCCGAACTTTCTGGCATTTTCCTATCATTCCTACCATTCCAACCTTTGGATGATTGCTCTCTTTCTAATCTTATCATAAGTGACTTTTTTAATTGGGCAAAAATCACATAATGTTGAGAATACATAAGGCATGTCTAAGCTAGTTATTAGGGGTGGGAGAAAAAAATCAATACAACATAGTATTGCAATATTTTGTCTATGATCTAAATCTATGATAATGGAAAATTAAATCAACTCTTGGTCCAGTGAGGTTGGCAGAGGTGACATCATAAGAGCAGGAAAAAGTTAGTACAAAAAAAAATTATATATAATGTTTGCAACATGAAAATGAAATACAGCGTAAATAAGACAAACATAAAGAAAAGCTAAAGCTAAATCAGCTAAACAGTTGAAAAAAATTGTATGAATCGCAAAATATGGTATCGCAATACTCACTGTATTGCAAAATGTTAAAAATCGCAATGATATCGTATCGTGCCCCAAGAACCGTGATAATATCGTATCATAACCCAAGTATCGCAATAATATCGTATGGTGTCCCAAGTATCATGATAATATCGTATCGTGGCCCAATTATCGTGAGAATATTGTATCGTGGCCCAAGTATCGTGATAATATCGTATCATGGCCCAAGTATGGTGATAATATCATATCGTGGCTCAAGTATCATGATAATATCATATCGTGGGGCCACTGGTGATTCCCACCCCTACTAGTTATGCATTGCTCTGTTCAAGTTAAAGAGACACAGCCTGCATTGAACTTGGTCATTAACCAAAGCTACAGTCTTAGCAAGTGGAAGATGACTACGCTGCAACTTAAAACAACAGTTTAGCTGCACAATAATTATTAATTTAACCGGCAAAATCTGGAGATGAAACTTTGTAAGTTTAATCAAAGTTTGCTGTAGGTAACGCTGAGGTAAGAGTATTTGATTGAAATTCCACACTATAATTTCACAGACATCTCTCTCTTGCTTCATGGGATAGGGGTTCTTCCTGCTCTGCCCTCACACAATCCAGTGAAATCTTGCTATGAAAGATTAAAATGGTATTTCCCCTTTGAAACGGCTGAAGCAGTTGTGCATTGTTGTTGCTGTTGTATAATGATAATACCAGTTTTCTTTAGAGTTGAATCCAAATCAGAAGAGAGAAATGCTCCACAGGAGGCTCTGAAATCCAAATTGGATCCTCCCTAAAACCAGTTTTATTTGTACCGCCTTTGGCGCAAGAACAACCTCAACTGCGAGCTAAATAGTAGTCTGCCAGCTGCTATTTACGTTGGAATTGTCCAGAACTTCCTCTTAAGCCCCACAGAGGACAGTCCGTTGTAGTGTCGAGACACTTCTCTGCTTCTCTCTCCATGTGGATCCTCTGTGGCCCTGCTGTGTCGTGTTCTTTCCTGTGAGCTGCTAATAACCTGTGTCTGACCTGTGCTATGCAGCAACACAACTACACCTCCCATCATGCCCCACTCTACATTGCTCCAAATTTATCCTGAAAATATGATGCCCCCCTCCCTCATTGTAGAAAAGGGTCATCTTATTCGCAATCATAGTTTTTTTATCACCATTAAGACCCTCAGCCTTTTATGAAAGGTGGAGGTGACAAAATCTAAACCTCTTTAGTTTACAGGGACTGAAATGGATCAAGATCGAGCTGGATACCCAATTAAAAAAAGGAAATACCTGTTTAGGTTGACAAGTATGAAGCTATCAATCCAATTCAGCCGGACTTGACTCATTTCAGTTTTTCCAGTAATTCCATTGTTCCTGCGGTCCAAATGTCATTGTGGCCTCCACCCCTCATAACCTCCAGTTAACCCTCAAATTGCTGCATGCTCCAAGCAGACTTAACAAGTCGTTAGCACCCCAAGTACCTCTGTAGTGTCTTTGTACGTGAGCTCAGTCTCAACGTGGTTCGATTCTGTGGAAGTGAATGTCTCAGTGGGCTCCACTCCAGTTTTTCGTTTCTTTTTAATCTCCCTTCCCTTGTTCTTTTTCGTCTCTATGATCATTCCCTTCCTTCCCTTTTTTTGTTGTTGTTTTATTTCCTTTTTTTTAATCTGTGAAGTGATGTGACGATCTGGATTTTTGGGGTCTTCAGGTGTTCTTGAATGTGCCGGAGTAAAATCACGACTTATCTTCTCACGAGTATTTTTGTTGACTGGATACAATGAACAAATCCGACGTTCAACATAGCCAGTGTACTTCTGTTATCATATATGATGGATTGATGGCACGGTGAAAACCTGTGGACCCTGATGCCAGACGTTCCCACCTTAGATTTAGAAGGATTATTAAATCCTTTTGTCTGTGCAGTTATATAATTTTCAAACTCTGATAAATGGTGTTAATTTGTTGTCCTTTCATTAAATGAACTCTTTTCTTCTACATATACTAAATTTCTAATGATTAATATGTGAATGTGCTTGAAATACATGCTCCTGTCCATCAAAAACAGAATAAATGCAGTTGATTGTATAAATGTTTCACACCCAAGTGCGTTAGAAAGATAAGAACTGATTTGTGTTGAATTATTTTTATAGTTTTAGACTTCTTTACACTCGATTCAAGGTACAGAGGGTATGCACTGATGTCACATTTCCAACTGATTTGTTCACAAAGTAAAGCTTGCAGGAAATAATGTTATTTTTAGAAAATAATTTATTGATTTTCCTATCTGGTAATCTGTTCTTGCTCTTGCAGGAATAACGATTAGGTCTAAAACTTTCAGTTCTTGGAAGAAGTAAAAAGATATCACGATAATATCATCAAGAAATGGATTTCAGATCAATTTAAATTAAACTATTAGTTTAGTCTAAACTGTGACAAACACAAAAGCTGTATCCTTTGCTCATGGGTTATTACTCATCTTTAAAACATATTTTAAAAAGCGTGATTTGTCTTTGACTCTGTGGATGATTGGCTGAAATTCAAAGCGTTCATTTTACAAACAAACATGGAGGGAGACTGGAGTGAAATCAGGTAATATCTACACTGTATATCACTCACAAAGTGCTGCTTGAAGTCACTGCGCGGCTTTGATCCCTGGATCTACTTCCAGAAAGTTTAGGGATTTTTTAATATTATTTTTAGATCAGGATCTTAGAGATTTTTGTCATTTCTGGACCAGTATAGCTTTGCGATGTAAGTCAGCATGTGACACTAAAAATAGAGCACTGACAGGATTTTTCCTCATAATTTTGTTGTACCGTACACTTCCCTGATTTTTAAATAGACTTTTGTGGATCCAGAGTGCTTACTTATGTCATTAGATACGACCACAGTGACGTCATGTACATACCCTCTATAGGTTCATGTTTTTTTCCTTTAGTTTAAAGACTGATATCCCTTCAACATGAGATTAGGGTCTGCAGACTGTTAGCTTTGTTAGCATATTTCAGCTAACAGGTTACATGACTCATCAAGATTGTATGCCACTGAATCTCTCAGCTTATTGATTTTTTTAAACAAGTTTAACAAATATGATTTAGATCTAATTATCCATAAAGTGTTTGTTGGCAGATCTTATGACTCTAGTCTTATTCAGGATAGCTGTTTTTACCGTTTCTGGACGTTATGGTCTTTTTAGGGGAGCTGCATCATGCAGTTCCTCATTATTATGGATGAGTTAGCCAGAGAACCTCAGATCTTTATTTTTGTCACAGTAAAACAAATTTTGTGCTTCAACTACCCTCTGAACCATGCCCAAACTAAAGATATCAGAGTCTGGTGATGTGTGGGTGAAAGTGAGCAAGTGTGACTCCATTCTTTTCATCACTTATTCCCTCTTTACTAATATCAAACCTGATATCTTTCCCTCTTTTTTTCTTTTTTTTCCCATCAACAGCCATCAAAGGCTTCTCGCCCCAGCACAAGATCACCAGCTTCGAGGAGGCCAAGGGCCTGGATCGCATCAACGAGCGGATGCCTCCGCGGCGAGACGCCCTGCCCTCCGACGCCAGCCTGAACTCGCTGAACAAGGCTCTGTCCTCGGAGACCAACGGCACGGACGCCAAGGGAAGCACCAGCAGCGGCAGCAACATCCAGTAAAGGCCAGCAGCAGGGCGCCAGCTCGGCCGACGGGGCCGCCACGCCCCCAGCCCCATCACGGCCTGCCAACACCGAAAAGGGGCAAAGGGTGAAGGAGTGTTTTAAGAGAGCGAAGAGGGGGGGAGGCATGTACGGCTCACACTGGGGGGACATCTCACTTGCTAGTCTTTGGATATGCCTTCAAAATATTAGTTCATAGTCAAATCTGCTAAGTTATTGCCGGTTCACATTTCTGATTGGTCAGGCCTTTGTTGTGCTTGATTGTCCACCACACCGCAGTATGTCAGAGAGAGAGAGAAAGAGAGAGAAAGAATGAGAGAGAGAGAGATCTTAAAGCTGATTTATTTTCTTTTATTTCTTGAAAGACCCTTGCTCATTTACACCGAAACGGAAAGTCGTGTACCTTCTTACTAACTATCGTACGTTTACAAAAATACAGCACTAAAAAGGACAGAACATGAGATAATGTTTTTAACATATAAGGGTGTACAAACTAAATAAGGACTATTTATTGATAACTTTTTTTTGCTACTCTTTTAAAATAGCTCTGAAAATTAATTAGGCAGTCTTAAAAAGAATGTTGCAATGTTGTCGAAATGCCAAATAATGGAACGTTTTATGGTTTTGTACATATTATGCTTACCTCAGGTTCTTTTGGTGTGTGCTTTGACCTGATTTTTCTGTATAATGGCTAAATAACTCGGTAATGAATACCTATTTTCTTGAGTTTCATAACTGGAATTTACATTTACCTATCTATCATTTGCAAATATGTTTATTTTTTGTCTCTTTTGGAAGGGGAGGGTGGGGTAGATTTATCGTGGCTTGCTGGAATTGAGTGTTAATTTTTCTCTTTTTAAGTATTGCGAACAAAGTAAAAATAGAGAACCTATATTGTGTAAAAAAAAAGAATACAATAAACTTAAAGTGTCTGCCTATGCATGTTTTATAAAAATCAAAGAAAGGAAATAGAAAATCTGAATACCTTTGGCTGTGGAGGCCTGTTTTGAAATATATTGCGCTTTAGTGAACATATACTGGATATACCTGCATACTTTCAATTAACACCATGATGCTCTATGCCTTCAACTTCTTTTGTAATTGAAGCATTTAATGATGGATGAGAAATCATATTTTTAACCTGCGCTTGTAAGTGCACACAGTCCAATTAAGCATGTTTGACAATTCTTGTGAGATGTGTGGTTACATGTGTAACTCAAAATTGCATGATTAGCTGTTTGTGTCTATAACAGGTAAAAATCGGTTTTGTTCTGTTTTGTAAATGTGCCACAGAAAAGTGTAATTTGATTATTATTACTATTATTATTTGGAACTCTGCTTTGTATATCAGTTACAGGTTTGATACTGCTCAATACTTTAAGATGAAACAAAAAATATACTTCGATCTTTTTTAAGAACTGCTTAAGTGCCCAAGTAATTCACTACACGACATGAAGCCTTGCTTTTGTAATTTAACTTCAAAACTGTTGGCAGATGAGGCATGCACTTGCAACTATGAAAAGTATTTTATATAACTGTTCAATAAAAATGTGCATGAATTTCAACTTGAAATGCTTCTCCTGTATGTGTGTGCGTGTGTGACTCAGGCTGTCCCAAAGTCCTCCGCCAATGAATATGCAACCATGTAAAATAAAATCTAATACACAATACACATAGTCCTCTGGGCGTTTTTTGCACCCGAGTGAACAAAGTGTTACGGGATGTTTTCCAAAAAGACTACAGGAAACCCTCTCCATCACCCGTAACTCAAACCTGCAGGAAAATCAAAGATAAACAACCGAGTCAGAGTATTTTATTTACACCTCGGTGCTGAAGAGGAGCTTTGGAGATACCCTCCGTACACTGTTTCGTGTTAAGTCTCAGTAAATTAGTCCTCTGAGCCATTAACTGAACAACAACCAAGGAGTTTGGCATGAACGGGGCCAGGGTGTTGATAGGAAATTACTCCTTGCCAGTTTTGCAACAAAGGTGTTTCCTATTTTTGAACCGAAGTGGTTTCTTTGATTAAACCTCGCAGATGAGGCCAGACCTGCAGGCTCCCTCAGTTTTCAAAGAGAGATTAATTAAAATGAACAGATCTGCATTTTAAAGGGGCTTTTTTAAAATGTGGCACGATCATTATCAGAACTATGATGCAGTATTAGGACCACATTGAGAAAAAAATGTAAAATTTTGAGATTAAAGTTGTTAATTTACGAGAATAAAGTCATTACTAAGGAAAATAAAGTTGAAATAAAGTAATTACAAGAATAAAGTCATACTAATTACTTTATTTTCATAACTAATGATTTTATTACGACTTTATTCTCATAACTAATGATTTTATCACAACTTTATACTTTTAAGTAATGACTTTATTCCAATTTTATTCTCGTAAGTAATAACTTTATGATTTTATTCTCGTAAATTCACAACTTTAATCTCAAAGTCTTAATTTTTTTTTTCTAAAAGTGGTCCTAATACTCCATCGTACAGAACAGCTCTTCCCACTTGGCAACTTGTAAATTTTATTATATCAATTATATTATTATGATATTTTTTATCATCATTATTATTATTACAGATTTTTATTAGTAGCTGTTTGATTAAAGCTCCAGTGAGGAACTTTTAGTGTGTGGTGATAGTGGCGCCCCCTGTAGACAGGAGGTTACTCTTTTTTTGGTACTGGTTTAATCATGAATTTGTAAAAAAAAAAAAATTTAGTCTGACTTCTTTTTACAATCAAATGTGTGCTGAAGATTCTTGTTTGCTGCAGCAACAATGCAAAAATTGTCAATCTTGTCCCTGTTGACTTTTGTAGAACAAAAAAGTCACACCAGCTCTAATTTCATCCTGTTTTAACCAGACATAATTCCTCACATTTATTTTTTTTCCAAAAAGCTAAAAAATGACTGAAAATTTCACAAAGCAGCCTTCGTTTTCTTGTCCCTGCGCTCTGAAGCGTCTTTCTTTTGGTCTCTTTGGGGTAAAATCAAACACAATGCTCAAACCAAAGGAAGTAAACTCTGACATCCTGTTTTTTTGGGAGGGCCAAAAACAGGAGCTTAATTTTCTGGCCTCAGAGGAACAATATGAAGGCTAAGAAAGCTGGAAGTCAAACCGAAACAGAAGTGAACATGAAGCTAATCTCTTTTTGGCATCAGTTCTGCAACATCCCATTCAGTAGCTTTTATATGATATGAAAGGAAACATGCACCTCCTGAAAATATTGTGAACTCAAGCCATCAGTTTGCCTCATGAGTACAAACTACTTAGCTTGTGGTAAAAAGTGGTCTTAAGAGTCTACACGGTTACCTAATTAAGGTCACATCCATGTTTTATGGAGGCACGGTTACATAAACAATGAAGAACTCTTGAACACAATGACTGCAATTTGCAGAGCTCCCGTGAGTAATCAAAACTTGGCTCTTGGACGTGTGTTCCAACTATTATTCAACAAAACAATCTGCATTGTAATTCCCCGCAGACCTCCTTTTTGTTTTGCTGTATGTATGTTTGGTATAAATGTGAAGTATGATGTAAGTGAGTCTTGTTTCTTTTCCATCGCTGAGAGCCAAAGACACGTATTATTTATCTCACAAAATCACAGCAAACTCTTAAGGACTGTTTTTTCAAACTTTGGTAACCATCATTTGAGTGACTACTTGTCTTCATATACTAAGAGTGAATCCTGCTCTCTACCCTCCTGGTCAGAGCAGGAAAATATAAGTGGTGGTAGCTGATGATGAATCCAAACACTTAAAATTAAGATTCCTTTAAAATGAGCTCTAGGTTTGCACCCACTGACTGCCTTGTGGCAGTCCCAGCAGCCACCCACTTTACGTCAGGAAGGGAAGCCAGTGTATTTCCTCCTGTTCTTTATCTAAAGGAAGTGCCAAAATAAGCACCAGCAGCGCAGCGGAGTGGAGTGGCCGAGCTCGGACACCTTTTCCACTGGTCACTGTTGCTGGAGTCTGAGGAAGACGTTGAAGGAGTTCAGGACTGCAGAATCACCATGAAGACTATCAGGGTTTTGGTTCTGCTTCTGCTTACATCTACTCACAGCCTCATTCCAGGTAAGGAAACTCTTTTAGACTGAGGAGAGTGCTTTTTAATACAGTGGAGTCACAGTTTAGGGCCTGTGAAAGTCCTGAACTCTCTCTGAATGAAACCAGTTTGCGTCCACTTTGATTTTGTAAGTGAACAGAGGACAAAGAATGCCCTTTTTTCTGATTTGTACAAAAAAAATCAACGTAAAAGATTACTTTGTTAGAATATTTCCACAGTTAAGTTTCCTACATAACAAAATTTGCAAAAAAATCCATGTTGTTGCATTAAACGCATACATTTGTGTGTCTCTTGTACCTTTTGACGGCCTTATTTCTAATTCATTTTGCTATAATTTTACATGTTTTTTTAAATCATGTTTAGTTTTGTTTTGGTATGTGCAAAGATTAAAATCTGTGTTGTTCAAAAGACACTCACACTTTGAACGGTACCTCAGAGACATCCACTCATGGTGCATTTCCCGTCATTCAGGCTGAGATAAGCCCTGTGTGTGTCTGAAAGTTTACAGTTAGTTTATGACATTATTTTTCTTTAGATATTACAGATCCTGTATAAATCACAACCTAAGAGATGAAAATACATGTGTTAAGCAGTCAGAAGGAGTGTCTCCTGGTTGAAGGAAAGGAAAAAGAGGGTGGCTCTCTGTTTGCTTGTTTTCCTAACTCAGAGCCAAAGGACTTTTAACTGTTCTGCAGCAGGCAGATAGGTGATCTCACTGCAGATAGCCAGTGGGAACCAAACTGCCCCCTCTCTCACAGAGACAACAGATCATTGTCCTGAGACCCAAATCTCCAAAGTGGCAGCAAATCTGCTCCCAGTGCTTGGCAGTAAACATCTGGAGGAAACACCCTTGCCCCTCAGTACAGCTTATGCAGCACAGTTGTTTTTTTAAACTATGATGTAAAAAAATCTATTTTATAAGAACAAATTTAGTCATAATTCTGCAGTCCTGTCTTTAAAATCTATATCATCACATTTTACACCTTTAAAGCCATAAAAGAACTACTCAAATAAAAAATGATTTTAAACAGACTTGACAGAGAGTTGAGTCGGAGTATTTAAAAGCTTGAAAAGTTCTCTATTTTACAGTATTAGAGGGTCCTATCAGGTCTAACACATCACAAATAAGTCTCTTTAACAGTATGTGTCTTGGGCTAATGAAACTGACTAAGACCTGTCCCTATAAGGACAACAGATCTGACCTGAGGCTTTACTCAAACAACTTGAGACTCTAATAAACATCAGCAGAAAAATACACAAATATTAAGACTTGGATTTAAAAAAATGAAAAGATTTGGCTTGGGACTTGACCACAAATACTTAACCCTTGACTTGTACTTGTCTCAAAAGACCCAGTGAGACTTGAGAATATCCAGAAATTGGCTAAAAGCTTGACTCGGACTTACAAAGGCTTGACTTGTCCTTGTTTCAGATTACTTCAGACTTGACTTGAACATTTCAAACCACTTGAACGACTTGATCCCAAACATGACTTGTCTGGCTGCAAGAAAAACTCTAAATCATAACATGACTTGTGACCTGTTCTGAGCTTGACCTGACTTTTGACTTGTCCTGAACTCTCAAAGTAATTTACTCTTGATTCAGGATATATACTTTAACTTAGGGTATAACTTGTCATCTTAAATTGTCTATAGGACTTGTGACCTGACTTTGAATTTCCCTCTAAACATCAAAGACTTGTTTTTGTCTGATTAGAAGGAACTTGACTTGAGATGGGACTTACCACTGAAGGTTTGCAATGGACTTGTCCGGTGGGATTTCTTTATTTGAATCTGTATGAGTAGTTTTACAGATTTGGGATTAAAAAAAAAAATTTTAGGCTTGACATGGATTTTTTTTTCCAAGTCTGTTTGGTCATAAGAGATCTAACTAGAGACTTGCTGTTTTATGACTTAAACCTGACTTGGCAGTGTCTTCAGGCCGTAAAGGACCTTGAATATCTAACACTTCCTTGAATTTCCCTGAATCACTTTTCGGACTTGAAGAGTACTCAGATCTTAATAGACTTGTTTTGTGTGACTTTTGAGACTTGGCTATCTTTCTGAACTACTTCCTACATGTCTTGGACCTGCTCTAGCGAACTCTCTCATGTTCAGACAAATGAAACCAGACAGAGCTGCATGTGGTCTTTCCTGAAACGTGCAGTTCAGCCGCTCGGTGTCACTGGAGTGAAATATGTTTCGTTGGCATCATGGCTGACAGTGGTGAAGACAGGATGCTTCACTGCTTAGGTCAAGGGACAACAATAGTGTGTCTGGGACAGGATGCAGCTTCACACTGCTGCAGCACTTGGGACAGAGGAAATCCACCTCAACTATCTCACATTCCCATCCCAAGTCTGACACTCGGGGCGAGGGCAGGTCTTTGTCTCAGACTCTGGGCTTTAAAGCTTTGCCAAACAGGAATGATGAAAATATATAACTGTGAACCCAATATAGAGAATCTGTCAAAGGAAATGTCTTGCGTAGATAAAGTTCTGCTGTTGTTTTTAATCATGTTTTATGGGATTTATAGAAAACACAAAAAATATAGACAAATATATATAACAAAGTTATGTGTCTGCTTCACAGTTTCAGCAGATGACCCAACTAATACCCCAATAAAACCACCAACAACAGCATCACACGTGAATTTACCACCAGGTATGTACCTGCCATTTGCAACCATGTTTATTCCTGTCTAAACACTCAGGGTAGGAAGCTCAAAATCCGTCATTATGTCTTACTTTACACCTTTGTAAACATGTAAATGATGTAAACCATTGGCAGCTCACTGTTTGATGTCAATTAAGCCGTTGAAAAATAATTGATTTCAGACAATAGGTCATATTTCAGGCCAAAACAGTGAACTGAATCCCACACCAGATACATTAGACCTTCCATTAGACAACATGCAAGCATTCTGCGTCTGGTTAGCTTGAATTACCCTTAGCAGGCAAACGGTATCAGAGCTGCTGTCAAACGAAAGTTAGCAGAGCTCTCAATTTTTACCACCCTGAGTGTGCTGTTGAGGTATGATAGCAAACTCACGAATTCGCTTCAATTTTGCACTAGAGAGGGGAAAAAAACTTGCTTCAATGAGTAAAGTGGCAGAAAAGAGAGTGTCACATCCACGGTCATATCCATGCAACATATACTAGTGTAGCAACAGCTGTTTAGCCTAGCCTAGCCTAGCTGAGCACAGACGATGGACATGGGTAACTGTGTTCATTTTCTCTCCGTTATGTGTTTCCACAGCAGCACCAACATCAACAGCAGCAGTAGTAGCAGCTGCAGGTCCAATAGTAGCATCTTCTGAGACGGCTGCAAAAGTGACACCAACAAATGCCCAAGTAATCCCAGCTCTTACTCAGGTTTCTACTGACAAACCGGCAACAGAGAAGAGTAAGTCAACTTTTCAATTAGCTTGAGGCATAACAGCAAGTTGTAATCTAGCTGAATTGAGAAATTTGTGTTTAATTTATCTTTTACCAAGCACCTGAGAAGAATACAACAACGCCAGTGAAGCCAGCACTGCCAGCACTGACAACAGTCAAAGCTGTGACCGATTTACCTAATGTTGAGACAACAACCAAAAGTAAGATGCCTTTGTCATAATTTGACTTTGATTTTGTTTAAACTCTTGTATGAATTGTTTGTTGAATCATCGCTTGTGATCTTATTGTAATCATACCAGTTTGAACTTTTTTTCTATTAGCGCAGACAAATGATTCCGTGCAGCCAAGAGCTCACCCTGGAAACCAGCCTGAGACTACTACACCAAATAACACAGCTAAGACACCAAATAACGCAAATAAGACTCAAGGTAAGAAACAAGTGACTGCTGTAAGTAAACTCAATTTGACCTAATCCTGTAAATTTTACAAAAATATTTATTTAATCTTATTTTGTAGATGCTGGAAAGACTCCTGAAAAACAAACACCAGGAAAAGGTAAGTTTGTAGACAAAATATGTCCCTCATTTCTTGTTACGTTATTCTGCAAACATTAAAAAATAATAATTTAGTTATGATAAAAAAAAAGTGTGGACATAAACCATTCTTTCAATTCAAATATACCTTTTTTGGTGTCTGCAGGTTTGGCTACTACTGTCCGAGGTACATCCTGTTCACTCATGTTTCCTACTGTTGAGCATGAACTCCTCCTGAAAATACTTACCAGCATTAAAAAAAGAGGCAAAAACCAACATAAAACGACATGAAGACAAACTAATAAATGTGATTTTTTGTTGTGTTTGTGTGGAAATTAGGGATATACTATAAACCCTTAACTGTGGCTTATCTGTTGAGTTCTTTGTGGCTTTAAATGGTTTTATTATTTCACTTTCCATTAGCACCACCTCCAACCGTTCCAGCTTCACAGAAGCCACATACAGACAAAGGAGAAACCACAAAGCAAGGGCCTGGTAAGCTATAGAGGACGGTTTAATGGGTTTGAATCTATAAATGGATGATAAATGAATGTACGGTAGATATTTTTTAATCATGCTAACAATCCTTACATCTGTGCATGATTTTCAAGGTTCCCAAACCGGTAGTGATGAGGAAGCTCCTGCTAAATCAGGTAATGGTCCAAGATATTTGTGCACTAAACAGCCTGTTGCATATGATACTGGTTTGGCCATAAGCGAACTGTTGACAAAGCTGACAAGTTGTAGATCTGACAACTGTGTCTTGATATTGTCTTGTTAGACAAAAAGCTGTGGTGGATTACGTTGCCCGCCTTGGTGGTTGCAGCTGCTTCGGCCATTATGCTCAAGTTCAAATGCAAGAAGGTCCACGATCATACAGGTAAAACAATCAGGATGCATCATGGCTCTGCAGAATCAAAGTGACATTATTTTCATGTGATTGTACATAGTTACCTCTTTTCATTTCAATGAGGAAGGATTTCTTTTTAGATGAGGTGCTAATCTGTTGCCTTGTTTTTCACCCCTCAGAAACCATCGACACTGGAACTGAGAAGTAAGTTAAACCTTGACGTTTTTCAAAACATGTGTAAAACAACAAAAGCACTCACTATTTTGTCTATCTAACTTTCCACAGCGCATCTTTCCAGAGCAGACCGGAAAGCACTAAAGACGGTGTCATGCTTCTCGGAGTGAAGTCATCAGGCGGAGAGGAAAACGGTAAGCTGCCTTCCGTCTATTTCCTGCGAGAGTTCCTTCCAAGTTCCTTCTGTTTGTGCATTCTTCCATCACTTGCTCAAGCTGTTTCTCCAGACACAGTTTTGCAATTATTCCAGGGAAGCAACAGGCTTTTAATATCTCATTGTGCTGCATGGGTTTGTGGGGGCTTTGCTGGGCAACAGAAGGTGTTTCCTGTGATTTCGCGCCCCCGCCCTCGAACAAGCAGCCGGGCTTGAAAGATAGGGACTTCCTAACATAAACACAGATTATTTTGGACGAGAGCTATTGTGTGGCCGGTAAATGTCAGTGTAGCCCAGACGCTGCAGGCGTGTGTGTTTACGGTGGGTTTAATGTATCTGCACATCCACTGGGTGTGCATGGTTCATACATAGTTTGTGCACAGACTATGTACCCCTTGATCCCACCCATGAAAAATTTCTCTTGGCAGTAAGTGTCCTGCCTTCCTTCCCTCATACAATCAGGCCTGGATGACTCGACTGCAAGCATCAGAGGGAAATCGAGTCATGCTGTAGGAATTCTGCTGAGGAAGAAAGTGTTTATGTCTTTATGGACTCCCGGGTTTCTTTGGATTTGACTTAATGACTTCTTATCAGACTGTAGACCAGATCAAACCTGTTGGTCTCTATAGTAGCTTAAAACTCTACGTTATTTTCATTGGCATTCATGAGTCATTCATCAGCAATTGTTATGTTGAATTTTCAAAACTTATTTCTGAAAACTTTTGGATCAGAGAGCAAACATTGAATATTAAACCCAAATCCGTTACAGCCTTCAGACTATAACTGGGATTTATCAACATGGTGGCAAGTGACTAAAGGGTTAAAGAAATGAGTTCCAATCCAAAATAAACATATCAACAGATATTACAAGTCTCCTAAATTAGATGACATAAAAGGCTATTATCTTTAGTGGCTGAATAAATGTGGCGTTTTCCATGTGATCCTAAAATTTTATATCATTCATACCTGCCTGACTCTGTTCCTGATGTTTCCAAAAGGAAGCAGGGAAAGCATAATAAAGCATTAGCATTGCTACCTGCTACTGACCAAACCTTCTTCACAAACCACGCTCTTGAAAACAAGCACATGTAATTTCTCCCTGTGCTGCTGGAATGCTATTCTAACTCTTTGACTCTCAGCTTCCCCTGCAAAGATCTGTATGTTTTCTTTCTTCTGTTGAAAGCTCTCGCTACAACTCCAGTTTCCAAATTCTCCAACAGGTCCAACATCTCACTTCTGTGTGATTGACTGGGATTTGTCACAACGTTGCATGTCTCACTACAAATGTCTTCGGTTTACCTTTTGCTGCTATTTGTTGGCCAGTATGTCTTTTGTTTACAGAGAAATATGCATATGCAAATTGTAAATAGAGACCAAGGGCCAAAATGTACTTCACACTCAAAATACAGTCAAAAAGAGCATTTTTTAATCAACATTTTGAAAAAATTTTCAGTTGCAGCTTATTTATTTTACGATTAGTGAGTAAATATTTGTGTTGATTTTTTCAGAATATTTCAAACTCCTTTATAGAACTCTTATTTTGTAATGCTCTGCCATTACCCTTGTGGAGATAGGCAGGGTGAGTTGTCGAGCGGCAACTTAGCCCCCTCTGTTGATTAGCAGCCAGTCTAAATTACCATGGTAATGCATACTGCACTCTAACAAGTCAATGAAGCACTTTTATCTGTTAACCAATTCTGCATATTTTAGATAGAAGACAAATTTTTTGACAACATAGATTTGTTTTGATCTTTGTGAAGTTTCATGTGTTGCCTCCATTATGTGTATTTCAGCTGCTGCAAGATAAAAAGGACAAAAACATCAAGGATGGCCCTTGGACGAATCACAGCAGTCGCCCACACACTGATAGTCTGGAGGAACAGTTGGATATTTTTGATGATATTTTGTGAAGGGAAGATGTGTTTTACAGTAGTTTGATGTATGATTCCTTATACTCAAGGCAGTCTAATAAAGCAGGATTAGAGGCTGTGATCATGAATCTCTGATTCAGTGAATTTACTTCAAAAATGTCATTTTTAAGCATATTTCAGAATGATATTGTAAAGCAGATGTTTTCTCTTTTTGTGTTTGGTTACACAACATGTTTTCTGTACATTGCACTGACCTCAACTCCATAACACATTTTAGTTGTAATTAATTCCTGGTTGTTTCATGCTCATATAATTGTCCTTGGCTTATTTGGAAACTATCATTTATTTGTCTTGAACTGTTTTTTGTAGATTTTTAAAGTTTTGGTTGTTGAAGTTATCAAAGGAGGTAAAGGAAGAAAAATGTGTAACATTTCTTGTGTGTCTTTAAGTACTTTTTAAAGGGACGTGGTAAAATGATTCCTGAAACCTGCAACCTTTTGCATGACTGTGCATTCACAACCATTCTCTGTGTGCAACAAGCCTTGTACTGTAATTTTGAGATTTTTATTTCATTTAAGAAAGTATAACATTCAAGCGCAGGACAGAAATAAATGCAGATGCAGGGGATTATATTTAAAGACACTGGAACTACTTTATGGCTTGAACTTGTTGTTCTGCGCCTCAGAGTTCTTAATAAATCACTGGAAAAATTGGATCATTGTTCAGCTTCACTCTATCAAGTATCTTGTTAGCCTGTGGGTTACTTATTATTATTATTATTATTATTATTATTATTATTATTATTATTATTATTATTATTATTATTATTATTACTAGTAGTAGTAGCAGTAGTAGTATTTATTATTACTATTAATTATTATTATTATTATTAGGAGTAGTAGTAGTTGGAGAAGTAGTACTTATTATTCTAATAATAATAATAATAATAATAATAATTATTATTATTATTATTATTATTATTATTATTCACCTGTTTTCACTATTTTGTATATTTTTTTCTCCACTGAAGAACCTGTTGACTTTAAATTACAATAGGTGCAAAATAATACAATACTGCCATGCACTGCCATGTCATTGCAGTACTTTCCCACTAGAGGGAGACAACAGATGACACAACTGTTTCTGGCCTCTGCTCGTAAGCAGGTGTTTATTACAGGCAGGTCTTATTAGGTTGTTGTCAGAGGGGTGAGATTGTGAAAACTCTCCATCTTAGTGTTTGATTTATATAACACATTCCACATTCATCGCAGGTCTTCTACACTCATAACTAATCCCACCACATCTTTCTACAGTGATTTTATGGAGCCGATTAAATTTCAAGGCATAAATTCAAATGAATATTGCTATATTGTTGCCATGACCTTCATTGTGAATGGATTCACACATGCAGGGTTATAAAGACGGGTGCTAACTATGGCCTTTGTAAGATGATACTGCAGGGCAACAGCTTCGACTGTGGGCACATTTCCCTCTCAGAGACAGGGAGCAGATTGGCCAAAAGCCCATCACACAACACTATAATGGTTCAGCAGCTGAGGCATGGGCTGGGTTACATTCGGGTTTTAATCCCAGGCGACTTTTTCCTCAGCCTCGGTCTGCTGCTTTAAGAGTTTCTTCTTTTGTCCATTTTCATGAAGTTTAGCAAAACAAATCTAAATCTCTGACAGGTCCAAATCAGTGCAAATGTTACCCATGGGAATTCAGTGCTTTTTGTCGGTGCAAAGTTACACCTTGGTGTTTATTGCTTTTGCAATGGAGCAGGCTTATTGATTGAAAGCTACTGTGCACTTCAGAGAACTAATGGAGGTAATTTCATCATATTGAATGTGTATTGTTTGCAACACAGCAGTAAATTGTAACATTACAGCACTATGAAATTGCTCTCTTGGGAGTTTTTCAGAGAAGAGACAATGTTGCTTTAGTTACTTTAAGTTTAAATATATATAAAAGAACATGGGCCTTAAATCCTTCAACAGTGACAGCAAATGTAGCTTAGGAGGTAGAGCAACAACTGCAAGGTTGACAGTTTGTTTCCCCCCTATCCCTTCCATAGACTGTATATAGAATGGACAGCGTCTGCCTCCTTGCTGGGTGAAGCCACTCCGAGAACAGCACCCTCTGGTGACGGGCTGCAGTATAGGTCATAAATCCCTCCTCTGCCAACCATCCTTATGGAGCTGTGGACAAACTTTAGAATTTTATTACACAGAATATAAATTTTTCTCCCCCCTGGTTGCGATGATGACATGTAGTTACAGTAAGACTGGTTTGTGCTCAAGTTCTCTTTTTTTCTGTGCAGCTCCATTTTTAAAAGTTATTAGGGGTTCATGTTTTCTTTGATTGACACCTGATACAGGAAATACTGATACGGAAATACCAAGAGCTATTTCGCTTCAAATCCGTATACTGGTGGAAGGTGGAACCAAGTTGTCCATAGTATATACAGTATATGATCTCTTCCTTTTTTTGTCTGTCGCGTAAAAAGCAAGCTACAAAAATCAATACAGTTTTAAATGATAGAAAATAAATTGAATATTAGATCATGATAAATCAGGATGCAGCATTTTTGTAGAGTCGTTCTTGTTAGATTTACGGTCTCTTTTAACTGTCCTACCCAGTAAAGCCACAAATGGCCCCCAAATGACCTGTAACTGTTTTTTTGGCTTTGTGTGCCTTGTTGCCTGATGATGGTACAATATTGTTAAAAGAAGTAGATAAAACAGTACTCACATTTGACAATGTCAGCCTTATTTTTCAGGGTTTTTTAAATTCTTATCTGGTATTGGTGGGTGCGTGTGACATTATTTCTTATCCTGAGTGTAACTGTTTTATGGTTACAGCAATAATGATAATTAAAGAGTACAGTGCTACACCTGGAATCGCAAGGAATGGGGATAAAGAAGGATCAATTAAATCTACTGGATTTTAAAAAAAGTTTTGAAAATTTCAAATGTCTTTTTCTTAACATTTGACATACATCTTGACTTTACACATAAGCTGTGTGTGAGAGCAGCCAGTATGTAGTACGCACGAGAAAGACTCCTGCACATGCAACCGGTTATCACCTGCTGAGATACAGAAATGCAACTCAGCAAAAAGGCTCCTGCTGTTAAATATCATGGTAGGGGAGAGAAGAGGGAGTGACCACAGGCACGTTTCACTGAGCTGCCAAAACCCACATACCGGGGTCTTAACAGAAGGTTCATCTGAACTGCAATGGCATCAGTGACCTGAAACACAACACCTTTTATCTTTTACCTCTTTCAGGGAAACAGAAGTTGGCAAATGGCAAAAAATTCAGTGGCAGATCATGGCTTACTTTTTAGCAGCAGGGTAAAACACAATAGAGTTTAGCTTTTAAAGCTATGGAGACAGAGAAAGATTTATTTCACCTTCAGAAATCTGAAGCTTGATCGGGGTATGGATGGTATCACAGATGGATTGATTTTGCAGAGCTGTAACAGCTGCAGACGCCATATGTCACTCAAGCATTTAGCTGCACAGTTTTATTCCCTGCTTGAGCTCAGAGATCAATTCTTTCCAAATTCTGTGTTAGCTCGAAGGGCGGTTGGAAAAAAAATGCAACATGGACCTCAGACCATGATGAGCCCTTAAATGTGTGTATTATCTTGTGCACATAGTCTTTCTCATTGTGCACACTTATCACTTTAGTGTTGGGATGATTGCATCCCAGGAAGGCTTCACATATGCTCTGCAGATAAAAAATCTCTTTGTTTGTCTTTGTTTCAAGATAGCATGATGATTGGTCCCCGAATGATTTTCTGTTGCAGGAATTTAAGAGTGATTTTCTCTCACAGCTCATTTCCAACCAGGCTGCACAGTTGACCTAGATTGTTGCAAGTAATGGCTGAGTCTGCAGATAAGAGACGGACACTAAATCATTTCATACATTGTGTCTCTATTAAAAAGGATACAGTGCCCTGCAGTATAGGAGCAGCTGAGATCCTTTTTGTCATAAAGAATATTTAATTTCTTTTCAACCTTTTGGACTGACCTACACAAATGTCATAACTTTGCAAATCTGTCCCTGCTTGTTATGTTTTTATGATACAGTGTAAAGTACAAGCCACTGCTCCCTCAGTGAATGTGAAGCCAGACTATATTTAGGTCAGAGCCTTGTTAAAACCTAAACCATCATAGAGTGTCTAAACGTGCTCATTGTCCAGGTTGTGAGCCTTGTCCTGGTTTGATCCCATTTAGGTTACCATGTCACAGAGAACAAGACCCATTTATACAAATTAATAACAGTTTAGATGCACTCACTATCGCTAAAATTAGTAACACTAATCACTATCGCCGGGTGATTTTTACCTGAAATAATATACCCAAGAAAAAGTACTTGTTATCAAAATATATCAAAATAAGAATATATACGACAAATTAAAGTAGTTTTCTTTTGTTTTTAACTGTGCAATGGCCAAAGAGAGGGAAAAAAAGTGCCATGAGGGGACCATATAAAAATGCAACAAAATAACTGAAATTAAACTGTAAACTTAGTTTCTTTTCCACCCACTCCTGGGGCACGTGAGTCTACCCTGGTGAAGACACAGGGTCCTTGGCACAATAACAGCTGCAGGAGAGAGAACTAAAATATGGCATATTTTGAGTGAGTAAAAATGACCAAATGACTAAAATATTTCTTAACATCATATGAATTCCCTTGAAAATCACAACTTTGTGATAGTTATTGATAACCACTGCGCTAATTAAAGATAGCATGCAAATTCGAGGACCACTCTTACTTACCTTATTCACCTGCATGCAGCTGTCAAATCCACCCAAACCTACTTTACCCTCTATTACTATTGCCGGGTGAAAATCACCTGAACATGTGCCTGTAGGAAAAAGCAGGTTTTTGATCAAGGAAACAAATATGCCTTCAAAGATGTCAAAGGCAATGCTGAAGTTGCCCAGGGACCCATGATATTCAGACAAACGCAACTTAATGAAACCCATGTAAACATGTTTGGTTGGGTGAAAATCACTCAGCGATAGTGTTTCTAGGGATAAAGAAGAATCACAATGTAAAGACAGGGTCCTGAATTGTATCACTAGTTCCTATCTGACAGAATACAATATTAAAATTCACAGCTTATGATCACAGTTTTTTCAAGTTGTTTTTACTCAGGCACTGTTGTCTTTATTAAATAGGACAGCAGAGGAGAGAAATAAAATGAGGGGGTAAAGATTAGGGGATAGAGATGGAACCATGCAGTAACCACTGTGATGAGGATTATTGTCCCTGTACATGGGGCACGTGCTCAGACTGCAAGGCCAACAAGCACCCCATGACCTGAGTACTCAGACTCAGGTGCATCAGGACACATACAAAGAAAAACCTAGGGAAAACTCTTATAATACAGCCTATGGTATCATAACCAGTTTTTCTTTTTAATTCATAACTGAAGCCCCTGTGTCACAAATTCCCAGGCTTACATAAGTTTCGTGGCAACAGTGACTCAAGTGCATAATAATAATCATCATCATCATAATAAATACAGTAAAAACATATGTCAAACTTTTTGGCAGAGCATGTCTCTAATTGTAGAAGTAGCTCCGGTTTCCTTGACCTACTAAATGGTAATCAAGTCAATATGCTTTATAAACACCTTTGCCCTATATACATAACTTCAACATGAGCCTTTCCTCCTCAACACTTCACTTCATTGAGTATATACCTGCGTCTACAAAGGCAGTAACACTGGCTCAACATGTGACTTATTTCAGAAGTATATCCAGTTCTCCACATGTGACTTGAGGAAAGCACTATCCCTTCCTCTCCCGTCCACTAGATTCCATTACCCTTTAGCCAGCAGGGCTGCTGGAGGTGAAAAGAGGGCAGATCCAGTTACTGGGAGAAGAATCCTGTTGAGACAGAGTATGATGAGGGATAAACTGCTGAGCGGCTGAACAGCTGTGCTCAGTGTTTTACCTGCCAATAGTACACCCACATACACATACAAATACAGTAAGATGAGACATTTTGGCCCAGGAGGTCAATCACCCAGGATTATAGGCCAAAAATGTCTCTTTTGATTTAAGAGCTTCAGTCTTGGCCAAAGTATTGTTTAATTTCTATTTGATTGTGAGTCAAATAGAGGTTAAACCAACTCTCAACTACATTATCAACTTGTGAGATTCTGATGTGGGATCTTTTAGATGTTGCAGCCATGGTCTTCAAGAATATGGAGTAAACTTTGTAGCATTGTACTGTTGAATAATAATGCCCAGTATTTCAAATGAAAACTGTCTTTTTCACCAATCTTGCTAAGAAGTTGAACATGTAATGCAGGATATTGTTGCCCAATCAAAGGTAGAGAAATAAAATGCCGACTTTAGCTGGATAACTAAGAAGGCTGAGGATCCAAATCTTTTAATATAATTTCCTCTGCATTCAGTATAGTTTAATGTATTTCAAGCATGTTTTCAGTGACAAATAAAACACATATTTCATATATACAAATTGCATAAATGTAAGTGTTGTTGAGTGCCCCCCATGATAAAAAGGCCTTGGGTATTTTTTTTGTTTTGCCTTAACACTAAATATTCAATAATTACAAGGATTTAAGTTTTATTATGGTCAACTTTTCATAAATAAAGCTAATTTAATGTCATTAGAGTCTATATATGAAATATATTTGAACAATGGATCAAAATAGGTTGACTAAAAAGCTATTTCCGACCTGGTTTTACACTGTTCACAGTCTTCTTTAAAGGCTACTTCAGGGACTCTAAAGACATTAAAGCTAATTAAATGTCATTAGAGTCTACATATAAAATATATTCAAAATAGGTTGACTGAAAGCTAATTCTGACCTGGTTGTACACCGTTCACAGTCTTCTTCAAAGGCTACTTCAGGGGCTGTTTTAACCTGACATGAACTCCAGCCTAGTCTGTTTGCCATTCTTAGTTAAGTTTTCGTCCATTTCTAGGAGTTAACAATATAAATATGAGACTTGACGCGTATCTTATCAAACAGCTTGATAACTAGTATGTTTGTGAGTCAACAGAAAGCAGGGTTGTAAGAGATTAATCCTGAAATTTCTCCTTTTCAAAGGAAGTATCAAACTTCTCTTCAGCTTGTGTGCTACCTTCTCCACGTAGCAACACCAGCTATCTATAAAATTATTGGTCAATTATTTGATTTAAATGTCTCTCCCTAGCCAATCAGAGAAAGGCTACGTTTTGCGTCGCGAGACCTGCTCTGATTGGTCCAACCTTCGAGTCAGCTGAGAAGGAGGAATGTATAAATATTCGAATGAACTTTCTCCAGCCGCTGCAGTGTGTCTGTATGTCCGTGTGTGTGTGTAAGTGTGGGGGGAAATGAGCGTGTGAACTTATTTATGAAAGCCGTCTAAACTAAATTATTTTGCACTTTAATATTCAAGGTAAGTTGTTTGGTCTTTAGCAAAGATTCGCTTTAGCTTGAAATAGACAGCTTGAGTATTACAGCTCAACTTCTCGGTGGTTTTTGACCGTTTACTCTAAATGTAACGAGCTGCCTTTCCTTTAATGAGACACCTGCCTCCATTTTAGCTTAAACAAAGCGTCTCGACCATTTCTCTCATGTTGCTTTGTCGTGTTTTTAACAGGCAGCTTTGCGAAAACCAGAAGAGGAAAAACAGCCCACTCCTGAAAAATCCAGACTGCCACTATGGTTGCCACCAGCACTTTAAAAACCAAAAGCAGCGAGTGCATCTCTGACTTGGTTGACCGAAGATATGACCAGGCGTGTATAGAGAAAGGTAAGTGTTCTGGATATTCCTGTGTTTTTTTTTTGTTTTTTTTGTCTGCATGTTTAAACCTGCTAGTTGCTGGATATTTCCAATTGTGTGCTTGTTTATCCCGGTGTGGTGCATGGCTGCAGCAGTGAAGGGGAGGGGGGAGAGAGGGAGGCGGGGAGAGAAGTCAGTCAACAGAGGATGAAGTCATCCTTTCAGCCTGTCTGCAAAACAACACATCTGACAGCCGCAAATGAGTTTTTCTTGGCTGATTGATAGTGAAATGTGTGTGCACTTTACTGATTTGTTTGTGATCTCCTATACTTGTATTTAATCCATCTTCTCCTGGTGTTTTGAGTATCTTTAGTATCTTGTATCTTAAGACTCATTGCAACTGAAGACAAACCTAGTAGTTGTGCATGTAGAAATTTTGAAAATGTATTAAATTACTGCACTGCATTTTGTTTATTTGTGACAAAAAACTGTACTGGTGTGAAATTGTTCAACTCGCATTATTTTCTCAGAGCTGGACTTCTGGGATCACTGCTTGGCTGAACCCCAGAGGAACGCAGAAGTCACAGAAGACAAAACCTGTCAACAACTGGCCAAGATGTTTGAAAACTGCCTCTCACGAGCCAAGAAGACAACACTGCACTGCTCCTCTGTTCTGGTACCAGAGAAGCTCACAAGAAGGATAGCTCGTGAGGTCCTGCGACTGGCGTCCTGCGAGCCCTGTGGCTTGCGTGGCTGCGTCCTCTACATCCACCTGGAGCTGGAGAAGGGCTGCAAACGGCTGGACCGCATCGTGTATGATGCCACCGTAGTGCCCACATTCGAACTGACTCTGGTGTTCAAGCAGGATGGCACCGCCTGGCCCAGCCTACGGGACTTTTTCTTTCTAGGTACATGCTTTGCTCCTACTTTCAGGCACGTACTAAAACTGAGTCCAGGTTTCCGGCTTGTCAAGAAAAAACTGTACTCCTCCGCGGCTGGTACCGTGATAGAGGAGTGCTAAACTATGGGAGGGGTTAAAGCAGGATATCAGGTTTCCTGTGGGTATATGCACTTCTGCCCAAACGTTAATGGCACACCAGGGGTGTCATATTTTCTACAGTGTTTTTGTACAATAGTTTGTCGGTTCAACTCTTAGTAGCCAGTCAGTTCAGTTTGGGACTTGGGGTGTTAAAAAGTTAAAAAGTTTTGCATCTTAGCCTGAGGTTTTCGGGTTTGCCTTCAGTGTTTCTAAAGTGCATTTTTTTTATCAGCAAAATTGTAATATTCTGGGTGTTTTGTTTTTTTTCTTTCTAATGGGAGCATTTGTCACTCAAACACAATTTCAAATCTGTACACTAAGCAGATGAATGTAAAACCATGTTTGAGAGGGACATAGTGTGGGTACACTTTGTGAGAGACACTCGCCACTTTGTTGATGCATCTGTGTGTTTCCAGATACATTGAATGTGTTTGGCCGCCGTAAACACACCTAGGCTTGAATAGGACACTGCAATCTAGTCTTTGGGGGCCATATGTAGCAAGTTGCGCAACGTTGTTTTCAGGGCTGCGGATGTTTTTAGGAGTGAATGTTTGTGATGATGCTGCTGTCGTGGTGTGGTCTTCTCATGCCATGACAAAGTGGATGCCTTAAATGTCACAGAAGTGTGTTTTTTCACTTAAATCACAAGTATACGTGTTGTATGTGTGAATGTTTTAATATATAATAATTCTTCAGTCCCTTCCCCAGACACATCTTTCAGTTCAGAACCTTTACGGATACTTAAAAGGATCATTCACCCAAACATAAAATCTATATTGTTCTCAATGTTATTCACATTTTGGGATGAAAAGAAATAACTGGAGGTCCAAGTGGTATCTTTTTTTTTTTGTGAATTTCCTAAATTTTTTTAAAATGCCTTTTTGAATTTCCTGTTGAAGGGAACTGAACTTTGTCTATCAGACAAATAAAAGTATAAAACCTAACTTTCATTTGTAGTCCCTATTCTTTGCATTTGACATGTATTCCTAAACCATCACCAGGACTTGGTGTGTGTGAGGAGAGAGAGCAGGTGCAGCAGGATCTTTAGAAAATATAATGTCAGTCAATCTTAATTTTTTTAAGCACTGATTTACAAAATTTTACCACAATAGGCCTGACAAAAGAAGCAGGTCTAGATTCAAGACCCAACATTAAGATAAGATTGGGTCTCCTGGTTAAATAAAACTCATTTTTATCTCATTTTGATTCACCATGAGCAAAATACTTTGCAGCATTTAGCAAGCAACAGCAAGAGGAAAACCTTATACCAGGAAGAAACCATGAATTTATTATTCATAGAAGATAACAGGTATAAGCAATCAATTCATGATGACTCCAAAGTACAGTGTTAAGTGTGAGAGTATAAAAGTGTGTTTAAATAAATGTACAATCAACTGAATGTAAAACTAACTTTGGTTTGAATCACTTAAAATAAACCTTTAATCTTTGTCAGAGCAGGTCCCCTTCCACAGAGGCTACCATTTTGCACTACCATGTTTCTTTCTACCACAGTACAGAGCAAACTATCGCACACATTTCTGCATTTAGTAAGTGGCCTCACAAAAAAATCAATTGGTTAGAAGGTGAGCAAAAGTTAGTTTGTTGTTGTACACAAGTGAATACATACTGAGAGCCGTTTTTGAAAGTTAACTTGACTAATAGAGGATCATAAACATCATGCATTGCAGAAGCTATCGCTCCATGAAATCAGAGGGGTAACCTAGGGAGGGTTTTAATCTCCAATCTGACCACCAAATAGTATATTTCTTTAAATTTTACTTCTCAGCCCTGTATGAGCCCACACTTGAAGCGAGGTCAAGATTGCACATTCTTTACTGTTGCCGTTTATAACGGCACAGCAGCTGCTGCCTGTTGTGTGAACCTGCAGTGAGTGTGTGACATTTCTCTCACTCTCTTTAATAGAGGCATTGTCATAGTGATTTTAGGGCCTCTGTGAAATATACAAATGACTTTCAGATGAACTTTCGATTATGACACCAGTGTGGGACATTTCTAGCGAAGGCATTTGTTCTGCTGACCCTCTTTTTTTCTACAGCATTGCATGAAATCTTTGTTAGTGCATGGTGTGAGGCTAAATCAGACGAGCCATTGACCTCATGGTTGCACTACTTTATAGGGATTGCATAATAGTTTGACCAATTACACTGACATGTCATTCATGCCCGAACAAAGAGGGACGTGGTTACAGTAGGTTAACGACAGAAGCACATGAGCTTGTGGAAGATGCATCGCTGTCATTGTGTGTGGACAAAGCACTAGTGATCATTTACTCAGTGTCACAAGTCTGCTTCTTGTCTTTTGCTGTACTAATGTTGGTCAGCACACAAGTTTGCACTGTTGAGTCTAGAAAAGGAAGAGATTTCCTGGTTTAAAAAAAAGCCTTTACTACTATAAATTACATAATTCATTAAAAAAAATCTAACTTAAGGGTGATTTTTAGTAATTTTCAAAATCTGTGCTTTCACTTTTACTGAAACATTTTATTTAAGCAGTTTATGCTGCATGTAGGATACATTACAGAGTAAAAAGAATAGAGAAGACAGCATAAAAGACAAAAGCTTTCAATCATCTGCATGACTGCTAGCTGATTGGATGAACATAAGACAATTGTTTAACTCACATGTGCATGCCCCCGTCCAAATCACAAGACAGTTGGAAATGTATTGATAGAGGCAGCCTTCAGTGGAACAATGTGGGTCATACCTTACTTTTTCAACCCAGTACCCTTGTCAAAGATAAGTATTTGGTGCTCATACTAGAAGTACATTTCTTTTGAGGTTATATTTACTTCAAGTGGACTCATGGACTTTTAGTTTTACTTTTAGGCTGAATTTATTCAGCAACTTCGCTTTAGAGTGACTGGACAGGAATATATCATAGTGCTCTGCATATACAGTGATATACAGTAATTAAATTAACACTTACATGACAACTTATGCTATATTTTAGTTTATAATTGTAGTTATATTGTTGGTTTAGTCTTTATTGACTCAAACGACTGTAACATAAGATGTAATATAGTCTTATTGGATGACATACAGCACAGAGGTCTCTCAAGATGGCTGCCATGCCTTTTCTCTGAGTCTTTTGCTCCTTTCAATCCAACAAAAATCTGATTAATCACACAGAGGACCACTAGATCAACTTTGAAATCTGGTCAGTACAGAAGTCTGGAGTGTATAAAGTGCACTCTGAGAAAGTTTGTGCTGTAAGGAACTCTGTAAATTTCAACATTGCAACCCGCAGATTGGAGGCTTTTGGGCCTGCTAGGCCTGAGACCTACTCCTTATCCTCACATTAACATCTGCCTTTGGGAGTTATTGTGCCTCCAAAAGCTAAAACAGTGACTGATGATGATGTTGTGACCATAAGTACACTAACCCAGTTATTTGATCAACAGAGGGAATTCTACAAGGAAATGCTACAACAACAAGAAAACTTCAAGCGTTTCATTTAAAGTATCTTTGATGGAAATACAAAAAGGCTAAATGGAGTCATCAAAGATGTCCAGGAGCTAAAAACAAGCCAACAATTCAACCAGGGAATCACTGAGGATATGAAACCTGGATATCAGGTTTTGACTACATTGAAAATCTGTCAAGAAGATCAAATCTGATTGATGGGATTGCAGAACAGAAGGAAGAGAAACTACAAGTGGATTAGAAATGAAGATTCAACGCATTCTATGTAAAAACTTGGGTCTCGATGGATCAAACATTGAGATTGAGAGGCCACACCGTGTTGGGCCACTTCCAGAAAGGCCGAAAGCCCAAAAAGACAGCTGTGAAGTTTCTGAAATTCAAAGATGGTCAACGTATCCTCTCTTCTACCAAAAAACTGAAAGGTACCAACATTCATACCAATGAGGGCTTTTCAGATGTCGTGCAGCAAAGGAGAAGGGAACTTCTGCCCAAACTGAAAGCTGCCGAAGAAAAAGGAGACAGAGCAAGTTTAAGGTATGATAAACTTATCATTTGGCCTGCAAATGGTCAGGGTAACAGTCAGAATAACTGGTGCAGTAAATCTTGCAGTTCTCATTCAGATTTCATTGGTTTTATTTTTATAAATATGTCATCTCTATTTGTAAATCGGCCACAGAAAGGATTGGTTTTAACTCATTTAAATATATGCAGTCTCAAAACAAAATAAAGGAAATTACAAGAATCTGCTCCCCAGGCAATAATAATGTTTTGGCCTTGTCAGAAACAGTCCTAGACTGCAGTTTTGAGGATGAACTCCCAACTCACTGTTAATGGATACGGTCTATATAGAAGAGACAGAAATCAAAATGGTGGAGGAGTTGCATTTTTTGTAAAGGAAAACAATGCTGTAACCCTTAAATCTGATTTAATGTGCGGCAACATAGAAATTATATGGCTACAGATTAATCTTCCATTTAATAAGCCAATACTGGTTGGTTGCTGCTACAGACCTCCCAGATTCAATGTACACTATTTCCAAAAGCGGTGTGAAAACATGAACACGGTTTCAGATCAAAATACGGATATCTTTCTTCTTGGTGATCTTAATGTAGATTGGTCTATGCATAAAAGATTGACGACCATGGCAAATGTGCGCAATCTCAAACAGGTTGTGACACAAACCACACGGATCTCAGTAGACAGTGCATCTAAATCAACATGCATTGTCCACATTTTCATGAATTGTGTTCTCAAGCGGTTTCTGTTGTTGTTGTAATTAGCTTTGAAAGTGCCAGAGATGAATTTTGTTTCCTTTAGACTAATGGACAGAGCAAAGATTGTCCTGTTTTCAGTTACAAGGCTACTGGATTTCCCCTCAAGAAGACAAGAACGAAAGACAATGAAAAGAGAAGAACCACTTTTCTTGGCTCTTCTCCTCACCCCTGTCAAAATCAGAAGTTGAGTGTTAAGCCTCGTGTTGGATATACAGTATTTGCAGCCAGAAAATTTTAAATGGTAAAGATTCATTGGCACCTTTACTGAGCCACCTGTCAGTTGCTGAATTCAACAGTCAGAGGCATCAAATGTTTCTATCATGGGACTCACCAGCATTATAAATCTAAGCTCATGGAAAAGTACCGGTGGGCCCTGTGCTGCACTCATTGACTTGGCAGCTCACTTGCTGTGAAACCACTAGTGGTACTTGAGATTCCCAGCGTCGACATGATGCACAGTGTAGGTATCAATGACAGTGCTATGTTGTGAAATGGCCTGGGTCCCTATTAGCCAGCAGCTGCATAGTACATCACAGTATGTAGGCTGATCGCACATGCCCACTATACACAGAGCATACTATAGCATTGACAGCCTACAGATGTTAAGCAGCTTTGAGTCACATTTCTATCCCAACAGGGTGTCAGTTTCCCTGCATAGGCTGTTTGTTCCTGACTTGGAGCAGAGCATGATCCATGTTTCCTCCTGATCCATGGCGCCACCTCTTTCTTGGAAGATGGAAACCTGATGAATTGGAGTAGGGCAGCATGACCCCCTGGGGTTGTGATGATGATCCTCAAATGTTTACAAGTCTCTTGATTGGTCAAATGCAACATATGTAGGCACTAATACCTTTAATGTTATGGTATGTTGTAGTTTTAATTCCTGGTATAGTTTCAATTTGTTTGATACGCATTGTAAAGATTTTGGAATAGGCTATGGTAAAAAGTAAAATGGATGTAATTAAAGAAAAATAAGATCCTTGTTTGCTTATTTATTTATGGGTCTGTAACTAGCCAAATACCAACTACTTTGCAACCCAGTTGGGCTATTTTGGATAGACTATGACTTTGTATGGGGATGCAATGAAATTTTCTTAAACAGTATCTTAAATTATCTAGTCTGATGCCATGTCTGTTTGATATAATGCAGAATGACCTATTTTGTTGCTCTGTAGGGCCTAAAATCCAAACCATAAAGAAACTGGTCTCAGGCTAAAAGAAGCTGGACCCTTTAAACCGTCTATTTGGTAAACACGATCTTACTTTTAGCTCTCCACTGAGGTTCTATCACATGATTTCTGGGGTATTGAAATTCAAATCTTTCAAACACTTGTCTCTTGCTGCTTTTGGAGCTGGCAGCACCCAGTGTTGGTGAGTGGAATTTTAAAACTACCTTGCACAGCCAAGGAGCTCTTGAAACGCTTTACCAAGAAGGGTGTGCTTTCACCAGAATCAAGTTTTGTATTCAATCCAACACAGGAACAGATAGAAAATGTTATTGTTGTAGAATTTTACCAAAGTTTAGATTAAGTTTTGGTAGGTTGTGGTTAAATAAGGCACCCAATGTATAGAGCATTTACACGCTAAAAAGTCAACACTTTTCCCAGAATCCTTCCACTCTTCTCTGCTGCTTCATTGGCTGTCATGATCAAGGAGTCTCCTCAATGAAAAAGAACCCCCTATAAGGTTTGTAGACCAGACTGTACACGGCTTTCTTTGTTTGGGTGGTTCTATTATATGTGAGAAAAGTTGAAAAAAAGTTGTGCTGCACTGTTTGCAAGGGGGTCCACATCAAACACAGTATGAAATATGGACGTATTCACCGTGACTCATCAGTTCCTGGAGCTCAAAAATTGTGGCCACCATATTTGAAATGCTGACCCATCCAGATTTTCTGTCAATCCAGCAAAAGACAAAGAGGTGGGTTTTTAGGCCCCTAGATGTCATAGCTACTATGTACCCACGAGTCAGACAAGTTTTCCACCTCCCTAACTTTGCCTAATGATGCAGAACAAATGAGTGAAGACATTGCCTCCTTACACTCAGTACCTTCATGCACAGTTATGTCAGGAAATGCAGTTTAACTAGACTACTGTCCTTGTCCCAGTTTACACGCACCAAGCAAGAACTGAATAATTAACAGAAGCGTGTCTGCCTCTGCTAAGATGGGTGGTGACATGCCCCCCTTTAGCTTCCCGCTGTTGACCAGTTACATATGGAAACAGTCAGCAAAATACATTAGAGGAGGCTAACAGAATTCACACCGAACAATGAAAATGCTGTCTTTTTTACAACTCTGTACACTTTGTGAAATCATTTTTGTCTTTTTTTACTTCCTTTCTTCACCTGTTGAGACTTTGTATACCTCCAAACAAGACATGCACGCTATTCAATTTCCATTCTCAAAGCCTGCTGGAGCAAGTTAGTCCAACTATGAGGAGCTCCAGAGTAACAAAGGCAACATGAAACCTATCAAGAGACTTAACTCATTGCACAAGTGTTGGCAATATTAGCATGGTATGTCATGGTCTAGTCTGTCATAGTCAGTACTTTTTTGCCAGAAAACAGGCTCTGTTGTTGTGAGTTGATAAGATAAGTTGATCTGTCTTTATGGAGACACTTGGGTTGTTGAAATAAGTCAAAATAACATAAAAAGGGAAAAGAAGAGAGAGAAATTAAGTCGTTATCTCAGGAAAACTGTGAATTGAATGTATGTATGCATGTATGCAAAGAGCCACCATAATGCAATCGCACCTAAATAGGACCAAATAGTTTGTCAACATCACTTCTCTACTGGTATGGATTTACACAGAAATTTTATGATCACGTTTTCTTTTATTTCCACATCTTAAATCATGCTTTATAATCTTTTGCTACCTCCCAATTCAAAAGCTGTCAGCTCATCTCATATATCTAAATACAGCATTCAAATGTTTGCGAGCACATGATTTAAAATTAATTGCTGTGTGTGGTCATGGATACTTCAAGCTCTTGAACGTAACGCAGAGTCAAGAACAGGCGGTACCTTTCCAAGCACTTGGTGTCTAATTTTATTTGCTATTTCAGCAGGTCAACTGTTTTATAACTACCTGTTTTTCCTTTATGTCTGATGCTAAGGACCACTTGGGTTGATCAGTCTGGATAGAGGAAATATGTTTATTGACTGACCGGTAGAAAAGGAGGAGAACTCTTTGAAAACAAGCCAATTCAACTGCTTGAATGATTTAGTATGAACAACACCAACAAGAGTGTATGACTAAAAAAATACAGGATATTTTGAGGTGTTGCTATGCTATTCAAAGCAGCCTGGATGGTGTCTTATTTGAGTTTCACTACAGTGTTTATCTGGCTGGTGTGTGACCTTCATTTAGAGCTCTGCCTATGCAGGAGGGGTTGGAGCTGACAACTCCTCCGTGGCGCTGGCTTCAGCTTCAAAAATGGTTTTCTCTGGCATCTGACAAGTGGGCGTTGTCTCACTTCTGACCTTTTATGGGGAGCTGCTGGAAGTAGGTTGTTGCTCGGTTGAAATCAGCTTCATGACAATAGCCCCTGCCTGCATTAATAAATCTGCTCCCATGAGATTTATTGGAAAGCTGTGCCAAACCAGTGCCCATTGTTTGCACTGTATTGAGTTATTAATGTTTACAAGTTGCACCTTTCTTAGCTCAAACATTAGCACAGTCCAACTAGTCTCCTGACATGAAAGACACTAATGATGACTTTAGTGAGTGAATGCGCCAAGAACATGTCCCAGTGGAAAACTAAGCAGCGAGTTTCACATTTGGAACCGGCTGAAGCTCATCTCGTTTTCAGCTCATGAGTCTGCTTTAACTTTCAAAAATAAATCAGGAAATGCTTGAGGATCATTGACCCTAGTGACCATTTTGAGTCACTATCAAAAAGAAGCCCCATACCCTTCAAGAAGCTGTTTTAGTTCCTTAACCCTCAAACACTATCACCAGGTGCTTTACACTCGACCAAACATGTTTACATGATTTTCATTATGTTGCATTTGTGTGAGTATCATGGGTCCCTGGGTAACTTCAGCATCGCCTTTGACATCTTTAAAGGCCTATTTGTTTCCCTGATCCAAAACCTGATTTTTCCTACAGGCACGTGTTCGGGTGATTTTTACCCGGCAATAGTGATAGAGGGTAAAGTAGGTTTGGTGGATTTGATAGCTGCAGGTAGGCGAATAAGTTAATTAAGAGTAGTCCTGGAATTTGAATGCTATCTTTATTTAGCACAGTAGTTATGAATAACAATCATAAAGTAGTGATTTTCAAGGGAATTCATATGGTGATAAGAAATATTTTAGACAGCTGGTCATATTCACTCACTCAAAATCTGCCATATTTTGCTTCTCTCTCCTGCAGCTGCTATTGTGCCAAGGACCCAGAGGAGTCTTCACCAGGGTACACTCACATGCCCCGGGAATGAGTGGAAAAGAAACTATGTTTACAGTTTCTATATATATGTATATTTTTTTGCAAACTTTTGGTTCATGAATGCCTAATTTCAGTTATTCTGTTGCATTTTTATATGGTCCCCTCATGGCACTTCCCTCCCTTTGGACATTGCACAGTTAAAAATAAAAGAAAACTACTTTAATTTGTCATGTACTGTCCTATTTTGATATATTTTGATAACAAGTACTTTTTCTTGGGTATATTATTTCAGGTTAAAATCACCCGGCGATAGTGATGGTGTTATTAATTTTAGCGATAGTGTTCTAGGATTAAAAATAATGATATTGGCGCTTTAAAAAACTCTATTTCTCTATGGATTTGGAATGGTTATGGCAAGTTTAACAAGTCCAAACAGAACAAGAATATTTAGTTTAATGAACAACATACAATGACAAAGGTAGTACTGCCTTCCCAGTTTTATTTCATAGCAGCTCTTATTTTTCTGATCAGTTATGTAGGCCTATCTGCGAACTAAAGCTTTAGAGAGGGTAGATGCACTGAAGTGAGCACTACTGCTTTCATACTTAGCTCCTCATTATCATAGTTTTTTGGTTTTGTAAATATAGCTTTTCAATGCTCACCTCAGTAGGATTTAAAAAAAGCCCAGTCTTACACAGACAGTCATAGATATCTATCCTTAAACAGATGGGATGATCTTATTTTATCTTATCTTATCTTTTAGTATGTATTGTAGAATGCCATACCAGATGCTCTTGGGTAAATTCTCATAGTTTTTTTGTGGTTTATAAAGGCCTAGGAGTCATGAAATTTGGAGAATCACAGCTTGTTGATTCCACTGCCACCCAGTGGAGAAAATAATAACAAAATTCAACTGACATGCTTTTGTTTTGAAATTTCACAGGAAGACAAACGTATAATCACTCATGTGGTTACGGTTGCTAGGGGCAACACAACCCCGAGCGGACGCAGACCGACCTAGGGCATGTTCAGTTTAAAGTTTTTGACAGAGTTTTCAGATTTCTGGTTTGAAAATTCAGAGTCTAGTTTGGATTCATAGTTATCTTTCCAAAGCAAATAGCCACCAGTGGTTAAAAATGCCTCCAAAGCGGGCAAAACGGGGGTCAGCATCGAAGTCCAGCGCTGAAGCTGCAGGTAACAAGAAATGGGAGGCTGGTCTCACCGAAGCACAACTGGAAGAGGTGTGTGTGTGTGTAACGTGTATAACTTTGAAATAAACTAAAGTGATATGTTGTTTTCTGATAAATGAATGGGGAAAAAACAGACATTTTGAAGCCAAGAGTGTCAGTTTAGCTAACAATAGTTTATCTGAACAGAGCCCCCGATACATGAAGATTGGGCGGTGTTTGGTCCAAAGTTAACCCAGTAATAACCGTTATTTGCATTGGTTGATTGAGTGTTAATAAGTTTCGTGCCCTGTACTACTGGGGATTATATGGCAGGTGTGGCAAAAAACAAGTTTAAAGATTAACCTTTAAGTTTTATTTTGAAAGCAATAGCTGCACAAACATAGTTGCCATGTCCGCTTTATTATAAGCGTCTTCGAGCTTGTTTTTGTCAGAAGTCGCTTGTAAAACTCGTGAGTCTCGGGTTGCCACTTCTTTTTTAACTAGTAGTTGCTTATTAGGGCTTGCTTTTCTGTCCGCGTGAATCCCCCAATGGTTATTTTACAGCTCCCCACAAACATAGATATCTATAAGAAAGGCTAGGTGACTTGTACTTTTTTGAGTACAAGTCAGATGAGTGGGCGAGTGTCCCGTAGCAAAATGGCCGCCATGCGCGGAAGTCGGTCTCCATTGGCCAACAGCGCGCGTAAGCCATCTAGCGTTTATATATTTATATCTATGCCCACTGAAGCAAAGCATAGCGCGATTGCGGAAGGTAGTTTGTCCTTTCCAGACCACCGTTTCCAAACAATTTAAGTATCCTAAAGTTTTTATGTTAACCGTGTTTATTATCATTCTGCCGTTAATGTAATAATAATTGTTTATATTTTTACCATTAACCAGCGGCCCCTGTTTTACACAATGCGACGGGTTGCGCACAAAACGTCTCTCATTGATACGTTTGCTAGCTTGATATTTATATCTCTTGTTAAAGTAATGATTTGCTGTCTTAAGCCACACCATTTAACTCAGTAAGTATGACTTGGTATCTTTTGTCAGTGTTAATTCACAAATGTCATTTCATTGTCAAGTTAAAAACACAGGACACTTAATGTGAAAATAGTGTAACCTGGCAGGCTGTGGTTGGCATGTTTGGTAAGTCAGCATAAATGTGTTTTAATGTTTTTTTTTCCAGGAAACATGGCGGGCTTGTGTCTCATTTGTCATTGGAAAAACCCCAAAGGACGAGGAACTGATCCAGGCCTTGGTTCTAGCTGTCCAGAAACCACTTCGCAGGCTTTTTACCCTGTTGACCTGGGACAGCACTCTTGCAAAGGTATGGTTGAATTGCTTTGGGGATTTCTATCTGCTGCTTTTTTAAATAGCTTATTTGCCTTTACATTTATTTGTTAAGTTATGTATAAAACCTATCTTTGTACAGGTTTTCTGTGTTTTAATGCATTATTGATAAAGGTTTTGTTCAACTTTATTGTAGATCCAAGAATTGGGGAATCCTAAAGCCAAAAAACCTGATGATGTCCCCAAGTTCTACGAGGTAGCTTTCAGATAAGTCCATTGATATCCTGTCACAAAGAATAACAACTAAAGTTGGTATTGCATGGACCCCTGGTGGTGTAAAATAAAAATTGTTGTATCTGTTGATATCAGCTGAGTGGTGGTGCTGGCTTGTACGTTTTGCAGATTAATGAGCCAGCCAAGGTGCTGTTGGATGCAGGAGAGGAAATCCCCATTGACCTGATGGCAAAAATACTCAAGTTTCATCTTCTGCAAATCAAATCCAGTGATCAGCAAAGGAAGGTGGAAGAGCAGGCATGTGGTTTTTGATCAAAGAAATTAGAGCAATGATGAATGCAGACTTTGCTGTGACTGAGATTTGGTTGTTTGTTTTCACCTCTTTTTTGCCACTTTCTCTTTAAGGCTGAGGAGGAAAAGGCCAAGGCTGATCGTCCCTCTGGAAAGAACAAAGAAGGGGCCAAGGCTCCTCCTGACAATAAGGGAAAGAGGGCACCTCCATCTGCAAAACAGTTCAAGGAGAAGACCAAGCTCAAGCGCAGAGATGATGTGGAACCACCTGCTTTTATAGGCAAACCCTTTCTTGTGTCATAGAATCCATGTAGTGTTCAGGCTAAAACGAGACAACTGCTGCTACTGCTTTCTTTTGTGTATAGAATTGTAGTGTGACATTTTTTTTTTTTTAAATTTTGTCAAGAAGTTCAGGAGCATAAATTAACTGTGTTTTGTGTTTTTATATATTTTTGGACACAGATGATGAGCCAGAAGATGGTCCTCAATGTTACATTCTGGTGCTTGGTTTCTACCAGCCCCAACTGATCAGGGCGCTCGATGCCATCGGTGTACATGTGGCTAATGTCATTCAGTTGTGTTCAGAGCACACAGAGGATTCGGAGGGGCTGCAGGAACAACATGCATGTGAGGACAAGGAGCCGAGTCCAGGTTTGGATTCAGGTATCAGGCTTTTGGTCGTTATTATGCACAATAGAGAGCTGCAGACAATACTTCACTCTATATTCAATTCTTTTATTTTATTATTCCATTTTGTCATCATTTACACAGCATCCTGACTTTTCTAGAATCAGGGCTTTACACAACCTGTCATTATTTCTTCTGTGTGGCAGAAGCAGAAGTTTCTGAGGCCGCTGAAGTGAAGAAGTTGGATCTCTTCTGGTCAGGTTTGAGACCAGTTTTGGACTGTGAGCCGCCTGAGTCCAAGCTCCATAATGTGGTTCAGCTACGATACACTGTCCAGGATTTTGTACTTCCTTTCCACAAACAGGACCCTGAGGCTGAGGTAAGTTGACTCTGCTCTTTATCTGTCTGACTCACTTTCGTTTTTGATGCTTTTTGCCATCATAAACCACGTTTGTTTTTCCTCACTGTTTTTGCTGTGCCATTGTATACTCTACATTCTCCTCAAATGTATTTCTTATCTGTGTGTCCAGTTGTTGATGGGCAGCAAAATCTTTGAGGGTGTGGCTAATCTTATCTATGACTGTCTGGACTGGCGCAGGCAACATCAGCACTACCTGGACAGCATCAGACTCATCAGTGTGCCCACAGTTAAGGGCTTGGATCTACAGCCTGCAGAGGTACACACACACATACAGTACACTAAAATGCATGCATGTCCCTGGGAAACAACAGAGTGGCAGATAGTTGTTATTTTCACTATAAATGGAAGTGCAGGTTACCCACTGAGCATTTTGGGGTCTAAAAGAGGTCTAATAGACGTCTAAATGTAGCCTAGATGATTGGTCTAAAATCAGGCTACCACAGGTCTAAAGATGAAAGTTTTTTTCGACGTCTAAATAGTTTGTGAAATACATAATAAGTCAACAAGTTTTAGCTCAACCCACTTCACGATGTTTCCCGCTGTGCTGGTCTCGGTCACGCTGAGTTAACGGTGAAGCACCATGTAATATGCAAGCTAAAGTTAGAGTTAGCCGTCTGCTATTAGCCTTGCTACACTGTTAGCCAGTAACAGTAGAATAAACAACAGTACACATTACGTGATCGAGTTACGACGCGGGGGGGTAAAAATGCTTTTCTGGTCCGAGTTTGATCAGTCAGTCTTCCTTTTTATAATTTCATTAAAAAAAATTAAAAATCGGCTGATTAATCGGTAATCAAATTCCCCCCCCCTTATTAATCGGTATGGGCACTGGCCCCCAAAAATCCATATCGGTCAGGCCCTACACTGTATGTTGCTCAATGGCTATTATAATTATTTGGTTTAGTACTTGGAGATCAGTGATGCAACTCACAGTTGCTTTTTGAAATAAGTAGTTATCAGATAATGGGTGAAAGGGGAACGTCTAAATTCCCTCTAAAAATATACAGAATCTAGATGGTTGAAATTAGGTCTAAAAAAAGCTGGATGTCTAATAGCTGTCTATTGCTCAGTGGGTATTTTCTGAAGTGTAAGAATTCTTGTTTTTATCAAAATGATAAGAGATGGTAGATCGGATCCTTAGATGATATTTAAAGAGAAACCATCTTCAAAACTCAGTGGAACAGCGCCTGAGGGAAAAACACAGGCTTAGCAGAGGATGGTTTCGATCCATCGACCTCTGGGTTATGGGCCCAGCACGCTTCCGCTGCGCCACTCTGCTGCACATTCCATGCGTGCTTCAGATCCCTCTTTGTAGCTTGCTGGCTAGCTTGCTCTGTTGGTTAAAAGGTGTTTTCATTTTTATATTCCTGGATGTTTTGGTAACAGTTACCAAATCAAACTAACTCTAAAATGCGTCTTATTCTGTTTTTGTGTGTTTTCTGAAGAAAAAATCAGCACGAGAGAGAAATACTAAAGTACAAGGTAAAACTTTCAATTGCAGTATCTTATGAAATTGTCTTCCTCTTAAACAAACTCACTCTAAGACAACAACTAAACATGTTCTTTCTGTCCTCCTTTCTGTGTTGACAGGGACAGGGCAGCTGCTGCTCTCAACAGACGTGGATATGCGTTACTACAACAACCTACTTGACCTAGTTCCCCCAGAAGCCTGCTCTGTGCCTCTAATCTTACACAGCATGGTGGAACAGGTCTGTGTGCTGCACACCGTTGTTTAGTTCATTAAATTTGAAACCATCTTGTTTCATTTGTGGCCTTTTTGTGCTTTCAGGTAGTGGTTTCAGAGGAGCAGCCCACCGTGTCCCATCCAGATGAGATACCCAAACCTCACAATGGTCCGGGGTTAGACTATCAGGTTCTCAGCTGCATGTTGACAAGCTTCCTGCCTCTGTTTGACACAGATGAGGACAAGAGCCAACTGTTTGAGTACATGCTGACCAAAGCGCAAAATGAGGAGGACAAGAAGGTGTCACATGCATGCAGAAACACATACACACTCAGATCGTACAGTATCTACAAAATGTTTTGAGGTACAGGGTACAGTATCTGCAGCATTGGTGGTTCAGTGGTAGAATTCTCGCCTGCCACGCGGGAGGCCCGGGTTCGATTCCCGGCCAATGCAGCTCACGTTTTCGCACGGGAGGGAACTTGCGACCCCTGCGATCGCATGGGAGGCTCGCACCCCCGTTTGCAGCACAATAGCCGACCTTTGTCAGGTCGTCTGTCATGCAAAAGGCCTGAAGAGCCTTCTCCGGCACACACGTGGTGCCTTGCGCCCGCCATAATAGGGGGGGAGGGTGCACTACATTGCGCTTTGAAGCAGAGGTTGAATGTGTGTGTGCCGGGGGAAGGGTGTAGGACTGTTTTTTGGCTTGATTCTTCTAAAGTAGTTGTAATAAAGAATTATATATCACCTATAACAGCTAAAAACTTGCAATCAAGGGATTATTTCAGGGGGTAGAAAGCATTCCTGTAATATAGGAGTACAGTACTGCTGAATGTAAGGTCAGAGCTGAGGTGTAAATACATATACATCCAGCAGATGGTGCTATAATCACATCTGAGAACAACTTACACAAATGCACGCACAGTTCAGCATTACTGAGGAAACAAGGTCTATTATCATTAAAACAGATAACAGTTGATGTTGGTTAATTTAACATTAGTATAAAGGAAAATTGATGTGACTCTATAGTGTCAAAATATAACATGGAGAAATAAATAACTTGTTTGTTTCTTTCTTGTTTTCCTGTTTAGAAGCTGGAGGACAAATTCGGAGCAAAACAGCCTCCAAAAAAATCTGTGCACCCCCAGGTTATCAGGCATCATGATGAGAGAGCACTGCGCTTGAGAGATATTGATGCAAGTAGATTTTATTTGAAAAGTTATTTCTTATTCATCATTCTTGTCGAACCTCCCTGTTGAGCTCGGAACAGGAATGTAGCAGAGGGAATATTCTCTATTTTTTATGACTGCCTGCCTCTGTTCTGAAGATTCAGACCTCAGCTGTGCTCGTTCACTGTGTGATTGTGTGTACGCATGTGTGTCTTTACAGAGGATTGAGGGTTTTGATCCAGCAGAGGTGGAGTCGTCCATGATGAAACTATCTCCAGTGTGGAAGCTGATCCGTTCTGTGGCTCTTCAGAGTAACAGCAGCTCCTGTCGGATGGCAATCAAACAGCAGCTACGACACCACTGTACAGATGGTCAGGCATCTCTTACCTGTTTCCACACTAACCCACTCAAGCTGCTCTTAATTAAATGCAGCTCTATTTCAAACACCTTTTCTTTATAATCTTTACTCTTTTAATCATGGTATGGAGTTACTAGCCGTGAGAAATTGTCCAGTCTTAGTTTTCTAAGCAAAATGCCACATAATCCTTTTTTTTTTAAAATAGAATTTTATTTGAACATGAACAACAATTCAACATAGTACAAACGAAAGACATAAACACACAAAAAAACATTAAAAAACAAACAAAAAGAAAACAAAACCAGAGAGTCAAATAAGTTTGTTGTTTGCATGTTAAAAAAGGAGTGGGAGGAAGTCAAAACTTCACTAGTACCACCCTTTCACCTTGCACAAATCATCAATATGGCTATCTTCACACTGCTGGTCAATTCCAATTTTTTAACCATATGTAACACATATCTGATTTTTTTCATCTAAGTGTGAACAGTGCAGTTCAGATTTTTTCAAATCCAACCCAGGCCTCTTTTGTATGTGGATATAAATTGGATATGTATCCGATGTGACTGCAGTGTGGACGCTCAGGTCGCGTTCATCCGACCTGTACGTCATCAACATGCGACAAACGTCGCCATTGTTTGACAACACAAACAGGCGCGGAAAGCAATTTGTGCGCATGTGGGTGAATTCACGGACGCATTCCGTTCACATTAGATGCCACATTTGTTGTTGTAATGTAAACGACCGCACAAAAAGATCGGATTTAACAAATATCCGAATTGTGCATCATAACCTGCAGTGTGAACGTAGCCTAATTTATTTACCTGCTTCCAGTTAATAATAATAACACTAACAATAATAATCATAATAATGATCACAACATAAACAAAACAAACAAATAATATATTAAAACAAATGTTAATGAATGGAGAAGAATGAGTTAATAAATAAAAAAAGAAACAAATAAATGGAACAAAAGAAAACGTCAACTTTCAGTGATATTTATGCACTTGCATCCTCATACCTTTTAAAAGATCATATTTTTACACTTTTTCTTAAATTGCTGTATGTTTGGACATTGTTTCAATCCATTATTCAGATGGTTCCAAAGTTTCACACCATAAACAGATACACAAAGGCTTTTCCTTGAAGTTTTTACTTTTACATTTTCAAAATTAAACAATCCCCTCAAATTATATTTTCCCTCTCTGTCTGAACACCCCCTGAATATTCTTTGTTCTTGGTTGTCAAATGTATAAAATGATGGTTTTGGTTTCCCACAGATGTTGTGTCATGGCCAGAAGTGGAACATTTTTTGCACCAGAGTGTATTTGAAAGTATGCCACTGACCAAACCGGACCAAAAAAGCATCCTGCTGCAAGCTGCTGGTCCACTGGGATCGATGGAAGTGGCAGAACAACAAGAGTCTGTGATAATTCCCTGGGACAACCCACCATGTTATGCCAAACAGCAGCTAAATAATCTGCGAAAAAAAGGTCTGTTTGTGTCATTCAGTCGTACAACATTTTACTTTGTTTAAAATGCAGTTTGTTAAAAGAAAAACTGACTCAGAATATGAGATTTCACTGACATCTTTGAACTTTACATGTCGCTCTAGTGATTTTCAGCACAATACCCCGTTATTTTTTTCATCCTAGGTCCAACATTTCTCACAGAAAATCCAGGTGATGGAGAGGTAATATTTCTCAGTGTGAACAAAAGAGTAATGTGTGTTTTTCTCTTTCCTCCCTGTGATGTTTTACATGTTTTTTTCTCTCCACCAGATCAAAAGAAGAGCTCATTGCCAGCTGGACTTATCAGACATTCAAAGCTGTAGACTGAGATCTCTGTCGGACTTTCACTACGCTGAACACCACAGCGCCTCTATCTTCCCACAGGTGACCTGTCTCGTGTTGTCTTCCAGGGTTTTTATTCACTGGCATCATTAGCTGATGTTGCACCTGCTGGTTGTGAATTGCGTTAAAGCATAATCCACTACAGCTAAGGCATAATGCATATGACAGCCATTAAAATCTTAGCTCTCCTCATATGGGGCTTCTGCAGCAAATTTCTTTTGCTCAGTAATTAAGGAAAATAAAATTCTGTAGCACTATAGATGTGAACAAATAAACCCTACAGTGCTACATAAATATGTTTATTAAATTTAAGACAAAAATGTGAAAATCTGTTTGAACATCATTTCAAGTTTTGTCGTTACTCATCGATGACTTTTATTTACTTCATGTCCAGGTACTTCAGGCAGCCTCAGAAGAATACCGCTGCCTGGACACTTTCAGAGGAGGCCTGAACAACATCATGTACATCTTTTGTCACAATCCAATGAGCCCTTATCGTCAGAGCAAGGAAACCTGGGATGTAAAGCTTCACACTGACGTTAAGTTCAGGTTAGAATTAATATTGATAAAAGTGATACCAAAAAAAGTTCAATTTTTCTGACCAATCTAGCACAGTAATACCTAGATCAGCAAAACAGTTTTTGGTAGTTTTGGCGCTGTGGGTAGGTGCTGGTCCTGTTGGAAAAGAAAATCTGAAAAGGAAATTTCTCCTGGTAGATTTTAGGTTGCGTTGACCTTGGAGTTGATGAAACACAGCTAATGGGATGGCACCCCAAATCATCACAGACTGTGCAAACCTTGTGCTGGACTTCAAGTACCTTGAGTTCTGTATCTCTCTGATCTTATTCCAGACTCTTGGACCTTGATTTCCAAACAAGATGCAAAATTTACCTTGTTATGACTTTGGACCACTGAGCAATGGTCCAGTACTTTTCTTCCTAGCCCATGCCCAGGCACTTTTCTTCCCATACTTTTCCCCTCCTGTCAACTTTCCATTCATATTAGGGTGGCCATATTTTGAATCTCGAAAAAGAGGACATGACTATGCGGGGCGGGGTTACAGAGTTCGGGTCGAGTGTTTTTCTACGTGCATCTAACTCAGTCAGTCCATGTGACACAAACTCAAAATTTGATGTTTGAATTATGTAACCTCCCCCAGACAAGGTGGGACAGGCCAAACAACCCCCCAAAAAGAGGACATGTCCGGGTAAAAGAGGACATATGGTCACCCTAATTTATATGCTTCCATACAGCACTCTGTGAACAGGAGCCTTTTCAGCAATGACCTTCTGCAGCTTACCCCCCTTATGGAGGGTGTCAGTGATCATCTTCTATACAACTGCCAAGTCAGCAGTCCTCTCCATGATTGTGGTTGTGTGAACTGAACCAGAGTGAGAGAATAAAAGCTCAGTAAACCTTTACAGGGAGTAAGAGTAATTGGCTGAGTAAAGCTCTTTTCATGACTGAGATAACTGACAAGAAACTGGATGTTTAATATTTTGAGATGGTGGGTTTAGATTGTTGTGATCATGAAGATTCAAACAAATATTTCACTCTTTGTGCATGATGAATCTAAAATGTTACTATTTAAGATTAATTGTGGGAAATGTTGACTTTTTCAGGGCATACAAATTTTTTGAGCTTCAGTACATTGCTATTTTAACAGGACATGAATGTTTTTTTTCCTTTTGCTTAAAAAAGAATACACTTCTTTAACTGCAGCTTTTTATCTGTTTTCTGCATATAACTAAATACATGAAAAAATGTGGGCGCTGAGTTTATTTTTAGAATTGTTACCTGTTGACAGGAAGTACCTTGCGCATGTGGCAGAAACTGTTGCAGATTGGACAAAAGAGGAAGAGCTGAAGAGAGACGAGATGCAGTTAAGAAACAGGAGGCCTTCTGAGTCTCTTATAGGTACTGTATACTCTAAGCTTAGATCTCTGTCAAGGGAGGTGAACTCACAGCCTTCCACATATATAAATATAATGTCTATTTTGTGTCTGAACTAGAGGAAAAGGTCAAAGATTCTGCAGAGGAGGAGGAGATCACTTTGGAGCCAGTCATCAGAAAAGACTCTCTTAAAGTCAGTACACACCGACCACATTAACACTCACTTTCACTGTGTTTCATCATGATTGCAATAACTCTTTGGACAATCCGCAGAAATGTTTGTACATGGCTAAATAAAACGAAAATCCCTTCTTACTATGAGATTCAGATTGAAATACATCTTATTAATAGTTACAGAGTGTCACACTTAGGCTTGATTTATATAACAAATCGCAGAAAAATGCAGATCCTATCACCTATTTTCCAACAGAACTGCCTTTTTAAATACAGATAAGTCCGAATATTTTTACTATAGGGTTTGGTACTAATGTCTTAGAGGAGGATGAATATATATTGCAAATGTTGTTGATGTGAACGCTTGTATTGACAGGATACGGGTTCGAAAAAAAAAATGACGTCAGAAATAATGGCACGAAAAAAACGGTCCTGGTGTGTAAGGACCTTTAATCTTAGAATTCTGACTTTTTTTCTCAGAATTCGGACTTTTTTTCTTAGAATTCGGACTTTTTTTCTTAGAAAAATAATTTATAAAAATTACATCAAACCTTTTCATTTTTTTTTTTTAATTTGTAGTTGCCCTAATCATCTTCTACACATTTCTTACTGGAATTGAAATCCAAAAAAGACTGCAGCTCCGTAGGCTTAAATAATGTCCAGATTTTGAACCAGACTTCTTTGTGAAACTGTGCACATGACAGGCATGGAAGTTGGAGCAGGAGCGGCTTCAAGGAGAGGAGATCGCCAAAAAAGCCAAAAAGGACAGTGCTGCGAAATCTAAGCAGCAGAAAGAGGAGGCCAAGTCAACCAACAACAAGAAAAACAAAGCTTTGACAAGTGGCAAGAAGAGTAGAGCACAGACCACAAACAACTCAGCCAAGACCCCAGGAGAGCCCACTGCTACCACAGAGCCGTCTGTGGAGGGAGAAAAAGAGCAGCATCCAACAGAGGAGAAGTTCAATGTGAGGGGACACAAAATCAATAACTACCTGAGTATACGGTTTGAACGTCTAGCATTAGAGCTGGAACTCGAGCATTCAAAGTAGATGATGACTTCTGTTTGCTGAGAGGTCATTATGTGTTTGTGATGGGTTGTGTTGCTGTACTGGCAGTGTTTCACAGGCTACAGCATGGATGGAAAGTTGATTCATGTGTCAGGTCATATCCAGCACCTGTTCCCTTCAGATGGAGGTCATATCATTGCGGAGAATATCAGCTATGTTGAAGGTATTGAGACAAAATTTGAGATAGTAGAAAATAATCCAAATATGCATGTGTAGATCAGAGTAAACCCACCGAAACACAGAGAGCAGGCTCTGTGTTTTACTGTTTTACAGCATGCTCGGTGTCATATGGCACATATGATGAGTGAGGGTATTTATAAAGTGCAACCAAGCGGTACTACATGATAGTGCTGGTGAGAGGTGCTTTTTCATCCTGCCATTCATTTTTCCCTGTTTAAGGTTCCAGCCTGATGAAAGTGACTGTGAAGAAGGATGGACATCATTTCTGCACACACATTGACCGCATTATTGTTGATCGAGCACAATCCCCCTCTCAGCCCCAAGACAAGGAGTCCAATGTTAAAGATATTAAAGGTAAAGACACTCATTAAGCTACAGATGCTAATATATAATTGTACTTTAATTCAATATTATAATGAAATGGATAATAATTTCTAGAAACAAAACTGACCGCGTTTGTGTCCCTTCAGAGTCCGGGCCTGAGGAGAAAAAAGAAGTGAAACATGGTTCCTTCACAGCAGTTTTAAACAATGGAGTTCACCTCTCATACAGTTACTATGGTCCAACAGGAGAATACAGAGGTTTTACTCTTAAATACATACAATTACAAGCCTTTGTTGAGCATTAAATGGATATTCTAGCATAAATCTAAGTTAGGGTCAAACACACTGTAACACCAAGTTGGACACCCCACTCGAGAGATGAAAGAGACTGAGTGCAGCGGAAAATTTATGATTATTACTTCATTGAAATGCAATCAGACTGAGACGCTAAGGCAGAATAATTAACTACCATGCCTGCTGTGCACATAAAAGATAGACAAGAACATTGTAAATGTTGTTCCTTAAGCTGCGAAACTGCTGCACTCTGTGATAGACTTGTCAGGGCTCCCCCGCAAACAAGCGGCTGCTGGAAGAGACTGGGTGAGTTGTGTTTAGTCTCTTTGCTAAAGAAATCAGGCGCAGCTTAAAATATGTTTGGTGCCTAGTGCTATGCCTGGGAACCTATATGTACCGTTGATGAAGTTAGGTGCTGTTCTGAGCATTATTTGGGGCTATAGTATGGCTTTTTGGATGAGGAGACATAGACCGCTGTGTATTGCTATCGTGCGGTCGTCACTAAAGTTCGTACAACAGAGAAGCAAGCTGTCTGCAACATTCATCTCTCGAGGGGTTGTCTAACTCGGTGTTCCGGTGTGTGTGACCTTCACTTAGATTTACGTCGGAATATCCCTTTAATTGAGCCTTTTTGGTATAAATATCCTTTTTATGTCACAAACTGGTTGACTGTGTCCTTGTCAGGTGATGTGCTGTCGAGTGACCTGGAAACAGCAGGAGGGTCCCCAGAGACCTCTACTCCTCTTCCCATCTCACCACCCTCCTCTTCACAACACTCAAAGGTGACTGTGCTGGGTTTGGGTCCAAGGAGGACACAAAGTCAGTCTAGCAACTCCAATCATCCTGAGAACATTTGATAAAAGAAATATATTTGCACAAAAACATAGAGCTGCACCCCTCAAATCCTGTTATTTAGTTTAACTATCTTGTCCATTATTATTAATATCAAAGTACTGTTTGCTCTGTGCTTATTTTTATGTGTTCCTGTGCAGTCGAAGATATGTGAAGGCCAGCCGCCACTGACATCAACTCCATTTAACAGTCTCAGCCTGTCTCTTCCTAATGGCCTACTGCTGCAGTTCCTAAGGGAGGAAACACAAGGTCAGTAACACAATCTACACAAGTCTGACAGTACAAAGGAAGAAGTTTGTGTGGCATAAATTTGCCCCTGAAAACCAAGCAAAGTGTTTGAATATCATTATACATTTTCCAATACATGTATTTTTATCTTGTATGCCTGTCTTTGTGTATCCAGATGTGTCGTTAAAGGAGCAAGGTATTTTGGTGAAACAGAGCTTTCCTCTTCACGGTAGAGGAGTAGCAGGACAGCTTCAAGACCCTTTCCTTTCTAAAGAACTGTCCCGTATCGTAACCAGCCAAGGAGCTGTTATCAGACACATGAGGGATGGGTCCACCGAGGTAATAATACTGCATGCACATCCATTCAGAGACAGTTTACCAGCTTTACTGATTTGTCTTGAACCACCATGGCTGTGTCTTTTTACAGTTTGAAGTAGGGCTGGGCGATATGGCCTCAAATCAATATCACGATTATTGAGCAGTTCACCTCGATAACGATAAATGAACGATAACTACTCCACAAGCTGCTCACCTCCTCCCACTTTAACTCTGTCTACTTCAGCCGCTACAACGTTTGAACCGTCCTCCATCTTCTCACCTGTCTTTCCCTCTTTGTTACGGACTGGGGTGGAGTCATGTCTTAAAGGGACATGAGACCATAGCCTACCTACACCAACTTTTATCTCTTTATTTTTTTGACACTGAATATATTGACAGGGACAAAATGACGTCAGTAATTGTCGTAAATTTTGGTATCTGTAAATTTTCGGTTTATCGCCCGGCCCTAGCTTGAAGCAAACTAACCACTTGTGCATTGCAGGTTCTGCCTGCAGATGGCTCTGTGAGTCTTAAACAAGATGCTGGCCCGGTTTGGGTTCCTGGCTCTGATCTTGAGGGGGGAAATACCCCTCAGGAAAGTGAGGACACAAAGACAGGTAAGAGTCCCCACAAATAAATGCAAAACTGTGTTTCCTCAACTTACAAATGAACATGATTGACTCCTTTTTTGAGGATATCTCATCCTTCCTTTGTATCTGTTGTGTGTTTCTTCACAGAACGGCGCTCAGAGGCGGAGGCAGACTCACAAAGAGGGCTTTGGATAACTACAACACAATATGGAGCTCGTATCCACACTGTGGGTACAACGCACAAACACATAACAACCACACCTCTCCTTGTCTTCAAAGCCACAGACCCAATCACACATGAGGTAAGGGAACACTCTGACTATATGACATTAGCACTTCTGTTACTGTGGTGCTACAATATCACATCAGAAACAGCTTTTTAGAGTTTGTAATTGTCTTAAAATGATAGAAAAATTCCTGTTTTTTCTAGGAATAAATTATTGTTTTTGTTTGTGTGTGTCAGGTGATGTTAAGACGAGAGGATCTGGTCTCTGTATGGAAACCTGATGGATCTCAAAGTGTGGAACACACGGATGGAACCAGGATTACCGGAAACTACCATAACAGACCACCTAACACATCTGAACGCCTGCTTTTGCACCCAGGTAACAAGCATGCAGGGCATACACGGCATGCTCACAAAATACAACACAAAAATTAGCTTGCAAACATGATTTATCTGACATAAGCTCCCATGACTCTTCACTTTCCAGGTAGTGAACACTTTTCATCTGTATGTGCAAGTACGGAGGAAGTACAGATCCAGAACACTAATGTAGAAACAACAAGCAGCTGCAGTGGAAAGGAAGCTGTGAGCGAGCATGGGTGTGATGAAAGAGAAAGTAGCGTGTTAAAGAATGGTGAAGTGAGCATGATGGCAGAGGAGAATAGTAAGAGGAGTGCATGTGGCAGCGACGAGGAGATTTTGGCGACCAAAGAGCGATTGGTGATGGTGGAGAAGGAGGGCTGCCCCACAGTGGTGATGTACCCAGAGCGACACACGGCTCATGTCTTCTTAGCAGATGGGACTGTCATCACTGGGGACAACCAAGGAGCCTATCAGGTGATTTACAGCAAATCTCTCATTTATTATTCATATAAGAACTACATTTTTTTTGTGAGCTCACTTGTTTGTTTGGTTTTTGTGTCTCTTCCTCTATCCAAGGTGTTCCCGTCCAGTGTAGGTCTCCTACAGATCCAAAGTGATGGGAAGTGCGTCTACTCCTCTGACCCACCTGTCACCCCAAGTCCTAATAATGGCTCTCCTACAAACCAACCAGGAAGCTACTCCATGAGTCACACGGACAAAATGGCCTGTGATATTACAGACCCTGATGGCAACCATTTCCAGGTCAGTGAAAGATAGGGGGACTATAAATCCTCTTTTACCTGGACATGTCCTCTTTTGGGAGGCTGTCCGGCCGGGGGGGGTTTATAAAATCCTTCTGGGGTTTTGTATGGAAGCCTGTTTCTGCCAGTGAAAAGGAAAAAAAAAAGAGTAGATAAAATATGTTATTTTTTTTCTTTTTTTTTTTTAAGATGAAAAAAAAAAAGGTGAGACAAAATATCGTCTATTTTTTTTTTCAAAGATGAGAAATTTTTTTTTATCTCATCTTTTTTTGATCACTGGTGGAAACGGGCTTCCATAATTTTGTGTTCGAGTCACCTCGGAAGTCAGATGTTGTAGCTAAAAATGCCATCACACCCGAGTTACCAGCGTTTCAGTTACCAAGTCGGAAAATAGCAAGATCGGAGGCAGAAACAAGATGGCTACATCAACGAAAGTTATTTTAGTGCTTGCCTTATATTCAGACAAGGCAAGCGCTAAAATTAACTTAAGTAAATGTAGCCATCTTGTTTCTGCCTCCGATTTAGCTTTTATTCGGACTTGGTAACTAAAACACTGTTACCTCGGGTGTGACGTCATTTTCAGCTCGGACTTCTGACTTATGAGGTAACTTGAACGCAGCATTTATCTTCGCATCACAGACCATTGTACTTGCTGTACACGTTCAATGGTTCATTTGGAATATGTGTTTAACTGAGTTAGCGTATAGAAAAAAACTCAAAATTTGTAGCAGTGTCCTCTTTTTGAGGAATTAAAATATGGTCATCCTAGTGAAATAGATGATTTGAAGATAATTCATGTAAAATTCTTTGCAAGAAAAAAAGTGAGAAATTACATCCAGCCATTCATTTGAAAAAAAAAGAACAAAAAACATCTCAACCAGGACATAAAAGGAACAAAACAAGCGAAAACAAAAATCAGAGGCGCTGAAGAGTCTGATTTGTGAATTTTGGAATCTTTAAAATGTGAGATAACCAGCTGTTCTTGTTTTCTGCAGGTGATGGAAGACGGGCAGTTATCTGTGTTGAATTTAAGTCCTGCTCCCAGCACACTGAATCAGGATGAAGAGGAGCTGGAGGAGGATGAGGACAGAGAAATATCTGTGATTAATGCAAAACACAGAGAACACTGTCCCAGGTGGGAAAATACACCTATGGTCTAAACCCTAGTGTGATGTTACACTTAATTAGAGCTGTTTTTCTTATAACATCCCCCAGATAATCAGCTTTAACCACCAAGAACAAGAAGTCTGCAGTATTTATATGCTTTTGTTGAATGCAAAAAAAAGATGGGAAGGCTGTGCAGCTGTGAACTTTTCAAAGATGTCTTAAAATGTTTGTGTGAACAGAGCAAGTCAGCAGAAATGAGACTGCGCTGTAACATTAACATTGTTCTGCTGTTTTTTATGGGAATGACTCAGAGCTATGAAAACACATCTTGTGTTCCAGACTGTTTATAGTGCATGAAGATGGCTCTGGCACTGAACTACTGAGCTCCCAAACTGTAGAGGAACTGCTCTATCAGGCGTACTCTGACCCTACCATTGCAGTGCTGAAGGAACCGCTGCCAGACACACAAGGTTCACGTCATTATCTTAAAAACTGAGAGACCAAATCCTCTTGAACTACAAGGCTGCTGCAAATACTACAATTACCTTTTGGTTCAATGCATTCATTTTTGTATTATGCTGTAAAATGAGCTATTTCTGTGGTTGAGTGTAATACTATTATTTTTCTTTTACGCTGTTTCAGATGAGTTTGGCATAACCATCCTCAAGCCCAGCCAGCAGAGTGTGTGGTCCCAGTGGTTGCTAGGGAAACAGAACCCTAACATTACCCCTCCCAATCTGAGAAACCGCACCTGGCATGACTTCCCTAGGACAGAGGTACAGGTACACATACTCATTTTGCGTGTATGAGCAGGGTGATAACAGAACCAGTAGGGGTGAGAATCACCAGTGGCCCCACGATACGATATTATCACGATACTTGGGCCACGATATGATATTATCACGATACTTGAGTCACGATACGATATTATCACAATACTTGAGCCACGATACAATATTATCACGATACTTGGGCCACGATACGATATTATCACAATATTATCACGATACTTGAGCAGCGATACGATATTATCACGATACTTGAGCCACTATATGATATTATCTCGATACTTGAGCCACAATACAATATTATCACGATACTTGGGCCACGATACGATATTATCACGATACATGGGCCACAATACAATATTATCGTGATTTTTAACATTTCGCAATACAGTTAGATATTATCGCAATTTTAACATTTTGCAATACAGTTAGATTTCTCACGATTTTTTCATTTTGCAATACAGTTAGTATTGCGACACAATATATTTCGATTTACACATTTTTTTTAACTGTTTAGCTAATTTAGCATTTGTCTTTCCTTTATGTTCGTCTTATTTACGTTGTATTTTATTTCATGTAGCACATCTTGCAAACTCTTACAACATCTTACAACAATTGTTGTACTAACTTTCTCCTGCTCTATGATGTCACCGCTGCCAACCTCACTGGACAAACAGTTGATTTTATTTTTCCATTATGATAGTTTTGACTTCATATTAGCAATTTATTTGACAAATCAATACTTGGTAAATGAGACGATACGATATATCACCTGACAAAATATCGCAATACTATGCTGTTTTGATTGTATCGAACCAGAGCCCAGCGGTGACATGTCACATCTGTGTTTTCACTCTTACTCAGGAAATAGCGCCAGGGTCTCCATTTGGCACTAACCTTGGATGGGGTTTGACTCTGAAAGAGACGTGTTCTGGTTTAGCAGCGCAGCATCAACCTGTCAGGAGCTGCCCTAAAGTCCTGGAGATCAGAGAACTATACCAGCACCGACCAATCACCACTCCATTCAAGAACACCATAGATATTAAACTAAAGGTAAAACAGACACAAAACTTTGGGTCTTATGTCAGTTTGCATGAATACATGGGTGAACTGATATAGTGGCACCACCCTGGTCATGGTTGTGATATTAAAACCTTTAAAAACACTGGTGTGTGTCTTTGACTGCAGGAATACATTGAGAGTCTGATGGAGAGGGAGCAGCGATCAGAGGAGATGAAAATAAAAGAGCCTCGCACTGAGGAGGAGATTGCTCGTGCAAGTGATCTTCTAAACTTAGTCCTGGTCAGTTCACATAAACACATATTCAAACACTCATACAAGTCATAATCAGTACATTCCCTCCTGTGGAAAAGAGAGGTGTTAACTTACTCTTCCCACACTATGATTAAGTACTTGCTCAAATCCTGCAGATAGTGCATCAATATTTTTATTTTTTATTAATTGTTAATTTAATAGTCTTTTGCAGAAGAAGAGGAGGCTGCTCAAAGCTTTAACAAGAGGACACCAGGTAGATGGTATTATTTATTCCTGTGTATGCTGTCAGTGAACAATAGATCACTTATGTGCTTAAATGAAAAAGCCTCGCTCAACTAAATGAATTATGACTGTGGTCTTGATTGGCTGAAACCCCTCAACAATAGATTCTGTAGCGTTGTTTTGAGGAGGCACAACTTGAGCTCATGTGAAATCAAAACATTCAAAGGAGTTACCTGACTTGCTTTGTATCTGATCTTGTGCACCCTGTAAATTTATTGTCCTCTGATTCCTCTTCTGTGTATCTACAGAGGATATAGCCAATCTGTACAGCCAAGGAGTTGAGGCCCCAACTGAGGTGGACGTTTCAGAAGACACAGCTTCAATATCCAGTGACAGGTTGAATGGATAAAATGACATTACATGACTTGGACAGTGTAACCTAATTCAAGGTGTCAGATTTGTGTATTTGAACTGTAACGGTATTTCTTTGAACCCTCTTTTCTGTTTAGTTTGACTGGTGAAACCAAGTCAAAATGGACAAGAAGACGGGCACAGCACAGGTGATTGTTTGCTGGTGTCCTATGCTTTTCTGAGGTTCTTAATGAAGACTTATTCACTGCTCACACTACACAAAACAACACTCTTAAATAGTGACTGCAGCACAACTGAGAGTGCCTCCTAGATAATGGACTAAAGTGAAAAATGAATGCACCTCCATGGTTAAAAGAACATTATGCTTGTACTAGTAGCCATTAACTCATCAGTAATTTTCTCTGCATGCACATGTACATCAGGCAGGAAATATCCGAGGGGCACACGTACAGAGAAGCTCTGAAGAAGAAGAGAGTAGTTCCCTTTTTCCACCCAGAAAATTATCCACTATACCAGGAACTGTTGGTATCCACCTCTACAGTAAGTACAAAAATGTCTAATTTTGCAGAGCCCTCAATAACATGTTAAAAACACAACACAGCCAGAAACACAAAATTGTTACCTGTTTTGTAGCACCAAAGACCAGACATGAAGAGTTTATCCATGGCTCTACCTCCAATGTCAAAGTCAGACAGTGCTGAGGCCTTCTTAAAATATGCTCCACAAGAAACCAGTGAGTTTTTTTACACTGTCAGTATTGGTCAAGTAATGCTGAATTCAGAATACAATAAATGTTTTGTTGTTATAGCTTGTACAGAGGCACTAGAGATAACAAAGTGGACTGTAAAGCAACCCTAGACAGTTTATTGTAGAGAGATCAGACTGTGTGTCATACTTGTTCTTGTTCCTGCAGCCCCACGGCCTTTGAACCCAACACCATCACAGTCTGCAAGGTAATGAAGGGGATGTTTTGCTTTGTGTTTCTTCTTCTTTTTTTAGCTTAATTGCCGCACATTACAAAACATCATCATAGGTTGTATTTTATCAATTTGGTTTGTTTGTCTAAATCACTTTTATGTTGCTGTTGTGACACTTCTTAACTTCTGTGTTTTTTTTTTTTCCTCAGTCGTGCAGCAGGAAGCGGCAGGATACTTAAAAAGAGACCAACCAATACAGAGCCTCACACTGCAGGTCTGTAGCCCATCCTCTAACTAAAGGTCTCTTTTGTTTCATGAATGAGTTGATGGCTGTATATTTGTAGAAATATATGTGTGTGTGTTCTCATGCCAGGTGAAAGCAGACTGAGAGATTCATCCGAGCAAACTAAGTCCCTCCTGGTAGACGTGACTGGGAGACCTCGAAGGACTCAAGTCAGACTACCAACTTCTATCCTCAGCTCGAAACCCTACAGTGTACCAAATGAACAGGTATTCACATTCATTTAACGAATCCCAATATTTAAGTAGCTGGAGTGGATTAGTTTAACTCTTATATTCTTGTTATTTGCACTAAAGTCAAAACTTAAACAGTTTGGCAACCAACGAATCAAAGCCGCAAGTCGGAAAACCAAGATGGACGCCTGCTGTTAGCCATTGTTAGCTGTTGTTTACGATTGTCAGCTGTTGTTAGCCGTCGTCAGTTGTTGTTGGTGGTTGTCAGTTGTTGTTATGCTACGTTTGAGTTACCTTGGAAGTCAGATGTCAGAGCTGAAAATAATGTCACACCCGAGTTCCCAGCGTTTCAGTTATCAAGTCGGAAAAAATCAAAATAGGAGGCGGAAACAAGCTGGCTACATCTATGAAGGTGTCCGAATATAAGAAAGGACAAGGAAAGCGCTAAAATGTTTCCACTTCTGAGTTTGCTCTTTTCCGACTTGGTAACTGAAACGCTGGTAACTCGGGTGTGACGTCATTTTCAGCTCGGACTTCTGACTTCCGAGGTAACTCGAACACAGCATTAGTTGTTGTTAGCTAAACCAGTTATCACAGTATTTACTCTAACAAACACCATAGTACCGTGCTCACAGTTTGACGTTGGGCAGTACAACATAAACCGCTTATTTACTTACACAAAAATGAAACAGAAGTGCTAATATATAATACATTACGAGAGCTCTCACTTTTACTCTTTACTGTTGATGCACTGCGCTGCCATCTTGGATTATGACGTTGTCGTCAAGTCGGGGTTGGTGAGGATTGTCCGACTTTCCGAGTTGGAAATCCGACTTCAAGGTGAATTTCCGACTCGGTGCTCAGAAATTCTGACTTTTGAGTACAACTGGAATGCAGCGTAATTAAATGAATATCATCTAAATTATGTAAAATATCTTTAAAAACTCTTAATTTCTTTTATCATACAATCAATACTTTAAAGGGACCTACAGTTGAAGAGATGGGGATACATAGAACAAAATGTTCCTGTACTGCAAATGACCAGTAATGTGACCCATTTTACCCCAGTCACACTATAATCACACAACAAATCTGAAAGTACGAGCCCCCTGTTGCCATGCTTTGTGAACATCCTGTCTCCTCCAGTTCCTCTCAGTAGAAGAGCCAGTGAGGATGAAGTGTCGAACTGTTTCCATGGCCAATCCAGATCTCATAGTACGGGGATTCCAGCTTCTCCCCTCAAGTGTCAACTTTGGTACAGTGCAGGAAGGCACCTCCACTGCCTTTACTGTGGTGATGACGAATGTGGGTGTTGACACCTGCAGGTAAGAAACTAGATTATAGATAAATGGAAGAATGAATTGAAAGACAAACTGAAGAATGTGGGTTTCTGGGTCAGGGAAATGATGAAATCATTTTTTTGTCTAGTTGCAACCTTTTTTTATGTCATGTAGCACGGGATGAAGAGCTGGGTGCTGTGGATGGATGCAGGCGATTTGTAGGTTACCTTAGGTCCAAAGGGAAAACTTTGACCTGTCTCTATTTTTGCTTTTTGTTTCTATCAGATTCCATGTGAAGCAGCCTCCTCTTGCTACAGGCCTGCGGGTCATCTACAATCCTGGGCCTGTGAGTTTCAGATAGTTAACATATATAACTGATAAGATTCATCTTTGTTTACCTATCATTTCCCCCATATGTGTGGTGGAATTGACATTCAAACTTTATAAGCTGTGAACTGTTTGTTTAGGTGCCTGCAGGTTTGCAAGCCCAGCTGAAGGTTCAACTATTTGCCATGTGTGCGACCCAAACAGGAGAGGTAGAGCCAAAAAAATACATCTCTCATGATATTGTCATCAACACTGAGACAGACATCCTCTACCTGCCTGTCACAGCTAATATCCTTCTCAACAGTTCAAGAAATGCTGTATGAAGAAAACAAGACCCTCTTTTCATTTTCATTTTTAAATCCATTTTTTACAGCCTGAACAAATGGGTACAGATTAACAACATTTACAGGCTTATAGGGGACAGAAATCTTTTGTATTACAGCCACATATACAAGTAGTCTGAGTGTCTCATCCAGGTATGATTAGAGGAAACCTACAGTGATGTTAGTCCTTACAAAATTTCACCCATCCTTCCGGAGAAGTTATATGGCATTTGGCTCAAAGACCGCAACAAGAAAGGCTTGAAGATTCGTCAGCAGTCTTCACAGGCCAACTCTCCTCTGACCAGGTCTCCAAAAAGCAAGGGTAAGTACACTGTCTTATTTGAGAAAAAGCTGATTTAATGTATTGAAAGAAAGCAGTGTCAATCTTAAATCCGTCATTTGTTTTGTAATTTCAGGACTCCACTAGCTTGAGAGGAAAAAATCCAATCAGTTTACACAAGATACCATCCTACAACATTCACCAGGATCAGTTGTTGTTTTTTTTTTTTTAATGTATTTGTATTTTCCTCTTTCAATAAAATGTTTATCTACTCTGAAATAGGAGTGAATGTTCATACTTACATGAAATATGTCAATAAATTTCAATAGTGTCTATTTTAACTCGATCTATGGGCTCTATGCACAGCTCCACTACTTCCTGAACTTAAAGGCAGCTCCTTTATTTCCTGTCTCACATTGTTGAACAAACTGATCAATCCAGGTATGACTGATTATTGTTAATCATCAGACACACCTGGATTTATGGTGGTCGAGAACCGCCACTGCTGCAAATAAAAAAAGAATGCAAAAAAAAAAATGGAAGTTACTGATGCCAAAAAAAAAAAAAAAGAAACCAAAGCCTGCTGCAAATAAAAAAAGAAATGGTGCAGATAAAAGAAAAAAGCCACAACGGAAGTTAACGATGCCAAAAAAAGTGGTGATGGAAAAAAAAAGTTAGTTACTGCGAAAACAAAAGGATGCAAATAAAAAAAACACAACATAAGTGAGCTGCCAGGGACCAATAATGATGATGCACCTGTGTTTTACGATCTAGGCACAGAAGACGACAGTGAGAAGACGAGCAAAGAAGTAAGTGGAAAAGTTATTGTTTGATTTCGTTTCATAAACTTTTCAATGTGTCATTCGGTTAGGCCATGTTGCGCCTGAGTAGATATGAAGTTAAACTGAAGCTAACAATACACCGGCATCCTCCAGTTCAACTTTATATCGACTCAGGTGCTACATGGCCAAACACCATTTTAGCTTAGAGGACTGGTAGAGATACGGCTCAACTCACCCCGCTCCTATGGTCAACTTACCTCATACACAGGGTAAGTTGACCAAGGGAGACCACTTTTGTTGGCATGCTATATTATCAAGACAGTTATGTTTACACTCATTCTGTAGGTTTGCAGGGATGCACAACATCTTGAAATATATGCGGATACACTAGTTAGAGACAAAACTATGATTGACTTGATCTATGATCCAAAATATGAAAAATGGCCCAACTTTCCCCACTCTCCCCTATTAGACAAACTGATTAATCCAGGTGTGACTAATTATTGTCACTAATTAGACACACCTGGATTAATCAGTTTGTCCTATAATATATGACAAGAAAAAGAGATGCTGTGTTTGATTTTGAGTGTTTGTGCACCGTGCACGTGTAAATCTCGACAGGGGAGTCTCAGGTGAAAAGATGGGGGTGGGGATTTTGGTCTATGACGTCAACGGAGACCCGACGCAAGATGCAGCCGTGCCTAAATAAAAGTTGAATAATGACAGCCATCCTCGCTGTCGTCTTTCATTTCCACGGCCTCGTATTTACACTTCACGTTTATCGCTCGCCTGTAATTCTCGCGCGGACGCCCACGGGCTTCTTTCCTTCATGCGTGCATATGCAGTTTGAGTGATTCTTGGCTCCGGTTGGTCCCCCCCTGCGCTGTCGGTCACGCGCGCACACGTGCACATACGCACATTCATAGCAGAGAGCATCACGAGAGGCAGAGGCAGCGTTCGCGGAAAAGGTTTGGCAAGGAGGGCGACGGGCTTTGACTTTGGATGCTTAGTCACAATTTGTTCTGACGGGAAGGTAAAGCATGGAGCAGGTGGAGGAGGAACACTGAGCGGGGGAAGATACTGGAGGAAAGCTGAGGGGTTACCGATATCCGGAGAAGACGATGCTTGTTTGCCGCAGGCCCCATCATCGTGAAATTGGATACCGACTTGCGGCGGATGGGGTGACCGAGCTCGCTGCTCCGCCGGGGAGGTTCCTGCCTTCGGACGGTACCGGGGTAGGAGCTGCCTGTGCCCGGTTCTAAGGAAGGAAGGAGTGGCAAGAGGGAAAATGCAGACGGAGGAGGAGACGGCAACCGCTGAAGAGCCCATTTTGGAGGAAGGGTCAGGACGAGAGCAGGTAAGAAGGGCATTTTTAAAACTGTATTTTTCTGACCAGTACACGGTTGTTGATGCTGGCACAGATAGAGTCCCGTTCGCGTAAAGTTGCGCATAATCTGCCCTCCACAGGAAACACTTATGTTTGTGTGTCATTGCTGGTCGTACTAAACGTCCCATCATTTCCCCGACATGTAACACAAATGTAGGATATGCCAACTGTCAGGCTTTCATTGACCTAAACTGTCTTTGCTGTGTTTGATGCTCAAAAGTCACGTTTCGCTCCGAAGTCCTTCATACCTCGTAAAAGAGCAAGGACACGCTGCAGGACCTTGGCTCTGATATGAATGGGCACGAGGCTGTGGTCCAGATAAACAGAGGGGGTAAGGAAGTCTAAATGCCTGCCTAGAAAGAAAGAAAGCCACACTATTAGTGTGATATGTCTGACAGCATTGTGTGATTTGTTCTTGAGGGATGGATAAGTCTTTTTTTCTGTATAGTAGAGTGTCCATCCAGCAGCTGACACCTCTAAAATACACTAGAGGGTGACATCACAGTTAAGCCACACACCCAGCTGTCTGCCAAAATACTCAGACACATTGTGAGGAGGCAGAATAACACATCCAAACAGTTCATGTATGATCTGTGAACAGGGTTTTACCATCAAGATTAAAACACTTTGTATGTTTTCTGTTCGATATGTCAGTAGTTGTTATCCTCTTTGGCAGGTATTTTCAACCTTTCACATCTCTCTGCAGGGACATCAATCATACAGACTCCTGTAAAGACAATGACATCCAGTCTGAAGTCCTTGTTCACATGTCTCGTGTAAAACTATGAATTTGAGGAGCTGTTTCTGAGACACTTTTCAGTTCACACTCTCCCTGACCTTCCACCACGGCTTGTGAATTCTCCACCTCTTCTTCAACTTGTCTGTTACTCCAGAGAAATAGCTTCATTTAGACAAACGTCATCTTTAAAATGAGAAACTGAGAGAGCTATGCATAATAAAACACCAACTTAGTCAGCTGCCAGGAACAAATACCTATGGATAACTAAGGATGTGGGCAGGCTTTATTCTCATCACCATTCCCAGTAGAAGCTACTTAACATGATGATGGTCCACAGAGGAAGAGCAAAGTTGTGTGTGAATGTGGTGTAATGGTAGGCTATATCAGGCTGAAAGGCTATACTGCTGAGGAGGAAATGACTTAGTCTTTCGCAGTGCACCGTCTTTGTCTCACTTTCAGACTTTGTAATGGGCTTTAGAAAGAGGCAAATCTTCACATTTGGAAATTAAACTGTTTATTTATGGACTTTACTGTTCGAGCTCTGTTAAGTTCAGTGTTGTTTTCGTTGACGATGGTGTTGACGGAAATATTTCGTCATCGTCAACGAAAAAAACAGTGTTGTTAATATTTCGTCAAAGCCCCTTTTTTCCACGACAAAGACGTGACGTTGACGAGCTAAACATAAGTCTTAGATGACTAAAATGTGATGAGACGAATGTGTGTTTACGTCGACGAGACGAGACTAGACGAAAACGTTAGTGGTGGACAACAAACAGAGTTGCAAAATTCATGAGCATTTCGTCAGTCAAACGCTAAACATATATCCTGCAGTGTTGTTTTCGTTGACGATGACGTTAACGAAATATTTCAACAACGTCATCGTCAACAAAAAAAACACTGGTTACTTTTGAATACCTTGCCATCTGGGCCTCGAGGTTAAAAACACACTTGCCATTTGACTGATCCAAGGATTTGCATTTTACTTATGTTTGTGTCCACCAGCTTTTCATTTCACACGAGACACGCCAAACTGAAATGTTTTGTAAAATGATTAAAAAAAAAGACATAATCAAGCATTTGTACATTTGCTTGTGGAAAATTACAGACCATAATTAAGAATATGTAGAGCAGCCATGCCTTTTCGCGTTTTACCTGTCCCTACCTCTGTCCTCTGTCTCTATCTGCAGGCAATGTGCAGATGTTTAAAGATGAATTCGGTTTTCATCTCTGCTGCCATTAGTCTCTCTCTTTCATCTCTTCCTTCATCTCTTTCCTGTAGACCTGCCTGTTGTGGAGTATACAGCTCCATCCTCTTAGCAATTCTCAAACATTACCTTACTTAGGTCTATTCCCTCTCTGGCACACACAGGCATGTGTGCACAACTGCAGAAGCATTATCACAGAATAAGTTGAACCACAATATTTTAACTATATTATAACTAGTGGCCGGCTGATGGCCGCTATGATCTTACAATATCACGTTGTTTTAATTGCATTTAGTAAATTCAACAATTTAACAGGGATGCACCCATCCGCTTCTTTTACCTCCGATACTGATACAGATATCTGCAGTTTAGTATGACAGATACCGATCCAATTCCGATACAGAAAAGCAGCACTGAATTACCTTTTGTCCTAACCTGAAGTTTTACCACTGCCCCTCGGAACGTTTACTGAGCAGGTATTGTAATTGGCCATCAAGCTTGTAGGCTGAAGTCTCTTGATAAAGGTCAAGATAGCAGACCCCTTTGCTCGCTCCATTTTGAAAACATTGTGGGCATCCGCTCAGCGTATTTACTTATGGATGCCATTTACGGTGCATAGCATAGAGTTAGACTGAATAGATCGGCCCCTATGCATCGGGCCCATTGTCACAAAACCAGATCTAGAATTTTCTTCAGTATCGAACCGATACTGATATCAAATATTGGATTGGTATCAAATATCGTATCAGTGCATCCCTACAATTTGATAATACTAACAAATGAAAAACAGAATCACAAAGCTTGAATGAGCTGTTTATCTAAAGACCTCGTAATGAACTGATGTCTTCCATGTTGTCTAGAATTAACATTTTAGTCAAATTGTCAACAAGTATTTCTCAATGTGCCACGGCTCATCTCTAGAGATGTGTTTGAACACGTGTGGTGTTCAGGTTGTCCCAAGCATTGCCTGTCCTATACAGAATAAACAGGGGCTTGTCAAGGGGTACCAACCAATCATATTCACGCATTTAGCACAGCCAAGTGGGTAGTAAGAAAGGTGGGTCGTAACTATAAATAACGGGATGTTGTTTGGCATTGAATATGGAAAACAGCTGTGTGAACAGTAAGAGTGTTTGTGCTCTATGACATGAAAAAGACAGTAAAAGGTTTTACAAGGCATAGAAGGCAAGGCAGACGTGTTGAATAAACCACAGGTTTTCTGCAGAGAATATGTCAAAATAGTGTTCATTTAATATTAAAACACTTGATCTAAAATTACCACTCTCCGCCTCTCTGCTCACTCTGACATGCAAAGCAAATTAATTCCCCCCAATTCCAAGCACATACCTTTACTCCATCAGAGCATATTCAGATATTTCACAAGGGTTGAAACCCTGGCATCGCTGTGAATATATTCCCCCACTTAAAATGTGTTCTGGATTGGATGTTGATAACATGTCATTTTAATCCTCATTTCCACCTCAGGCTTCAGATTGCAATTTGCAGCCATTTTACATGGATGCTTCATGCACAGTTGAATGCCAGGATAAGAATTCAGTAAATTCAAACCTTCTTCTAAAAATTATGCTCTTTATGCTGTAATAATGTTTCCTTTTTGTAGTATATGTCTTTAAACTGACTGGCTGTGATGTAAATACTATGATTTTTATCCCATTATAAAAACTCACGGTTAGCATCTACAGTCATGTAAGTGGCAAGAGCTCAAGCTGATGTGTAGGCTGACTGCTGCCGCTTAGTGATATATCATTTATAAATAGGTGACCTATATCTTACCTGCTGATTGGTTCACTTTATAGATGATCAATCCACCTTAAACACACTATAAACAAAGCGCTTCAACAGAGGAATAATATTTTCAATGAGACAAGCACATTTAATTCCCAAATGACAATATTTAAGGTTGCAGTGAAATTGAGATCAAACATCCTAAAGGACTTTTTCCAGTGGTGTTGAAATGGCAGACCTTTTTTTCACAGTGTACTGCAGGCATCAACAGCACTTTTTCCTGTCTTCACTTCCTCACTTCGTTTGCCACCCACTTGCTAGGATTGCTAATTATAGCCGCTCCAGTCACACCTAACCAGCTGAATCAGTCTGAGCAGAGACAGAGAGGGGAGGGAGAGCAACACAGGTTGGCTACTAACACCTAAATATGATGAGGGATTTTTTTTTTAATAACACAAAAGTGTCGTGCCCCAATGAAGAGTTGTATCATAAACATATGTTTTTTGGTTTAATAGAATGTGTGAACCTGTGAGTAAGACAAGAGCTTGATATGCTGGTGGTAGATCCCATCATCTTGGCAGTCAGTAGCATGCAAATCTGTTTATTACGACACATCTCCCAGTCCAATAACCTGCAATATACCGTAAATGTTTGAGGTCTTTGAGAAGCTTTGAAGATCCGCATCAAACTTGGCTTTCATACATAATGTTGCTGATCCTTGAACAAGTAGGAAAAAAAAACACTGTAAAAGGTAAAAAGAGATACAAGTTTGACCTGTGCACTCAAGAACAAAAAGCCAGTAACTAAATATGTGACAGAAATGCAGTTACTGCACCATATTACAAGACCGGATCACGAAATGATTGAATTTAAAGTCATTTACTGGCTCAGGCAAATCGTATTAATGAAAAAGCCCTGTCAAGTGCATTTCCAGTGGAGGCAAGAAATAACCACCGTACAGTATGAACAGGATCTTCAAACGGAGAGCAGTGCTCTGAAGTTCTTCTTTGTAAAGGAAAGTGTGTCATATGTGTCCAAAAAAGCAGCTCTCGCTCCAGGTTTCATGTCAGTTTTCTGGGCTTTTCTTCACAAAGCTGTCTCTAGTGACTGTGGATGCTAAAGAATATAAATAAACTCCATCCAAAAGTCAGTGAGTATAAAACCTTACATTTTTAAGACCGTTTTGGACATGCCATTCTGAAATGAAGGGCAAAGCAGCTGAGCTGGAACCTGTTTTTCTCACTCTTAGTCACCATTCTTCTTGGAAAGCTTCCCTGAAGATTCTTAAGAGTGTCTGTGGCGGTTTGTGCCCGCTCAGCCAAAAGAGCATTTACGAGGTCAGGCACTGATGTTAGACGAGAAGGTCCTGCTCCCAATGGGCACTCTGAATCCTCCCAAAAGTGTCAGAGGGGTTGGGGGGTCATGTCTCTGTGCAGGCCAATCTAATTCCTCAAGTCATGACTCTTTGGACTTGATTTTGTGGGGTCGGTCCGTCTGAAACAACAAAGGGCCATCCCAAAACTGTTGTTGCAAAATTTGAAGCGACCAATTTGCGTTCAAGCTATTTAAGACAGACTTCATAGGATAAAAATCTGCAAAACAGCCTCAGAGCATTATTCATGCACCACCAGTTCTCAACGTAAGCACTATGCATTTCTGTTGTGTTCTCTTAAGCGTTTCCAGACCCCATTTCATCCATCCAGCTATCCTATTATAGTTCCTCCAGATAACATTTACCCACAGTCTGGGACTTAATTTGCAGTATGCTTTTCACCACCTTAACTTAATGACTGACATAACACGCGGTAACATGACATGAAGGAACTCCCCACTCTCAACTGAACATGCTAATGTCGACTCCTCAGACAGATTGGAAGTGCAATGATAGGCTAATTCTTCGACACGGTTCAGCACTCACAGTCCCTGCTCTGTGAGTTTGTTTGTCTTCCACTTCATGACTGAGCTGTTGTTATCCCCTCAGGCTTTCACTTCACAATAATATCACCTACAGTTGACCGGGCTTGATCTAGCAGGGCAGCGATTTCTTGAATAGACTTGTGGCTAAGGCGGCATCCTATGAACATGCCACATCAGAGGTCACTGAGCTTTGTATGAGCTATTTGTGACACATTGTAAAATCAAGTCTATGTCTATGCATCTTTTTCGATATTTGATTAGTTCCATGAGCCATGACAATTAAAATATAGCACCTCTGACATAAAAAGAGGCTTTTTGACCAAAAGCAATTGGAATTTTTAGTTCCAGGGACTTCTCTTTCAAGAACTAGATGGTTCCTGTGGCTGATTGTTGTATGTGTTTCCACAGGAGGGTAGAAGTCCTCTGCAACCAAAGCAAAATGAGGCCAATGACATCCAGGGATGGTGTTTGGAAATGAACTTGGCTGCACAACTCTTTATTGGAGAGTCTCTGCAGAATAATTATTATTTATTATCAATTAAAAAGCTGTCACAAATCTCATTGGCAGCAGGGAAGCCTTACTGATTCATGTACATACATAGTTTTATGAACCAGATAACATCAGGTTATAATCTTGTTTATCTCCTGTATTTCCTCTTCTCTGTGATAGTCTACACTACCAGCAATTTCTATGCAAATGAGATCGCCAGGCTTCGTCCTAAAGACCCTGGGCCATGGAAAGCACTGGCCCCTGAGCAGAGGCTTTTTCGAGGGGTAAATCTTCTACCCCAGAACTAGGGGTGGGAGAAAAAATCAGACAGCATAGAATTGCGATATTTTGTCTGGCGATATATCATATCATCTCATTTACAAAGTATCATTTTTTTCAGATGAATTGCTAATATGAAGTCAAATCTATGATAATGGAAAAAATAAAATCAACTGTTTGTCCAGTGAGGTTAAGTTAGTACAACAAATGCATGTATATAAGGTTTGCAAGATGTGCTACATGAAAATAAAATGCAGCGTAAATAAGACAAACAAAGGAAAGACAAATGCTAAATTAGCTAAACAGTTGAAAAAATTGTATAAATCGCAATATTTGGTATTGCAACACTCACTGTATTGCAAAAAGTTAAAAATCGCAATAATATCGTATCGTATTGTATCGTATCGTGGGGCTACTAGTGATTCCCACCCCTACCCAGAACTAACTTAAGACCTTAGTTCCAACAGTTGAAAGGCACACACCTTCTTAAAAAAGTTGCTAGTTCCTGAGCAAAGTTCTCCTAAAATTTGCTCTTTGGGGTCTCTGAGAGGGACAAAAGTTTAAACTGTTATGTTGTACGGCAGTTTTTATAGCATCGCAGTAAAGTCTGCATATGCCATTTTTGTGCAACTGTGTAACTCTTTTTGTTTTAGTCATGTAAAGTTTACAATCCTGCTTGCCAAGTATAGAAGTTAAGTTCAGTTTGTGATAAGTTTGATAGTTTTCAGGGACAGATTTAATGCCCAGAGTTAGTTGCAGAACTCACATCTGTTAGTCCCAAGCCAGAGTCTTCAACTGGGGATGAGTTTATCCAGTTAGGTCACATGTAGTGGTTGATAATGGCAGTTGGACTAGAGGTCATTTTGGTTGTGGAGAAGCTTTGGCTGGTTTGGCGGCCATACTGTGGGGAATATACCATAACACAATAGAATACCTCTCTCTGAATTTCATGTTGGTATACGATTCTATACGATTATATTAGTTTTGCTCAAATTGAAAGGCTGGATTTATGTCACTAATAAAACATTTATGAAGAGTTTGAGATGTTTGAACCTCTCTCCATCAGCTCTCTTCAAAAGAATTCTCAAGAAGGGTGGTCCAAGCTATCAGTCTGAAAATAAAAAAATGTAAGTTGACACTCCTTCAGTCTGGGCAGTATCCTTCTCAGAATGATTTCAAGGGGAGTGAGCTCTGGCTTTGATCTGCTGCAGGCTGACACAAAAGCCAAGGCAGCTCAAGGAAAATAATCATGACGTAACCAAAAAGCTGCACCAGGCGTCTTCTCACCACAGACCTCCTATTTGGTGCTGAAGTGCATTTACATTGCTTTCAAGTCTGACCAGAGTGAATATTCACAATTCTCTAGTCTCTTTTTGGTATTGTCAGGTAATGTTGTTATTTGTTAGTGGACAAGGAATGGGATTCTCTGTTGAGTAAAGTTGCCTTTCTGTTTCATTCATGAACCATCATTTACAGTAAATAGTGAGCACAGTGTGGAGATATTTAGTGCAGAATAAAAGTCTGCACTAGACTTTACACTAGAAGGTAGTCTTTGCACGGGCTGGCCCCAGAATTTTTATCTGACCTTGTCAAGGCGCACCGACCCGCCAGATCCCTGAGGTCTGCTGACTGGATGGTCTTAGATGTGCTGAGAACCCAGCTTAAAAGCAGAGGGGATCGGGCATTAGCAGTTGCTGCTCCCACACTGTGGAATGCCCTGCCTCAGTCTGTGCGTTCTGCAACCAGCCTCACCTCCTTCAAAACGCACCTTAAAACCTACCTGTTTACCCTAGCTTTTGGTTGAGTTGTCACCTGCTTTTACTCGCATACGCTTTTCTTTTATTGTTGTTATTGTATGTTTCCCTTTTAATGTTGCCATACTTGTAGCTTTTATTATTCTATGTTTTTCTCCTGAAAAGCACTTTGTCTGGCCTGTCCTATAAATGTGCTATATAAATAAACGTGACATTGACATTGACATTGACAAGGTAGTCAGTAACAGAGATGCACCGGTCCATTTTTTTCCGATCCAATCTGGTACAGATACCTGGGCTGATCATATCGGCCGATATCCAATACCGCTCCAATACTACTTTTGAATGAATTAACTGTATACTTGCCCTGTGAGTGAAGGCATCAGGCTTGACATAAGCCTTGTTAAAAAAAAAAAAGGTAACAAATCAAGACAGATATAAATTTACTTAATATTATTTATTAACAAATAACAAATTTCACATTAGCACACAGCAAAAAGAAGTAAGACTTCCATGTATGAAAAGAAAAATTAATTAAAAGAAAAAAAAAAGACCGGATCGAAAAGCTGGATTGCCTTCATTCATCGAATATCTGATATTCAATCCAAATATTGGATCAGTGCATCCCTAGTCTGTAAAGTCTTAAACCTGAGTCTGAGCATCTCCTAAACTGTGCTAATGCTCATCTATTCTAGACAGACCAGTTTGTGGTTTTTAAGAGAAGATAAGAAGAACTTTAGTTTTCTTTTAGGGGAAATTTGATGTTTTTTTTCATTATTATTGTAGTTTTGGGCAATGACCTCTCAAATCATTTCAGTCTAGTTCTTGCCAATGAAAAGACACAAATATCAGTCATTACTTCTGGTCAAAATGTTTCTCTCTTTGAACCGATTCAGTCAGCAGATCTAAATTTGGTACCAAGATTGAGCCAAACAGTCAAATCTCTAAAGGAATATTTCAACCAATATCGACCGAAAGAAAAACAGGTGAACTGGTAATGAATAATGAGCAGCCAAGGCTTAAAGCATGGCCAAACAGAAGTACCTCTGGAGCTCTGATATAGAGGCATCAGGACTTACAGTGCATTGTAGTTTTTCATGTATAAGTCTGTGTAGCTGCAGACCAGTCAGGGTGCCCCTCAGTATCAGGGCTGGACCATGAAGCAATAACCGAAGATGGCTTGAGGAACTTGTTCTCCAAATCCCCCCCTGATCTAAATTCAATTAAGCACCTGTGGGACGTGCTGGCAAACCAAGTCTAATCCAAGGACGTCGATGGAGCTTAAAGGATCTACTGGTAACATCCTGGTGCTGGATATACCACAGCACACCTCTGGAGGTTTGTTAGAGTCTATGTCTCATCAGGTTAGGACCAAAACCGACCCGATCAGACTCAACAATATCAGACAGGTGATGATAATGTTACGGCTGATGAGTGTGTTTTAAAATGCTATCATTGTGTTGTTTGTCCAGCAGAGCAGCCCTTAATATAGAATACTCGGTCTGGGTGTATTATAAGGGAAGTAAATTCTGTTAAAAAAAGCAGCTTTCTGAGTCATCTTGATTGTCATTTCTATCCCCAGTCTGTGCAAAATAAATTGCTATTTTTGTTTTATTTAAAAAACAATCTGCATTAGCCGCAATATCACAGAGTGGCGATTTTTTTCTCCTCTCCAATATTTATTGTTGTCATTCTGAATGACCTCATATGGCCAAATCCCCAGTGAATTGTTAAAAAGCATCTCTAGGCTCGGTCGGAAATAGACCTGCTCATGCTGACTAATAGTGATTGGCACAAGTGCATACAGGAATAATTTGACTCCTGTCTTGGGGCTTATTTCCTCTCACTGGGCTCACACCAGCTGCAGAGACTTGATGAAACTGTCAAGACCCATGCGGGTTTTCATTTTTATTTGCTTGAATTTTCTTTTTTTTTTGGCAACATTCATCTGAAGGTGAGAGGGAGAGGACAGGAAAGATTTTACTTAATGAGGTAGACTGAGCGGGAGGACAAAGAGGAAGATGGATTTTGGCAACGGAGTTCCCTGGAGAGCGGTGCAGTCTGTCACCAACACCTCTGCCATCTCTTTGCTCCCACCCTTCCCCCCTCCTGTATCACCTTTGAAACTGTTCATACTTGCTTTCATGAAAAGTTCATGACTACTTCCATGTCTCTCACGCTTTGTATCCCCCTTTCTCTCTCTCTCTCTCTCTTTACCATACACATTCAGCCCAATCAATGCACTTAGAGACAGACTTTCAAAGAGGATGTAAAAGAGGAGACACGGAGGGTAGGACTGAAAGAGTTAATGTGAAGGAGATGAGCGGGAATATTCAGGAAGGAGAAAAAAAGGAGGAAACATAGACAGAAAGCAAACAATGTGATATTAAATCGACTCTAAAGATAATGTCTGGTTAAAGTTCTGGCCTATTTTTGTTTCCTTAAGTGTGCCGTCGATGCTTTTTGGGGGTTCTGCAGAGGGATGATGGATTAGTGAAGTGTAGATGCCCTCCAATCTGCCTTTTACTACTTGCCCTTGATGTACAGTTGTAAAAAAAGAAGAGAGAGAGAGCGACATTGTGTGTGTGTGTGTGTGTGCGTGTGTGTGTGTATTGCAGCAAGCCAAATATGCTAGTGGATAGCAAATTGTGGCTGCACTGAAGGAATGAGAGATAAAAGAGAGAGGGGGGGAGTGTGCTGACAGGACAGGGGGACTTGGCTGAGAGAAGGAGAGGACATCGGTGTCATTCCATTTTTTTTCATCATCTTTTTTTTTTTTTTTTTTTTGCATTGTCGCATGCAGCACAAGGCAGAGGATAACAACACAGCGAGAGGACACATGCAAGTGTAAACACAAACACATAGGTGTGAGTGACTCAATCATTTCTCGAGCATACAGCATTCATGAAATACATTTTTCGGTAACCGGCAGAGATACGCTGCTGATGTCGGAGGGGAGTCAGCTAGCTTGAGAACAGTCTAGAAGCATCGTGCTCATCTAAATTATTCACATACCCTTCGTTGGCTGCATTACAACGCTGAAAACGTGCATGGTGGCGTGCACACGGATAGAGAGAGCTGTGCAGAGAGAACAGAGGCACATTAGACCGTCTATGTCTGTCTATCTAATGTATATGTGTGCGTTTGAGTGCACTGTAATATGATGTCTCCACAGTGCAAGTAAGGCCGTGTCAAAGTGAGCACTCAGTGGGAGGAACAGACTGTGTGTGTGTGTGTGTGTGTGTGTGTGTGTGTGTGTGTGTCTGTCTAATATGCAGCACTTATCCTATGATGGGTAAGGGTTGGTGTAATGGTCCTCTTTGGTCAGGACCTCAACTTACACAGCAGCTCTAAAATCCACCCCTGTTTACCAAACAAGGGTCCTGATCATGAAACACACTCAGAGGGATACCAGGTTCATATACTTGTGTTGATTTTCATGCGAACCTTCACTTTTTTCATCATAGCTGCCTGTATTTCTCACGGAAGTGTATTTTTCCACCAAAAAAAGAAATAAAAAAGCTGTTTTTCATATTTTTCTCTTCTTTCTGTTTTTCGGACTACTTTTTTTCGTGTGTTGTTTTGTTTTTCAGACTAATTGTTTTTCCTCTTCTCTGGGATCATGATTATTTAAAAACAGATGCTTTCACCCCCTTCTGCTCGATTTATTGGACGCAAACATGGCCGACTTGTTCAGTTAAATTAAGTTTTACTTTCTTTGAGACACTGGGAGATACTCCTTTCTTAAGTCAGATAGATGGTATCGTCATAAGTTTGTCTACTTTGCACAGGCACCTCAGGATTTGCAAACCCTGTGTTTAACTAATAACAAGCTTTACTCTCATTGACCCCGTCGTCGAAGTTATCTAGGAGCGGGAGAGTACGCTGATTTGGAGCAGCTGTGGTGGTTAAAGTTATCTGGTTGGATGAGATTCTCGCAGGATTTTGAAGTATCTCACTAAGTCAGGAAAAAAATAGTCTGAAAAACAGAAAGACGAAAAAATGGTATGAAAAACAGAATACAAATTTGTCTGAAAAACAGAAAGAGGGGAAAAAATATTAGTACAAAAAACAGAAGAAAAAAATTGTCGGTAAAATAGAGAGAAGAAAAAATTTGTAAGAAAAAAAGCAAAGAAAATAAAAATACTTGAAAAAAGTTTCCTTTTTTTTTTTTTTTTTTTTGTAAGTATATGCAATGTGCATCTGCAATGTAATTAACAGTTGGACCTTTGGAAATGTTAATTGGAATTGTTCAAATGATGTTACTAGCATCAGAAATTCTTTGATACAGACTCACTGTGTCAAAAATTGGCATTATGATCCAAAATCAAAAACTTTAATGTTTGTTTTTCTTCTTCTTCAAAATAGCAGCCTACACAGCACTGGAGTCATAGCTGTCTCTGGAAAACAAGACCTGAGTTTAGGCAACACTGGGGCTTTTATTGGTTGTGGTCTTGCTAGGGGTGCAGTAAATTTCTAACACTGATTTACAGATTCATCCTTTAGGGTCCGGGGTTATCATGATTATCCATCCAGGAATCCAAAAATATTTTACTCAAGTCCTCAGGCTGGAGAAAAAAAGGACTCACCAAAGTCATTAGGATGCTGAATGTAGGTTAAAAAAAAATCAATGCCAATCCATTTAATGGTAGCTGAGATATTGTAGTGCTGACCTGATGGTGTATTGACTCACTCTGCCATTAACAGAGCCAAATCACTGAATGCTCTATTTAAACGATAGAATTGTGAAGAAACAGACACATGCAAAATTTTAAAATAATAAGGTGCAACTGATCCTATAATTTATATAATACGTTCTTTCAAAGAACTTTCATAGCTTCTTGTTTCAGTTGTTGGGACTTTTTTAAATTCTTGTCTTCTCTTCTCTCCTTAGCAAAGGCCAGTCCAGCAGTCCCTGGCCTCCTCCCTGTGTCGGGAGTCTCATTGGAAGTGCCTCCTCCTGACCCTCCTCATGTACGGCTGCTTCGCCACCCTTGCCTGGTGCGCCGTCTGCCGTGTGCCCGTTCTCGGCTCCTCCTCCATACCCATCGGTGACGACAAGGCCACGTCTCCAGCCGCAGCTTACTACCATGACATCCCACACTTGGAGAGCCCCTGCTCCAGTGGCTACGTCTACATCCCCCTGGCGTTCCTGGCAATGCTGTATGTGGTTTACCTGGTGGAGTGTTGGCACTGCTTCTCCAAGACGGCAATGTTGGCTCATGCTGAATTCCAGGTGTGTGCGAAAAACCCTGTTTTAGTACCATAATAAGGGGTCCTCTTAAACCCATCAGACTGTGGAGTCCAATGCTGCAGTGGGACTCAAGCACTTAGTCTTTGACCTTGAGCTTAGGCTGTAGCAGAATCTGTTTACTCACTGAATTCTGCTCACTCAGTTGGTGTCAGCAAAAGAAAGGGCTTTAAATAATGCTGTAGTAAATGCGCGCACAGACAGTTGCCACTCTGAAGAACTAAAGGATAATTACAGTCCTCAAATTAATGCAGCCTGATCAGATTTTTACAAGAGGAGAACAATTTTTCCTCTCAGTTTGCCTCTTGAGTGTGGGGACCCACTCAGCTCACATGAAAATGAGCTGACCTGGGGGCATCAGTCTGTCTTTTGTCTTTTGTTTATTATCAGGAGCTCCAGAAGCACAGTGCCTGCTGATCATTTTAACCATCTGCTTCTGTCAAAAACAAAATATGTCCTGTTTTGGTCAAGACTCCTAAGAGATGTATTTTGTGATTAAAGCATTTCTAAGTAGAAAATCAAATAAACAAACATCACCACAAACAAACTCTGACAGCTCCTGGTTTGCACCAGATTGCACAGACTCACCCAGAATATAGTATGCAAACACTAATAATTTGTTGCTGCATGTTCTGCTAATAGAGTTCTTATTTCTTCTCTTGTTGACACAGGAGGTGTATGAGCGCGTGCAGAGACTTCAGCAGGCAACTCCCTGCATATGGTGGAAGGCTATTAGCTACCACTATGTGAGGAGGACCAGACAGGTCACCAGATACCGCAATGGAGATGCCTATACAACCACACAGGTGAGGGGGATTTATCTTTGAACACATACCAGTGCTGTCCATCATGATCATCTCTTTCTTTGTGTTGTTTAATGCAACAAAATAAGATAAGATGTGTATTTTACAGCGGCCCTGAGGTGCAAACCACAACTACAAATCAGAAAACACAACACAAAAAGAGAAAACACAACACGAAAAGAGAAAAAAAACAACACAAAAAGAGAAAAGAACGCAAAAAGAGAAAACACAACGCAAAAAGAGAAAAAAACAACAAAAAAAGTAAAAGAACGCAAAAAGAGAAAACAACACAAAAAGTGAAAACACAAAAAAAGCACAAAACAAAAGGAAAACACAACATAAAAAAGAGAAAACACAACACAAAAAGAAAAAACACAATTGCAAAAAGAGAAAACGTAACTTGAAAACAGAAAACACAATGGCAAAAAGAGAAAACACAACGCAAAAAGAGAAACTACAATGGCCAGAAGAGAAAACACAACACAAAATGAGAAAAAACAAAAGGGGAAAACGCAACACAAAATGAAATAACACAAAAGGGGCAAACACAACACAAAATGAGATAACACAAAAAAAAGAATACAACACAAAATGAGAAAACACAAAAAGAAAAAATACAACAGAAAATGAGAAAACACAAAAGGGGACAACACAACACAAAATGAGATAACACAAAAAAAAGAATACAACACAAAATGAGAAAACACAAAAAGAAAAAATACAACAGAAAATGAGAAAACACAAAAGGGGACAACACAACACAAAATGAGAAAACACAAAAAAAGACTACATAAAAAATCAGAAAACACAACATGAGAAAAACACAAAAGGGGAAAACACAGAAAGAGAAAACACAAAAACAAAACAAAAAACCCAACGGTTGATGTCGTTGTGTTTTCTCTTTTTTTATCGTGTTTTCTCTTTTGCCGTTGTGTTTCTCTTTTAGTGTTGTGTTTTCTGACCTGCTGTTCTGTTTTGCACTTCAGGGCCACCGTAGCTTTTATAACTGCAATGCAAATCTTAATTTCTAACATAGAGAAATATTGCGGGGCTGTGTGCAAACAGCTGCGTGCAGTAAGAAATCCTTCTCTTAAGTAAACAAGCCATACTGAAGCTGAAACTTACAATATATGACGATTTAAGAATCTTTCAGAAAGCATGGCCCTCTTCCTTTATCTGTTTCTACTTCATCAAACTCCGTCCTTCATACACTCCCTGCTCCATCCTCCCTCAGGTCTACCATGAACGGGTCAACACTCACGCCTCCAGTTCAGAATTTGATTACGCCCGCTACGGAGTCAAAGACGTGTCAAAGGAGCTCCTGGACCTGCAGCTGCACCCCGCTGTTCGCCTCCGATTCACCAAGTGTTTCAGGTGAGACACCTGACACAAATCATATGAGGTCAAGCAGAAGGCTTGATGGGAAAATTGATGATTATTCGGGGTTGTGAGCAAGCCATAAACAATTCTTTTCTGCTTTTTAGCTTCTCAAGTGCACGTGCTGAAGCTGCCTACCTCACCCAGGTAAGATGTACCCAAAACCAGGTTTGTTATAAGGTTAAAACATAGTCTACAAATAATTTTTCTATTAAACTACTACTTGTTAATGTGAAAACACAACAAATGCAAGGTCCTAAATGCAACTCAGTTCGTCTCAATCAATCAAATTCAATCAAATTTTATTTACATAGCACCAAATCACAACAGTCGTTATCCAAAAGAGCAGGTCTAGACCACGCTCATCGTTTGATGAATTACCAAGGTGGGACAGATTTGACCCACCTCATCTAACGTGAATCACAGTGGCAAGGAAAAACTTCCTTTTAACAGGCAGAAACCTTGAGCAGGACCAGACTCATGTTAGACAGCCACCTGCCACTGCTAAATTCAGGAAGAACACACAGAGAGATAAGGAGGGAGAGAGAGAGAGAGAGGAGAGGGAGGGAGAGAAAGAGAGCGAGGGGGAGAGAGACAGAGGACAGCAGCAACATTAAAAACAACAACAACAGCTCATACAGAGTTCTGGTTGCAAAGCAAGTAATGATAGAAGAATATGAATTCAGTTTACAGGATCAGGAAGTAAGTAATAACGGACTGATAAAAAAATTAATGTAAGTCCTAATCGTAGTTAACTCTAGCTTTATGGTATTTATCTCAGCAATGTTGTTAATTTTATGCCAATTTTACGACAAAAAATAAAGACACAATGTGTCAACCTAAGTTTGTTTGTTTTAAAATTTAGACATTAAAAAGAAATTCTTTATTTTTTTATTTTTATTTTTTTGTTTAATGTTCCTAATTTTCTATATTAATCCTACGTTTTACTTCAAGGGACTACATTCATTAACCACGAGCCGCGTCTTAAAGGTGTTGACTACATCAACACTGCTCTTACCTATGCCTCTGACGATGAAAGATTTAGGTCAGCCACTGAGGGTGTTTTTTGCTGCATTCCAGTTAAGTCAGATGTCAGAGCTCGGAATGACGAAACACCCAAGTTGACGGCGTTCCAATTAACAAGTCAGAAAATGAAGATGGACGCCTACAGTTAGCCAGTGTTAGCTGTTGTTTACAATTGTCAGCTGTCATCAACCGTTGTCAGTTGTTGTTAGTTGTTGTTAGCTATACCAGTTGTAAACAACGCATAACACAAAACCATAGCACTGTGTTCATAGTTAGACGTTGGGCAGTACAACATATACCACTTACTTAATTTCACAAAAACAAAACAGAAGTGCTAATAAGATATACAGGACAAGAGCTTTCACTGTTACTCTTTACTGTTGATGAACTGTGCTGCCATCTTGGATTATGACGTCGTCAAGTCAGGGTTGGCATGGATCGCCAACTTTCCGAGTCAGAAATCCGACTTTACAGATGAATTTCCGACTCAGAGCTCAGACATTCGGACTTCCAAGTACAACAGGAACGTAACATTTAAATATGTCCATCATTGTGCAGGTTTTACCAGCATCCTCACTTTCCCCGACTTTCACTCTTTTTGACATTTTAACATAAATAGTTCAGTCAAAATAGGCAATAAGACTTTTAATGACAAATACCCTCCCCAGTAATTTCTGATTTTCTGCCCTCAGTCTCTTCTACCTCAAACAAATGAAACCGATAAAAAACAGGAAAAGGAGAGAAATACAAGTGGTGACATTTACAGCAGCTGGCTGTAAGTTTAAGATATTGGAAACTTTGGCAGAGCTGCCGAAGACCACTGCAGGGTCACAGATTTTTATGTGAAGCTGCTTTACTCAGTATTTTCTAAAGGTGCTTCATCGGAGGGATAATCTGGCTGTCTTCATGAACCTTTATGAACAACAAAGAATCCTCAAAACAAGCTGAGCACCCAGAAACAAACTACCTTTTGTGGACAACACTGAGTGACTCATTCACTGGTATAAACCTGGACACAGTTTATAAACGGCATTGCTCTGCACAGTCAAACAAAACAAAAGTGCAGATCTAAACCACCAGAAAAATATGAGTCACTCCTGATTTTTTCTGATGGTGATCATCTACTTTTGAAAACTTTTTGCCGCCTATTCCCAGTTTAAAAAGTCTGGTGATTATACTCATACTAAATTTCTCTGAAGCTGATGTTTTCCATTGTCTTCCTTTTACTCAAGCGCGCACGCTTCTTCGGAGAGAATGAGGGGTTGGACGACTACATGGAGGCCAGGGAGGGGATGCACCTGAAAAACGTAGATTTCCGGGAGCACATCCTGGCCTTCCCAGACCCCGCTCACCAGCCGTGGTTCTCCCGCCACAGGGTCTTCTGGCTGGCTTCGGCTTTCCTCCTGTCCTGGCCTCTGCGGGTCGTGTCAGAGTACCGCACGGCGTACGTCCACTACCACGTGGAGAAGCTGTTCGGTGAGGATGAGGACGCAGGGGGAGGCGGAGGAGGAGGTGGAGGAGGGCCGGGTGGAGGTGGAAGAGGGGATGGGATTCAAGGAGGGACTGAGAATGGGATCCACCCGGGAGGGATCGGGATTGGAATCGGTCTAAACGGGACGAGTTACAGAGCGATCTCTCGGGTCAACACGGTGGACATGACTGAATTGGAGTGGCACATCCGATGTAACCAACAGATGGTCCCGAGCTACTCTGAAGCTCTCCTTATGGACTTGGACACAAGTGGGGGGACAAACAATACCGCCTCGACGCCCATATCCGGGCCTCCCTGCACCACCCCAAACCAGGGGAACAACCCACCTCCTCTCGCTCTGCCTGTTGTCTTCAACTCTGCGTACCTCCTTCAGAGCTGCCCCCGATGCAGGAGAACCACATCCAGTTCCAGTCTTCCTTCCAGGCTAAGGGCCCCCATGGGAACCACAGCCCTCTTGAACGCTACAGTGGCAGGAATCAGGAATGCAGGGCCCGGAGCCGGAGGGAGGTTGGTGCTCAGTCGGAGCGGATTCTCTCTCGGGAGACTCGGAGGAGGGCGCCACAACAGCTTGTTTCACTCACGAAGCATGGGAGGAGGTCTGGGAGGAAGCAGAGAAGATGGAGGTGGGAGTGGGGGAGGAGGGGGAGGAGGTAGTGGTGGAGGAGGAGGAGGAGGTGGAGTAGGAGGAGGTGGAGGATTCCTGGGGCTAGGTTCAAGGCAGGACAATGAGGAGACAAGAGGAGTGCTGGAGGGCGAAGCGGATGACGACGAGGAAGAGGAGCAGGAGGAGGTGAGGATGAGGGAAAACAGGGGGAGAGAGAGAGACGAAGACGCAGAGCAAGACAGCGGAGGGGGAGGCGAGGGGAGGGAGGGCGACGGGGGAGGGAGAGAACGTCCTCCATCCTACCAGGATGCATTTTTCTTCCCTGTCCTCATTATTCACGGAGAGGAGAGCTGCCACGCCAGAGACGACATGTGACGATCAGAAAAACGAAAACAGTAAGAGCGAGCGAGTCGAGGGGAAAGAAAGAAACACTGCACGGGAGAGACGAGGGAATACAAAGATAAAAGAGACGAACGAGGGCGAGAGAAAAGAGTATGTTGACCACAAAATAATGACAAAATAAAAGTCCCATCAAAGCAAAGGAGGTAAAAACAAAAAGGGTGTGTGGAAGACATACAAAGAAAAAGAGCAGAGGGGGAAAGAAGGATACAGAGTAAGAAAGAGGGAGACAAAGAAGTGTTTGATCTGAATAGATGCAGTTTACGATGTGAAAGGAAGGAGACACAATGATTCAGAGGAGCTGATAGGGAGATAAAATGGAGTCTGGAGCCGAAGCAGGGGAGTCATAGACTTTGCCGCACGGAGATCGAGAGACACGACGAGGAAGAACGGGTACTCGGCAAAGATGAAAACTTAGGAATGTCTATTTCCAGATATATCTATGCAAGACCAGGAGTGGGAGGAGTACCAAGTCTAAAAATAGCAGGTTGGAGAGCAGAGGAGAGACTCCAAACCAGCTGAGTGATGGCGGGTTTGTCTTTTTAAAAAAGAAACAGAAGTGCGGGGAGTTGCAGAAGGCCTGGAGCTTCGGCAGCGCTGAACTTGGGATGCTAAAAATACATCTCAATTAAAGAAGGAGATGCAGTGAAAACAAAAGACAGAGTCCCTGAATATTTTAGTTTAGGGAGACACACAAGAGGACAATGCGATGCAGAGAAGTAGAAGAAGGGGAAACAATGGCGGGCTTTTGTTAGGGTCAGATGTATGGAGAGTTAGAGTGCAGCATAGAAACGAAATCATCCAAAAGTGGGGCTCAAGAGGAGGAGAAAAGAGAGTCGAAGGACAGACACCGTTGGAGCAGCAGGCCTGGCCAAGAAATCCAATCACGAAATCTCAAAGACACAATAAGTAACCGTGTAAAAACAGCTTCTAGTCATTAGTCGTCTGCCTCAGATCTCACCTGTAAAGGTTTACACTTCAACTTCAAACAGCATCTGTCTGCAAATGTACCAGTAGATCAAAGAGAACCATTGATTTCCTCCCCGTCTCTTCATCCTGTCTTACTCCTCACCTCTCCATTAGCCTCCACACCACTCTATCCATTACTGGTGTAGAGCTGATAGAAAAAAAAGAAACTCCATAAACACAGGAGCAGATGCTTCCTCTACCTCCCATCTTTACCCTTCTCCTCTTTTCTCACGCTACCTTCTGCTCTCCTCCCTTTATTTTGTCACCTCTTCCCCTCTCACGTCTTTATTTTGCCGCTTTTTTCTAAATAAGTAAGAAGGGGCAGAAACGCAATCACGAGCAACAGATCTGTTGTGCATCTTTTTTTTTTAACGCAATTAGCACTTGTTGTGTTGTAAGTGAAGCGGGAGGGCGCCGCACCAAAATAGACTCGCAGCATCCATCATTAACTTCCCCTCCTCTCTTCCTCTGCTGCCATCTCCTCTGCTCCTCCCTTTCCTCATTTTTTAAAGTGGTCGACTGTGAGATACCTGGAAGTGCTCAGATCAGATTTCATCTCCGCTAACTCCACATATCAGCTCTCCTCCAGGCCCAGGTTTCTCGTCTACAATCAGATGTTCCCCACTTGAACCAAGCTATTTTATGTCAGAGATGTAGACTCAGATCTGAACAAATGATTTGTCGAGGGGAGAAAGTTGTGGAAATAATTGGCCTATAAAGAAAACATAGTATGTGATTTTCCCACACAGTTAAAGGGGGAAAGGATACTCCAGTTTTCCTGTGTGGTATACTCTAGTTTAACATTCTTGCCCAGAAGAAAGAAGAAACACAATTAGCAGTAAACCATCATATGATATACTATATATTACACTACTGTATGTGTCAAGGCATGAAAATCTCCTCTGTATCTCACTTAACGTCCGTAATTTGGACTGCATGAGAAGTAAAATCTTAATCCGCCATCCTCTGCCCGCAAAATGTACAGCGAAAATCCGACATCTGCTTTGTGTTTTTAGTGCAGATTAAAAAGAAATTACACTTTTGAAATAAAATGCCATCTCGATTAAAAACAGGCTGTACTGCATCCGGATACTTTTGGCCAGAATCTGCCATGCTGCTACCTCCTCCTCTTGAAAAAATAAAAAAATGAAAATAACACAACACACCTGCAGAGAAATTACAAATGCTCTCTAAAACATCGCCTCGCCGTGTGAAAAACGATCGCTGGCAAAGAGATGCATGTCACCGAATAAGTGCTAGTGTGCAGGAGCTACTAATAGCTGCGTGTCTGCAAATATGTCTGCCATTGCAAAATGCAGTGCCAAAACAACACTGATCGAAAAAAACAACATCAAATATTCCACACATATGTAGGCGAGCATGGACTTCAGATCCACAGGGATTAATTTGTCCTACTTTCTAAGTATGTTTCTGTGGGAAATCAGTCCAAGGAGAGCCAATTGGCACAGAAAACACAACCATTAGTGCTTTGATGCATATATGAAAACAAAGCACATTAAACCTGCTACAGTTAGAGTAGATCGCATTTGTTAACCCTTCCTTATCTAGTGCCCACAATGGTCACTTCAGACGTAGTAACGGTCAAAGGCCTTCCCTCGTCCTCTATCTGCTTACTCGGACATGACACTGAAAAGCACACAGAAAAGACAAGAAATCTCTTACCTGAGAGGTTTTCTAAAAATAGAGAAGCTCTGATGCTTGTTAGACTTCATAGATAGAGATAATGGACATGTAAATGGACATACGAACAGGAATGTGGACAGTGGAACAAGAACCTGGATTCAGCAGAGACAGCAGGGAACCTTTTTTTTTTTTTTTTTTTCAGTGAAACTTTCTGTAAGATAAAGTAGAGCGTGAGCGAGCGCTGACCTGGTTTGGTGTAACACACACACAGACACACACACACATTCACACACTGATTCCAGCTCAAGAATTTTCTGTAGCTCTGGGGGACATCCAGCTGAACTGGGCACACGACAGCTAACGGACAAAAGTAATTCATGGAGGAAAAAACTGAAAACAAACGGCGACAAGGACAAGTGTTTCTATGTGAGTGAGGAAGTGGACTTGATCGGACCGCAAAGTAGGAAAACGTGAGATTAAAAGACACTTATTTTTACAGTTATTTATCATTATCTCAGTCTCTCGTGGACTTGTGGATAACATTGTCTTCATTACTTGTCCCTCAACAAAAGAAGCACTAAAAAAAAGCACTGACCACACTTCTGTTCTTTTGATTTCATTGTAAGCTGTGGCTTTCACTATCTTAATTTCTTTCTCTTCAGTTGTACAAATATGGTTTTAAAGGTTCTGTTTACGTGTATAATCCATCAAAAGGTCAGACATTTGAAATCACAAGACGTGAGCTCCAATGTAAAACCTGACAGCTTTTACATTTCTATCCTGATGCTTTGCCACCAAAACAAAACAAGAAAGTACAATTCAGTCTGTAATTTGCTACTTTTATATCTTTAGACTTCATTTCACATGTTTAAGTAATGTTTAATATCAATATGCCTTTGTAAGCTTAAGCTGTTTTTAGTTTTGTTTTTGATTTTGTAATTTTTTATAAGTTGCGGACATTGCTCCTGGTCTGGAAACCTCCAGTTTGGACTGAAAAAGGGTGCCTGGACTCAGTTACGTTTGTTTGGAAGTTGAACTTCCTTTTTTTTTTTTTAAATCTATTTATTCATTTCTAACAGATAAGTGTATTTCACTCATTTGTGTTTGTTGCTGGATATTTATACGCTGTGTTATTATCTCCGAGTGTGTCAGAAGTGTGTCCTTCAGGCGTGCCAAGAGAACTCTGTGCCCATGATGTCTTACACACACACTCATGCTCACTTGCATGTTCAGCCACATCAGTAAAGCAGCCATTATAACAGCTTATTAGACTATAGTGGAGTTATTCCAATACCGATAATAACACCACTCATACACAGTCTCATGCACTCACACACTGAAAGCATGGAGCCGTCCTGCTACGTTGCCTTTGTGTCCGATGTTGCCAACTCTTACGCTCAGGATTTCAGTTAATGCTGCACTCCTGTGTCAACACAAGCTCTCTTTCATAGGGTACCATCCACACGCCAAAGCAAAAAAAAAGAACCACAGCAACATGCACACAAACACAAGCTCGCTGCACAAAGGATTTTTACAAGAGGTGACGAAAAGGTGGGTTACAAATTTATGTTATTCTCATTGCAGAAAAGCAGCTTGTGTAAATCCACTCAAAATATACTCGAGGATGTATGTTCAGTTGGGTTTTTGTCCACTAGGTGGCAGTAGAGCCTTATTTTTGTGCAGATTTAACAAGGAGAGCGTTTCAAGGGTAAACCAAAAGTGTTACAGACAGGGTAGAAAACTGTTGCTGTGCTGCTTTCTTATTGGCTAAATCTTTATTTTAATTCACATCTGCACCCACTTGAATTAAAGACTACAGAGAGCAGTGCAGCTCTGTGTGATTGTGCATGCATCTTCTCCACTTTTCTTCATTTTTCTTTCCTTTTTATGCGACTGAATGTGTTCAAAGCAGTGCTGCTCATCGCCCTGCTTTATTGTCAGACTTGTATATGTTGCTGAGCAGCTTTCTGAACTTATAACCACAATCAACGGGAGCTTCAGTTACTGGGATGACACCCCTCAGCCTCCATTCCCACTGCTGGGGTCATTGTCAGGCTGTTTCACTTTCCATGCCTCAATATAATACGGGAAGAGGGAGGTGGTTGTTTTTTGATCAGTGAATTACTTTTAGAAGAACTCACGTTTTTCTTGTGCCCAAAATCAGCCGAAATACAGTTTCTCTGTTTTGTGCGAGCACATTTCCACGTTTTTATCGACATCATCACTTGACTATCTTATAAATGCTCTATGACCGATGTATTGTCAATACTGTTGCTGTTTCTCTTGTGGTCATGGGAGGAGAGGAGATGTCATACTGAGTTTGTCCAACACTGTAAAAAACATGTCAAGATTTGGTCTGACATGAAACCCCGGGAAGTCCAGCTGCATTGTTTTTTTTTTTTTGTTTGTTCGTTTTTTAAAAGAGAATTAAAGCCACTTGAATAGAAAACATTAATTACAAGAGGGAGATTTTTTTTAATTTTTCATTTCTGAATTAAAGTTGAAAATTTAAAAAGTTGAAATTTCGATTTTATTCATGACGACTTTAATCTCAAAATTTCGATTTTATTCTCATACATTTTTAAAAAAAATTTAAACATTATTCACGACATTTCGACACTTTCTAATCTCAAAATTTTGACTTTAATCTTGAACATTTTTTAATCTCAAAATTTTGACATTATTCACATTAGTTCGACACTTTATCTCAAAATTTTGACTCTAATCTCGAAATTTCAAATTTTAATCTCAAAATTTCAACTTTATTGACATCATTTTGATTTTTTTAATTTTTTAATTTCTACTTCAATTTCGAGATTTCAACTTTAATTTTGAGATTTCGACTTTAATCTCCTTCTTGTAATTATTTTCTTCTCCTCATGTGGCCCTAATCTTCTTTCGTAATGAATTCTTTCAAGTATTTAGCAGCAAACAGACATCGCGGTCATGTTTCCAACTCAGATATTGTCCCATTTTGACATTTTGCTGACAAAATGAAGACAAATTTAACCCCACAGCTTAATGAGTTGGTTTATCAAACAAACATCCACCACAAATTAAACTGAGTTAGTCTTTGACTTCCACAAAAGTGAATTTCCCTTGCTGATCATTTTTTCCTCAGAGCTAAAAAACTGCAGCACCTTTAAGATGGACTAAATGCAGATTTTATTGTGCAGAAATTGTATTTTCCTGATCCCGTTTCTTGTATTTATGTGGTAAATGTAGTCGTATTTGCACTGAATAACAGGCAGCTGTCAAAGGCGGTGACAAAATGTTGCATGTTTCTTAATGCAATAGCATGTTGCCGCCTTATGCACAAAATACATAAAGAAAATAACATCAAAACAATGACGAAGTAATCAGTGGACAAATGCCTGTGTTACCTGATTATTATTGAGCATTAACATTTTAAAATAAAGCTATAACCCAAACAGATCAATGCAACAGGAGACCTCTCCCCCCTCACATTCAACCTCAGAGGATCACACTCTGTTTCCCTCTCGCTGAGTCTTTAATGCAGCTGGATTACCTGCGCTCTGTCAAACAAATGAATTGTTACCGCAATGTAGATGTTATGTACATGCAGCCTCTATGGAGCTCAAACAATAATGTCACGTACAATGCATTATTGTCTTACACAGTGATGTGTAAAGCCAGGAATGGGCTTTCTGTTCAAGCACCGTCGAGCAAAATGTCCTCAGTATTTAAGCTAATTAATATGTAACTGATAACCAGATTGTCAATATCACACCAGATTCTAGCTGTTGTCACTGGCCTGTTAAGATAATGTAATTATTTCATTTGGATGGAGGGTGACGGTGAAGGTAATGGAGCTGGTGGCAATAATACTGTTAACTGATGCCATCCTGGCGATGATGATGATCATTAATTATTGTGGAAGATACAAATAAAGTCAATCTGCTTGGTCTACCAGGACTGGACTGCTGGGATTTTTTTTCACATTTAGAAATGAGCAGATAATGGGGAAGAAAATATTGATATATGACAGATATTTTTCTAAGCTTTCCGCAGCGAGATTTGTGACATTTGTTGGTCACCGAAGCAGGAAATGTTTGTTAATCCAGAGAAAATGAACTCCTAAACAGGATGTAAACATTCATTAGTTATCCTCTTTTGACAGCTGGATCCTTCTCTCTTGATTGTGTAACATATTTGGCATTAAAAGCGAAATCCAGATTGCTTCAAAGGAGCACTCTGCTGGTTTTACACATGGATGCGGTGACTCATCATGTGGGTGCTACTTAACTCTTAAAAACTGTTGTATAATATCATCTTCATTATTTACTCCTCTTCTATTTTGGAATAACCTGCAAACAGATTTTCTTTGTGAGTGAGAGTGATCAGGATACGCTGATACAAGATGATGATGTTTGAAAAGCTGATCCCAATGACAAGTATGACATGTACGGAGGTCCGGTGTGCGAGTAATCATGATCAGGTTTCCTTCGAAGTGCCAATAAAGTGAGATTTCTAAGGTATTCATCCAGTGGCGGTCTTCAGGGAGCTGAAAACAAGAACAGAGATGAAATCCACTTTCGCAATGATATATTTCTCATTTTCCCTCAAAGCTCCTGTGGGGGGATTTGAGATGGTTATGAAACAATCTTAAGTTGATTCTGGTGTTTCTGTGATGTCTCAACAAAAGCAAACAAGACCAGCAGTGGCAAGACTGTTCATTTCAAAGAGGTAATGTAAAAGAGGGGCATCTAAAAGTGGATGTTCCTCTCAGGAGCTTCAGGAAAAAAACAGACGATTGTAGGAAATATGACTGCTAAGTGATTATTGTCCGTTAGAGACTGTAAACCAGGTATAAACCACGTATAACCCTGCCCTCTTTTGGCTGGCCTGTGTAGTGGTTAAAAATATCACCACATGATGCTCTTAGGTGGTAAAAAAAGCATGGGGGGCATCGACTGCGTGATCACAGACAACAACTCGGTACTACTTACTCGCCTACTCTAGTCTACATGCAACATATTTTCTGTCATCCATGAAAATCTTAAATCAGGGATATTTCCGGGGACAGCTTCAGCCGGGGACAGGTCATCCAATACTGTTTCCGGAAATCGGGGATGTCAGCAGGGTGACTATACGTCCTCTTTTACCCAGGCATGGCCTATTTTGGGGGGTTGTCTGGGTTTGTCTGGGGAAGTTTATACAATCTTTCAAACGTCTGTGGTTTTGTATGTAAGTTTCGAGTTTGTGTCACGTCGAGTTTGAGGCATGTAAAATACATTTAATCCGACCTGAAAAACTCTCAAAATTAACTTTGTGCGACTCTGTGACTCCGCCCCCGCGTAGTTGTGTCCTCTTTTGTGAAAGTCAGAATATGGTCACCCTAGACCTCTGGTCACCTTACTCTACAATCCATTTTAATCTCATAATATCTGTGCTACCCACTGCTCAGGTTACCCACCTAAAATTTTTCCCACCCTTGTTTCTGACAGCCCAGAATTTACCCTGTTATGAAACAACCCTGCCATCACAGAATGCCAACAAAAAAAAAAGAAAATGGTCCTCAAATATTACTAAAGTCAGATCTATGTTGATCGTAACTTTCTGTGCGCTGGTTTCCTAAAGTGTACAGCTGGTGCCCTTTCTTCGCCCCTGTCCCTCAAACAACACGAGCCGCCACTGCTCTCGCTCATTTAACCTTAACTGGAAACAAAATTGATCATCTCTCCACAACTGTGTCTTCTACTTCATTGCTTCATCCCTTGCATGATGAGTCATGGACCGATTTAGTTTCACTACTGGTGTCTATTTAGGAAAAGCAAAAGACCACAACGTCAGATACAGGATCCAGGACTTCGTACCATATATGAGCCTTGTCCACCAGCGTGAGCTGAATGTGTCCTTCTGTTTATGCATCTAACTTCCACAGTCTCATATTTTCATGCCTCCGTCTCAAGATGATGTTATGCACATCCAATATTCATGAAGGTTATTACTTTTCCTCTGTTATTCACAGCCTTACTGTGACCGCCTTTGAGATATATAATCTACATTATTCACGTTTATGAAGCGGCGTGTCGGTGTGATTTTCTCTGGATGGGTTTTGTCTTGTATATGTGTGTTTTGGGAGTTCTTCTATCATGTTAAACTGGTTTGACGAGGAGTGTATCCTCACACACTTGCAGGCTTCTCTGCATTTGTTTGTGGCCTTTAGCATCTTCATAGGGACGCTCAAAACTACAGAGAGCCCCAGCTGAGGCGGGTGAGGAGTTCAAAGCAGCGTTCTGATGCATTTAAAGTGTCTATTTATCTCCAGTACTGTACATCACACTTGTCTTTATGCATTTGATATGATCTGCATCATATAGATTCTGACAACCAGGTACAAAAGCCTGTGTTGCTGCGTTCAGCGGGGAGAATTCCCAGAATTCCCAGGGGACTGCCTGGTAGCTACACTCGCCTGTTTTCATCGCCTGTTTTCATCTGCTGTTCAAACAATAACGCCAGTCTTTTTCATGTTTGCTATAGTTTGGAGTCTCTGCTGTTAGATGGTATCCATGGTAGGAGCTTGTATCTGATTGGTTGGTGTAGGTTAGGGTGTTGGACACTAGGGGACAGCAAGGAATCACAACACGGCCTGTTTCCTGACCTGGATGTTCGGTATATGAGCAGAGCTTGGAAGTCCAACTCCATTTTAAAGTTATTTTCTCGCCTTTGTTACCTCAATAGCATATTTTACCTCTCGCTTTGCTGAATAATTCATGCGCATGACTGGAAGTTTTAAGAATTCTGCCAAAGCGAGGTAAAGTTTCTCAGTGTGAGCATTCAGTGGACGTACACAGGGAATCATTTTGTTACCTAAAAGCCAGTTTGAAATAGCCTCAAATTGCAGCAGTACACAATTGTGATGTGGAAACTTGAAGCAAGGAATAAACTTTTCACTTCAGTCAGAAACGTTTTGCATTTCAGTGTTTGAATTGGCGCGTATTTGCATAATGTGGACGCTTTAAAAAAGAGAGGAGAAGATGTGCTGAGCGTTTTATTTGATTTTGTGTAATGGTTAAGTAAAGCTTCAATTTAGCGCAAAAAAATGAGGCTATTTAAGATGCTCAGCGAAGCAATCTGAGGCTTTAGAGGATGTCTGGAGGGGAACTTTGAAGTAGATTTTAAACCTTCTATGGATCAATGTATTTGAAGGCTACAGTTAAAGTGGAAATCCTCCAAAGGCCGCTCTATATGTGTGTTTAATATAAGGACTTGGAAGGAGCTGCTGCCAGAGCTATTCCTGGAGTAAACTGTTGAATAAGTAGGAATTAGTTCATTTGTGCTGATTACCCCCACAGCAGGCTCCCTGATTGGTTAACAGCAGCAGACGCGTCCCCCTGCCATCCAACATGGCAGCCGCACAAACAGCCTCATGTGCCTCCACTCATCCCCTCGCTGTGCTGGCTCTGATATCAGTGTCTGTTTGCAGAAGTCTGGCCTCCCCCTCCCCTCCTACCGGCTGCCCATGTTGACAGTCTTCCTGTTGCTTGATGTTTCTCCACAGATCTGCCTTTGTTGTCTGAGCAGAGCAGAGCTCTTGGCTGCACCTGCGGTTGTTTGCCCAGCAATCTTCTCCCGGATTGAGGAACAGTGGGTGGGGGAGAGATGGAGGACGCATTCTGACAGTTGCATGCAGGTGAAGGTAAAGACTTCTGGGTGTGGAAATCGAGAAAACATGAGTGGAGAGGCATCAATTTCAGAGCGAAATCCCAGACTTATTCAGGATCATTTGCAAATAATTTGAAAGTAATTTGCAGCCTCCTTATCCACCTTGTGAAATGTAAGTTATGGACATACATTTACATAATAGTTAGCACTGATACAGTGATACATTTTCAATATTTACAAGAGACTGAGCAGGCTTTTTGCAATGACAGTCTCTCTTATTGAACCACTTGGTGGCGCAGTAGTTCCACAGCCTTAAACAAAACCTCTCTTCCTGCAAATAAAACCTAAACCCATACAAGAAAAGCTCCACATTAAGGCCGCAGCTCTCAATTTCTGAGAAATACCCAAAAGACAGACTGGATTAGCAGACATTTGAAAAAAAAAGCTCGTTTCTAATTGGTAAAAATTAAGCCCGGGTTTTATAGGCCTGGATCCATAACAGCACCGAGTGAGCAGGGAAAACTGAAGTGTTTGAATATGTGTAAGTGTGTAAATCTCACCTTCTGTTTCCTCTGTGAATAATGTAATTTACAGAATTTGGAAGTAGGGATTTGAATATAAGAGTGAAATATATACACCACAGAGTATGAGCGGGTGAAGGGCTGTGATGAAAATAGAATTTAATTGCATTGAATCTCTCCATGGTGAGCGTTAAGCAGAGCACCAGGGGGTTTTAGGAGATATCTCCAACTTTTCAGAGGGGGTACTTTCACTTAAGTAAAAGAAATCATTGGCACAAATTGGTTTTTAATTGAAAGCAATAATAAAAGTGACTGCAAACTGCTCTTTTGCAGGAATGCATTGTTCCAATAGTCAAGTAGAGAGAGTGAAGCAGAGGGGCAATGGAGAGGAAAGAAGAAGTTGGATGGAGAATTGTACTTTCAGCCTCGCATACACAAACACAAATATACGCATACAAGCACACACTCAGACTGGCAGCAGCAGCAGAAACAGCAGCAGCCTGCTGTGGAGTCTCTTGCTGAGTGGGGCTAAAGTCAGTGGAGCGAAGGATGAGGCAGAAGGGAAGAAGAAGGGGTGATGGGCGGGGAGTGTGGAGTGAGGTACTGAAAAAGTGAATAAGTAACAAATCAGAAGTGACATAACTGACCAGTCTGTGGCTCGCCCCAAAATAACACACCAATCTGACCGACGCCGTATTTCACCCCTCTGGTTTGTTTACTAGACTTTTGTTTCTTTTAATCTCTCCCCTGATCTCTGCTCTGTTTTGACTTTCTCTTCTTCCTTCCCTTTATTTTTCTTTCTTTCATATCTTTTTCTCTCTCGACTTCATTTCCTT